GGAGTGTCTTTAAGGATAATTGGAGAAAGCTCTTTAAACTCTCTTTAAAATTTTGTTGCATCCTACTTTTCAATTTTGTGTTGATTGAATCTCAATTTAGAATAAAGAGTTCCAGTAAAGAAACTCAAAAAAAACATGGATCCTACAAAGCAAAATGAGATGAAATATGCATAAGTAGATATGTAATTAGCATATGGAGATGGTCCATATTTACTATGTCTACTGTTCTCAGCTACTTACAGAATTTCTCCCCAACCATCAAAAGTTGATATTACAAATAATGTTGGTAATGCAATAGTAATATTATCAAAGTTAAATTTAAAATTAATCCACTATCTTTAAGATTATTCACATTCTTTTTTATTGATATCATATGATAATTTATCATCACAAAATCCAAATTGACTTTCATACAAAATAATACCAAATACTCCAAACATAATCCATACTGAAATAAGAGTTAATAATATCTTTAAGATGTCTAAAAGGGATTAAGCTAAAGCAGCTCTTATTTTGTCTAACCATTTAATTCTATACATTAATTTCATTGGTCTAAAATGACCAAGAAATAAACAAATTTTAACAAGTTGATTGTGATTATAACTATTAATAAAGAACCCAATCAAATAAATTAAATCAATTATTTGCCATGAATAATTTATATGTGATCCTTTATCCATACATAAACCCTTTGCAATTATACAAAGTATATCTTCCATAAACATAAATACATTTAAAATCATTAATAAAATGTATGGATATTCACTTTTATCAAATTCAAAGTCATGATATGTTCTAATAATCATAACTATTATTGATAAAATCAAAATAAAATTAGTAAACCAATAAAAAGCTTATGATGAACAAATATTATAACAAATAATTCTGATTTTACTTGTTTTCTCAAATAAATAAAGAGATGATTCACATTAAATATCTTGAAATAATTTTGGGTTAGACTTCATTACTAACTTATTTAATTATTCTAATATGATGATATTATTATACTTAAAGATCTTAAGAAGCTTTCCATCAATTCAAGTTTTACTTTAGGTTATACTTTTTCTTCCTATTCTTAAATTTGAACTAATGAGAAATATTCAGACTTAACTTTTAGATTTTTTGTAGAATCTAGTTCCGTTTGTAATACTTCCTCATCTCTTGCAGAAGTTATTTGATTTTCAAAGATTTATTTATCACTCTAATCAACTTCAGCTTTTTCGTCTAAATATCTTCCAAATCCATCTAACAAAATAGCTAAAACTAAACCATAAGTTAAATAATTTAATATTATAACCATTGAAAATGAATATATCATAGAAGCAACAATACTTATCTCTGATCCTAGTATATACACTCTATACCAATCATTTGTCATGATATTAAAAATTGTCATTATTGCTTTGATCAAATCATCAAATGAATGTAATTAACTATAGGAATCATTTTAATCAAACTTATTTGAATAAAGATCCATTCCAATCATTGCATATATTATTATAATTATGAACATAAATATAGTTAAATATATGTATTATGTAAATGTTATAGATGCAATCTTACCTATTAATACTGCCATTTAATTATATTTTAAACAACGATAAAATAAAATGCATTTAGTTCCTCTTATCAATCTTAAATATTATTCTGTTAAATTCAAATACTCACTAAAACTAAATTCTATAAAACTTGCAATCATTATTATAGCTTATAACATGTTTTCCTTATTTGAGAAAAAACGTTGCAATGGATAAGTAAACATTTGTAAACTGATTTCAATCAATAAAAAAAATGTTGAAATATTTTCACATTTTAATATAATTTTTGGATCAGCTATTCCATACAAAGATAAGAAAATGAAATTTATCAATATTATCAAATCAAAAAATAATTAAGTAATTTGATTATCTAATATTATAAGAGTATATCTTCTTATTATCAGTAATTTTCCTCCAATTGTTGGCATCCATATTAAATAATTGAAATTATTCATACTATTAAATATTTCTTCAAATTTCTAAAATCTAACTGGATTCATTTACAATACATTATTTCCTGACCAATTTTTAGTTTTAATTATCTTTTATTCTCTCTCTCTTTGAAAGATTTATTAATAGACTTCATGATTTGAAACAATTTATTATTTTAATTTTGGTATCTTCATATTAATTTTTTCTTATATCTATTCATAATTGATATAGTATCCTTAAATTAAAATGTATCTTTGACCTTTATTAATATGTTCAAAAGGTAATTAATTTTCAATCCTTGTTCTCATATAAATAGTCGATTATATATCGTTATTTCTTCTTATTATTTAAGGAGAAGGCATATCAAGACTTTCATCTTTTTTACTTAGAGTCTTTTAAATAGTAATTCTTCTAGTACTCTTATGAATTGGGTATTTATTTATTGAATTATCAAATTGTTATTACCTTTTATTTGATTTTACTTTCTTCAATGATTAAAAATGTTGATAATACATCTAAATTTTTTCTTTATGTCCAATTCTAGTAAATTAGCTCATAAATACCTTTTCTTTTAAACAAAAATATCTTTTATACTATTATATTTCTAATCCACATGATAATTTACAGAATTGTTCAATTAAGTAAAATTATATTCTATTAATTTCAATAAAATGGAAATCTCAATAGGATCATCAGAGTATAATTTAATATTCACTTAATCTTATACTTTTTTGAGTTCCTTAAACTTTGGTAATAGTAGATTTTTAAGTGAGAAGTTCTTAAACTTATTCCAAATAGAATTTTAATTAAGTTTCTATAGTAAATATTTAATTCAAATACCATTTGTGCTTCATTTAAAATCTTTTTTTATTTTGATGATAACAATCTATTTATTTGATTTAGTTTTTCTGGTCTAAAATTATCTTCAATTTATTCATTTAAAGGTTATGCAATATTTAACAAATGTTTATGTTTTTTTAACACAGAATAAAAACCAATATAACGTAAAAATGATAAATCAAAATATGAAATAACATCTTTACTTAAGAACATTTCTTATCTTTACAAACTATGATCATTTTTTTATTTAGATAACTTCTCAAATTCTTAGCACTCTATTGTTGCTTCTGAATAATGAATTTTCAAAACTGCAATCACCAAATTAATAGAAAAAAAACCACAAAAAAATATGATTATTAAATAATAGATCCAAATCCATGGATGAAATATTCTCATAGTAAAAAACATTAACCAACTCCAATCATCCATTGTAATTATCCTTAAAATTTACCCAAAAGATAAAAAAATATTATTAAATGATGTTGGTAATTTAGGAGTTTCTGAAGAAATCATACAATGCATTCCTTCAGGACAATTGCTTTAATAACATTAGATCCAATTATCAATTTGGTTTCCATCTATAGGTTGACATCTATAATTAAATAATCCCTAAAATAATGATACTCCAATAATAGAAAAGAATAATGCAGATATTAGTAGAATAAACAAAGCTTCAGCTAAAAATACTAATGATTTTTTTAAAGCTATTAGCATATATTTCAATCTTAATAAACCATCTCCTAAATACAATAAAATTGTTATTATTCTAAGTGGAGTAGGGTCAAATGGGATTTATTTAGGATAAAAGTAATGTAAAAAGCTGATTATTGTGCATGATAGATTAAAAATATCTTCTTTATTGTATAAAAAATGTATTGTAGGATAGATACCTCCTGCAGCTAAAATTCTTATGAAAATTTCAATTGTAAAACAATAAAAAATAAATTAGTTATATTTTTCATTTGTAATTGGAGGATTTGAATTATTTAAAGTAAATAAAATTAGATTACAAATAATACAAATACCATTAATTAATTTGAATAATTAACTATCTACTATCTTCTAGAAATACATTGGTATACATAAAAAAGAAAAAACAATAAATTTTCTTAATTTCAAAAATTTCAGATGATCATTATATTTCTAAAAAGGTTAAACAATTAAATTACTTTTAATTCATGTTTTAATCTATCTAAACCATGTAAAGGAGTCAATACTACATAATAAGGGTCTTCAAATGGATTAAGTTCTTTATGTTTTTAATACTTCTTCAAAATCCTTGGATCAAGATCTTCAACACAATATTCTACCTTTTCAATTTATTATATTTCTGATTCTTCTATTTGATCTTGAAAATGGAAATTTTCTTATCTTTTATCTAATAATTGATCTTGAGAATTTATTTCACAAATGGAACTTGAATCACCAAAACATTTTTTTAAATTCTTGAGCATATGCTTATTAGTAATATTAGAACAATTTTAATCTGAAGAATTATTTGTCAGTTATTCTTGTTATGCCATAGATATAAAAAAGGTTTCTTTGAAACTCAAATTAGGTATTGATATTTTTTTTTCTGAAGGATTAAGTTTTTCATCTACATTATTATACTCACTAGAATCTGATGAATTTTAATCATTATTTTCATATGGTTGAAATTTTTTTAAACTTTTCAATGTATTTTATTTTACATATTTTTTGAGACTCTTCATTTCTTTTAGAAACCTTGTTGGACTCCGTTTCATCATTTGATTCGAGATTGTAAATCGAGAGCTCTTTTATCTTTTTAATTCTAATTATTTTGCAGATGATTTTTCCTATGGAGAGGTTTCTCTAGGGAGCATTTTTATCTAAAAAAATTAATATAAAATTATTCAATTCCAATAAATACACAACTATAATATTTGTAACTAACAAATAAATAAAATGTAATAATTTATAGTGAAGTTAAATAAGAAATCAAAGTAGCATTTTTTTAATACAATACAAATGAAATAATAATATTTATTTAATATAACATGTAGAATTCATTATTTNGAGGATTTGAATTATTTAAAGTAAATAAAATTAGATTACAAATAATACAAATACCATTAATTAATTTGAATAATTAACTATCTACTATCTTCTAGAAATACATTGGTATACATAAAAAAGAAAAAACAATAAATTTTCTTAATTTCAAAAATTTCAGATGATCATTATATTTCTAAAAAGGTTAAACAATTAAATTACTTTTAATTCATGTTTTAATCTATCTAAACCATGTAAAGGAGTCAATACTACATAATAAGGGTCTTCAAATGGATTAAGTTCTTTATGTTTTTAATACTTCTTCAAAATCCTTGGATCAAGATCTTCAACACAATATTCTACCTTTTCAATTTATTATATTTCTGATTCTTCTATTTGATCTTGAAAATGGAAATTTTCTTATCTTTTATCTAATAATTGATCTTGAGAATTTATTTCACAAATGGAACTTGAATCACCAAAACATTTTTTTAAATTCTTGAGCATATGCTTATTAGTAATATTAGAACAATTTTAATCTGAAGAATTATTTGTCAGTTATTCTTGTTATGCCATAGATATAAAAAAGGTTTCTTTGAAACTCAAATTAGGTATTGATATTTTTTTTTCTGAAGGATTAAGTTTTTCATCTACATTATTATACTCACTAGAATCTGATGAATTTTAATCATTATTTTCATATGGTTGAAATTTTTTTAAACTTTTCAATGTATTTTATTTTACATATTTTTTGAGACTCTTCATTTCTTTTAGAAACCTTGTTGGACTCCGTTTCATCATTTGATTCGAGATTGTAAATCGAGAGCTCTTTTATCTTTTTAATTCTAATTATTTTGCAGATGATTTTTCCTATGGAGAGGTTTCTCTAGGGAGCATTTTTATCTAAAAAAATTAATATAAAATTATTCAATTCCAATAAATACACAACTATAATATTTGTAACTAACAAATAAATAAAATGTAATAATTTATAGTGAAGTTAAATAAGAAATCAAAGTAGCATTTTTTTAATACAATACAAATGAAATAATAATATTTATTTAATATAACATGTAGAATTCATTATTTAAAAAATATAAATAAGAATAACATTTTAATTATATTACTAAAGCTATTTTAAAAGGATATTTAAATTTACTCAATTCAAAATACATATTTATTTATATTTGAGTTTAGCTATTAAATTAATATTCTTTATATTACCTATTATCTCATTTCGAAATATTAAATCAATATAAATAACTTATATCTTTAATTTAAAAAAAGAGAATTCCATAAACCTCATTATTAATGAATATTAATATGATTATATTATATAATATAAGTATTCATTACAATATTCTATTGAAAATTGATTAACAATTTATTATTATAATAATTATTATTTCCCGCTTAAAATATGGAAGTAGAAACAAATACAGACATGTCCTTTATTCTTTAAAAACTGAAAATAAATTCAGAAAAGAAATTTAAACATTAGAGAATAGGATTAGAAATTAAATAATCCATTAAGTTTTATTTGTCTCCTAAAAACAAATAAATTAAGACATAATATAGTCACATCTATTATATGCGTTATTTGAATCTAGCCAAAAGATTTTAGATTAATAGCGAAGATTCTTAATTTATAGAGTTGATTTAAAAGATATAAAACTAATAAGGAACAATAAAGGCTATTGGAACTGTATTCAAAGAAATGAAATTAAAACCATATTATTTTTGTTAGAATTAAAACAAATCATTATAAGGTAAGATTATATATTTATATATTTAAGATTATGTATCTAATGAGGATGTATGTTATTTAGAGGATAGATCAGGAAGAGTTAAATTATAAATAAATAATGCTCTACTCTGCTTACCAAATAAGAAAGATAAAATAATAAATGTTTCTGATTTGGTAACAGGAATTACTTTGATGATTGAAGGATAAATTGTTGCAAATAATATTGTAAAAGTTGAAAAATTTTATTTACCTATACTTCCAGAAACACCTATGTTGAAGCAATTAAACTCAACTTCATATCTCTGTTTAATTTCTGGTTTAAATTATAATGCTTTAGAAAGTACAACAAAATATAGACATATGATTGATTATTTGTAAGGGAATCTATATAGTGGTGAAGGAAGTGAAGTAAGATTTCAATAAAATTAATTTAGATTCCTTATTAAATATCTTAAGTGATATTTCTTGGAAATTTATATTGTAAATTAGAAGAGACAACAGATTAATAAATATTGTAATAAGATTTCAAAGGTTTGTATAATAAATTATAGTTAAATATAAAAGGAGTTGATGAATTAATTAGTTAATTAATATCAGTCACTCCAGTAGCAATAATGCCTGGAGTAAATGAACCAGTTTCTTAGATGTTACCTTAGACACCTTTACATAAATCACATTTTCCAGAAACTTTTGATAAAAGCAATTAACTTGTGTTTTTAACAAATCCAACAGAATTTACTTTAGGAGATATAAAGATTCTTGGAACAAGTGGATAAAATATCTAAGATATTAAAAAATATTCTTTAGTAAAGAATTAAGAAGATGTAGATATATTAGAAATGACATTATATTATGGACATATTGCTCCAACAGCTCCAGATACTTTAATGTTTAAATATAATATTTATATATTTAGTTCATTTCCATAATAAGATTAAGATCCATTTGTTTTATAAGAGTTACCTAACATATATTTTGCAGGAAATATGTAAAAGTTTGGAACAAAGATGGTTACTGATAATGTCAGGATTGTTAGTGTACCAGCATTTTCTGAAACTGGAACAATCTGTTTAATTAATTTAAATACATTAGAATGTTTTCCTGTTCATATATAATGAATAGCATTTATATAAATATCAGATTTTAATTTTTTTTTTGTTTTAACACACTAATTTGATTTCTAATTATTCTAATTATTCATGAATCATTTCATGAATTTTCAAATAATTATATTATCTATATTTATTCCATTGATGTAATGATTTCAATTCTTTTTTATTTGTTTTTAAGCCTTGCAATATTACTAATATTTTTGTAGCACAATTTTCTTTTTATATCCAAGATAATCCGAAATCTAATATATTATAATGATTTATTATACACTAATAATAATAATAATAATAAATACCTTGACATCTTACAAAAGAGTTGATTTTTCTCTTTAAGTTTCAAGTTTAATAAATGGTAAATTATTGTGTCCTGTCAAATCAGAATATATAGTCTAATCTAAATATTATTGAATAAAATCAGTCAATTATGTAGAATTCTTTTATAATTAAATTTATTTCCACATATATTCCAAAGATCTAAATGAACCAGTTCTAGCCATTGTATACATTTAATCTAAATTATTAATTCTAATTATATTCTATCGTTTGATATCAGAATATATATCCAAAACTTTAGCTTGTAATTCAGATTAAGATGGGAAATGAGTTAATTTTATTATTTATGCTTCTTCTGAAATTTCATACTTAATTTTTTATTATTTTAATTTATTTATTAATTAAATTGGTGTCATTACAGATCCTTTAAGTAAATCATCAACTGAACATTTATAACCATTTAAACTTCCTGATTTCTTACCATATATTTAAATATTTTAAGAAATTTAATCATCTTCTGGTAATTAACATAAAATCAATTCTACTGGAACAGCTACTTAAATTTCTAACCATTTCTCTTTTTCTAATTCTTACAAAAATAGTTAAATTTGTTTTTTACTAAAATCATAATTTAATGAAGATTCATTTAATAAAATCTTTTTTATTTTTACATCAGACTATTCTGAATTTTACAAATGTAACCATTTCTTAGTTAACCAATATGTTATATCATTTTCATCTTTTGATATTAAATCATTTGTATAAACACATTCTTACATAAAAATAGCCAAATTCTCAATTTGAATAAAATTTGAACTTAATTCAGCTCTTTATGTGAAATAATATTCATCACATAAAAATATATGAGAATTGGCTTCTCTATTTAATTCTGATATATCCAATATAAAAGTTTCAATATTTAATGGTAAATATAAGTGAACAGATAGGTATACAAAGTTTTTTAATCCTTCTGGCAATTAAAATCCACTTGGTAATACAATAATGTCAATATTTTATGAAGCAAAATCATAATAACTAGCTTATCTCTAATTTTCTGGTTTTTTTTAATGGATTGAATTACTCTTAAATCCATTTTATTATAAAGTAAACTATACAGATTCAACTGCACTGATATTATGACAGAAGATAACTATCCCAGTCTTTCTATACAATCGTTAACTTCTTAATAATGAAATTAATGATTTAATAGGACTCTCATCCTTAGAACAAGTAATTTAAGTTTTTAAACTAAATGATCTAAAGATATATAATTATTAAATTACTCCCTATATGTTTGATACGTTCTATTGAATGGTTGCAATTATCGGAGATCTTGAATAAATACACTTTAGGTAATAGGTAATAGAATGTGAATGTATTCTGCATTAGCTTTTAATATATATTTAGTAAGATCTGTTTGAACTTTGCCAAATTCCAAAAATGATAAATAATAATTGGATTAGTCTAATAATAGTAATTTGATATCTAGATTTGATAAATCAATTAAATTAGCTTATTCTGGATGTACAATTAATAATTTAATATTTCTGCTTGAGATATTTTTGACAATGAATTCAATTTAATGATCAGGAACTTCAGGATTTATTGCTGCCCATGATACAATATCCTAGATTCTTCTTAATTTCTCCTTAAGCAACACATAATTATATGATATTATGACAACTAAACCATCTACTAATATAGATAGTAATTAAAATAAAATTGATCGTTAAATTGTATTTAAATTTAGTGAGCAAATAATATTATTTGTTGTATTTCTACATAAGAAATCAATAGGATCAGTTATCAATTCTTCAATTTCTAATTATTTAATAGCATCCTATAATTTCCTATCATACCCCTCTGTTATTGGAGTTTTAATTTATTCATAATGATTATTTTCTTTAAAAGGAGTCATATTAAAAGATATGATCTTTTTGACTTCTTCACTAACTAAAAAAGGAATTGAGCTCTATTTCTTCTATTATTTAGGAGTAAATGAATATCCAGAATCAATAGAATCGTTCATTTTAAATATTTATTAATAATGTATTAAAATTAAAGAATGTTAACATTATGAAAACATTATCAAATTATTTGGGAAACTTGTAAAAACTAATTAATGATTGTATTAGTTATGGACCTTATCAAACTAAGAATCATAAAATATAAATCATATGATAGATATTCATTAAAAATTGATTAAAATAGAGGCATTAAATGTATTCTGAAATAATTTAGCATCTTTTTAAGATAATTATTTGAGCTTAGAACAAAAAATAAAAAATTATGAATTACTCTAATAATAAATTGAATTCAAAAAGTTAATAATGTAGAAAGATCTTAAAAGAAGATCTAATTAGTATTAGGAAATTTAATCATATTTCTTTATTATGCTCTTAAGTAAAATTAATAAAGAATTTAATCAACAGTTTATATCACATATTCATATTATACATCATATCAATAGATTTTTAACATTTTGAAATTCAAATATGTTATTGATTGAAGTTTGGATATGTCTGTCTAGTTATTCATTTATGATAAAAAAGAAAATGTAATTATTATATAAATATATGAAGATCTTAAATAGAAAGAATTCTAAAGATTAGAAGAATAGGTTAAATATTATAACTCTAATGATCAATTTCTGAAAGATTTCTTAAAAATAAAACATAAGTCCTCTTCTTTTTAAGATATTAGAGTCTAATTAGAACAGAAATAAAGTTATAAAAGATGTATAGTATCAAAATAAGAAAGTAGAAATAATGATAATGATTATTGGACTTAATTGACTGTTTAAATAATTATTATTAAATTCAAAATGGATAATTACAAAAAATATCTCTTTGATGAGAAGTTTCAAGAACCACAACCTCGTAATACATACTCATTCTAGGCTCAAGAGAGTCAAGAAGATTAACCAAATGAATCAAACTTTGATGATGAATACAAAAAAGATTTTCTTCAAAATCAAATTAAAAACATTAGAGAGAAATTAATTATGATGGGTTTTCCTAGTTTAGGTGATTTGTATAGCAATTCAAATTCTGAAGTTGATCTTACTGTCAAAGTGTAAAAATAATATACAATATGAAAAATAGATTGGTTGCTGTAATTAAATAAAGAAGAGAGGATATGGATTTCAAGAATACTTATCATGAAAAAATTAATAAAATAGAAGCAGAAAAATAACAACTATCTTAAAATTTTGAAAGAGTATCAAATAATAGAAAAATACTTGAATAAGAAAATACAACTTTATAAGCCAAGATTAAGAGTATTGAAAAGGTTCAGAAAGAATAAATGTATTTAGTTTAGATATATATTAGTAATAAATTGATGTTGGAAAGAGAGGATCTATAAAAATAGCTATCAAAATTATAAAGTAGATCAACTTAGTTTGAACATGAATTGAAGTAAAGGGATTTAGAAATTTAAAAACTTAAAGATCATATTAAAAAATAATAAGCTTAAAAAACTTATAAAAATAGTTTAGAAATTACTTAAACTATAGAATAAGGAGGTCCAAGTATTTTTGCAGCAAATGGAGAATATGAATTTAGTTAATTAGTCATGAAAAAGTGGGAGGAAGTCAATAATAAATTATTAAGAGAAAATGAATAACTAAGGGAAAATTTAGTTAAAATTCATAATGAATTAGGAGAGATACTATAAATTAGAAGAGATGTGTATATTAAAAGAAGAAAAATAGATTTTGGAGATGAAAATATTCCTTAAGAATTGGATAACCCATAATAAAATATGCATTAATTCAAAAGCGATTTATATAAAGCTCCTTTAGAAACTAATGGTAAATAAGCTATTTAGATGCTGTAAGAGAATCTGTAGACATTTAAAGAACTTATGAAAAAGTTTGATTAATAATATGAACTTTAATTAAATGAAGATGAAATAGAAATTGAAGCTGAAGGAGGCAAAATTAAGGCTTGTAAAAATTTAACAGAATTATTCAAAAATTATAATTATATTTTTGAAGCCTAGGATAAAATGATAAGTTAAATTATTAATAAAAGCTAAAATTTAAAAAAAATAGATGAATTAAACTTTAATTTAAATAGATTCAATAGAGTATTAGATGATAAATAGATTGATGATGTTAAAAAATATTTATAAGATTAAAAGAAGTATCTAGATGAATCTAAAAATGAAATGGATATGATTAAAAAATAATTCTAACATTAATTAAAAAAAAGAGAAGAAGAAAAATAAATAATACAAGTATTCATATTTCATATCAATTATTAGATGAAAAGATAAATGCTTGAAGAAACCAATGATAAATTTAAGGAAAACATCAGAATGCTAGAAAATGCAAGTAGATAAGCATTACAATAACTTAATTAAGATAATAATTGATTCAATATTTCAGTATCACATTTTTATTATATTATTATTAATTCTCTCTTTTATTTTCTTTAGAAGATGTAAAAACCAATTTATTTTATAAATTAAGTCAGTAAATAAGAATACTATATATATTATTCACATTCATAAGCTTGTATAAATAATTTTAAAATTGCTAACTGAAACTCAATCCATTTTTAGATTTAATTAATATTGTCAAAAGAAATATTACCTAAATTTAATATAATATTATACCAAAAAAAAAAATTTAAGTATTACTATCTCTTCTTTTCAAATCGATTTATTTCAATGGATGATGTATATTTGAACAATCAAAAATGGCATATATTTGTTTTGAATAATAAATTAAATAATTATGTAAAGTTTAGAAAATATTTTCTAAAATATTAAGATACAATAATCATAAATCTATGATATATTTCTAATTAAATTAAAAAAGATAACAAAACAATAGATATTTAAAATAGATATCGAAAGCTAGAAATAATTTATAATTTGATTATTTGAATACTCAAGTTTACAAATTATTATATTCTGAAACTTCTGTTTAAATCTGTATTGATGTTATTAATTTATAATTGTAATTGTAATTCAAAATAAAGATTCAAAATTAAGTAATTATTATTATTTCTATATTAATAATTTATTGGTTTCAAATATTTATTTTAAAAAATACAAAAGATTCATTTTTAATTTAATCAGTTTATTTTAACATCAACTTAAAATTAAAAATTAATTAGTTCTAATATAATATATATATTTTAATGTAAATCTTATATAATATAAATTTAGTAACATATTTATATCACTTAATTTATTTTTAGCTATAGAATAATTTAATTTATATTTAAAGTGTTTTTATATAGTCAAACAATTTTATGAAATCTAACTGAGACAGAAACCCAAACAGCATAAATATCTTCTGGATAGATTTCCATTTTCACTCGTACAGCATGATATGTTTGATCTCCTCTTGCAGTGAGAACTTCCCCACCAACAGGAGATGTTTTGATATCCTCTAGCATCTTTTAAATATTCATATGATTAAAACAAATTGGAAAACTCATAAATGTATGACCTTCTGGTATATAACTTCTAATAGCAGATTGAAATTCAAATTATGCAAATTACAATCCTATATTATATATTTATAATATATACCTGTAATCTTTTCAGTTTCATAATTTGCTAAAGCTATTTACATAATACTTCCAAGTTTTTCATCATATCTGGTGGCCAAATTAATAACTAAATATTAAATAAATTAATACTTTTTCTATAACTTCCTATGGCTTCTCTAAGTTATATTTCTAATTTAGGTTCCAATTCATCTGCATATATAGTTTATCTTAATAGAGTAATTTGAAAATTTTATGGTTTTAATAAAGTAATTTCATTTGGATCAACTGCCTTCCATTTAGTATAATCTTCAATATTTAGATCAGTTTTTAATACAGAATCATTTTCTTAGATATTTGCATAAAAATATTTATGATTAAAAATACAACCAATTCTTTTATATAATTAAGCAACCTAAATTATATAATAAATTAAAAAATACTTTAGGATCATTAAGTTCAAACTTATGCCCAGTTAAAGGTTCCCAAAAGTTATAAGCATATTCTGCTTATTTTTAATTTGGTTTTTTAGGTTTCTATAATCTTGTCATAACCCATCCATGAGGTCTATCAGCAGTTGATCCAAATACAACAAATGAATCTAAATTAAATCCTAGAAAGAAAGAACATAATAGTAAACAATGATCTTCAAAGTCTCCACCTTTCAATGCTAAAAATGTTGGAAACCTATGCCAAACTTCTAATCTATCTCCTGATGGTCCTCTATCTGAAGTTTTCATGGGTATTAAACTTACAAATCTTGCAGCATGATTTGGACTCATGATCCCTCTTACACTTTATAATTCTCTTATAAATGTACATGATGGTCTCCAAATTCCATCTTAAGATTCTGAATATAATTTAATTGGTCGAACAGATAATTTAAGTTCTTTAAAATCATTCCACCAAGCATTGCCATAAGTATGAAATCTATCAGATATTTGATTGTTAACAGATTTCTCTTTTGATAGCTATGAAACCACTATATTTTCTGGTAGTAATACTAAACCAGTTTTTGGTAATAATTCCAAATGAATTTAGAGTATACCAACATGATTTTTTCTTTCATTTTACATTTTTGTATTATAAGTAGTTGGAAGTTCTATATTTAATGAAATATTTCCATAGCATAATAAAAATCTCCATTCAATTAATTTTTGTGAAAACAACTTTCTTTATCCATTTTAAATTTAAATTACACATAATTCAATTGGATGATCTAATTTACTTAAAGTCAACAAATCTACATTTGCCTTTTGAGCTTCAGTTCTCAAATCAAATAAAAATAATTCATTAAACTCAGGTTCTACTGAGGCATCAACTATAGCAGATGCAAATCTCTAACCACAAAAACTTAAATATAACTACAATTTTGAATTTTCAGGTTCTATAAAATCCAAGAAAGCTTTTCCTTTAAAAATACGTAAACTAACTGACCTATAATTTATACGATCTGGGTCTACAAATGTAAGCTTAATATTCTCATTTGATCATACTTGTTTATTTTATTTATTATATTCATCTATTTCATCTAAATGTTTGATATCCAATATTAGATTGTCAATAAGATTTGTTTCTCTAAGTAATTTAGTCAATTTTTCATTATCCAAATCATCTATTTGAATTTTTTCACTTTCAATTTTTTTCTTTAACTTATCAAACACTTCACCTTTATCAAAATAATTGTTGATTAGTTATCGAATTTTAGTTATTTGTTCTTTAGAATACATATTTAAATAAATTAATTAATGGACATATAAGACGCTTCTAGAGTTGTTTACATTTGTGGAAGTAAGTTACTTATATTAAATTTAGAGTGTGGAAAGGATGTTTAACTTGAAGCCAAAGACATTGTTAGATGTCAATGTGGCTACAGAATTCTATATAAGAAAAGAAAGGCAGATCCAAAGAATCCACCTTAATATGAAGCAATCTGAATTATTAACATTTATCTATGCCAATATACACTTCTAAACAACTCAAACTTAATTACTTATACTCTCTAAATCAATTTGTATGCTACTTTAATTTAGTTAAATAAGCTTCTAATATTTAAACATTAAATAAAGGATTATAGTAAAATTACATTCTAATTAAATGCAGTCTAAGTATCTTTAATGAATAAATAATACTCTTTATAAATATTCTGTGTAAAGAGAAATGATAATAAATATCTTTGTTTACGTATTAATGCAACAAGCAATTTAAGCATTTCTCCTTATTCCTAAGGATTCTGATTTCACAATCAAAAACATACCTTTTGGTGTTGCATCTAAACCAAATGGCAATCCCTTTCCAGCTACCATCATAGGTATTTCAAATTGATCATTGAAATTAGGTGATTCTGTGATCAATTTAGCAAAACTTGAAGAATTGGGATATTTTAATGGACCTCTATTTTCTACTTTAGGATCTAAAGTCTTTGATAGCGGAAACCTTAATAAATTTGTTTCCCTTTCAAGACCATATTGGAAAGAAGTCAGATATTAAATCCAATCTTTGTTTTAATGTGGAAGTTAATTAGAGAATAATTAAGAAGCTTTGGCTTAGATTATTACACCTGTTCAAGATAGTAAATAATTTATATTATATGTAGCCTAAAACCATTTACCAATCACAATTGGTGAATACACTGATTTCTATTCCTCAAAGAATCATGCTTTCAATATGGGATCTATAATAAGGGGTCCTGATAATGCAATGCAACCAAATTGGTACTATTTACCTGTAGGATATCATGGAAGAAGATCATCAATTGTTATAGATGGTACAGATATTAGAAGACCTTGGGGATAGGTAAAGGCTCCAACAGCTGAGAAACCCTCATTCACAAAATGCAAGAGATTAGATTATGAATTAGAAATTGGAGCTGTAATTGGTGGAACACCTAATAATTTGGGAGAACCAATTAAAGTAAATCAAGCAGAAGATAGAGTCTTTGGATTTGTAATTCTAAATGATTGGTCAGCCAGAGATGTTTAAGTGTGGGAGTATGTACCTCTAGGTCCATTTGGAGCTAAAAATTTTGCTTCTACAATTTCACCTTGGATTGTGTCTATTGAAGCATTAGAACCATTCCGTATTTAATTACCAGAACAAGATCCTGAACCATTTGTTTATTTGAAAGAGAAAAAGTAAAATATAAATTAAATAATAAGTCATACTTCTTTTGATATTAGATTGGAAGTATTAATTGGAACAGAAAAGAGTCCAGAATTAGAACATTTTACTACAAGCAATTTTAAATATATGTATTGGAGTGTGAATTAATAAATTGCTCATCATTCTATTACTGGATGTAACATTTAACCAGGAGATCTATTTGGATCAGGAACAATCTCAGGAACAACTAAGGATGGTAGAGGATGTTTAATGGAATATACATGGAATGGAAAAGAGCCTTTGGTATTGAAATCAGGAGAACAAAGATTATTTTTAGAAGATGGAGACGTACTTGAAATGAGGGGATATGCAGGAGAAGGAGAGTAAGAATAATTATTTATTTGTTTAGAAATCGTGTTGGGTTTGGTAGATGCAAAGGAAAGATTTTACCTGCTTTAGATGAGGCTTATTTCTAATCATGAAAGTTAATTATTATCAATATTAAAATTTATATTAAAAATGGGAAAAAAGACAACATTACTCTTTAAATTAGTGAGTTCAGCAGGTACAGGGTTTTATTACTATGGAGAGAAGAGCACAAAGTAATTGGAACATTATTAAAATAAGGAAAGTAGGGTCTAAATTGATTTTAAGAAAGTATGATCCATTAGTCAATCAATATGTTATCTTTACAGAGGCTAAATTAGCATCAGGAAAGAAAAAGTGATTTGATAAGAGATGTGCAATATATAAATTTAAACTTATTTAAGAAAATGTAATTAATTTTTTATTTCATCATTTTCTATTTTATTACTTTCCATAATTCATTCATACATACAAATATTTTTTATTAATTTTACCTACTATATGTGTTTAATTTTATAATTATAAGATATCATAAAATAATTAAAAATCCTCCACAATTAATTTAAATCTATTAAAAGGTAAGGAAACTCAAATAATAAGGCCGAATTTATTAATTTGATATGGATTATTTATACTATAATGTTTATAAGGATCTAGATATATGTTAAATCAGCATTAAAACAAAGATATGCTAAAATATTTATAACATTTCATTAATCAAATTCAATAAGATAAATTATGTTTCTAAGTTCTTCTTAGAATATTCTTAATACTGTTATAAATATTCTAAGAATTAGGATAAGATTATTTTAATCAATAATTATATAATATACCTTCATGAGATCAAGTAACACTAGAAAACACAGAAATATCTTGTAATCATAAATAAATGATGTCTAACCATACTAATTTGAAGAAGAAACTTAGCCATTATAAGAAAATGCGAATTCAAACTAAAATTTCTTTGATTATTCTAAGAGGTATTGTACATCTTGATTTAGAATTGAAACGATTGATAAATTCTTGTAAGAAATATAGAGCCTTAAACAAATGTCTTTCTATAAAAACTGAATAAATTAATGAGCTTTTATGTTTATATTTTTTAGAGTTGAAATATTTTTGAGAATTACAATAAAATCTATAAATTAAATAAGAAAACAAATAATTTTAGAGAATTCATATGCAATAAAATCATTTTCAAAGATAAAAATTTATATAAATAATTTAAAATTTACTTAAAATCTGTTTATATAAGTTTTAATCAATATACTATGTTTAATAAAATTCAATATTTTTTTTGTGTAGCACTTTATGGTCTTGCCATTCTACCTGAACTAGAAGAAGGATCATCTTAAAATTAGAAATGCCTTAATTACTTGCTTTATTCTAATTAAGCATTGGATATTTAAATCCAACAGTAGTTCCAACATATTTCTAATTATCTGAAGTGTAATTCACTTAATTTGGATCTAAAATTAAGAATATAATTTACTTAATTCATAAACTTCAGAATTTTCATAAAGTAAATCTTTTGGTCTTAAATCTCCCCTAACTAATTTAGCTTAATTCAAATCTTAACTTTTCTATGATAAATTTATAATAATTACATCTACAGTTTTTGTTAATTTAGTTTTCCCTGTGCATACTAAACATCTTTAAGTAACAACTCTATGATTTCCTGTTAATATACTCACAGTTTCTTATTGATTAACACTAAATATATATATGAAATATACTAAAGTAATGTTTGTAAATAGTTTGAGAATTCTTCTAATTCTTTCATTCCTTTAGCTAAGATGCCATAATTTTCAGCCATAGTTTTGTATTTTTCTTCTAAAGCAGTAAATTTAGCTTTGGTATCTTCTTCATTAGCTTTTCTAAAGAATATATAATTTAATAAATACTCTGCCAATTATCTTTATAGATCAGTATTATCATTTGATGTCATTTATTTCATATACTTTCTCATTTTCTTATCAAGATCTTGTAACCCTTCCATCTTTTTCTTTAAATCAGCAATATCATTTAAAAGATTCCTTATGAACATCTCAAAAGACATATTTTCTCCACAAGCTTAACCAACAACTTATAAAATTCTAGCTCTTAATAAACTCATAGGTTATGATATCTCTTTATCAATAATAGAAATAATATCTTCTTTAGATAATTATTATTATTAAGGAGCTTATTTCAATAGATTTAATTATTATAAGAATCTTTATTCATTTACATCTATTTTTCTTTTCAATTCATTTTCTATTAATCTTAATTTATTTTCTTAATCTGTATAATCACTTTTTAATCTTTTAATATCAGCTTCTAATGAACAAACTTTATGAGGATCAATATCACTTTTTCCTCCTTTAGTTTATCCACTAAAGTTTTCAGTCTTAATTTTTAATTCTTCTATATCCTTTCTATTTTATTCTCCTTTATATTAACAATCACTAATCTTATCATCCATTAATTTAATTTATGGTATCAATTTTTCTAATTATAAAATATTATCCATTTTTCTAGATAATTCTCCAACTTTATTTTATAAATCAACTGTTCTATCACTTAATATTTGTTTAGTTTAATCAAATTTTTCAAGAGGTGTATATTTCTATTAGATTGTATCATTCATTTCTTTCAATTATATTCTTAATGTTTTAAAATTATCTTAATTTCTTTCATCATTATATTAAAATTTTGCTTTTAATTCAGCCATTTCATTTTAAATTCCCTTGATTCCTTCATCTTTTTATTTTGCAATGTCTCTCATTACTCTATCATAAACACCTTAACAAGATGTTTCAACAAACTTATCATTTATTCTTTACTATAATAATTTTTCACAATCACTTATTTTCCACAATGTTTTTTTCTCTAACTCATTAATACTTTATTGTAACTGATTTTAATTTTAAGTTGCTTATCTCTCCTAATCCTAAAATCGTTTAGTAAGTTTCTTATTTAAATCATCAATTTGATCTGATAATTTAGTTTTCTGTTCTTTCAAACCTTTATCTAAATCATCTTTCAATGCTCTTTTCATAAGATCACCCTCCAATTTATTAAGTTTAGCTTCCCAATCTTTACTTCTCTTGAATAGATAAGCCATTCCTTAACTGAATACTCGTTCTTTGTTTATTACCATACATATTGAATTCTCTATTTAATCTGATCCATTTTCAGCCAATGGTTTCTCCAACTAAAAAGAAACCTACTATTCGAATTCAGGATCACGTAAAGACATAGATCTAGCTGTTCTCTATAAATAGGATTCATACTATATATAAATAAATTTAATCATACATCTTGCAATTTTAGTACTTGATTCAATTAGATTTATAAGTTGTTTAGATATGATGAATGTCCATTAACTGTGTTAGTAACTTTCTCCAAATAACTTTTAAGTTATTCAGCTCTCAAGTCAACTTGAAAAAGAGTCTCTTCTAATAAAAGAGTTGCTGCTTGTTATGCTTTCATTAATTTACAAAGTTTATAAATTATTAACTTATATTTTATTAACTTATTTAGAATATTTTCCAATCTGTTATACAAAATTAATTAATAGTGATTTGATCCTATACATTTGCTTGATTTTTTTAAATGATTAAGTATATAAACTATGTAATGATAATAATTTTTATTATTTGGAGTTAATTGGAATTTAACTTCACATAATCAAAATTACATTTAGATTTAAATGGATGAAATTCTTATAACGATCAATTAATAGACTGTTAATTATTTATATTTGAAATTAAAGTACAGTGTGAAAAATTCAAATATACCATCTGATCAATTGGTCAGTCTTCTAATATAAAAAATATTGTTATGATGAATAAAGCCATTTGAATATTCTTAATATCCTTAATATTGTTTCTTATTTGGTTATTGATTTTTTAAATAGATAAGAATTTTGAATATATTTTAATAAGAAGTTTTGATATGAAATTATTATTTTTAGATTGAATTAAATAATCAAATATTATCCAGAGATTTATGACTCTTCATATTTTTGAGTTGTTTTTACTAGATATTTTATAGTTACATTATTTTTGAAATATAAAAATTAAAAAATATCAAAGTTAATGAATTTATTATTTATCTAAATTATAGTTTATTTAATAAAATAGTAGAAACTTGATTATGAGTTTTTTTCATTTCATTTTCATTTTCATTTAAATGGCAAAATTATAAAAGACTTTATATTTGATAAATAAATTATTTGATAAACAGAATATATATTTACAAAAACCATAAACTACATTAAAATTATAAATATAACAATAATATAATATCATTTGAAAACTTAGTCAGCTGAAACACACATCACTGGTTTTCTCCTATTCATAAATTAATAAAACCCAACCTAAGTTAGATTATATTATTTAATTAGATCTCCTGGATATTAGACATACTAAATAAATCTTCTTAATATTTTTAGATTTTATAAAAAATTTTTCTATTTGACAACTGAAAAATTATCTTTTCTGAAGTAAAACTTATATGCTTTAGGGCTTTCAAAATCTTAATCATCTATATACTATTTAGTTGATAATCTTTATATAATTAACATCATATCACTCAGATATTTTTCAAACTACTTATTATTAAATTAACTTATATTCTTGCATCTTTATTCCAAAATTTACAAGGTCATGCTAATTTACCTTTATTCCATCTATTTTTCATAGAGTACATAAGTTTAAATTAAAAAGTAAGGATAAACTTTATTTATCGATATCAATTTATTAACAAGATTTTGGAATCTCTTTTTAATTGATTTTTGTAATAAAACAGAAAAGTATCTTTCTCTTTCAATTTGAGGAGCTTTATTATTAATATGTTAAAATTATGTCATTGCTTTAATATTTTTTTTTTATTGCTGTTCTTCTTCTATATTAAACATATTGTCAAATTTATATAATTGAAATAATACTGGTTCTTCCTTTTATATCAATAAAGCAGATTACTCAAGTTTTTTTTTATCTTAAATTAATGTTGTATTCTTTTTTTTGGTTCTGTCAAATAGTTTTCTACATTATTATTAAGGATATAAATGTTTTTTAATAATAAATTCTTTATCTGGTACAAATTTGATTAATGGACAATCAATTAATTTATGAGATTCTTTTCCACATGAAAAACAAGAAACTGTAAAATATTAATCATCTTAATAAAAAATCATTTTATCTCTTATAGCAAAAAATAATTCTTGATCATCTGGATGATCTTATAAAATTTTGAGAAAACTTTTTCTCTTTAAAATCATTGCTTTAGTAAATCCAAGACTTTTATAAGTCTCTTATGATTCAGTACCCATTATAAAATTTTTAATACCAATAGAGGCTCCTTTATTAACAATTCCTAAATTTATCTTTCTACCTTATTATAGACAAATTTAGATTGAACCATCCTCTATATAATATAACAATATATCATTTGCAGACTTTAAATCTTATTCAGGTGTTAGAAGGACTTCCTCTACCTCCTTAATTAATTACCTTTTGAATTGTTAGCTAAAAGGTATTTTAAATAATGTGCATTGATCGAATATTTTCTAATGAGCTTCACTAATTAATTATTATCTAAGAAATTCAGATAAAGAATCAATTATCTCTTTTTCTTCTTCAGATTATGATACAACTTAATTTTCCCAATAATATGTTAAGTATTATCTTATTTACATTTACAAACCTGAAGACATAAAACTTTTATTCATATAAGAATTGATTATCCTTAATTTTCTTTTTCTTTCTTCTGAGAATGCTGACATCTCTGTAATTATATTTCCTACTGTATTAACACTAAAGGGAAGTTAAATACTTGAAATCATTATTAGTATAATAGTAACAATCTTTTCTAAATTGGATTATGGTGTTACATCTCCATAACCAACAGTAAATATAGTTACAGCTGTATAATAAAATGACTAAAGATATTGAGTATTCCATGTCTATTCTAACATATTAGTTGTAATTAACCAACTCTTTCCTTCATAATTTTCTATACTATATCTTCCAATCTAAGTTATAATTTAAAAATTACCCAAAACCAAAAACAAGAAAATAAATGTATCACATAAAATAAAAAGGCTATCAATTTAAATAAAGCAAACACTGAGGATGTTTTTTTTGAAATATTAAGTCCTTCTTCATAATTTGTTGCATAATTTATTATAGTTTTATGATGAACTAAAAATATTAACAAGCCTATATTAATTAAATTATTATTTATGTCGAGTGAAACATGTGTATATCTATCTACTATGAAATAAATTAACAACTAAAATACTGATAACCATTATAAACCATAAGTATTATATAAACTGTGTTTCACAATTTTATTTCTTGATGTAACTGCTTCACCATTTAAGAAATACACAGTATTTAAGCTTAATAACATATCAAATATTAAAATAAGCAGAAACAATATTGATATGTATTTAAAGTCATGGAATATAAATTATTAACTAACCCAAGCTAAATCTATTGGGATAATATATAAGAAATATAATCTAGCAGCAACAGCCACTATATCCCATATAACTTTAATATATTAACCAGGATGTATTAAAGGTATCTTCTTAAGCTTATTCATTAATAATTCTTATAGACTTTATATAAATCTTAATTGTTCTTGATTTAAGTGTGAAAATGCAAAAACTTTCTTTTTTAAAAAAAATTCATCTGATGACCCTTAATCTCCAATTAAAGATAAATGAAAGTCTTTTACTTTTTTCACCTTTTATACTTAATCCACCATATTGTCAACAAATTTCCTTACAAAATCATTCTTTTTTTCTTCATTTAGCTGTTTTTTATCATGTGTAGGGAATAGGTAATAGTCAGCTTAAAATGGAGATGATTTTGGGAAAATTGATCTACAACTTTTTACTTTGGAGCTTAACAAATTCGATTCATTCTACTCAGAGAATAACTTTGCTTCCAATCCATTATTTTTTTGTTTCATATTGAATTTAATATTTTATAATAATCTTAACTTTCTGAAGTTAAAATTTGATATAGTTTTAATTTGAGATCAACCCAAAAAGAAAAAGGTTGAAATTTATTTTTAATTTAAAAAATTTTATTTGCTAAAACATACTTTTTCTATTTTACTTTATATTTTATAAAACTAAATAATGACTATTATTAGGTTATTTTTATTTAATAAATATTTTTAAATAAACACTATACTATACCGATAAAATCATCAAATTGATTGAAAAATTATTTAAATTCATTTAAAAAACATATAATTATACAGACAAGAAATTAAACTATATAACTTTTTAACATAATAGAAATAAATCAATTTTTCAATTTCTCTTTTTCATCCATTGTTAACATCTTAACTTTAAATTAATTAATCAATAAATTTAAATTCTATTCAACAAAAACATGTAAAAGTAATGAAATAACATATATAATTAAAGTATGTACTAATTATTATTATTATAAAAATTACAAATAAAATTGAAGACTAATCCAAATTGAATAAAATTTTGATTTATCATTATTTAATATAGAAAATAATGACTTAAATAAATACTAAATAGAAGTCTTGAAAAGATCTAAAATATTTGTTCAATTATTTTATGGGACTTTACTTCTAAAATTCCTGAAAATATAATGCCTAAACATAAAATTGGTCTAGATAAACATTAATAAATATTTTAAATTAAATCTGCTACAAATAATTAGTATTCTTTTATGAGAATCCAACCTAAAAATGAAAAACAAAATGCAAAAAGTGAAATTATTTTATAATTTACATTTTCAAAACAATTTCTTTTATATTTTATGCCAGTAAGTAATCCTATTAAATATGATGACATTTTATGTTAAGGTTTTTGATAAAAATTATAATAAAAGTGTTTATCTGTCATAGCATAAAATGAAATCTTGTAATTATTTTCAATACAGATAATCATACTATATAGCAATATAGTAATAATTAAAATAATGATGTAATTTGATAAATCTTTAATACTATTTTAATTGGAAATAACTTTTGATTTCAAAAAAATGGATCTCTAAATAATTTTATAAATAAACTTACAATCATATGTATAGTTGGAATAGATATACCCAAGAATATTAATGTTTAGATTTCTACAGCTATGTACCAACTCCACTCAAAACAACCAAATTTATTAAAAATATTATGTGTCAAAGTACTAATATGCAAAATATTATCCATACAAGTTTCAGTATATCCAATATTAGTGAATAATTTCGGTAATATGATGTAAATAATCAGAAGAATCCAATATAAGGGATATATTCTTATTATTCTATCTATAATCATCAAAATAGATTGAATAGGAGATAACAAAAAATTTGGATTATTTATTAGTTTCCTTCCAAGTATAAATCCTGAAATAAGGAAGAATATATCAACAGCATATAAGGAATTTATCATGATTATCATAAAATTGCTATTGATAATACTTTGTCGATCATTTTATCCAATAAGAATTCCATAATGACTCATTGAAATAGATAACATGGATAAGATTTTGAGGAAATTAAGAGAGAACATCTAATTAGGTCTATATTGAATAAGACTTGTAATATTAGTTTATATCATATTATTAAATTAATTGTTTTGGATTTTTAATAATGGTTAGATGAGAAGTTGATAAATGATTTTTTAATAATTCAATTCTTCTTAGTAATTAATAGTGTTTGTAAAAGAACGTGTTTATTAAATAATTTAATGATTAAGAATTACGGAGACAGATATCATCTTATTGACAAAAAGGCTTTGGAAGATAAGAAACTAGATAAAGACTAACTCGTAGAATTTGTAAAAACATCAGGAATAAGTGAAATAGGAAAAAATTACAATATTGTGTCAATAATAGGTAGTCAAAGTACAGGAAAAAGTACATTGCTTAACTAGCTTTTTGGAACAAAATTTGATGTCTAGAATAGGTAATAAAGCGTAGGTTAAACAACTGTTGGTATTTGGATCTCTAAAGATGTCTAAAATAATGTTGTAGTATTAGATGTGGAAGGATCAGATTCTGTAGAGAGAAAATCAGGAGAGAATGTAAATGATTATAAATAATAATTAGATGGTTGAAAATTAAACAGCATTAATGGCATTAGCTATGTCACATTGTTTTATTATCAATGTATTTCTTAATGCTTTAGGTTAACATACAAGTTGTTAATTATCAATCATAAAAATCATTATGCAATAGAATTTAAAACTATTTTAATAAGATTCTGTTAAACATATTATATTTGTTGTAAGAGATTGGGATGAAGATGCTAATTATGAAGAGGCTTCTCGTAGATTGAATGGTTATTTATTGAATATATGGAATGAGATTCCTAAAGTAAGATTTCTATTAACAATAATAGCCTGATCAATATAAAGAGACAGATTTCCATGAATTATTTAGTGTATAAGTAGTAACATTAGTATACTATAAAATGAAAAAAGAATTTGCTGATTAAACAAATGAACTTCATTCAAAATTGGCCAATTAATAAGATCCAAATTTTATTTTTAAAGATTATGATTATGAGAAGAATGTAAGATGGTCAGATATGCCATAATATTTATCAAATATTTGGGAGGTCATTTCAAATAATAAAGATTTAAATTTACCAAATGAGAAAATATTGATTTCAAATATGAGATGTTAATAAATAAAATTAGAAGCATTAGAAGGTGTAAAATAATTAAATGAAGTATAATAATAATAATTTAAAATATAGGATTTAAATAATAGAGTAAGAACTAAATTTGTAGATAATTTTGCTAATGAATGTTAAACTATTATGAATATAGCTACAAAAATATATGACAAAGATGCTAGAGATTATCATATTGAAGTATACAAAGAAAAAGAAAAAGAATTAAAAGATGAATTAATTAATAGATTCTATACTTATTTCTAAAAATAGATTGAATAACTTAAACAATATTATATGAATATGTTATCAGAGAATCTTGAGACATTAAAAAGAGAAAGTATATATTTTAATGATTGAGATTAGGTATCTATAATTTACCTGATAAGTTAAATGAATTGGATATGTTAAAATTACAATTTGAAGAATAATTATCAAAATCTGTAATAGAAAAAGGATTGTGGTAAGAAGAAGATCATATTAAATATTTTAAATAATAATTTGATAATCATTTAAAAGCATTTGTTGAAGCTTAATTAGCAACTTTTAAATAATAATTAGATAATATAATTAAATCAGAATGTGATAAAATAGTAAGTTCATAAGTCCTTAATATTTCACCCAAATTTTGGTCGCAAATTGAAACTGATTATTACAGTATGATCTTTGATAAATATTAAAAATATGAAGTATTGTTAATAGGATTGAGAGTTTAATAAAAATAGATTGAAGATTATTTAAATAAATTTGAAGAAGATTGTTTTCATAATCTTAAATAAGTAATTGCTGTTGCAAGTGGTAGATTTAAAGATTAATTATTCTAATAATTTAAAGCTTAGTTTGTTAGAGCATCTGATGGACAACCAAGAAATTGGTAAAAATTAACAGAAGAGGAAATCTTCCATTTCTATACAGATGCTAGAGATAAAGTATTCTCATTGTTGGATTTATTGAGAATTAGAAAAATTAAATTCATTAAATAATCAGCTAATATTAAATAAAAAGCAAAAACTCTTATTATTACTTCAACTTAAAAAGTTTAATATGAAATGTCTTCAGATGCTGATTCTGATGATGTTGTTCTTAATGATGTTTTTTATACATAAGTGAAAATGTAATTAGCAGAAGATATTGATGTCTAATATTAAGATGCAATTCAAAAACATGTAAAATTAAATATGAACTAATTTCTTAGAAACAAGATTTCCTATAAAATATTCCAAAGCCATTTTGGTTCTTATTGTTATTCTTTATGTATGATGATGTCTTAAGATGGATGGGAAATCCATTATTATTGTATCCAATTTTGATAATCTTATGTTTTATAGGATTTTGTATTGCTATAGGTAAAATATTGATTATAACTATTATTAGGTCTCCATAGTTTACCTAAATTAGCATTTTAATGGGTCTTTAAAACCTTGAATCAAGCTGTTATTCCCCTAATATTTGGAGGTATTTCAAAATTAAAAGGAAGTTGAATGATTATTTTAATAATCTATAATAAATATATAAAATGTTGACTAAAAGTGCAAAAGGTGACTAATTGCATTAAACTATTACTACAGTATCAATAAAATAATAAAACCTAGATAAATTATAAATCAATAATAACATCAGAGAAAAGATCAGGTGAAATTCCATAATATATGAATGGAAAATGTAAAATCAAACTTCGTAAAGAAAAACTTTATTTGCCATATTTACATATAAGAGAACCCTCTCTTCCAACTTTGAAATCACCTGTTAATAAACAACAATAACAACTAAACAGCATGAGTTGGATTTCCTTAATTTAAGTCTAAAATAAGCCTAGAGATAGATCAATTTCTATTGCCAATGAAACATATTTTCAGAGAACAAGATAAGTTAGTTTTTTAGAGAATCTATTAAAACAACTAAATAAAAATAAAAAATAATCTTGAATTTTTGATAAATACATATGACTTTGTAAAATAGTGTTTCTGTTAAATGAATATCAATTGTATATCCAATCTAAATATTTTAATGTTCTCTTGGTAATAGAAACTATTTTATTGATATTTTACTATTTACTAAACAAATAAGTAATTATTAATAAAAATAAATTGATATATCTATAAATAAACATTATCACATATAGTCCATCATTTTTTAGGAGAAGGAGAACTAATATTATCATTATCCTCCTATTATAGTTTTTCTAGAAATCTTTCAAAATCCTTCATTCTAATTTTAACAGTTGATATACTAGATGTTGATCTTTGAGTTAAGGATCTATGAGATAAAAGCTAATTAATTTTAATTGAATTCATACTGATAATAAACTACTATTTCTTTTTATTGATTTCTTATTTTCTGCTCTAAACAAATTACGAAATGTATCAAAATCCAAACTTTCATTTGAAACTTCTAATTATTCTAACAATTCATCAATATCAAAATTCAAATCAAATTCAACTGATAATATTTCAATTATTTTATTTTTATGTACATAACCACTTGCATCAGGTTCACCTCCTAAAGCTACAAATGCATCAACTACAATAATTTTATATAATCAATTACTAAATTCACTATATTATATTTATTCTTCATTTTCTTTAGCTTTACATTCTAAATCTTTACAAACTCTAGTAATATATAATAAAGTTTAAAAATCTAATTTTGTTGTGTTTCTATCCTCCATTTCCTTAAAAATCTTCTCTTTACAATTTTCATTTATTTCAAATCCAAATTCTTATCAAATACTTATCAAATACCTTTTAATAAATCCATCATATCATGATAACTTAAGAATCCAACTTTATTATAATCCATACGTTTGAACATTTTCATGAGCTAATCAATTTCATTCTTTTGTAAATCACAACTTGTTGTATATTTTAACAAAGAATTATAATCTATCTAAACGCTTTTGATATTGCTCTAATGGATTTTTTAAGATGCTTATTATTCTACAACCTATAAACTATTCACATTATTATCCATTTCAAAAAAACCAAAATTTATTTTATAAAAGCTTCAATCAAAAATGACATTGCTTAAATATTTGTTATAAATTATTTAATGCTCTATTGTTTATATAGGAATATATATATATTTATTATTGAATATAATAGAAATATATATCATAATATATAATATATATCATCTTATGAATAATCTATTAATCTATAATAATTTTATTATTAATTTTTAATTTTATTTTTTATTATTAATAGGTTCTGTATGCCAAAAGTAAATTAACTCAATGGAAATTCATAACATAGTAACAAAAACTCAATTAATAATTAAAATGTATAGTCCATAAACAATAAATTTACAAATTCTTATGAAATTGAATGTGAAAGAAAAGATTGTATGATGGTCAAATTAAATGGAATTCAGATCCAACATTAATTATTTCTACTAAAAAAAGATCTAGATAAATATAAAGCCTTATATGTAAATGAAAGAAAGAAAATAAGTGATACTTATAAGGAAGTTGAAGAAATAATGGATGCTCTTGCTAAAAAAGAAAAGGATATTAAAATTAAAGAGATGCAACTTCTTGAATTTGAGTAAACTTTATTAAAAAAGAATATGTAAAATGATGATAGAAATGAATCTTTAGAAATTTTAAATTAAAAATTAATTGATAAGCAATACTAATTAGAAGAAAAAGAAAATCAAATTAATCTAGAAGCTAAAAATCAATAGTAATTAATTGATGACTTAAATAATCTAAAAGCCAACTTGGAATCTTCAGTTAAATTTTTAGAATAAAAAGAATCATAGCTATTTGCTACTCTTCAATAGTTAAATTAACAAGAATAAGAAACATTATAAAGAGTTGATCATATCAATTAATTTATTTAAAATTCAGATCAACATTTTTCAATGATGGAATCAATTGAATAATTATTTAAATAGAAAACTTAAAATATTGAACATATTAAACAATCTGTTACTTAAAAATAAGAAGAACTATAAATGTATGAATAGTAATTACAGCTTAAGAGTGTATGTGCTTCTTTAAATGAAGCTACTTTTATGAAAAAGGTTGCCTAAACTGAAAGAATAGTTTTAAAGACACCTACTTAAGATACCAATAAAAAATGTCAAACAAAATCTAATAAATGTAGTACATTTTCAAACTAAAAAGTGTATACAATTTAATAGAATAAACTATTTTCAACTATAAGCAGTAGAGAAAATAGTCCAATTTCTAACAGAGATTCATTTAAAATAATTAAAAAGCCCTATTTCTAAAACTAGATTCCCATGCAAGAAATCAATAATTTCAACATTAAATATGACACTATTATATGAAATTGACTTATTAAATTTTATTATCCTTAATAATTCGTAACTTCTTCATTTGTAATTCAAATAATTTAGTAATTATTTGGGTATTGTTGTAAATTAATGTTTAATCTTAATTTTTCATATTACAATTACTAAATTGAAAATCTGATTTCAATTATATTTCTAAATTTATCAATTAAAATAAAGCATTCTTAAATACATAATTCTGTTTTATTTCTTAATTAAATTATTCAAGATTTATTCTTAATAATTTTGTATATTTTATCCTTTATATTCTTAATTAATAATAACTTATAGAACATAATACTCAATAAATTTAAGACCAAAATGATAAGAATATTATGATTAATTATTATAATTAATAATAAAATCTATTTCTGGATGGAAATCTACTTCCAGTTATTTAATATCTGATTTAAATTACTATTAATAGTAGTTATAATATAAAATTAAAATTAGCATTCTATCATAATCAAATAGTTGAATATTATTAACTATAAGATACTATTTGAAATCTTTTTAGTGTTAGGTAATTTTATAGACATTGCTTATGCTGGAAAGTAATTTCGATATTAATAATCAGAAAATTTCTAAATTCTTATTTCTAATAATTAAAAGTTTCATTCTTTTAATTAATTTTATAATACAATTTATATGATTATATAGGATTATAGATTATATAATAACTCAAATAAATTATTATTTGATTATATATTTAAAGTTATTGCTCTATGTAATTGCAATATTATAAATAAAGAAGAAATTGTTTACAATAATTTACTAACTACTTTTTATCCTTTTTGTTATTTGATTTAACAATTTAAGTGGCTATGATTATATTTATTTGTATTGAAGTTGTTTTAAAAGGCGTTTTTGGTGTATAGGAATGTTGAATATTTCTTAAAAAATTTAAAAGACAAAATTCTATAATTAATAAACTTGTGTTCTTTTTAAATGGGGATACAATTTAATATCTTTTTCTAATTAAGCTGTTTCTATAGTTTTTTTTAATTATTAATTTATAATAGGGAACGACAACTAAAAAACTTTAAATTCATTTGATTAATTTTATTATATTAAATAATATAATGATAAGTCGTGACACTGGGTTCTAGGATCTGGAGAGTGGAATTTAGAGTAATAATTTATCATCAGGATAATTGGTTGATTTGGATTAAAACAGTCCAATTAATGGATAATAATTAGATCCAACTTTAGAGTTTTCTTAATTATAATAACTTGAAGCTCTGAGAATGAAAAGAGATATTTTTGATAATAAGCATAAACAAGCATTAAATTTAGGAAATAAATCAGATATAAATGAAGAAGATTGTTTAATTAGTAATTTCAGGTAAGAAATGTCTATAAAATAGTGGAAAAAGAAGTGAACCATAAGGATCAATTAGTTCTATAAGTTGTAATTTAAAGAAGCAAAAGCCTGTAACTTCTAAACCTCCAAAGCAAAGGTCAAATAAAACAATTTAGTTCTAATAAAAATTAGAGTAAGATGATTTTGTAATTGGATCACCAAAAAATCAAAGTGGTACTAATATTTTAGGAATAAAATCTGATGCTAAGATAGTAAAATATTAAACATTTGTTTAATAATTGGAAGAAGAGTAAGAGTAAAATGAGAAATAAAAAAGAGCATAAATGCATCATGATACATTGAAACAATAATCATTAGTTTTGAGAGGGAAGAGTCGAGAAATGAAAACAGGGTATTGACATTAAGTAATTAGAAAGATTAAATGAAGTTTGGTCATAGAAAGCGTTAATTATAATAAGATTAGTATCTCGTTTCATATAACAATTAAAGACCAAAACAGAAAGAATAAAATTTAGATTAATAACTTAAAGAATATTTGAAGTAATTTGCGATAATAGTGCAAATTTTGAATATATGTTAATAAATAGATTAATCAAGTAGAAACCAAGTTTAGGATTAGTAATATTCCATCATTTTTCAAGTCGAGCTCTAACAATATTAAATACAATAGAATATATTAATGATTTTCTGAGTAAATATATTAAAGTCATAAAACCTGATAGTTTATTTAAGATAGTTTGGGATATTATACTATTATTATTTATAGTGGTTAATATATTTTATATTCCAATTTATATTAGTTTTGATGTTAGATCATCTGGTTTATTTGAATGGATATTTGATTTATTACCCTCATGGGTATTTATTGCAGAGATTTTATTAAATTTTAATACAGCATATTATGATAAGGGATTAATGCATGAGGACAGAAAATAAATAATGAAACATTATGTAAAAGGTAATTTTTTTTGGGATATAATTGTTGTAATCCCATTTTTGATATCTTATTTGGATATACCATTTGTTAGATATACTTTATTATTAAGACTTACAAGATTATCACCATTAATGACAAGTATTGAAGAAGTACTCAATTTAGAAGTATATAATTAATCAATTAAATAATAGGATAGTCTTTAAATTGTTCTAGATTTATTAAAATTGATCTTTTTTCTATTATTAACTGGACATTTTTGTGGATGTGCTTGGCATTGGGTTGCAATAATTGAATATTAAGATTATGGATAAGAATTAACTTGGCTTACTCGTTATGAACCTGATGCCATGAATTATGAATGGTTTGATAGATATATTATTTCTTTATATTGGAGTGTTATAACTACTGTTACTGTAGGTTATGGTGATATTGTACCAGTTACTACAGTAGAGAGAGTGTTTGTTATTGTAGTAACTTTGTTAATTTGTGGAGTCTTTGGTTATTGCTTATCTAATATTGGAAATATATTTAAATAAATAACAGATAAGAAAGCTGTCTATAAATAAAGAATTAGAGAAATAAATTAACATATTAGAAAGAGAGGGCTAAGTTATAATCTCCAATTAAAAGTAGATATATTTATATAAATTCTTAGGTTAAAAAGTATTTTGAATACTTTCTAAAAGTTAAGTAGGAAGAAGATCAACATGCAGAACAATTTATAGAACAATTAACTAAACATTTAAGAGAAGAAGTCTTAACTGATATATATAGTAAAACACTCAAACAATCCAGATTTTTAAGAGAAAATTTTAGTGAAGAAATTCTTAATCGATTATGTTAGATAGTAAAAGAAACCAAATTGTATCCAGAATAAGTACTTTTTTAAAGGAATGACTCTCCTAAGGCATTATGGTTTGTTTTGTCTGGAGCAGTTGAGTATGTTGCTGATCATTAAAGTATATTAAATCATTATATCCTCTAGATGAAGATGAACATTATTATACTGAAACATTCTTAAAGAAATTAACTCAAGGGTACTATATATGAAATTATGTATTATTAGAGCAGTTATTGGTGAAAGAGAATTCATATCTCAAACTCCATATGAATATAATGCAAGAGCTACTAAATTTACTTAATTATTAGTTGTAGAGTATCTATATCAATATTATTGATTAGTTATTAACAATTCTATTTAATATTATAAGAAAATAATGATGAATTTGAGAAGTATTGTTTAGCAAAAGATAATCTATTGTTTAATAGTAATTATAAAGCATTCGGATAAATTTGTGAAATTTGTGGATGGACTCATCGATTTATTTAGTAAATCTATATATTATCATATAGATGTCCTTTTGTGTTTTTATAACCTAATAAAAACAAAATAGCAAGTTCCTTTGTTTCAACTAAAACTAATAAAAGATTATCATTTCCATATAGGACACTTGCTAAAACGAATTGGAGAAATAATATGCCTGAAGTTTAAGAAGCTGCATTAGGTTACATAGTATTAAATAACATCATACCAGAAAAGTAATTAATTTATCATCATTCAAGAGAAATAAATGATAATTATCTCGTTAATTTGGGTTTTGAACTAAATGAGAGGGATGAAGAACCCTCTAAAATAATACCCAATAAAAAAAACTCGATGTCCAAAGATCCAAAACTCTTATCTCAATATGATAACACACTTCAATAATAACCTATTTAATAACCTTCTATCTAAACTGTCTTATAAGATTAAAAGTCATAAAATTAGACTGCAATATTTCATAAAGATGGTTAAAAGGTTAATTTAACAAATGTAATTTGTATTTTTAATATTTTAGGAAAGCTTTATAGATTGGGATTAAGGTAGTTAATTACGAAGAAGCATGAATAGAATTAAATTTTAAGGACTTGATAGAGGAAGAACACTTTAATCAATTAAGGGTAAATAACATCATTAAAATAATGGAGGAGGAGTAGATATATTGGAAGAATCTATGATTGAAGAGGAACTCAAAATTTAAAATACAAATATTGGATCATAAAAATTTATTCACAGTAAACTTAAAATGGTGAAAAGTAAGCATAATAATCAAAATCCAATCGGAATAAGAAAAGTATCATGGCTTGAATTTGATAGTGGACCACTTTAACATTAAGGTTTGTAAATATATATAACTTTTTTAGATGGTAAAGCTGCCTAATAGTTATTTAATAAATAAATTAGTAAAGGAAGTGAAACCAACTTTGATTAATCTCCTCCAATAAATTAATAAGAGAATGATATCAAATAAAGAATTGAAGCTAGAGAAAATAGTATAATTTCTAAAAAAACAAATAATAAGTAATAATAATTATAATTTTTTAGTATTGATATAACAAGAAGAAAAAAAAGAAGAAAAACTACTTAACTTTTATAATTCTTTTAAGGTATGGATAATGGAGATACTAAATCTACAAAAAGAGTTGAAAAAAGTATATTAGGAAATGATGTTTACAGTTCTAGTGTATATACAACTGGAGGACCAAGTAATACTGCATTAATGGATTCGAATAATAAAGATAATAATAATGCAGAAAATAATAGTGTACATGTTGCTCATTCATTTGATGGTATTTAGAAAAGAATCTAAGATATTGTTCATGTTCATTTTGAAATGGATTTGGATAGATATAAATCATCTAAATTTTATTTCCCTGATTATAATGTAGAAGTAGTATTATAAAAAATCTCTGTATATTATGATAAAGTGAATGATAAAAAGTTTGACATGAGAGAAATGAAAAGAACAAAAACTAATCTAACTCTATTTGATAGAATTAGATAAGCAAAAAATCCAACTATTAGAGGAAGTTTTGTTGATAAATCCCTTTAAGATAATGATTGAAATAAAAAGACTTCAATGTCACTTTTTCATAAATAATTATTATCTTATTATCTTTCATTTTTATATAATATTAAAATTATTTTTATTCTTCTATTAGTTTTTAAATAAATATAAATAAAAAACAATTTTTAATAAATAATTTAACATTTTATACATATTTATTTTTCTAGGGATAATTAAGAATTTAATATATGGAATCTATAAATGTATTAAAATTTATTTATTTATTTATAAAATAAATATAATAATATATAAATAATTTGAATAATTAAAAGCTTAAATTAACAGAAAGTAATAATATTTTATATATTCTAATTAAGTTGATTTTAATATATTTAAACATATTAAATTAACTATTGAAAACTCATCATAATAATTTAGTATCACTATTATATATCAATTAGAATCCACCAATTTTCTTTTTAGTTTTATTTTAATTATCCACAACAACTTTTACTATATCTTCTAACATTTTAGGTATAATTTAAGCAGTAACTGGTGTTGTTGTATCACTTGATGGTGACATATTAACTTCTATTAACCAAGAATTAAATTAATCATCAATCATAAAATCATATCCATAAACTTCAAATGAACGCTTTCTATTTTTCAATTAATCACTACAACATCTTAAACTATTTATAACAATTTCCTTAAATTTTGGTTATATTCTTTCTGCAAAGACATCCCAACCAAACTCTTCTATTAAATATTATTAAAAATCATCTTAGGTCCACATATTACCTTTAATTTCTGATTTATGAAATTTTTATGAATATTTGGCTATAGCATTGTTTGTAAGATGGGCAAATCTATTATGAAATTAATCAATATCAAATTCTTCAGCTGAAAATCTTACATAACATTCATTATAGAAATATATTTTTAATGGTACTAATTCAGTTACTAATATCCATTATCTTATATCAAATTTACGATTTTTAATAATTAAAGGATTTTCTATATACTTCATAGCAACATAATTCATTGTTTCCTTATTTACATTATCTAAAATTGAATATAAATCATCAAGACATCTAATACCTCTTCCTCTTGAGGAATATTCAGGTTTAACAATCCATATATTTCTAGTTCCTTATAAAGAATTTTAAGGATTCTTACTCAATTATTTGAGTAATTCTTTAATTTAAGGAACATACTTTTATAAAAATTAAACACCTTCATAATCTTCATATCCATTTAGCTTTAATTATTAATCAATATAATCTTATATTAATATTTCCCTTGGTTTTTCTGGATCTTTCAAAAGAACAATCCATTCTCCAGGATGAATAAATGGAAATTCATCTCTTAAAATACTTTTTACCATATTACTCAATGATTTATTGACTCTATTCATTACAACTAAGCAAAGTCTAATTCTGAATCTTTATCTAAAAGTTAATTAATTTATATTCATAGGTTATTATTTTTCTTCTTTATTTCTTATTGTATTATTTTAATCATCTAGTTTAGTATTATTATTTTAATATAATTCTGGTCTTAATGTATTATTTTAATCATCTTCATCTTCATTTGGTTCTGCAATAGTTTAATTCTAAGTTTGATTTGACAAACTTTATTCAAAATCTAACAATATACTATGTATTTTAGATATTTTGAAATCTTCAATAAAGTCTGAAAAATCAACTAAATCACCTAGATCATAACATCTAGGAAAGAATGATTCCCAGTTATTGATACATCTAATATTTCTTGCTAATCCATATTTTGAACATAAACATTAGTTACAATCAAAATGATTAATTTATTGAAATTCCATTAGATTCATAAAGTCATCACTTCTTAAACTACAAGTCCATTTTAAATCAAAGAATGGACTATAAGCATCTTCATTTTCTGCCCAATTTCTTTCAAGTAATGAATCTCTAAGTGCATGATATCCACTAGTAATTATAAATACCTTTTGATTTGGAGCAACATTATTTTTTTTCTTCCATGTAGGATAATCTTAAATTCCTCTTGCACTTATTTTTTTCTTTTTAGGTGTATCATCTTCTTCATCTTATTCAAATTCTCTTTAACTATTTTTTATAGCAACTGATTTCTTTTTTGGAGTATATTTTAATAATTCAAGTTAAATTTACACTTTCAAATAATTATAATTTTATACATAGCATTTTAAATGTGCTTCTATACTTGTAACGAACTTTATTGCTTAAAAATTTTTTTATTTTTTATAGATGTTCTTCTGGATTCTCTTTTGATTGAGTAGAAACTCTTATTATTTTTAAATCATCTTTCACTATTTTATCAAAATAATATTCTTTTTTTCCCATCAAAACCAATAATTGAATTAAATTATATCGCAATGGATTTAGGTCTTCATTCTTTTATTAAGGTTCCTCTATCAATGGTGCTAATTTCTTTTATGTTGTTAAAGCTCTTTATTACATTTATGGTTCTTCTATGGTATCTTCCAATCTCTTTAAAGTTTTTAATTGTCCTCTTATTGGCTCTTTTGATTTTGACTTTATTAAATGTCCTTTTGTTTTCATTGATTAAAACATTTTGATATTCATATTAATGCTAGCCTTATTCCCTTAAACATTGAAATAAGATGCACGATTATCTAACATATTTAATTAGTATAATTTTATAAAAATCAATAATATCAATAATCATCCCCTAATCTTCAAGGAATTAGATATTTATATAATAATATATATTAATTATTAATTGTAATAGTCATAGTGTATCCTATTCATTCTCTTGCTTTCCCTTAAAAAAGAAATTATACTCAATACACCTATCTATTAATAATTTTCTCCTATATATTTTAAATATTGACTTCTTAATTTATTTTAGGTTGATTTACAGAAAGGCCATCTGACTCTAGACAAAATAATAAAGTATCAATTAAATTATTTATTTTGACTCTCTTCGAATAAAAATTCTAATTTAAAAGGTTACTATTCATGAAAAGTGAAAAAGAATCTATGATTTTAAAACCTTTTAGAAGTAAGTAGATTAATGTATATGAATTTATTTACTTACAAAGCTGTTATTTATTTTATAAATATATAATTATAAAATAGTAAGATAAAATGTTAGATAACAATAAATTTAGTTAATTATAATATTAACAACAAGACAATAACAATATATTTATTGGTATTCGGTTCATATCATACTCAAATGTTTATCTATTGATAGGCTTAAATTTATCTTCTTTTTCTTTCTCTGACAAGTTCTTATGTAGCAGTCCATAAGATTTTAATCTTCTTGGATTATTCATCATTGTCTTATAATGCTTTTGGTAGTTTTTCATTAATAATTTTGATAACTTCTTAGATTTCTGCTTCTTTAAACTAAATTTATTTAAATATAATCAATACCTCAACTTATTCAAAGAAATAGAAATATTTATTCAAAATTTAAATAAAAACATATACAAACTTTGGATTATTGGCTATACTTTGATTTGCTATTTTGATTGCTTTCTTAAAACATTCTTAAACTCTTTAAGCATTTTTAATATTTTCATTATAAAACATATGAGCAGCATTAATAACACCAATTGCTTATTCATTCTTCTTTAATAGTTTAGCAGCTTATTATGTAGCATTTCCAGCAAGAGTATCAAAGTTTTCACCACTAATACAATTTAATTTAGCAAAAGTAGACATAATTTAATTCAATAATACCACTTTCACATTAGAATCTCCAATTTCATCTTAAAATATAGTGATAACTTATGTTCCTATATCATATGAGAATTCATCAAATTCTTATGCCTAATCTACAATATTGATGCATAATAAAAAGTTTAAGTTAAGTTTCAAGGCTAATTCAGGAAAATTTGCTTATAATACATCTATCAATCCTCTTATTTATTCAAATAACACTTTATATGATGTTTCTTCTAAAATGAATAATTTAAACATATTTTACATGTTTATGGTCCTCCTTATGCGGCTATCAATTATAATAATCTAAACAATGCAAAAATAGCTGCAGGATAAGTATATTTTTATCTGTTGATTTCTCCTTATTGGAATCTAGCTATAAATTATTATAAGATAGTATTATGAATAGCTAAATCTGCATTTTAGACTAAATGAACAGTTCTAGCCACTAATTATTATTCTTCTTCAAATTCATTTTCTGGAATTTCAACATAATCATTTTATGTAATTAAAAGTGGTTAAATGAATTTGAGTAATTCTTCAGTGATTTTTAAATCTTCAATTACTTAATTCAAATTTATAACAGCTTAACAAATCTTAATAGCTACTTATCTTCTTTTTTAGAATGGAAGATGTTTCATAAGATTTGGATATTCATTCATTGTAAGAATGGATAAACTCATGGTATCCAAAGGCATAGCAAGAAACTTAACAATATTTTTTTAACATTCTTCTGTAAAATCAGTTTCATTTTATCTTTCACATAATCTACAACAAGATTTAAGTATATCATTAACATATTCTGAATTTGATGGATAACATCTTAATGTAAAATTAAGGAAAGCAACTTATAAATCTAATAGATTTTTAAATTCAATTTGACTATTAGAATCTAACATCTAAAATATTATTATATTTGTTACTTTATCAATATTTTATTTAAACATACTATATATATCTACTTCTGAATTGAATGTACCCATATCATTATTTAATGCAAAATCAGCTAATCTACCCATTAGATTAATGAATATATTTTTTATATCAACTGTTGGTTCTAATTGAGTTGTACAAACCTTCAATAATTCTTAAAGTGTTTGCAAATGGTATTCATCTGGAAATGCTTATATTGTGCAATCCATTAAATATGTTTAGGATATAGCATCTTTACTACTTGTGATAATATCAATAATTTTTGGTAAGACCTTTGTTTTATAAGTATCTAATGAAACACCTTCTAAATTGCTTAATCTAGTAACATTCTCTCCTATTGTTACTTTGAGATCTAATCTTTCTCTTTCTCTCTTTGATTTGTCTTTTGAACCCTACATTCTAATCCATAATTTATTCATCTCTGATAAGTTTCTTATAATGATTTCAATAGCATCATCAATATTTCCTCCTGTACCTTCATATTCAGAGCCTGTGTCTGGAAGTCTGTCTTTGCATAATTTCAAGAAATAATATCTAATAAACAATCCTCTCAATGGATGTTGAATAGCCTAGTATAATGCTTTTAATTACTTTAATACACTCCAATAAGTCAAGGAGAATCACTTTGGCTCCAATTTCATGAGTTTATATAAACACAGATCCGACAGTGATTAGTAAATATAAACGTGGAATGACGTATGTGGCATGTTAAACAGATTCATATAAGTCTGGCATTTTTCTTCCTCTTCTATATTCTTCTTTGAAGTAATTCTCCAATATACGCATCTCATCAAAGACCTACATAAACAAGATGTAATAATTTCTTGGACTAAGAAGAGATGTTTTCAATTCACTCAACATTGCCGAAGAATATCTCAATGCATCTTTTAATTAAGCCTTTTCCAAAGATGCTCTCATGAAATAGGCTTATTCTTTGACAACTTTACGAGCATCTTCCAAATACTTTTCTTGATCTTCTTCCATATTATTAATCAAAAGAATTTAATTTTTAATAAATCTCTAAACCAATATTCTTACTTAAAACACACATCAAAGATTTATTTGATAAATAAAAACCTTGTATTCTATATGATAAATATTTTATTTAAAACCAGATGATAAGTATTAATAAGAAAAAAGATTCATATTTAGAACATCTTGAATTACTATTTGAACTTTATCTATAAGTTAAAAGATAAACATTTTAATTTAAATCAAAATATTAGAAACCCTTTCAAATCAATAATTTTAAAAAGAGAATACAAAATCATCATTATTTTTTTTTGGTTTAGCTTTATGTGTTAATTCTTATTATTTTTCTATCAATATGGTGTTTTTGGCTAAAAATATTAATATAATTTCTCTATTTTATTTTAACTTGAAATTGGATTATAATAATTACTTTAAATTAGAAGTTTATGTCTAGACAATGTCATTCTGTTCAAAAAAATAGTAAATTCTCTGGAAAACAAACAAACCTTATTCAAGGTCAACTCAATAATGATTTCATTAGAAAATTTCCATAGGTTTTTATGCTTTAATATCATAGTGTGGATTTATATCTACTCCTTTATCCGGCAAATCCTTGAGTGTGATATGTTCTCCAGAAACTCAAAAATTAAATGAGAAAATGCAAGAAGAACTTAGTCAATTAGATGATTTACCCATCTATCACTTTCCTTAGATGTTTAATAGAGAGGAGGATAAGATGTAATACTAAGTTTAAACTATATAGTTTTTTGAAAGTAATTATATTAAACTATAAGGTCAAGAATCCTAGATGCTCGAAGCTATATTAAACTATAAGAGACAATGTTGGGATGTCATTCTACCAATTAATGAGTTCATATCAGAATAGAATTCCCAAGGATTTTGGATTCTTAAAATTATTGTAATCATTTTTGTTAACATTTTAAAGACTAAAAAGTATATAGAACTTAACAATTATGATAATTCTAAAGAACTCATGAACTTTTGTTTGAAACTATTAAATAGAAATCTACATATCAATCATGGTATACTTTATTGTAATCAAATATAGATGATATCGTATAATAATTAGATGGATGTATTCGGATTAATCCTTATTGTTTATTAAAGAGAAACTCAATTAAAACATCCATTTCTAATCTTCTTTCCAACTTACTCTTTGAGAATAAAATCACAAATAATCTAGAAATTTTCAAAACACTTTTTAATGATTTTGAGAACAAAGATCTTGATTCCTTAAAAAATCATAATAATTTAGATATTTAGTTAAAATATCTTAAAGAGATATTAATAAATAAATTATTAAGAATAAGCAAATGAGAATTTTGAGCTTATTTATATAAAATTTTGAAATTTTGAAATCCCTATTATTATTCAATTTTTCTATTCAAAAAACTTATTAAATTATATTGATGTGATCAATTAATTATACATATATTTCAAATATTTGCATAAATAATAATAAAAATAGAAAAATAATATTACNTACTTTAAATTAGAAGTTTATGTCTAGACAATGTCATTCTGTTCAAAAAAATAGTAAATTCTCTGGAAAACAAACAAACCTTATTCAAGGTCAACTCAATAATGATTTCATTAGAAAATTTCCATAGGTTTTTATGCTTTAATATCATAGTGTGGATTTATATCTACTCCTTTATCCGGCAAATCCTTGAGTGTGATATGTTCTCCAGAAACTCAAAAATTAAATGAGAAAATGCAAGAAGAACTTAGTCAATTAGATGATTTACCCATCTATCACTTTCCTTAGATGTTTAATAGAGAGGAGGATAAGATGTAATACTAAGTTTAAACTATATAGTTTTTTGAAAGTAATTATATTAAACTATAAGGTCAAGAATCCTAGATGCTCGAAGCTATATTAAACTATAAGAGACAATGTTGGGATGTCATTCTACCAATTAATGAGTTCATATCAGAATAGAATTCCCAAGGATTTTGGATTCTTAAAATTATTGTAATCATTTTTGTTAACATTTTAAAGACTAAAAAGTATATAGAACTTAACAATTATGATAATTCTAAAGAACTCATGAACTTTTGTTTGAAACTATTAAATAGAAATCTACATATCAATCATGGTATACTTTATTGTAATCAAATATAGATGATATCGTATAATAATTAGATGGATGTATTCGGATTAATCCTTATTGTTTATTAAAGAGAAACTCAATTAAAACATCCATTTCTAATCTTCTTTCCAACTTACTCTTTGAGAATAAAATCACAAATAATCTAGAAATTTTCAAAACACTTTTTAATGATTTTGAGAACAAAGATCTTGATTCCTTAAAAAATCATAATAATTTAGATATTTAGTTAAAATATCTTAAAGAGATATTAATAAATAAATTATTAAGAATAAGCAAATGAGAATTTTGAGCTTATTTATATAAAATTTTGAAATTTTGAAATCCCTATTATTATTCAATTTTTCTATTCAAAAAACTTATTAAATTATATTGATGTGATCAATTAATTATACATATATTTCAAATATTTGCATAAATAATAATAAAAATAGAAAAATAATATTACACTTAATAAAATTTATAAAAACAGAATTATTATTACTTATACAAACAATTTTATTTAATCAATTTATTAATTATATTTATAAGTATTATTCACATAATATTATAGTTTTATTTATGTTTGCTATAATATTTTTTGTAATAATATTTATTTTTTGGTTCTAATAATTCTAGTACTTGCAATCAAGATTTTTATATCAATTGTATTATTATTAGTATTCTAAGTATCTAAATATATTTATAATCTTAAAGAAAATTAAAAATATTGCTTTGATGATTCAATATTATAAAAAATGTTGGCAAAATATTGTAGTTTCTAGATTAATCTTAAAATCTAGAATCTGTTCTATTGCCGATTAATATTGGATGATTCCATAAATTTTAATCAGTTTTTGCATTAATATATTATGTAGAATCATTTAAACTATTTTGTTAAGCTTAATTTATTATATTTAATATTAAATAATTCTTTAAAATTAAAATCAAATTTATATGGATAATATTTAATAAACCTGTGATAATTAAAACTTCATATAATAATAATTCATTCACAATTAATTTTACTAAATAAATCAAATGGTATTTCCAAAAGTAAATCTTCATTCTCTAAATATATACTACCACTATAATTGTCTTAGTGAATACTTTCAAGTTTTCCAACTTTTCCACTGTGATCTCCTTCTTTCAAAATCATGACTTAATTTCCAATTTTAGGTATGACTGTTTGTAGGAATTTCTAATCAATAATTACTTTTTCTTTAGTACTATTTTAAATTTCAATCAATCCTCCAAATTAATCTATAATTCTTTTAACAACTCCTTTTTTTCCATAATATTTTCCATTATTTAATTATTAATCAATAATTTTGACAACAATATTTTCTTTAATCCATGGTGAATCCTCAACAACTTATTATTAAGTTTATTAAGGTTAACTAATTGTATTTTGATTATTTTTATATTTGATATTTTGATATAATTTTTCCATGTTTTCTTTTGAACTTTATTATTTAAGTAGACTTTCTTCAATCCATTATTTATTTCCTTGAGTTTCAATATCTAAAACAACTTGATTGTCTTTCTTACCTCCTTAGTTGAAGTTGATATCAAAAGATATAAATTAATCTTATGATTATTAATGGACTTAATTACTATTATTTTATTATGCTTATATTTTTTAATCCTCTTATTCATTTTGATAATTAATATCTTATTCATTTTATTATTACCCTTTAATTATTAACTTTTCAAGTGATTTATCAATAAGAGCATTTTATTTTTCAACTAATTTAACTTTTTTTGTTTCTACTTTATCGTATTTAATTTTCTCTGGATTGAAATTAATATTCCAAATAATTATATCTCCTTAAGAATGATCAAAACCAATTTTGTTATTTGTAATCAAATATTAAATAAAATCTGTTAATTTAGTCCATTTAGTTCCATTTAAATGTACATGATCTACTTTTCTAATCATTTCTTCATAAACTTTATTTGAGCCAATCTTTTAATCTTTATATTTTTCCTTTAGTATTTCCATAAAAGCTGTTTCAAATTCTTAACTAAACTATTCAATATAAAAATCAGGATCTTCATTATATAATCTCATCATTTTCATATGATGACCTGAATTTAAATGACAACGAAATCCATTTTCATCATAACATTATTTTCTACACATTTAACAAAAGAATTTCAATTTTGCTGTCTTAGTAGCTTATTATTTTCCATATGTTTAACTATACATTATAATTTTTATTAATATTCGTTTTAAATGAGATTAGTGTTCTGGATAATAGTATTTTTAAGTTTAGTCTAAGCCATCCCAAAGAAGCAAATATCAATTCATAATAAATACAATACACCCATAAATGCTCAAGATGTTAAATTAAGTGAAGTAGATTTAGCTCTATATTAAAATGATATGTAATAAATTGGTTAAAAGAATCATTTGAAATCTGAAATTACAAATTGGATGTAGGCTAAGACAAGTTTATTAGAATAATTATCAGCTTTTTACAATTGTTTTGAAATATTTTTATCTAAATAACAATAAATAGGAATTTTATTGGTTTGTGTAATATGCTTTGCATTTTATTTGATGGTTAAATCAGAAGATAGGAATATGAAATAAAAAAAGTAGAATACTAAAAAGAAATAGAAAAATTGCTAGCAAGATGAAATAGTGCAAATATTGACTGAATCTCTTATTGCAAAAGAATAATGTCCTCTTCCATAGGTTTCTACTATTAATGGATCCCTTCATTTAGAAGAAAGAGTGTTTTTATTATAATTAATATTTTTAGTAATAAATCAGCTGATTAAATGAAAAACAATGAACAATTTACTTTACATAAACGATCCAATTCACAACCAATCATTTAACCAAATTTACCTGATTATTCTGCTGAAGAAATCAATAGTTTATTGAAGGACATTAACTGATTATCTAAGTAATAATATTCATATAAAAAAAACATTATTTGTTCACTTATCATTCCAATGTAGTATTTTTCTTATAAACAAATTTTTTAAAAATGATTAAATTTTATTTAAAAAATATTAAATGGTGAACGTACCAAAGAATAGAAAAACCTATTGCAGAAAATGTGGAAGTCATTAAAGTTGCAAAGTCTCCTAATATAAAAAGAGCAAGGAAAGTCCATTTGCTTAAGGTAGAAGAAGGTACGACATGAAGCAAGCTGGTTATGGAGGCTAAACTAAGCCTATTTTCAGAAAGAAAGCAAAGACCACAAAAAAGGTGGCATTAAAGTATTTATATTTTACGAGAATAGGCTTGAATGCGTCAAGTGCAAATTAAAATGGTTAAAAGTTATTAAGAGATGCAAGACTATCGTCTTTGTCGATGCTAATTAGCTCAAAAAACAATAAGAAGCAAAGAAGAATGCTAAATGAGATAATAATAGTATAATAAGACATATATTAGTATTTTATTAAAGAATTTATTTTTATCAAGCTAAGTTAAATTTTTACTCTCAATCCACTTGTATTATTAAATTAATATATATATTTAAATCTATGATAAAATATCCTTTATATTAATTTATCTTTCAAAAAGGTTTTTAATATCCTTATTGAGGATAACCCTAATATCCAGGTTACTAAGGTGGGTATCCAGCTTATGGTGGATAACCTGGTTGAGGTGGATATCCTGGTTATTATGGTGGATAACCTTGTTAAGGAGGATATCCTGGCTATTATGGTGGATAACCTGGTTGAGGTGGATATCCTGGCTATTGAGGAGGATATCCTGGCTATTGAGGAGGATATCCTGGTTATTAAGGAGGATAGCCTGGTTATTAAGGAGGATAACCTGGTTATTAAGGAGGATATCCTGGTTGAGTTGGATAAGGTTGTGCAGGATATCCAGGTTAAGGTGGATAACCAGGTTACTAAGGTGGATAACCTGGCTATTAAGGTGGATAGCCTGGCTATTAGGGTGGATAACCTTGTTATGGAGGGTATAGAGGTTATTATTAATAGGGTAGGTTTGGTGGATAGTATGGTTATTAATAACCAGGCATAGCTGGAGGTTTAACACCACCATCAGGGAAAAATTAAACTTCAATTAAAACCTATCCTGCTGATTTACCCTATTAAAACTATACATGTCATATACTTTATAGTTTAAATTGACCCATTCTGTTCCATTAGGCTTTGTTAAGTAAGTCTATAATGCTAAGGATCCTTGACCAATCAAATCATTTTTGCTCACTTCATCTTTATCCCAAACTTCAATATCAGCAATCAGTTCTGAAGTTCTACGAAATGAAAGAGTATCACTCCATGATGGGTATTTACCAGCATCTGTATGTGATCTAGTTCTTTGAGTTTATCCACCTACTCTTACTAAACAAAATGGATCCATTTTTCCAAAAGTTTCAGTATCATGACTTAATTTGCCACTTAATGGCTTTATGATGAGTGTACCAGACATAATTTAAATTAATGAAAATCATATATCAAATTCAAAGTTGTTAGCATATCAAAAATTTTTTTTAATAGTATCTTAATTCCTCAATACTTTCTAAAATATCATCAAATGCTCGATGATTCAATTTCTTCTATGGTTAGTGATTACAAACATATGGATTCAACTTTTTACATAACAATTGTATAGAAGAAACATCTACAATTCGATAATGCAAGAATTAATCCAATTCAGGCATATACTTCATTACAAACAAACGATCCATATAAACTGAATTTCCTGCCAAAGGTAATACTTTTGGAGGTATATTATTTTAATTTAAAAATTAGAGTATTTATTGCTCTGCTTACTGTATTGTTACAGTAGATTTCAAGGATTCTTCATATAATCCTGAGGCTTTATGAGTATTAGTACACCACTAATCCATTCCATCTAATATTTATTTATCTGCATGAATAATAAGATGTGGTCCCTTAATTATTGTTTATAATTTAAAATCAGTCAATATACAAGCACATTCAAGAATCTAATCTTAGAATACATTTAGCCCTGTCATTTCCATATCTAACCAAAACTTTGTTCATAATTTTAAATATACTAAGTAATGATTTAAAGTGGATGTATTGGTATTATTTTGCATTTCAATGAAATTAAAATTATAAAATTAAAATATATTTGATTTTTCTAAATAAATTCAGATATCAAATCATTAATATTCTCTAAAGTTATTTGGTTATTAGTTGTTTAGTAATTTTAATTCAACAGCCTTTCTAGACTTTTTGTATTTTCCAACATAGACCATACAATTAAATTAAAATCTATATATATATATGAATTAACAAAATACCTAATCTAAGACCCTAATTTAGCTGTTTTTAAAACTTCTTTTGTAACACCAGCCTTTTATAAATCATCTAAATGAACAAAAATATCTGATTTATCTTCATCCATAACAATAAATCCATAATTTTTTTATTCATCAAAAAACTTTAATCTCCCTGTATAGATTGGATTTGTCATCTGCTTTTTTTAATCACTATGTTGTAATTTATTTATAGAGGGTTAATTAATTAATGAATTCATTTCTAAAGGTGGAAATAAATCAAAATCATCAGTGTCAGGGAGAGTTTCTTCTAATTTCTATGAATAAAAATTATAATTTAATTGCTAATCTAATTGATTTATAAGTATTTATCCTTTCTTTTATTCATCCTAAAATAGATTTTATTTTTTTTCAGAGTTTATTTAATCTAAAGAAGGGAATTAGTAATCATCTTATAGAAATTACTATGGTTTGACTTAAGTAAAATAAACTATGTATAATTGAGATTGAATTACAAGGTTAATTCTATTGAAATGATTGCAATTATGAAAATATCTATGATTAGTTTTAGTCTCTTTAAAAATCAAATATTTAATGTTCTGATAAAGACTTTTTATGTCTTCTGACAAAAGGTTTCTATTATTCTTTTTCTGGAGTCATATTAATTATTGGAATAGTTTTCTAAGGATCAAAACAAATTTATACATCATCAAATAATTCATCAAATGTATAAAACTATTCTTATTCTTTATTATCTATTTGATATAGCATTTCCTCCATTGCTATCAAACTTGTCATTTATACACTTTTAATAAGTGCAATATAGCCAGTAAGTGAAGGATTATAACAAAATACATAAATTGTTCTAGTGAATTTGGTTGGAACATAAACATTACAAAATAACTGATATCTTTAGTTAGTGTAAAATTCTTTGATTTTTGTTCTCATTATTGTAGCATATAATGATAAGTATTACTAATTATAATGTATTTTAATACTTTAGCATTGAACTATTGACTTTCTATAATATTTATAGTTAATTCATATCTTTATAATAATTTTGGTAATTCTGAATCAGATTTATAATGTTAATTAACTGTTTTTAGTAGATGGTCTTTGATTTATGGATCTGGACTATGATAATTAGCAATGGAGAGTGTATCCAATATATGCATGTCTGTTGAACTAGAAATGAGTAAAAGACTGATACCTGTTTATCCTTTATAAATAAGAGAGTGTAAATGGTTATCATTCAATACTTATTTCTATTGTAATATCATTATTTAAATTATTTATATATTTTATTATTCAGATTTCTTCTAAATCATCATCTTCATCATCATCATCATCTAAATCTTTTGTTCCACTCATTAAAATATTATTAGTTCTTATAGATCGATAAGATTAATTTTAACTATTAAGCTTTTAACTAAATCTACTTTATCTTAATGATATATTATTATTTTATTTCTTCAATTCAGAATGTTTTTCAACAATCATTTCTCTCATATTTTAATCTAATTAAGATAATTATCTAGTCAATTCTTTATTATCTTTTTTTAATCTATTAACTTTTTTTTACCAATCAACTTCATTATTTTCTAATTAATCTATTGTCATTTTAAGATTATTGCATTCTGTTAATAATGATCTTTTTTCATGTTATAAAGAATTAACTTGAGCTTAAACTTTATTAAATTTTTATTCAAGATCATCCATCTATTTTTCTGATAATTCAACCATTTTTTCAATCATATACTCATTTTATTTTTATTCAACCTTACTGTCATCTATCAATTATTTTAATCTTTAATTTTCTTATTAAAAATATTGTAAATCTTAATTTGTTCTATCTAAATGTTGAATTGCTGCTTAAAGTTACTATTACAATTAAGATATCTATAAATTAGATTGAATTTACTTCATAGTCTGCTTATTATAATTATTCATTCAATTAAATATTATTAATCTTCATTCTTTCTAATTCATTAGAAACATTTGAACTATTACTATTATTTTATATATTACTTTTATTTTTCCATCACTGGCATTTCAGGTAATATCTTTCCTAATTGACTTTCAAATTACTTTGATAAATTATATAATTGATCATTATCAGCTTCTAATTTTAATTTTTCCAATTTCTATTAATTATTATCTTGCTATAGTTATTTAATATCTTTCTTATATTATTGTAATTTATTCTTGTATTTATTTTATAATTTCTCTAATTCTTATTTCAAATGACTATTTTCAGTTTCTAATTTAGTTCTAAATTTTGAATATTTATTTTCTAATTATGCTAAATCTTTCAAAATATCATCATTTTTCTTAACTTTTACTTATACTTAATCTTAAATCTCTTTATTTCTATTTTTCTCTTCTTCAATTCTATTTTATTAATCTTCTACAACAGTATTTAAAGTTCTTATATTTTCTTCCAATTAATTTACTTAATCATCTCTATTTCTTAATTCTCTTGTTAGATATTCTAATTCTTCATATAATTTTTTATTTCTTTCCTATTCTTATTTTATTAATTTCATAAAATCATCTTCTCTTTTCTCATAATGTTTAATATTCTTAATCTCATTTTCCTTAATTACTTCAATATCTTATTCTAAACTTCTTATTTTAGCTTTCAACATTTAATTATCTTCTATTGCATATCTTAATTATTGGTTCAACTCACGTTATTCTTCAGAGCTTTATGGATAAAAATTATCTTTTGATTTGGCAGTTAAATACATAAATAATATAATTAAATAATCTGAATAAAAAATTGCACTTATCATTTTTTTATCTGTATACGATCAAATATAGACTCTTTTGCATCCATTCTTAATTTACCATCTCTATTTCTCTCAGAATATTGTCCAATCACTATTACTTTATCATTTTATTTAAAATTAGGTACTGCTCTCATCTCTTAATTCCTATTATTAATAAATTCTAAATTTAAATAATCATATTATATTACCTATTGCATTCTCAGCAGATGTTTAATTTGAAAAAGTAATTGTCGCTTATTTATTATTTATCTAACATTAAAATTATCGTTTACACTAATTCCTAAAATATTGGTATCATCATCTATTAATTCCCTAAGATCATTTTAGTTAGTATTTTCTTTCAAATTTCTGATAAATATTGAATATGAACCATTTTGTTTTACTTATTATTCTATCCATAAAACTTATATATCTCACCATCCTTTTTAGTAATGTTTAGAATTCCTTTCTTTTTGTTTATTTACTAAGTTTAAACTCTTCCCGATTGACCAGTATTTTAAATCATTATTACTTTTTTTTAAATAGCCTTTCTCTAAATTTAAGTAGAATGCACATTGTCATTTTCTTCCTCAGATTCCTTTCTATTCTATTATTTCTGACCTGATTATTAAGATGGCTTATATTCTTATTAATGATCTCTTATAATGTTAATACTCTTTGAGAATATGTGATTTGTATTCATTAGAATTAATATTTTATAAGAATACTTATATTAATAAAAATATGTTCCCAATCATAAACATTTCCAATACTATAAATATTATAAATAATTCATGCTGTTATTCATAGAATTTGACTATTAGAATTAGAAGTTATACATCTAATAGCCTACTAAATCGAATTGCAGTTTTAAATTGCCTATAAATTAAATATTCTATTGTTGACTTTACGAAAATCGTCATATTATATAAGATTCTTTAAATATGACTCTAAATGTTATAATTCCTATTAATATAGAATCAATATATATACATTATCTTTTTTATTATCAAGATAAGGAATTATTGGAATTCCATTATCAATTTGAAAAGCATATGAGAAAGCAGAATTATCAATCAAGACTACATCCTTTAAATCTCTATTGAGAATTCTCAAATCCTTTATATGACAACCTGATTCAACTTTTATGCAATCTTCTCTAAACAATCTACCACTAATAAAGTTTCCTGAAGGATCCAAATAATTAATGATTTAATTTGCATAATCTTCATTAGATGCTGTAAATATTATAATTTCATAATATTCAGCCATATTTCTTAAGAATTCTTATGCATATGGTCTTATACTAATTCCAGCCTAATTTAATTAGAATTCTTACTTGATATATTATATTATTTACTTATACTGGTATATAAAAATCTGATTTCAATTAAGGATATTCATTACAATGTACCAAAGTTTCATCTAAATCTATAACTAAAGTTTTCTATCTTTCTAGTTATTTTAATTATAAAATACTTGTTTAAGCCTTAATTTTTTGTGATATTGAAAAAGTTAATGAAATTTAAATATTTTTTGATTTTTATAAATTCTCGTAGATCTATAAAAAGTGTCTTAAATACATTTAAGCCTAAAATGTATCATCTAGTTAGTCTTCGAAATGTCCAACTAAATTATACATGTAATATTGTTTTTATTGAAAATATTCTATAAATAGATTTAAATAAAAATACTTTGATCTAATAATTCAAGATCTTCAGTAATATAAGTTTCTGTTGAGGGATAAGAATTGAATTTTTCTGATTGACTAGTATCTAAATCACTATTTAAATTCTGTTTATTCTAAAGCTAAAGATTTTTATTGAGATTTTTATGTTATTTACTGTCTTTCAGTTTTGAACCAAAATTCCGATAATTTGATAATTTTATAATTTATTTCTTTAGTTTATTTGTCATTTTATGCTTATAAGTCTATAAACTATAAATTGATATCAAAAATACTGAGACTAACTATTTGATATCTTATTTTTGTGAAGATCTGAAATAATATCATTTTAATTGAAAGTATTGATTTCTATTTAGTTTCCTTCTGCTTATATTGAAATATTCATTTCTGAAATATTATTTTTCTAAATGAATGCACGTTTGACTTTCTTTTTCAATTTTATTAACTTCTTTGTTATATTTTTTAATGTTTCTAGTTAATTGAATTTAAATAGAATACTTGAGCGATTCATTTCACCATTGGTCAACCTTTCTTAAGAAAAATGTTTAACATCAAGCCTTTCATTTGTTTACAATTCATTAAAAATAGACTTATTTGACTAATTTAAGTTAATAAGTACTAGGTGTTGACTCCCCTATGATGAAATAAGAGCAACATCATCAAATTATTTACTCAACAGTAGTTCTTTCTATTCATTTTTTTCCATTCCTAATATTTATTTTTATATTGAGAATGCTTTGAGAACATGAATTGAAGTATAAAAAATTCAAAGGGGGTATTAAAGATTTGAATTAATAATACATATTTCAGCAAATTTCCTTTCTTTATTCAAATATTATACTTTTAATCATTCATGATATTTTATAGTTAATTTCTAGATGATATAAATTTATTTTGTTATTCATATGTTATTTATAATTTCTTGTTAACACAAAAAAATTTATGATAATATTATATAATTAGGTCTTAAATATTAAATAAAGACAATTCCTATTCAAAAAATCTGATTTCGTTACTCTCTTTCCCCTCTATTCTTTTAATTAATAATATGTTATAAGTTAATAATAATATAATTAATTAATTATAATTTAGATAAAAAAATATAATATATTTATCTTTGTCTTAGATAAATAATATATAATATATTTATATTTGTCTATCTAAATAAAGTAAATTAAATAACTAAACATCATCTTTATATAAAGATATTTATTGATTATTATCAATATAAACCAAATTTTCTTATGTATTATTAAATCCATTAAAATTCACAACATAATTCCATCATTATCTCTTAATATTAATTAATTATGTAGAAGCAACTAATATTTAGTTAATATCAAACATCTAATAATATATTAATATATAAATTGAATAAAAATCTTATACCACATTTATGACATCTTAAATTAATCTAAAAGAGTCGTAGTTTTATATTTTATATTAATTTTCGTATTTACAATAAAATTAGTCATAGCCATCAATCTTTTTAATCATCATGTATATCGTATTAATTTAAACCTATGTTATTAGATGGAGGATGGCAACTGTTTTTAATTATAAAATTATATAAATCAATTAATATATATATATATAGTTTTTAATAAATCAATTAATTTAATATCCAGGATGAAATAATTAACATCTAACTTCATTGTTTTTAACCATTATACAACTAGTATATGTATTACTAAGCAAATATTTTCTATATTTCAATTTATGAATAATTAAATTAATCTGATATATGATTAAGTTCTATTTAAAATGAATCATAATAACATTCTTCAAAAATATACTTAATTCATATCTTCTTAAATATTTGGAAAAACTTTAAATGATTAAATAATTATTTCTTTATCTAATAAAAGCCAATTAGATAATTGATTAATTTCAATCTATAAAATTCAAACTATCTTTTAAGTGTATGAGATTAGAATTAAACTAATTAATTAATAATAAGTTAGATTGAATTCAAATAATATTAGTAATTGTTAGATAAGCTATGAGGAAATGAAAAAATATAATAATAATAGATAAAACTAATTCAAGGTGTATTTTATTTAATAAAATAATATACATAAATTGGATTAAATAATAATTATAATTTGAAGATATATGGCACAATCTAAGTAGAAAAATGTGAATTTTGCATAGGATTTAAGAGATTAAACACTGCTTAAGCTGCAAAAACTCATAATGTGGTTCAGCAATGTTATATTTATTTAAGAAGAAAGAAAAACTTATGGATATTCGAAAGTAACATAACTATATAAATTAGAATTACAGATCAGAATGTAGATTGTATTTATTTATTAAAAAATAAAGTATTAAATTAAATTTGAGCATTACTGAATATGTGTAAATTTGATGATTCTATTTTAGTGGATTAAGAAATATGATTATAGATTAAAATGAGAGAAAATACAGATAATTTACTTTGGGTATCCTTATTTAATGAAGATTAAGATGAAGAGAATGTTCTTTTAGCAATGGAAGAAATTAAATTATCCGACTTAAAACATTTGGATGATACCGCTTATATATTAAGTGTAGCATTTGTTGTTCCTTTCTTAAATAAGTGGAATGAATTCTTCTAAATTGTATTTGGATTTAATTAATAATTAACTAATTCTTTACTAACTATTCCTTATGTAGTTGCAGCGTTTATTCTTATGGATTTATAGTGATAGATTTTGATAGCATCATCTTCTGATTAACTACAGTCATATTTATAATAACTCATTTTTGCTTGTTACTCATCTATTGCGAAGTAATTCTGTGTTTATTTTCTTTAGTTTGCCTATTGAGATTCAGAATTACCATTACTTTCACTAGGAATATATTATTTTTATTGCATTTGCCATTTATATGCAATTGATTCCATTAGTATTTAAATTTTAGATATTGTATTAGGATTGTTAGTAGTAATAAAAAATACTGATTTGGGTTTATTTTCAATAATAATGGAAAGTATGGATAATAGTAATGTTATAAATGAATAAGGTTAATTAGATCTTTTTCAAGAGTATATAATATTAATATGAATTTAGTTACGTCTACCAATCTTATTTTTTTGTTGGAGTTAGTTTGTATTAATTTTGTGATTGGCATAAGTCTTGATTGGTTTGATAAAAATGATAGGAAAAAGTAAAGTAGATTAAAACCAGAGAGTAAATGAATGTTTATAGAGTGTTATTTTCAATAATAAATTTAATATGAGTAATCGAAATAGGAGTTTGGCAGAAAGAAGAAATTCAAAAAGTAAATGTAAGACTGCAATCTCTTAACGCAAAAACTCAGATAATGAAGATTATAATTTCTATTAAGAATTCTAGTTATTCTATCCCTAAGCTTAGGAAATAAAGTTTACTAAATTTGAATATATGAAAGAGTTCTTTAATTTAGGCATCACTGAATTTCCATCTGATAAAGAGATCAATCGTATATAATAAGAGATTCTAACAACTAGTGGTTGGAATACAAATCTTAAGAAGAATTGGACACTCAACGAAAAGAAAGTACTTATTTGGCTTATTGGAAAATTGAGTATTATGAGAAATGAAGATATTAGAGATTTATCATCTGAATTGTTTGAAGAGATATCAAAAATGATATGTAGAAGAGATAAAGATTAATGCAAATAGAAGTGGTCTCAAATGCAAAAAATTGCACTTCAATAATAACCTTTTTAACCAGAAGAAGATAAAAAATTATATGATATCATTCTACAATATTAATCAGTTGATATGGGTTAAAAATGGAGTTAAATTGCTTAAGAATTAAATTAAAATTCAAATATATATAGATCAAGTAAATAATGTAGAGAAAGATGGCTTAATCATTTGAATCCAAAGATTTCTAAGTAAATTATAAATATTAATATCTATTTAAGATAACCTTGGACTGATGAAGAAGATATATAATTATTAAATCTTGTTAAAGAATAAGGAAGAAGATGGGCAGAAATATCTAAAATTATGGATGGAAAGAGAAGTGAAAATAATCTAAAAAATCGATTTAATAGTTTAATAAAAAGAGAAAAGGATTTACCAGTGATGTATGTACATTATTAAAATTATTATAGATAGACTTAAAATGGATCAGCTACTAATTTGGATGATTTATTGTCAGGTTGCACTGGACCTGAAATAACTGATATGTAAAAATTAGCAATTGATGCATTATTATCTAAATTAAAATGGAGGAGTTCTGAAAGCTAGAATAAAAATATAAAGAAGAAATCATTTGAATTAATAGATAATGTAGATAATTAAGTAAGGAGACAATCTTAATCACGAACTTAAATTAATGTCTAATATACTATTGGAAATTTAGAGACTGAATAAAATATTATGGAATTAACACCTTGTTTAGTAAATGTAAGTAAAAACATTATATATTTCTGTACTCAAGATTTATTGATTCAATATTTAGGTTATCATTAATAGTAACAGCAATAATTTAAAGATCAATTTGATAAAATTAAGAGTGAATTATGTGCTTTTGATGTAGGTTTTTAAAATTTCAGATCTACACTCAGTATGATTGAAGAAATAGAAGAACCTCTCAAAAGTTAATCACATTTTTAACCAAATGATTTAGATGGATTCTTTAATTTAGAAACATCAGAAATTATTTCCAAACCGATATATGTGAATTCCCTTGACATGATAACAAATTCGGCCATCAAATACTTGTAACGTTGGAAAACAGAGAGTTAATTCAATGATTTGAGGAGATCAAGCATATCGATTCCGAGATCACTTCCGAATTTGATATAAATTTAATAATGAAAAAGAGTCTGATATTATTATTCTTTGTACCTTTTATTTTATTCAAATGGGACGATTGTATACAAACATACCTTAAAATACAAAGAATTATCAACAATTAAGACAATGTATCAGATAAATTATCATTTTATGAACATCTCCTTATTACGATTATTCAAAATATTTAACATTATTCGTTAAATACAATATCCATTTTTGATAATTGGTTAGATTAATTAGGATCTATGCCTCCTAATAAATTAATTTAAAAATATATACCATCAGCATAAAATTTTGCTAATTATTTTGGAGGTGCTATAATTTTAACTAAAAGTAATGCATTATAATAAGTTGATAATGTATTAGTTGATTCAACTGAAGTGTATAATTATTATTATTAATAAGATATATGATTACAGAATGTAATTAAAAAGATGTGTTTTTTGTTGTATGTTTAAAAGAAGAGATTTCTTTAGAAACTATAACTTTTATAAATAAAGAATTGTATTCTTCAACCATCAAAAACTTTTAAGTATTTTATATAATTTAATACTTGTTAGGTCTATGGAAGTGTTGTTTATCCAACTAAAGAATGGGAACTTTTAGGTAATTTTTATGCTGAAGATTCTAATGAATGGTAGATATTCAATTTAGAATAACGATTCCTTAGATATTTAAAAATACATATTGTAGAATTTCATAATGCAGAATTTCATTGTACTTTAACTCAAATTAGGTTAAATTTTGTTAATATTAAATTTAGAGTATTTGGTTAAACTGTTATTGGTGATTTGATTGATTCACATAAAAGAGATAAAAAAGTTATTAAACCTGAAACTAAAACTGAAAACTCAACATAAGAGTAATAAGAAATTAATTAAAATGAGGTTTCAGAAGAAGAAGATCGATCTAAAAATGATACATGTTCAGTTGTTGATTATTTTTACAGCAATTAACCTTCTAAAAAAATAGAAAGTTAATATATAAATGTATTACCCTATGAATCAAGATAATCACTATTCAAAGTGACTGCTTAAAATATCTTAATATTGTCTCATAATGTAGAATTATTTAAAAATGAAATCAATTCAATTAAATAATAGGATTTATAATATTTATAAGAATAGGATGAAATCAAATCTTTTTAATAATAAATAATGACTTCAATTTAAGAATAAAAATTAGTTAATAATAATTTAAAAGAAGATTTAGAATTTTTATATCGTAAATTCTTAGCTATGTTTATTATATTAATAGCAATAGCAATTATATTAATTCTCATAAGTTTTTGTAATTAAAATAAATAATAAACAATTTAACATAATAGAGTTTCTACTAAAATTTGTAGTACAATAGTTAAATCTTAACCTGAATTATTAACTCCTTAACTAATTGAAAATTAAATTAATAGAAAATCTATCTCATAAATAAAACCCTAAAATGGAAAATCAAAAAAAGCACATTGATTTTTAATATATATATATATTTATATATAGGTTAATCAAATCAACCCAATTTAATGTTCAAAAATAATATATAAAATGCAGTGTAGATACCAAATCTTGCAGCTATTCCATACACTAAAACTGATGAAAATTTAAGTAACTAAATATTATCTAAATTTACTTTTCTTGCATAAACCATTACCATATGCCAAACCACTGATAATACTCCCAATAAAACACAATATTGCCATTCTACAATTGAACTTGTTATCATCATAACAAGTAATGCAAAATGTAAACCAACAAATAATGCTACAATCCATCCTGATGGAAGTGTTTTTATCATAAAATCTAAATGCTTTAATTAACTTTATTACTTCTCCAAAAATATTCCTCCAATATTCCTAAACCAATTACAAATAATGTCATAAATAAAACCATATATGAAGTATTTGATTCATCAAAGTATGATTTATAGATTCTTGTGTTTTATTAAGAGAGAAACAATATAGTAAGAGTAAAGAAAGATATAAAAGTTATTATTGTAGACAATATCAAAAGTTATGTATTCTCCTTTTTAAAAATGAATTCACCCTCATTATTTTATTTATTATACCTGCCATATAAAATTCCAATACTCTTTTTCCTTGTGCCAAAAAAAATATGTAAAAGTAGATCACTAGAATTATTAACATCATGTAAGTTAGTAAACATAAGAGTGCAGATGTTGTTATGGAAAGTGCTATTATTTATTATCAAAATTTCAAACTTATCCATGGAATGACTATCATTCCTAACATTGCTAATTCTAAATAGACTTGTTAACAAACTGATAATCCTAAAGGAGGAACATCATCTACAGGATTTGTGACTGTTGCTAAATCATAACTAAGGTTCATTCTTTAACTGTAATAAATATTTTATATTAATGATTTTATATAATCACAAAATAATCATGATGCTATTGTTACTTCGTATTAATTTTGTATTAAACAATGTAGTTAAAAACGAAATCCATTAAATATTTTCTAATACAATTGTAAAAACAAAAAAATGTCTCTTCATTCCTCATTCGGCTATGATAGTCTTCGCTCAGTCATTTTTGCAAAAGCAATTAAAAAGTGTGAATGTACTAATCAACGTTAATATTATAGAAATTTAAAATGAGTATTATTCATCAGAAAGTTGTTCCGATATTAAGAGTAGTATTTCTTCTGATTCAGAAAAGCAAATCTTTGACAGGTATTATATCATTTAACATTATTTCTAGAGAATTTGCCTCTGAATCTGCTGAATCAAAAATTGTCTTCAATAATCAACAATCTCCTCTCTCTTAGTTTAATACTCAACAATGAATATAAATAAATAAACAATTATACAAAAATACATAATCATTGACTCAACTATTTTTTATCACTCTTCAATTATGGATATATACAATAGTATTGTCTTATTTCCATTTATTTTAAACAAAAACAGTTATAAGATAACAAAGACTATACCCTCTAAAATTATTTAATCAAATACAACATGAAATGTTAACTAAAAAATCACAAAAAATTTCTATCCATATTTAATTAAATTAAGTCCTTTTAATAAGATAAATTCTTAATAATTATTATTATATAAATTGTTTATTAAACATATAACATTTTTATTTTTATTTACTAAAAAGGATTCATACACAAACAAAAAAAATAAAATTTATTGTAATTTTATTTCAAATTTTTAAAATTTATTTTATATCTGTTTAAAAAATATATTGAATAAATATTTATAAAATTAAAGACTCTTTCAATTACCATATATATTTACTTGTTTATCAAAACTACAGCTATAAATATTTTTATTAAATTCACCAAATCTATAATAATATATATATTCAATTACTTGATACCAGTCACAGTATCTCTATGACTCTCAAATTTGAAAAATTCTTATTATTTTTTTATGTCAAATAAATGTATATTCTTATTTTCACCTACAGCTAAATATGCTCCTGATCTATCATAAGAAATACTACCTAAATAAAATATAGATTTAAATAAAACTTATTTTTTATGATTAAAACAATTTTTAGAATTATCCAGGATTTCTTAAATCCCATTATAACACTTCAGTTTGTGAACATGATGCCAAATTAACTCCATTCTCAGAGAATGCAACCTGATTTATAGATCCCTAAATATTATTTATTTTTCATTACTTCTTATCCTTCAAATTGAGCAACAAGTTAACCTGATGTAATTTTCCAAATTTTAATCTACGAATTTTCTTATCCAATTGCTAATAACAATCCATCAGGATGAATAGCAACCGAAGTAAATTTACATTATCCTTCAAAATCAGTCACTTTACTAATTTATAAACCAGATCTTAAGTCATAAAATAACAAAAGACCTTCAGAAGTCACAATAATAGCAATGTATCCAAGAGGATGAATTTCTAATCCAGTGATATTCTATCCTACTTTTATGGTAAAAGCTACTATTCCCTCATTAGATTCAGTATTATATTAATAAATGACTAAATCTCCTTCTGAAGTTGATGAAACAAATCTTAAATGTTCATCAATAATGAAAAATTTGATTGTATTTATTGGTTAATTATTTTATTGATTCTAATACAATAATACTTCAGAACGATACAATGAAACTAAGCCAGCTTAACCACCTACAAGTAAATAATTTGCATAGATATCTAATGAAATTCCACCTTAAGTTTAAGTGTGTTATTACTTAATTTCATAATTAGATAAAATCTAAAATATTGAATTAGAGTACTTGAGGACTAGGAAATTAATCAAAATATGATTATTGCTTTCTCAAAACTTTTCTTTAGCTTGTTAATTTTAATGCATTTTATTCTATTTCAGATACATAATTTGCTGATAATTTTTCAGGAATATTATTAGTTTCTACTTCTACTTTATGATTTAATTTATTTTGTAATTGCGCTAATTCTATTCTTGCTTAATCTCTCTCTTTTATTAATTTTGCTATCACACGACATGCAGCATCATGTTAATATAGTGCATGAGTTAATTCATGTCTTACTTATTCTAAATGTTATTTCAATTAAAATTGCTCCAATAATAAAGCATCCCATTCATTTTATAAAAGGGATAGTAATGAAGGTATTGATGTAGCTGTTACTGGTCTTGGCTTTTAAACTTTAGCTACTTTAACCTTATTATTTGAAATTATAATAATACTTCAATTAAGTCTTCTAAATTCAAAGGTCTTCCTGTTATTGGACATGTACCTGTACTTTCAATATGCTTTTCAATTAATCTTTTTTCATATATATGTCCACTGACTTTAGATATTACTGGTGTTTCTATTAATTCACCAGATAATGCACAAGTTTACCAGGATTACATATATTAATGATATGAATTTATTTGAATATTTATTAAACTTATGTTAATCATCATTATTTTGTAATTTCTGTCTTAAGATTGTCAAATGAATCTACTGGAACATATTATGCAAGTGTATAATACTTTCCTTTACCATCATCTTCTTCCTTCTTCTTTCTTTACAATCTAACCCTAATTCTTCTTGGTAAATTACGAATTCCTCTTGCCCAAATGGCCTCATTTAATTATGGATCGACTCTAACATCATCAGTTAACATATTCTTTTAAGCTAAACACAATCCCTTCACTTTTTACCAAATCTAATAATGTGACTCACAGCTCTGGGTGCCTTTCTTTTAAAAGTCTCTTTGTGAACAGCTTTATGAATATTAATAGTATAGTCTCTGCTCACTTCACCTAAAGGATTAGGCTTTCCCTTTTCTTTCTTTCCCATTAATTAAAATCTTTAAAATTAATTTTAAAAAGTAAATAATCCTCAAATATTTTAGGAGAAGAAACTTGGACTGTATAGATATTTAAAAACTTTATTATATGAATAAGTCGAAAAATTCTTTGTTTTCTATATTACTTTATAATCATAAAAAAATAACCAAGATTATACATCTGATCTTCATTTAATAAATCTAATAATATACAATTTATTATGTATAATACTTAATTAAATCAAAGGTTGATATTTATATTAAATTACAGATTCTATTAATCTTTAGTCTTCTTATTTTTATATTAGGAATTATTAATTTAATAGCACAAGATTTAAGGTTGTATTTTATTAAAATTCATGTACACCATTAAGTTAATTCTTAGTATAAAAATTTATTGATAAATAAATAATATCAAAACTCTTAATTTGAATATTTAAGAGAGGAGAGGGATTATGGATCTTGGGTTCCAATGAATAATTTTTTGACATATTTAAGAATCACTTCAGAATCACTTATCTTAGTAGACTTCAGTATATCCTTTATGATTTAAAAGCTTGATAAATATTCTTTGCAAATGAATCTAGCCTCTTCATTAGAGAAAAGGACCTTTAAATCTTTTCGAGTATAGTTCTTTTTATTGTTTACTTTACTAATAAACTTTTTTATAGTAATATTCTATCTGACTAAATCTTTATAATTGTTGACTAAAATTAATGTAATAATTACGAAAGTAATTCTTAATTAGTACTCCCATATTTTTAGGGATATTCTTTGCTTCTTAATAATTTTTGTTTTAAGCTTTCTGATTTTGAATGGAATTAGAACTATAATATAGTTTTTCTCCTTCCTATTATTCATCACAGACCTCATATTAGCTCTTTTCATCTAAATTGTTTAAAGTAGAAGGATTGAATAGATCATCAGGCTCGAAAAATATATTTGACATAATTTTAATTATTAATTAATGTTAAAATAGTTTTTAAGCTTAATATTCTCTGATTATATCTATAATTCTTATTAAATTTATTAGTTTTAATTGGATTAGATGAATTCTGTTTTTTATAACTTTTGATTGAAATGAGATGAACAAGATGAACCTTAATAATTCAATATTTAAATATTTATATTGATTTGATAACATTGCAAAAAATTGAATAGTTTGTTTTTGAAAGTGTTTTTATATAAAAAAAGATATTAATTTATGGTTTATAAAATCAGAAATAAGTCATTCTTCTGGACTAGAGCTGGATGGAAAAATAATTGGCATCCTAAGAATTTTAATGCTCCTAGACCATCAAGCTCAGAATTCACCATCGGTATTAGATGTCGTTATGATCATAATTCATTTTTGAGAGGCAATGAAATAAAATTTATTTATTAGCTTATCATTCATATAGAAAGATTTCAAGACATTGTAAATAGTACTTCTTTGGTAATAAAGAATTGGAGGAATTATTTTAGATGGGTTTAAGAACATTTTTCATTGTACCACACATTGCTGAATGTTAAGTGACTCAAATTAAACATGGTGGTGAAAGAAGAATGGTAGATTAAATTGATAGAGATTTTGAATTAGTATCTTACAATTCTCATCCATATTAATTATTTACTTACACAATTTGGAATTAATATTTAGCAAATTAACAAGAAGCATATGAATAAAGAAAGAATGGTGGAAAAGCTATTGAAGATTAAGTTATTGATCATATTAGGTATATATTTTGAATATTATTTTATTAAGTGAATTGGTAAAGGATGAAAAAGCTAAATTAGGAGCTGGAAAATAATTAAGTATTGAAAGAACAGCAGAAATTGTTATGAATGTGATGAGATAATTGAGAGCAGCTTAATAAAGACCAAATCTTAATAATAGGTAAAGATTTACTATTTATAGGTAAGACGTGCAGATGGAGAATTTGATGATTTCCTTGAATAAAGAAGACCATTCACAGCTCCAAATAACTAATCAGCTACTCATTGAGCTGATTATATTAAAAACAATATATAACAACTTATTAATTATATTATTTATGTATTATTTCAATATTGTAAAGCTTCCTAAGCATAAAATTTAACATCTCTATCATTATCATCAATTAATTCATTTATTGCTCTACTTTACTATTAAATTTATACTATTTTATTTGATTTAATGTTCCTTAATGATCAATTTTTTTTGATAATGATTTTGCCACCTTTATACTAACAAATCTAATATTTGGAACATTATCTTTCATGCATTTCTATACAATTGGCCATAATTTATCTTGAATCATAGGTCCATCAGCAACTAATCCAATTTATTAAATTGCATATAAAGCATTCATTCTATATAAGAATCCAACATCCTTATTGAGAGTCTCTAAGCATTTAGACAAAAAACTTCCTAATGCCCAATCTATCTTATAAGTTTAAATTAAATCATTTAATCTACTTAAACCTATTGTTCTAACTTCAGCTGCTCTATCCTTTAAAAATAAAACATAGACTGGTTCTAAATGTTTTAAGAATATATCTGTATTTTTGAGAGTTCTATGATAATAATAAAACACAAATACAATGCTAGATGGAATACAGTTTACATAGTTTCTTTTCTAACTCTCCATTTTGGATCTTCCATACTTTTTTTCAAATGAGGAATAAATTGACTTAATGCATCAGGTCCAATAGAAGCAGCAAATATTCCAACTGATTAAGCTGCATTTTTTCTTACATCTTAATTATCATCACTCATTAATTCAATTAAATAGGATTGCAATTTGCTTTAACTAATATCTTTTGGTAAAATGGTGGCAATCTATCCAATAACTAAACAAGCATTTTCTATATAATTATAAATATGTTTTATACATTTCACTTATGCAAATGCATCCTTTGCTAATAATTATAATAATGGTATTATAAGGTTTAATTTCTCTGGAGATACAAACTTAATAAATTTAGCCAAACTTTTAACAGCAATTACTCTGACATCACTTTCAGAATCTTTTAGTAAGTTTGAAAAGATCTAAATTAATGAAGAATCTGCAATCTCTTTACCAACAGCTTCAGCTAACTTAATATTTTAGATTAATAAAATACTTCTGCAAATATCTTTGACAATGCCAATCTTACTCTCCATGATTTATCTTCTGCTGAAGATATAATTAATGGTAAGATATTTGTTTTATTTTCATTGATGTTAAGAATTTTAGCAATATTCATTATACTTTCCATACACAATAATCTAACTTAATCTTATTCATCTTAACATAATTGTTTCAAAACAGTTATCAAAACTTCTATGACATGATTTTTATCCATATATTATGCTATTTCACCAATTTTAGTAGCAACAGCCCTTCTAACCATTGGTGTTTCTTCACTGCATAATTCAGTGAATTTTCTTAAAAATAGTTAAATACACATAAAATACTATCTTAGCTTTTCTTTTTAATTTCCTGATCTAGAATACATAGGACACATTAAACTAACAGCAGAAACTCTACATGTAAAATTGGCTTCATTTGAAGCTAGTTTTAAAATCTATTAATTCTTAATAGTTCTTACCATTGGGACTATTGTATTTGCAATTTCGTTGTCTCCTAAAAAACTACATACAATTGTTATTGATTTAACAGCTTACTCTCTTACTACAGTCTCATCAAATCCTGCCAATTGTTCTAAGATTGGCAATAAGCATATAGATTATTATGGAATGATTTATCTAAATAAACCTATTAAAATACGCAATATAGCCTAATTCTTCTGCCATTGCAAATAAGACTTCATCATCCTCTTTCTTCATCAATGCTATAAATTGATTATCAAATAATTACTTTCAAAATATGGCAAAAGAACAGACTTTATTTTATCTGTTCCTAATAGTGTTGCGATAACTCTAACTCTATGCATTGCATTAACTTTAAGATAAACTTCTTCATTTTCCATTTCCTCTTTGAAAACATCTATTGGATTATCACCCATATTTGATTGATTTAAATCTTTAATTATATATATATATATTTTTACGATATAGATTCAATTTACATATTCTGATAATCCAAAATCAGCAGCCTCTTATAATGCTTTACTTAACATATCCTAAACAAAAGTTTAATCTGATTTTAATGACAAAGATTTATGATAAAAATGAATGGCTTTACTTAAACTGTTTGGTAACTCACTTAAATGATATGAAAATGCCAATCCAAAAAATATTTATGGAGAAACTGAATTTAACTATAATAAATATGTAATTAAAATTACCTAAATACACTTTTCAAATATTTAAATAGCATTTTTATAATCCCTTTATTTTCTAAAAGTATGTCCTAAATTTTAAAGTGCAGATTCTCTAATTTTATGATTTGAATTTTGACAGAAAACTAAAGCATTTAAGAAATACTATATTAAAAAATAATATATTTACATCTTTGGCTTCATTATATTTTTTTTATTTATAAGCAATTACACCCAATTCATTTTGAATCATAGGATCAGTTGGATTAATATCTTTTGCCTATTATAAAGACAAAATTGCTGTTTATAAATTATTTGTCCTCAAATATTCCATTCCAATATAAACATGTGCTTAATAACAACCTGGGAATTATCGAGTTATAGATCTATATATTGACATTGCTTAATCTGATTCATCTTGAATAGCATAGGAATGTGCCAATCCTATCCAACTATATATGAGATGTTAATCTAATTAGATAGATTTTTGAAATTATTTCCTTGCTACTTCATATTTTTTTGTTGAGAAATAATATACTCCAACAACAAACCAACTTAAAGCATTTGATGAATAATTTTCTATCAAATTATGAGCACAAAAATATAATTCTGCTATTTAATCTAATTCCAATAAACATGATACATATGTTGGAATCACATCAAAATATAATGGATCTTATTTGATTGCTTTTAATGACCAATCATATGCAGATGCAATATCATAACTATAATATGCCTTCTTTGCTTTAACATTCAGTATATCAATATTATTTTTCCTGTCTAATGTTACATAAACTAAATCATTTTATATTGAATTTTCCTCTTTTCTTATATATGGACTTCTTATAGGTGATGGCTTCATTTATTAAATATCCACTTTATCCACTATTTACAATTATTATGCTATCTTTCTTTTCTCTTCTTACAAATGATCTGCTATTTTCTGATTCCCAATATCACAATTTATTGTTTTACTCACATAATAATCTTTTAACCATACTTCATCTGAATTTAATTAAATTTATTGAATCAGATTTTCCTTCTCATCAGAAGATATTAAATATGAATCTACTAATTATTAAAAAACTCTAACATTTGTTGGAGTCTTCTATAAACACTCATAATAATTTGAAACTGCTAATTATTTATTTTCTAATGCTTCATAACATTATCCTCTTATCCAATCACTTTATGATGTAATTTCATCTTACAATATCTCTATTCCTAATTCATATTGCTTATTTGCATATAAGGCTCTAGCAGCTAATACTGCAAAATCACCTTATGTCAATTTGTACTTTAAAAACAAATTATATACTCCTGAATATTCTGCATTTGCAAAATGACACTAAAATTATTATAGTAAGTAATATTACAATTCCAAGCATAAATACCAAATATGCCTATGTATTTTAATCCTGATTTAGGCATAATAATTTCTCAGCAAAAAAGATAGCTTACTTGTATTACCCTTAAAGATAGCTACTAATTCCCAATTAATATATATTCATAAATGATGGATTATTTAACAATTGATTTGCAAATATTGAATTTGATGAAAGATTAAAATAAGGTAGTTGTACTTCATAGTACATATTTTAGTATTTCTAAGGTTCACTTGATTATCTTATTATTTTTGATGTCTTTTTTTGAATTGACATTAAACAATAATATTAAAAAATTTGAATTTTTATATTAATTTTATGCTAATTCTAATTATACTAACATTTGTACATGCTTTTTAAGAATAAAAAGTTTTAGCCAATCTAAATCAACCTTAATTACATTGTCTAGACATTTAAACTGATAATAAACTTTATGATATTAAAGTGTCCTTTCTTGGAAGTGTAGGCATTGATATAACAATGTTTTGGCAATCTCAATAATAATCATTTATTGAAACCATAAACAATTATTAACCAATGGATACAGTTAAATTAAGATTTAGAAATGATTTAAATAGAAATGAAAATTGTTTCTATGTTGTTGGATATTAAATTTCAAGAGGATTGACAAATGACACTAAATTCTAATATATTATTAGTATTTTTCATTTAATAAAATTTAGAATTAGAAGAAGTCTTAATTGATGACCTAAATTGGACCTATTTAGGTTAATATCTTTTTGTTATAGTCGTCCCTTTTATTATTGTGTAATTTATTAAATGATGAATGGATATCTAAATATTATCAATTATTTTATTATCAATTACTTTATAAAATATTTCTATTTGTATTTCCTTTTAAATTTTTTATCTTATAATTTATTATATATATTATACATACTCTTCAAGCTATTTATAACCTTAAATCAATTAAATATATCGTTGTCGGCCATACTAAGCCTAAAGCACCGGATCCCATTCGAACTCCGAAGTTAAGCGGCTTAAGGCGAGGTTAGTACTAAGGTGGGGGACCGCTTGGGAAGTCCTCGTGTTGACAACCCTTTTTTTTTTTTATATTAATTCTAAAATTTAATTATTTTATACGAATTATTAAGATTATAAAATAATCTTTAATATTTATACTATTTTATTAACATATTTTAATTTTATGTTTATGACTATTAAAAATCAAAGTTATCAACCTATATCATATAAGTTTTGATGGTTTTTGAACAATAATCTTGAATTTGGAGATTAAATAAAATAATATTTGATATCTCTTATTATAGATCATTATATATAATGTTTATTAATGTATATGATAGTAATGATTTGAATGGAATAAATATTAATAATATAATGTTTTCAATTCATTATCTTAAAATAAATAAAGATACAATTGTCTTGATTTATATATTTAAGCTATGAATATGTTCAAGACAATCTAAATAATTTTATATAGAGTTGGTATTAATCAAGGATTGAAACTAACAATATATATTGAATATTTTCCATTTTATAAATGTATTTAAATATACTTTATATTTTTCATAAATATATATTTTGAGATCTCCAAAATTAGCAAATTTAGATTCAGCTTCAAAGAAAGCAAACATAAATCATGAACAATATATATTTAATTCAATAAATTTTCAAAATGCATAATTAAAGATAATTTAGAATTTTTTCGAATGACATTCCAAAAAGTTCTTATATGTTCATAAGAATATATTGTTGGAAGCTGAGAAAAATAATTTTATTTTATGAATAATCATCCACCTTCTAGACTTGAATAAAACAAATCCACGTAAGAATCCAAACTAAATACCTTAAGAAAATATTATGAGCTTTCTTTAGAATAAAGAAAAGATCTCGAATATTTTACTCTTATCAAAAAGTTCATAAATAATTAAGAGGAATATCATGATACTGACTCTTCTAATGCTTTTAGCTTATCTGAGACTTCAAATACTGTGTATATTGAAGGAAGTGAATAACAATAGATATGCATAAGGATGTTTGATATAATAAGATAAATGAAAAGAGCAGTAAAATAGTCTTAAAAATTATGTTCAACCAAGATCAAAAAATTGAATAAGATTGTTGAAAAGAGACATAAAGAGATCANGGTTAGTACTAAGGTGGGGGACCGCTTGGGAAGTCCTCGTGTTGACAACCCTTTTTATTTTTTATATTAATTCTAAAATTTAATTATTTTATACGAATTATTAAGATTATAAAATAATCTTTAATATTTATACTATTTTATTAACATATTTTAATTTTATGTTTATGACTATTAAAAATCAAAGTTATCAACCTATATCATATAAGTTTTGATGGTTTTTGAACAATAATCTTGAATTTGGAGATTAAATAAAATAATATTTGATATCTCTTATTATAGATCATTATATATAATGTTTATTAATGTATATGATAGTAATGATTTGAATGGAATAAATATTAATAATATAATGTTTTCAATTCATTATCTTAAAATAAATAAAGATACAATTGTCTTGATTTATATATTTAAGCTATGAATATGTTCAAGACAATCTAAATAATTTTATATAGAGTTGGTATTAATCAAGGATTGAAACTAACAATATATATTGAATATTTTCCATTTTATAAATGTATTTAAATATACTTTATATTTTTCATAAATATATATTTTGAGATCTCCAAAATTAGCAAATTTAGATTCAGCTTCAAAGAAAGCAAACATAAATCATGAACAATATATATTTAATTCAATAAATTTTCAAAATGCATAATTAAAGATAATTTAGAATTTTTTCGAATGACATTCCAAAAAGTTCTTATATGTTCATAAGAATATATTGTTGGAAGCTGAGAAAAATAATTTTATTTTATGAATAATCATCCACCTTCTAGACTTGAATAAAACAAATCCACGTAAGAATCCAAACTAAATACCTTAAGAAAATATTATGAGCTTTCTTTAGAATAAAGAAAAGATCTCGAATATTTTACTCTTATCAAAAAGTTCATAAATAATTAAGAGGAATATCATGATACTGACTCTTCTAATGCTTTTAGCTTATCTGAGACTTCAAATACTGTGTATATTGAAGGAAGTGAATAACAATAGATATGCATAAGGATGTTTGATATAATAAGATAAATGAAAAGAGCAGTAAAATAGTCTTAAAAATTATGTTCAACCAAGATCAAAAAATTGAATAAGATTGTTGAAAAGAGACATAAAGAGATCAATACAATCAAGATTAGCCTTGGTATTTTATGAATAAAACTATTACTATATTGTTAATTAATTGTATAATATATATATATTTATTAATCATTTATCTAATTCAAAATTATTTATAAAAACTTTAATATCTTAATTAACATCTTCTGTTATTAACTTAAATTACTATAATGATAATTTATACCAATCATTTAAGAAATCTTTGATTTATTTATTCTTTTTATTAAATTTTTGAATTGAATAGATTAAGTGAGAATTCATACCAATAACTCTTGAATAAATCTTTTAAAATATCATCATTTCTATAATATTTTAAGATCTAATGACATCTTTTAAAAATATTATGTTCTCAAACTTAAATTTAATTAATTTACATTTATTTATTGCTTTATCAAATCTTCTTTTTTTTATTTCCTAATTATTGCACTTGATCATTTATCAATATACTTATCTAATCTATCATAAATTAAATTAGGATCAAATTTAACATTTATTAACTTTAAGTGAATATTTCAATACTAAATTTAACGACTGACAATACCTTTCCTAAGTTATTTTTATAGTAATGTATTATATCAGATTTAAAACACTTTTTCTAAGTTAAATAATATTTCAATAAGATTCACCAAATTTTCTTTTGTCCATCATAAGCAAGAGAGCTTTGCTTTAGTTTACTTTTTACAATAAACATTCATTATTTTTTAACTTATATCATTTTACACTTCTTTCCATAATTCAAGTTCTTTATTTAGTTAATATTCATTTTTTATTTTTATTAAATAATTACTGAATCTTATCAATAGGTATATCTTATATTTTCAAATTATTCTTTTCAATTTAGTAAGGTTTTTCATGCTATTTCTTATCTTTTTTAAGATTCTCTATTTTTATTTATTTATATTTGACATTCTCATTTGAATGAATGCAATTCAAATATTTTATTTTTTTCCCAATTGAATTAAAATTTATCAGTTTATGTACAATAATATAATGTTCTAAATTTAGCAAAATTTTTGAGGCAATATCAAAAACATTTATTTGAGTTCCCTCATTTATTTTGCTACCATTGCCTACAAGAAATATGAAAATATTTTCTATTTAAACTTATATTATTCAAAGTCATTAATCATATTATCATATATTTTATTTTTAATCATTCTCCATCCTTAAATGGTAAATACTAAATTATGATTTATTATTCCTTTTAATTGTCTTTGATATAATTTATTTATCTAAGCTCTTCGGTGAAAAACTTGTGGAATTTTGTATTAATATAATTTTAGTAAAAGTATCAAGGCCATCTTCAAAAAGTAAAGAAACTATTAATTATAAGATCAAATAGTATAATATTTATATTGTGTAAATCTATGTAGTTTAAGGACTAGTATATGATGTATAAACTTTAAAAAAGGTATTTCTTTAGAATTATTCAATACTATAATAAAAATATAATCAAATACTCAAATTATTTGTGTTTATAAGTAAATTATTGATAAATTAGTACTTATTTATGTGTTATTTTAAGAGTATCTATAAATATAATTAAAATAAATAGTAATATTTCTATTGATAAAGTATAAAATGAAACTACCCTTCATTTATAACTTCATATTTTTCAAATAAATTTTCATTTTGAATGTAAAAATACTTAAATATTTAATGAGATTAATAACTTAAAATAAATTGAAATTACACTTTAATAGATACAGTATTAAATGACATTAAGATTTTCTTAATATAAAATAAAATATAACTAAATTTATAAAATTTAGATAAATCACTTAAATGATAATATCAAATAAAAGTAAAACTAAAAATTCTTTTATGATAATTAATCTTTTCTAATACCCATTTTTATGTTCTTTGATATTTTAATTCAATAAATAAAAATGTTTTCAAATTATAAATCTATTTAGTCTAAAAAGCTTCTCTTTTTTTTCCTTTATGTTTTTAAATAAATAAACTAAAATAATTTGTAATAAATTCCATGTTTATTATGATATGTGCTTACTATTATTGAGTGAAATATTAAATAACATACTTTTTTGATGATGATTGCCAATTAAACATAATAGGTTTTTAAAAACAAAATAATTTTTGGTAATTTGGCTAAATAATAAAAAAAAACAATATGTATTCACTTCCTGGAAGCAAATAACGAATTTTGTTACCTTAAAGACATAAGACAATTTGCTTTAAACCTGAAATCTAAGAAATTTAGAAACTAAAGCATTCAAAGGCTCTTCATCCATTTCATTAGAAGTACAAGCCTATTTCTTCTAAATGTTTGGAATATGTCCTTTCAACAAGGTTGGATTATTAGACTATTATAAGTTCAAGTGAATCTGAAGGTGAATGTGAGAACAATAAAAGTTGTCATTGTAGAGATTGTGGACATTAATCTAAGAAAATGAAACATATGAAAAAGAAATATCGACGTTTTAGTCCTGTAATGCATGAAAGAATAAGAGAAAGAAGAAATAAACTAAAACAAAAATTTAAAAACGCAGTTTATGTTATTATGTGGATGCAAAAATTAGTAATATAAAGAAAGAAGAAACCTATAATAATAAAAAAGATAGTTAGAATGAAGACTAAATTCTTTGAAGCTCCTCCAGAACCACCACAAAAAGATTAGTAGATCATTTATCTAGAAGTAAAATCTTAATTTTATGTGTGAAGCCAATCCAACCAGTGCAAGTTTAAATGATTGATTTTAGACATAAATAGAGATAATCAATTGTCAACTATCTAAATAATAAATTGCATGATTAAGAACATCATTCAAATAATTATTAGTTATCGCTTCCAAAAGTACGACACTAAAATAATCTCTCCAGTAGTCATTCAAGATTATTACTTAAACCTTTGAAAACCTAAAATGATGAAATACTAACTCCATAAAGAAATAATTTACATTCTATAATACATAAAGCTACTCCTCCATAATAATCCTCAAGTTCTCCTTATTTAAAATAACCACCTTTGACAACTAGAATAAGATCATTATAAAATAGACTCTATCTACCTGGAAAATATTGAAATTTGAATCATCTATACTGTGTTAATTGCAATATATATTATAAGTTATCATTAACATTATTAATTATTGTTACTAAATTTATAAAGTATTGTAATTATTTTAAAATATATATTTAAGACATATAAAAGTATTTAATTAACATTTTTATATATCAGAAAAGATTTGAAAATGAAATAAGTTATTTTTAGACTTAATTTATAATAATAATCAATAGAAACTAATTCATTTGAAATAATATGATTAATATTAAATAAATGATTTAGTTAGAATATACAGGAATAGTTGAGAATATTTATTAATGAGAATCAGCAGCATCATATGATATTAATAAGTAATTTCTAAATAATTGAATTGAAGTTTGGAAAAACATTCATTAATTTATAGATGTAAATTACTTAAATAATAAATATAAAGATAGATAAGTAGATAAGTAATGAAAAGATAAGAAAGTCTTGTATATTTTATAATCCTTTTTGATTTGATAAATAAAGATAAGAGAAAAAATTGTGAAATGAAATAATTAAGAATTTTATTCATTTTTACCTAAAGTAATTTGATATTTAATAGTTTATTTTGATTGAGAAAGTCAAAGAGTAAAAGTAACCAAATTAGAAACCTATTTGTGTCCATTATAAGGTACTACTAATATGTCGAATATTAGTAGTACCTTAAAAGATATAAGTAAAAAAGAACTATTGATTAAAATGAAAAAGAATTTATGAAAGCTTGATTTATAAGAGAAGAGGTGTTTGGAATTTAATAAATAAGATGATAATTGATTAATATATCAATGTGATTCAGGGTTGTGAGTTTAGTTTGATGCTAATGTATTAAAACGGATATGCATAATTAATTTTAATGAAAATAGTATTATTGCTATGCATGATGATGGCTGTCTCTTTTGGAATCTCATCTAAATTAAGTCATGCTAAGAAGTTGGAAGAACTACATGGTAGCAAGTTAGGCAAGACCATTTTAAATTTAGTGAATCTTCATTCATTAGTATAAGGTCCAATATCTGAATTAATTGAAGCAATAGAAGAATTAGTAAGTTTAACAATAATAATAGATAGGTGATATTAACACTAATATTGATGAAGTAGAATACAAATTTTAAGTACGCACAAACGAACATAATTCTTATGTTGCTTAGGTTGGATAATAATTACAAGATGCTGAATAAGATATTGCAAGAATGATAGATGTTATTGATAATTTATTGATTCCAAGAAGGGATTAAATAAGAAATAAAATTGAATCACTCATTGAATATGATGAATTTAATAGAAAAAACGTAGATGAAACTACATTACTTAGAGAATAAGAACATGAAGCATATCTTTAATAAATAGAAGAAGACAATGATGCACTTGATGCCATTGATGATGCTATCAATCTTGTAAGTTCTTTATCAAATCCATCTTTATTATAAATTAAGAATATCAAATTTACATTAAAAAGATTGTCATCTAAATAATGGAATCGTGTTCATCAAGGACCTATGGTATAAGCTTTACTTTAAATTGCATTAAATTAAAATTTCAGTGATTAAGGAATATTGAAATAAATTGTAGATGCATTAAATGAATTTAGAAATCAAATTGTTGATGCTATGAATGCATTAACTAAATAAGAATAAATTAATATTCAAGAATTTGAAGAAAGATTAGAATAATTGGATGATGAACATAAAGAATTCTAAAGACAAATCAATTAATCATAAGTTGAACTTGATGCTACTACTTGTATTTATTAATTAATATAAAAATATAGAAAAATTAGAAGATTGCAATTAATTCCTTGTTTAAAGATAATCTGATAGATTATAATATAAATCCTAATTAGATTTAGAAAATGAAACCTATGCTGTTGACACTGATATCTACACTCAAACTGCTAATGAACTTTAAAGAGAATTGCCAATTGCAGAACAAGGATTATCGCTTATCAAATCAGCTGATTTTTCTGATATTAAGATATGAATCAAAATACATAATTATTTATTTAATAATAAAATCAAAAATAATTATTTATTTCAAATATCTTTAATTCTCAATCTCTAAGGATTAAGATTATAACTATTTGATATCAAAGTACAAATTTATAAATTCTTATATTAGATTATAGTAATCTTACAAATTTAGACATTCTTTATTATTCCATAATTTTATTACTATATAAATTACAAATAATTAAATATATCATTTAATTAGATTGATTAAAAACAATAAATTAAAATGATATCAATAGCAATATTTATAATTAAAAAGGATTAACTCCTTTAAATATTGCAGTATTGAATATTACTTAAATAAATATGAAAATGATAATTCAGCTAAATTTAGAATCATAGTTTAAAAAACGATTCTCTAAAAGATTATATGGATTTTTTAATAAGTTTAATTTTTATTATGAGTTACTTTAGTGATATCAATATTAATTATTTAATGTAGAGTATTTAAGTCTCTTTTGCTGATAAATATCCTGATAGAGTGTACGATAATAATACATTATACTTAGTCCAATTTTGCTTTAAATTACAGATAAATCTAAAATTCGATTTTCAGATGGATCACAACACAAAAAATATTTAGTTAGTAAATCAGATCACTTCTATCATTTTTTTTAAATACTCAGAAATTCTTTAAAATTGTCAAAAAAAGAAGCCATATATTTATTTGTTAACAATTCTGGATTGATTAAACCTGGTAATTAAAATTTCTTAATTAGAAAGTCAAGTTGGAGAAATCTATTCTAAACATCGAAGTAATGATGGTTTTTTAAGAATAATTTTAAGTGAATATGCCACCTTTGGATGATATTTTTGAGAATCTATTATTATTTCTGAATAATTGTTATTATATTTTATTTAAATTTTTACATACTTGTACATAATGCTATGAAGATTTATATCATATCATTAATAATTAGTAAAAGTATTTGTTTTATAATAAACTTAAAGAAATACGCTTATTAATTGAATAACATATAATTTCATAATGAACTTTTTCTTATACATATATGTTCTTATCTTAAAATAACAAGTTCATGAGATTTCTAAATTTCTGGAAAGATGTTGCCATCCCAATAATTTCTTATCATCACAGGAGGATCTTTGTGTTTATAAACATAAAAAGAAGAGGATTTTCTCAAAAATTAATTAGACAACAACACTTAATTGCAAACTTATTAATCTTTTGGACAAGGAGGTATTTTTTCAATTTCTATTTATTATTTTTCTGTAATAGCATTTTAATGCTTTTCTTAATAAATAACTTAAAAGATTACAAATTAATTAAGCTCTAATTTCTTCTCTAGCAAAATTAAAGGCTTCTTTTTTAATTTTGATTTGGAAATAGTGATATTTAAATATTTCAACATCACAATATATATCTATATATTACTATATATAATTAATTGCATCAGCTAATAAAATATAAATCTATATAATTTACTAAATTAATCAAATTTTAATAGTTCATTTTTCAATAAAATCAATAATATTAGTGCACTAATAGTCAAAGATTTAATTCCATCTATAAATAACATTAACATAATGAAATTGGTTAACTAAGTTGGTATAACATTATACTTATGGTTTGACTTGATTTGTAAATATACATAAGTACCATTAAACTGTAAAAAAATCAGATTAAAGGTTTATTTTATGAAAATGTGTTTTTAATTCTGGAATATATTCTTAAATGTAATAATCCAATATCTATTAATCAGTTAATGCACTCAAAATATTAGTATAATAATCAATAGGCATTATAGTTTCTAATATCTAAGTAAATGTCCAAAAAGCATCTTCTAAATCAAATTTAAGAGTATTAATTAAATAATTGACAATAAAGTTTTATCCTTAACAATATCCAATTTCAGGGTTTCTAATTGAATAAGCAATTAAGACTGTTTCAATTTATTTTTCTATTTATTTTTTCTTTATTGAATCAAGATGATTTAAAGTTCTAACAGAATCCTATAATCATTAATAAGAGTATTTACTAAATAAATAGGTTCAAATAATTCAGGAGGATATTTATCTTTTTATTCAAGCAATTTTAAAAATACTCCCCTATTTTACAATTTAATTACTCTAGCTCCGGATAGTTCTAATAAAACCCTTAATATAATACATATTATACCAATTAATATTTAGATCACAAAAATCTCCTGTTTTTATTAATTTTTTGACTCTTTTTTTGATTTCTAAACAATAACATTCCCTAGTATACAATTATTTAAGATGCTAAGAATTTTAATTTAAAATACAGTATTAATTTATTCAATTACTAATTCTGGTTTATTTTAAGATTTTTTCATAATTTATAACTAATCTCTTCTGAATGGTTTGAGTTGATTATTCTCATCTTTAATACTCATTTTCAAAGTTTCTTAAATATCTACTTTCATTTCATCATTTAATATCTTCTAATAAATATCGTTTTGCTTATCTCTAATATAATTTAATCTTTGAATAAGTAAATTCTTTCTTGGCTTTTTTTGCATAATCAATTAATTAAATTAAAAAGAAAAATATAATTGACTTTATTCTATAAATACTAAAATAATAAAGGAAGATAAACATAAACTTAGTATGTATGAACAAATATTTTGATAGATTATATTAATTATAATGATATTTTTAATACTAATTATCATATTTATAATATATTATTATTATTGCTTATTTAGTAAATTATGGAAAACTAACATCCATTCATAGTACTTCTATTAGGAGATTGTAATACTGGGAAAACTACAATAGTTGAAAGATATTTAGAAAATAAATTAGTTGACCCATAACCAACAGTTGGAGTAGTTAAAAGAGATAGTTAAATAGATATCTGTAATAGTAATTAGAAAGCATAAGTAATTTCTAGTCTAATTAGATATATGATACATCTGGGAATGAAAAATTTAGAGCTTAAGTTTTAGCTGAATTCAAGAATGCAAAAGCTGTTGTATTGGTTTATGATATTACTGATTATTAAAGTTTTTAAAATGTATAGACTTTACAGAAAGGTAATAATTAGATTTATTGTGAATTAGAAGTAATAAGATAGAATCCAAATATAGATTTTTGGATACTTGTAGGAAACAAGTTGGATTTGAAAGAACAAAGAAAAGTTAATATTGATGAAGGAAAGAAATTTGCTTCATAAATTGGAGCTAGATTTATTGAATGTTCAGCTTAACAACCAAGCAATATCAATTTAATATTTTTAACTATTTAATAATGGACTTAGATTAATATTTAACCAAAATATGTCCCAGAATAAACTTAAAGACTTTTAGAGAAATTGAATAATGATGAATAATAAAAATAATAATTGTAGACTTCTAATTCAAAAAATAATTAAACTAAATTTAAAAATAAGAATACAAGTTTCTCATTAATTTAGAATAATACAAATAATATAGTTTCATAATCATTTGATGATCAATAAAATTCATTTAATGGTGATAGTATATAAGATTATTTTGCATAATTATTAAAAAAAACAGATATATAAAAAGTAAATTAATGATATTATTAAGTTAGCTGATGTGATTGTAGAAGAAGCATAAGATAATGTAATTTAATCTTTGAGATAAGAAACTCTATTAATATCAAATTCAAAACCATTATGTATTCTTGATGAAGTTAATTCTCAATTATAAGATAAAATTGAAAATAAAATATTGATGATGAAAAAGAAACATAAATAATTAGATAAATTAAGAAAAGAAATAGCATAGAATTTGTTACTTGTTTAAGAATAAAGGAAAAAGCTAACAGCTGATTAAGTTATAGAAAATACTCAAACTTAAAAATTAGAAAGAGAATTATAAAAAAGATTATTGAGTGTTGAACGAAATATGGATTTCTTAAAAACTGATATTTTATTATCTTAAAAAACTTAGAAGTTTAGTACTAATAATAATAATTTTTTATCAAATGATTAATCACTAATTATAAAATAACATATTAGTTAAATTCATAATCCAGAACATATTAAGGAATAGAATGAATAAATTGCTAAAATTAAAAATGAAAGAAAGAAATTAGAAGAATAAAGAAATCATAGATATAAATAATATGTTGATAATTTAGAAGCTCTATAAAAATAAGAAAAAGAAATTAGACTTAAAAATGAATAAGATTTAATTCAAAAGAGAAAAGAAAAAGCTATGTAAAAAATAGCTTCAATGGATAAAATGCGATAAGAACGATCCTAATAAATGATTAAATAAAATGAATAAGTTAAATAAATTATTGGAACTACACCATTACATGTTAAATTAGAAAATATATTCTAAGAAAAGATTAACAATACATAATTAGAAGAACACAAATTAAAATTGAAATAAATTAGAGATCTACATTAACCTATTAGAATGAATGATTTAAAATAATGGGAAGAAAATTATGAAAAAAGGAGAAAATCATAAGAAAATATTAGAAATTAAAAAATTATATAAAATAATCAAATAACCTATCAACCTTCTTATGAATCCTCTATTTATAAATAAGTAAAAGAAGAATAATCTAAATAATTTAAGGATAAAGATTAAACTCACAAAGATTATTTATTAAATTAATAAGCTAAATAAGAATTTTTAAATAAACTTAAGGATTATCTTCCTTCTATTAGTCCAGAAAAATAATAGGAATTAGAATAAATTATTAATAAAGCACATCACAAAATCAATTTTTATGAATTTATAGAAATGACAAAAAAAGTAAAATTAAAAGGAGTATTTTTTGATAAAGAAGGAAAAATTGTAGAAAGAAATGTTGATGTAAAATTCTTATGTACATAAGATAGGAAGAATATTATGAGAAAATAAAAGAAAATGAAAGGAATGAAGAACAAAGTGCTAAAGTAATAGGAAATAAGTATCTAAATGATATAAGAAAGATTATCAAAAAACCAAGTTAACATGAAAGTGTTGATAAACTATAAAGCTAATCAAATCCAGAATAAGGTTATTAATAAGCAGTTAGAAATCCAAAATAAAATAAATTGAATGAAATCAAATCACATTGGAAATTAAAGCCAAAATTAATATTTGAAGAAACAGATCTTGAAAAAATCATAGATGGTAATGAAGGTAATAAATGTTAAATATTGAAGTGGCTGGATTTTCAAATCATCATGTTATGCAGGAAGCAAATAAATTAGCATCTGAAGCAGTCAGAAAAATATAAATTATAGAAGCAAAAGGATAAGGCAAAGAATGCTTTAAAGATATTGATTCAGCAGATAAGTTATTAATTAATTCTATCAAGGTATTATTTTTTAAATATTTATTTATAGGCTAAGCTCACTTTAATGGAAAAAGAACTAAAATCTGAAAATAGAGGAATAACTACTAACCAAAAGAGAGGAAGAAGTAATACTAAATAGCATTCCTGAACCTATTTTACATATTCATTAAAACTCATTAAAATATTACTATACAAGTTTTTTATATAGTAATTTATTATTATTTAAATTTTTAATTAAATACTATTTAGGCTTATATAAATATAAATCTATTAATATTAGTACATTTCATAATGTGTATAATATTAATATTTCTTTAATTTAATATTATTAAATATTGATTCTCTCTCCTATTACATTTATTTATATTAAATTATATCTAATATGAATATAAATATAAATAAATTAAATAATATTTTTTATAAATATTTTGAAAAATAAGAATATCATTAATAATTAATATGATATTATTAATTTAAATTATATATATATATCAAATAACTTTTCATATTAATTAATCAAATCTTATCTGAATACAATCCATATAAACCAAATGAAATTGAAATAATAGCAAAGAATATTGAAAATATTAATGTAAACCATGCAAAGCATTTCTTATATATATCGGCATCAATCTTAAATTACTTATCCAAATATAATATTGAAGGTATCAAAAAAGTTACAAAATTCTATGAAGTAGATCCCATTAAACAACTTAATAATAAAATTGGAGGTTTGGCCATTGCAAAGAGGAATGCCATTATATAAACAATAATAGTCACATAAAATGAAATCTTTTGATTCTACTTAAGTTTGGCCTCTTCATGTATTGCAAATGATTATCTAAATTTATTTTTCATTGTCTATGATTTTTTATTGTCTTTCTCATCTTCTTTATGAAAATCACCATCAGTTATTAACATGAATTCTACATTCTTCTCTTTAGGAATTAATGGTTTTTTGTCCCAAATATTTAGTACTAAAACAGTAACATATGGAATATATTATAATAATTGCAATTAAGCACTTATTGCAATCAAAATATAGAATATGTAAAAATAGGAATCACCTAAAGGTTATTTAAAATTTTTGGATTGATAAACCATTCTAATTAAATTTCCATATAGTGATGAGAGATCACTATTTACAGAACTAAATGCTATAGCTGCCAAAATAGAGAATGTTAATTCAATACATAATAAAAATAACGAACCAAATAATGCTCCTTGTTTTAATTTCTTTTCTATATCATCATCATTCTCAAATCCCCTTTCTGATGCTCTCCCTGTAAAAAATGATGAATGATAAGCAAAAGCCATTAAAATTGTTGGAGTTGATATAAAGGATTATACAACTTTCTGACTTGATGGATATAGAGTATTGCTAATAGAATGAGAAATGTCGAAAGAAGCTATTATAATAAAAAAGATAGAAAAGACACCCAACATTCTAGCAATTGCAACTATATAAACTGGATATTTCCATTTAACAAAAAATGGAATCATCAATAGACTTCCAATGAATTATATGAATTATTGTGATGCTAATGATTCTGCCCACTTTAATATATTATCATAATTACCTAATCTTTAATATTATCTTTAGCCATCATATATATTAAGGATTATATGGAAGACTGAAATACACTCATCAATAAAACTATGTAGAGATATGCATTAAATATCATGATGCCACGATATATATCAGCTGAGTATTTGGGCATTTGAAATAATTCAAATAACTTTGTTAGAGTTCCTTGCTTCTTTTTGGATCGAGCATAGTACTTAAGATCCAATAAAAGTAAGGATTAAAAGAAACTCAAAATAAAGAAAAACAAGCAACCAAATACTCCGAATATTATCCCTATCATTTAAAAATAAAAGGGTAGAGTTAATGTGCTAAATACAAATGAAGAATTGACCACTCGAAGCATAAAATTGAAAGTCTCATTACCTTTCTATCTATGTCTACGAGGTGATAGCATTGGACTACTAATGTCGCCAGCTGAATGCCTTATTATTTAATAATCTACTCTAGCATATCGGATGAGCTCGAATTCTTCTTCTTCATTTAATTAAAATTAATAATGAAAAGAACAAAGGAAACTATCTTTAGACAACATCCTGAATAGTAATAAAGACAAGGAATAAGTGGTCTTAAAGAGTTTGATGGTGAAGATCTATGTATACCTTCTCATTTTATGTTCGTTAGAATATGATGCTCGAAATAAATATAATAAAGAGTAACAGAAGCAATGGATTTAAGAACAGATTGAAGAAAAGAGAAGAAAATAAGAATAAGAGAAAGCAGAGGAAATGGCCTATGCATAACAAACTTTAGAAATCAATAGATTTAGAGGAATGCTGTAAGATAACTTTGCAGCCAGAAAAACTGATATAGGAGTTGCTACTAAATAAACTAATCTATAATTCGTATTCATTTTATTCTAAATCAATAGGCTAAAGAAAAGAAAGACAAAGAAGAAAGAGATAGATAAGAGAAGTTATAATATGAAAAAAATGAAAGAGATTTATTATTAGAACGTGGACGTAAATAACCCTATAATGGATGATACAATGATTTTATTATCAAAAGTCAAACTTATGACATATTCAATAAAAAATATTCCTTCTCTTAATTATTTATACATAATTTTATTATCTCATTCTAAATATTTTATTTATTTTACATCAAAAGAAATGTTTAATAATAAATAAAAATTGAAAGGTTTTACATTACATTTTCTATTAAGATTTATATCTATTTTCATATGTATTCTAATATATATTATCATTAAATTCAGTAATTTTTCAGAATTATTTATTTATTTAATCTATCAATAACTTATTTTGTTTAGGTTCTGTAATTTTATTTTATATACTTTATAATTAAAAAATATATTGTATTTCAATTATTTCCTTATTGTTTTATTGATTTCAAAAGACAATCATAAGAATTAATCATAATATATTAAACCAATGATGATTTAAACCATTTATCTCATTAAATATATAATAAAAATCCAAGCACAAATAATCTACTAATCAAAATTTAAAAATTAATATTAATTTTATAACAGAATATAATGCAAGTGAAGCGAGTTGTACCAAATCCAATAGATAATTTTCATACAGAGCCTCGTTCATCATAATAATCTTGTCATGTGACTAAATCTAAGCCAATTATACCTACTACTCCCCTTTAATAATCAAAACCTAACAATTTAATTTAATCCTTAAATGGATTGTGTAAATACTTTAATCAGAAAGAAGAGACAAAATAAATTACTTATTATGCACCAAAAAGTATGTAAAGATCATCTGCTTCATTATCACCCAGGGAAATAATGGCTGCAAATATTTAAGATAATAGTCCGCTTTTGGTAAAGTAACTGTTATATGGTAAAAAGGATCAGAAAGAGAATTTTAATCCTAAAGTAGGTATGAGTATAGTGGAAGTAAAATAAGTGCCTCATTTAAGCATCAATTAAGACTAAAAATTAGTAAAGGTTAATGATAGTAGCCATAAAAAAAGTATGGGTAAATTTGCCAGGAACTAAAAATCTCGAAATGCATCTGTATAATATCATGAAGACTGGAAATTAAAATATGAAGAATTATAATAAAGTTTATGTGAAAGAATTTAATAATTAGAAAATGAATTAGAAGAAATGGAGAAAAATAGAAAAATAGATTAAATGCATTCTGATTAATAAACTAATCAATATATTGAATAATTACAATATATAATTTCTGAAAAAGATTAAGTTATTTATGAATAAGAATTAAAAAATGAGAAATTGTAAAATATTATCGATATGTAACAATAAGAATTATAGAAATTTAAGGAAACCAAATATAAAATAAATGATACTAATGAGATTTAAAGATTATAGTAAATAGATTAAAAATTTCAATAAATCAAAGGACATTTACCAGCTCTTAATATTACTCTTAGAAATATTTAATCAATATTTGATGCTGCCTCATCAGAACAATAAATAAATAATTTATCTCTATCCTCTGTCTCTATGGTTGAATTGATTAATGAATTTAACTAAGGTGTTGAAGAGAATACATAAAAGTCAATTAAAAATAATACTATATTGACTTCTAATCTTCCTGAGCCAAAACCAATAAACCTTTCAGAGATTCTAAATAGAAAAAGAAACTTATGATTTCAATAAAATTTACAAAAATTATGATTACTTAATTAAAAGTTGATTGAATTACCTCTTTAATTGGATGGATTCTTATTATGAATTTATATATTTCTAGTTGAAATTATCAATTGAATAAAAAGTATAAATTTTATATATATATAAATGGACTTGAATGAATACAAAGAAAATTATTATGATGCAAATATTATGAAAAGAAGAAGAGCTTAATAAGATAAAGTAATGGTTACTCCAATTTTGGAAGTCTTTATGGATATTTGTAAAAAACTAGATTATGTAATTAAAATTAATTTAAAAAGAGACATCAAAAGAATATTTATAGATGGTAATACCAATTAATGAATCAAGAGAAGCTCTTTAAAATACAGATTAAATTATCTTATTGAATTATTTAAAATAGATAGCTATATATTTGATAAAATCTAAATTAGAATTAGAGGATAAATTGTGCTCTCTTGGGGATAGCAAGTAATTTGAAATTGAGTTATAGAAGATGGAAGCAGATATAAGATAACATATAAGAGTGCAATAATAACTATAAATTTTACTAGAATAAGCTTAATAAAAGCTAGATGAATTTGAATCTGAAAAACTTAAATCTGAATAGTTTATAACTGAATTAAAAAAAAGTCTTGATAATAAAGAAAAAGAATTGATAACTATTAAAAATGATCTTTAAGATACAAAACATAAAGCAAATCAAAAAGCTCCATTCTAGGCAACTAAAACTGAACCTATACAATCTTCTATGGATCACTTAGACAATTTATAACTTTTCACTTTGGTTGAGAATTCTCCAAATAAAAATAATTTTAATTAAGTTTAAGCTGCCATTCGTAAAGGTCGTAATCAATAATTAAGTAAAGAACCATAAAAACCTAAAGGTGATAACACTCCTTAATTAAGTAAGTGTTGTTCTATAATAAAAGAATCTTAAAATCAAGACTCTCCAGATAAAATTGCACGAAAATATTCATAACCAAATTATATGGAGATCAATGCTCTGAGATAGTTAATTAAAAAACCATGGTAAATATATACATTAATTTCTAAAGTCCTTTAAATTAGAGAAATGAACCTTAGAGTTTTAGAAGTATTAGTTAAGAGCCTTAAAGAATCCCTAAAAAATGCTGATTTATAAAAGATTTATTTTTAATATTTACATTAATGAATTCTACAAAATCAGAAATACTTTTTGCAGGGTTCAATTAAGATTCAAGTAAACTATAATAAAATAATATAGCCATGTTTTGTGTTGGTACTGACACAGGATTTCGAGTTTGTAATGCATTAAATTCAACTGAAAAATTTTAAAGAGACTTGAAAGGAGGTATTGGTCATGTAGAAATGCTATACAGAAGCAATATTTTGGCATTAGTTGGAGGCGGTTTATAGCCAAAATATCCTGATAATAAAGTGATCATATGGGATGATCGTAAATATACAATTTCTATTTAGATCTTGTAAAATGTATTGGAGAAATGAGTTTCAGAACTAAGATAAAAAATGTTAAGCTAAAAAATGATAGAGTAGTTGTTGTTCTTGAAAAAAAAATATTTGTTTACAATTTTACAGACTTGAAACTACTTGATTAAATTGAAACATGTCCTAATCCAAGGGGTATTTTTATAATATTAGAATAAGGAATTTGTACTATTAATACAGAAGGAGATCATACAATCTTGGCAACATTAGAGAAATCTGTAGGAAAGGTTTTTGTAAACAATTATGACGCTAACAAAGCTTATTGTATAGAAGCACATGTTTCTCCAATTTCTTATCTTTAATTGAATTCAACAGGGACAAAATTGGCTACATCTAGTGAAAAAGGCACTGTAATTCGTATCTATGATACAAATACTGGGTATGTGAATACATTTAAAATAGATAAATTTCATAAGAACTTCGAAGAGGGAATGATTATGCAACAATAACTAGTTTAGCATTTGATTTTAGATCATAATGGTTAGGTTGTGCTTCTGATTAAGGAACTATACACATTTTTGCAGTCAATTAAGAAGGATTATAACAAGAATAGTAAATTTAGAATTAGGTTTCCCACAATCCAAAGAGTAAATTTGAATTTCTAAAGGGAATCATTCCTATTTTGGGATCTGAATGGAGTTTTGCTCAGTTTAGAGTGCTTGATACAAAGTGCAAAGTGTCATTTGTGCCAGATGAACATCAATTGATCGTAATTTCATATGAAGGAAAGTACTATAAGGCATAATTTGATCCTTAAAAAGGAGGTGAATGCATAAAAGTGGAAGAGAAATACTTGATTAGTGATAAAGTTTGATTTAATATGTTAAATAACTCATAAACAAATTAAATTCTAATATCAAAAATATTTGTAGCTTAATGTCTTCAGGATTACGAATAAGCTACAGCTCTTTTGGAATAGTTAACAGGAAATTTAGTTGAAAATTTGAATATGTTCAATAAACATCCAAAAATCCATAAAATACTATAAGACAACTTCGAAATATTCCCTGAAAATTATTTAGTATAACCACAATAAATGGATGAAGGTATTGAACAATATCATAAATATTTGGAGTAAATTTGTAATTAGACAAGTAAGGAAGGTAAATGATAGAATAATGTTTTAGAGAAGAAAACCAAGAACAAGAATCCCTGGACAGAGGAAGAAAGGAGATTATTTAAATAAGCAATAAAAGAAGGATCATCAAAAGATTGGAAAGCTATGGCAGCAATCATAAAAACAAGATCCCCTCCATAAGTTCGTTCTTACTATTAAAAGTATATGAAAAAGAAAAGATAAAAATTAAAGACAGAAAACAAAAGTTAATGAATAAATAATATATATATATATAATAATTAATATATGTATATATATATCAATAGAATATATAGATAATTAAATAGAAAACCAATGCAATCTAATAGCATGAATGACAACCAACACTATCCCATTTGCATTCAGTGTTTTCTACGGCATAGCTGAAACTGAGACATTAAGTTGCATATGTAGCCTTATCACATGTTTATTGATGACAAGAATTGAGATTTTTACTCCAAAAACACCTTGGGTGATTTTAACATTGTAATTTTACACCAAAATCACTACAAACAAATCCAACGCATCCTGAATGAGAAGGATAACATTGTTGTTAACTTAATTTATTAAAACTTGGACATTCTTCTATACTATAATCGCTGCACGTTTTGGTCTTACATTCATCATCTTCCCATTTACAATATAATTTATTGCAAGATTTGTTATATGTTATATCTTCGCATTTTTCTAAAGCAATACAAGAGTCTCCGTTTTCTCCATTTAAAACGCATTCACTCTTTTACATACCAACAACTTAAATAGCCCCAATACAAAATTGAACATCATAATCTTAGCACATTCTCTGATCAGCATCTGAAACACAAATTTTCTACTAATAATCCCACCGGCAATCAATTTCTTAACAATTTTCTTCGTTAGAATCAACCTTTTCATTTTCTTACAATTCCTCACATCCTGACAATTCTTAACAAAATCCAATCGTTATGTCCCAATAACATCTTAATTTTCCAGCGAAATATGAACAATCCTCACTAGTTCTTTCAAGGCAATTTATTTCTTCACAAATACCAGATTTAGTTTCAAAATAACATCCTCTTGCATCTCTACATAAGTCCTCAAAATATATCTCGTTGCATTAACATTTCTTTGCCATAGAGAGATGGAGAAAAGATAAGACACAAAATAATAATGCAATCATTTTTATTATTTAATCACCATACAATTATACCAACTTTAAATTAAAGTATCTCATCATTACATATTATTAGATATTATTAAAAATTATATATCTTTCATTTTTTGTATGATTTATATTAAAAAAAAACTAAAAGTATTTATAAAAATCATCATAAAACTGAATTTGCTAGTAAATGTTATTTAATATTAAGTGCTATTTGCAACGATGTTAAGAATATGAACAAAATATGTATTTCAAATAATAATAATTTAGAAAGAATTATTAATAATTGCAATAATATCTATAATAAATAATTATCTAAATTGTTATTCTATAAATTATACAAGATTGTCTATTTATATTTTAAAGAATAGATTTTCTTTTAAATTTTGAATAAAGATAACTAGAATTAAACTCTGTTTTTGGGTGAATTTTTAATTGCAACTATAGATAAACAAAAAAATTTTTCTTTTTTTTAAATGAATTCAATAATCAAAGTTTAACAATCAATTGATTTATCAAATAAATGTATTGTCAAATAATGCAACAAGATTTAAAATATATTTTGAATACTTTTTAGAAAATTATCATGTAGGAATAAAATCATTGATAAGATGAAATGAATCAATTTAAATTAAAAGAACCATTATTTAAATACATAATAACAATTACTTATATAAGAGAAGGTAAAAACTTTTAATTAAAACTATTCATAGAATTTCAATTATCATACTAAATATTTGATATAACTTGAAATAATTTATTAAATCTCTTTATTTAATTTTATTTATTGCAATCTAATACAATATATAATGCTAAATATCCTATAAGTTCTTAGTTGTTTATAAAAAATTAATATAATAGTATAATATTGAAAATTAATAAATTTAAAACAAATTTATTATAGTTAAATGATTATATCAAATTATATAGATCAATAAGAATAAGCTTAAAATTTAAGACCAAAACAGATTATGTCATTTTTTTTCATGTTAAAATCAGAAAAGTTTTTACCATCTGTTACCCTGACTCCTTTTATAAAACAACTAGCTTATGAAGAAGGTATTCCAACAATCTCAATATCTGATAGGCTATTGATGACTTCTAAGAAAGGTTAAATTTGAATTAATCTCCATTTATTATAAAAGTTATTTACTTAAATTGAAAATTTTTAAGTAAAGTTTTCATCTAATAGAAAATTAATATTTATCATATCTAATTATTTAATACCAATCTTAATCAAGGACATTGAATTATCAAGTAAATCATTTTTATAATATATGTATTAATGGCTTATTGGAATATTATAATTATTTTCAATTTCTTTCTTAATATTTTAAATTGTCTCAAACTCTTGAGAATTTATGATTATAATTTTGCCTGATAAGGTTTTTGCTAGAATTATGGGCCTAGATAATTTAATTGTTAATTCAAAGGGCTAGGTTTAAATTTCTACTAAATCCTAAATCTTTTAATTTTATTAAAGGGGAGTATTATTAAATAATATTGAAGAAATCATCTTATAAGGAATATCGAAATGATATTGAATTTCATGTATGATATTTTCAAAAGTAAATTTTGGATTCAATTTTATAAAGTGAGGTTTTTCATCAATGCTAAAAAGATTGATCTTAGTTTTATTGATGTCCAATAACAGAGTTGCTTCATTGTCAAATAATTTTATATATTAATATAAATTTAAATCTTCTAATTTTTCATAATCTTAAAGCACTCTCCCCGAATATATGATTTTTTATTCAGAAGGATTAATACCCTCCTTTTGTTGGACATATTATTTAATTGTTAAAATGGTTTCAGAGAGCAATAATTTTAATTAAAATATTTAATATTATTTATCCTTTAAAAAGATTACTATTTTATTATTTTTAATGATTAAAGTTTCATTTGACTAAATATTATTCTAAAAAAATGTTGTATTTAAATTTGTTATTTCTTTTTTATTAACATAAATTTAATCATCGGCATTGCCAAACCTCCATTTTTATTCTTAAACCTTGTAATGAATAGGAATAGTTATAATATTTTAATTTTATTTCTCATGAACTTTTATATTAACTTAAATATTAATAGAATTTTCCTCTTTAAATTTGTTTAATTTATTCAAAATTTCCTTTTAAGCAGAATCTAAATTATTTTTTAAATCTTCTATTATTTTTTAATTATAATCGAAATCATGAATCAAAATATCTGAAAACATTTTTATTTCACTTTAAGGCAAAGGTCTTTGGCCTTATGATAATAATTTTTCAATTTCCGTTTGAATTTTCATTAAATTAAGTAGGTTTTCATCTAGTATGATCTTGCATTGTTAATAATATTCATTCATTGATTTTAAGATTGTTTACTATATTTTATTAATCTTAATTATTTTATTCCTTTATTATTCTAGCTTGTTATAAAAATCTTCAAAAGTTATTAATCCATTTTCTTATAAATCATTTTAATCAATACAAGATAATAAACATTGGCAACAAATTTTTCTTTATGGAAATATTATAGGGTTTAGAGATATCATTTAAATAGGATATTATGGATGATAAGTACAAAAGTCTTCATTTTGTAGCATATTAATGAGCAATTTTCTATTAATAAATAAAATACATATATAATTTAATATAATTATAATATAGTATAAAAATTATGGATTTTTAATATTTTACTAATTATAGAATCATTATGATTAAAAATAAAAAATAAATCGTCTCTTAGAATATAATAGACAGTCATTTGATTAATAATTATATAAATAATGAAATATAAATAAAATCTAAAGTTAGAATCTCAATAATATCTAAATTTAAAATATACAACCTTAATTTTATTGATAACATTCTTAAAATTCATTCTGAAATGAATTATATAGGTTTGTCTAAATTAATAAATGTATTATAAATGATTGAAATCTTAAAAATGTCAGTAATATAAATAATACTTAAAAAATATTTTTATCAACTGAACAATGCAAACATATAAGTTGTTATATAGTAATTTAAACAATAATGAAATAATCATAAGTAAACAAATTTCTCGCAAATATGACAAATAGACAATATCTATAAAGTGTAGCATCTCCTACTACAACTGCCCCTAGCAAACACAAAAAGAATGGCAGCTCAACTATCATAACAGGAAATAAATATTTGGTATATGCTAAACATTCTTCCAGACTATTCAAAGATTCTTCTTCTAAACTTCCACTCTTGACAACAGTTATGAAAACAGAATCTTAAGATACTCCTAAAACAGCAATTGTAAGAACACGTAAAACAAGTGCAAATTTAGGAGACTTTCGCATTACATAATTACATCATAGAAATAAAACTGAGACTATTCTAGTTTAAAATAACTTTAATATTTCTAAATAAGAGGAACTTAAAGATAATTTTGAGGAAATACAAAAAGATGTATAACCTCAAATACCTTAAGTTTAGAAATAAATTGAATAAATATAATAATAACCTCTTACTACTTCTCTTATAAGTGAATCAATTAAATTTTAGCCAAAAGTACAATTAGCAGAGGTTTTAGGTGAATAATATCATTTTACATAAATTAACTATAATAGCTCTAAAATTACTAAAATTGATATTAAATAATAGATTAATGAAATTGAATCATTAAATGAAAAGAGTTGTCATTTAATGAGAAAACTTGCATAATTATTAAATACACATAGAGAAAAATAAACTTTAGTTGATCTTGAAATAAAAAAAAAAAAAGAATTTCTTAATTTAACAGATCGTGTATTTACTTAAACATTAAGTAATATGCCTGATGAAAGAACTCCAAAAATTAATGAATCTAAATTTAATTAAAAATTAAGTACTATTGCAAAGAAACAATCAAAAATTAATTATAATTATAGTGTTTAAGAAACTGAATCTCTTACTCCTTTAAAAACTATTGTAGAAGCTTTAAAAGATAAAAAGAATGATAGGAAAGATAATAAAGATAAAAGTAAGATTGAACTTTAATAGATAACTCAATAAATTTCAAATAAAAAACTAAAAATTACAGTTATATATGAAGAAAATGAATAATAAATAGAATTTTAATTACCTAGTTATATAAATGAAATTTAGCCATACCAAGAATAAATTGAAGTTAAAGAAACCAAATAATCTAATATTTATTCTTTAGTTTCAAAATAAATGCTTCAAAAGTAAACGATGTCCCAATATTTTCTAGCAAATTTGCTTTGAGATTAGTCAAAAAATTTGGAGATAGAGTCATTTAAACTTAAGAAGATAATGATGCAATTGAAAATTTTAATTCCTTTAAAGCATGTTAATTTACAAGATATTATTTATAAAATCATGTTTAAAAATGTTTAGAAACTAAATATGAAACAAGAATTGATAATGATAATATTCAAAATAATAAAAATGAAATATTTGACTATCCTGTTTGTTAAGATACTTATTATGAAATGCTCAGTAAAAGTACTGGATAAGTTGGAGTAGATCAGTATAATATTTATATAAATGTAAATATATCTTCAATATAAGAAAAGCAAAACTAAATAACTATATGAAATTCACAATATCTTTTATTAAGTTTCTTAGAGATATTTCGATATCCATTAAGTTGATAATAGTATATTAAGTCCTTCTGGTTCATAATTAGATTTAAGTGATATTGAAATGCAAAATTACTTTAAAATTAATTACATTTATTATGCTTTAAATTTAGTTTCAATAAATGATTTAAAATAAGCTGAATTAAAAGTAATTGTCAATACTATAGATGATGAAACCAAAAATAAGTTCCTACATGAAGAATTAATGAAATTTCCAGAAATTACAAATTCTATAATTCAAAATTAAGATAATCTTGATATCCAATGTATCAATGTTTTTTATAAAGAGAGTTATAATTGATCAATCAATTAGAAATCCAATTGGCTTCAAGAGATTAAACCATAATCAAAAATTAATTTTCAAATAAGTTTAGTTTTATTTAGGTTGGTTTATTTGAAGATTATTTTAGTCATTAAATTAATGCCCTAGAAAAAATATATATCGAATATTGTAAAACCATGAGAGATCTCGATAAATTCAATACTAAAGATAGAATCAAAACTGAACAACCTTCTAATCTAAATATACCTTCTATGTCTAGAAGCAGACTCCAATCTCCAACAGGCTCTGTATTTATATTAAATTATAAGAAGAGTGAATCCAAAACCTTATAGAAAGAGTTAAATCCAATGATAACTAAAGGATTATTTTTAAAGAAACACTAAAGATAAAAGAAATTGTTGACCAATCAAAAATTTACTACTTCCACAAAACTCATCCAAGGAAGTACCAGTAATTTATAAACTTTATTACATGCCAATACTAATACTAATACAAATACTATTTTTAATCAATAAAAAACTTAAAAATTTTAAACTATATAAAAAGATACTGAACCTTAAGTGAATAATGAATCCTAAAGATAAATTTAAATGAAATAACATTTTAATTCATAATCATCTATGGATCCTTCTTCCTTGTTATTTCGAAATATGTTATTATAAGAAAGCTCTTAGAATGATAAATCAAATATTGAAAGAGTCTTCTCCTTAATTGAAGATCATAGATTAATAGATTTAAAAGATTTACTCCATCATGATCAAAATATTAATATTAATACTCAAGATTAAAATGGCAATACATTTTTAATATGGGCAGCTAGAACTGGAGCAAGAGATGTTATATAATTTTTACTCCGTCAAGGAGCAGATATTTCAATAAAGAATGTAAAAATAGTATCTAATTAAAATAGAATTCTGGAATAAATGCTATATAAATGGCTATAGATCACTATTAATATCAAGCAGCAGATGAAATTAATAGATTTGGTAGATCAAATTCTTACATAGCAAATTGATAAAATTTAATTTAAATATATTACTTAAAATACATTCAAAAATTAAGATTGTATTATTTCCTTTAGAATCTAATTGTTTAATAAGCCTTAAAAGTGTTTATACATTCTTTTCTGTTTTATTTAAATAATATAAATAATATATTAAATTATTTACAAGATTATATTGATTAAAATATGAATATTTAATTAAGATTCAGTTAAATAATTATATTAGATTCATCAAAGCTAGTAAAAATATATATATATTTATATAATACAATTAAATCAACTATACAACAAATAATATGTTTTTGTCTACTGATTATATATAAATATTCTTATACATATATATAATTTGTTTATAATTATTAAAGCAGATCAGATTTAGTAAAAATTTACCTGAAAATTCGCATAAAATGTATGATATTGAAATCATTTTATCATATTAATTTTTAAATACATACATAATCAATAAAATCTTATTAATCTGAAGGTTAAGAATCAATCTATTAAATTCTTATTGAATTTTTCACCTTCTTTTATTGAGGTATCACTAAAGATTAATTTAATCTAAGTGATTAATTACATATTTTATTGAAATTTTCAGTCTTTTGCTATCTGATTTATACTTATTTTTTTGGTTTTAATTACTTAATTCTTGGAGTGAGATTAACTTACTTTAATACTAAAAGTCGAGAGCTTTCCAAAAAAGATGGAGATTTACTTGCAGGTGTTACTGGTAGAGTTGACATATGTTTTGAAGTCAAAAATTCTAATTTTTTATTTTAGTTTTATGATCTTGTTTTTTATCTCTAAGCATTTCTTGATCCTACAATAGTAAAGTAAGGCTATCTATTTGGAAGCTCAAATAAATGCATTCCAATAATAATTTTCTATTTTTTTTATATTTCACAATATGTGACTGTCGGTTTAAACATAAAATAAATACATATTATGTATTAAAATCAAATAAGAAAATTTCAATATATACTCTATTCTCCAAGCTTTAAAATTCATTTTAGTAAAACTTAATTTCTTTAAGTTAATTAAAAAAACAATAATATGTTAACTAACATATATTTTTTATTTCTTTAATCTATATAGATTTTAATAGATAATTTAAGTTTTTCCTCTTTCAGCTTTAATTAATTTATTAGAATTTCACTGAAAAAGAATTCTCCTATATGTAGATTAATAAGTATTAATTTATTCAAATTTATTACGTATTTAAACATGCAATATAATCACTTTATAAATCTTTAAAATTTGTAATAATCTACATTATTTAATTTTAATATGACCTCTAGAGTATAAATTGAATTATTAACAACTAAGATTATTGATATATAAGTAAAATAGATTATTATAAAAGTAAAAGAATCATATTTTATAAATTAAGTCTCCTTGATTTTCAGTTTATAAAAAATTTAATTTTGAATATAAATCCAATTATTTATTCTTTAAACCTTAATGCAATTATGAATACTATACTGAATTTAAATTTAGCAGTTACACTTAGTAATAGATATCATAAGTTTAAGTCATATTTGAGAACTTAAACAAAATTAAATAGTAATATTAAGAATTAAAAAAGTACTTTTTTTAAAGTAAAGATTTATTGAAATTATCAGTTTGATATTACTCAAGGCTCTGATATACCTCACTTTTATGAAATAAACTATAAAGTAATTAAATAATTCTAAATATTTCATATGCAAAACTTTAAGTCCTTCTTAAAATTTAATTATATTCTAATTCATAGGTATTTAATAAAAGGAAAATATATGATCTTTAGATTATTGTTTAAATTTGTAATAAATTAAATATTATAGAAATATTTTGAATTCAAATATTATCTATAATATATAACTATTTAATATTGATTCTGTATATTATGTAAATCTTTTGAAAATACTTTAATAAATAAATGAATTTTATTTACTTATTTAATTTTACTTAGAAAATGAAAATAAACATAAAATAGGTAATGAATTTATTTATATTTTATAATTAATTTATAGATGCACTTGAATATTCTAGGCTCTAGAAAACCTAGTTAGGTAAGTAGTCCAACCTCATTAAAAAAGCCTGTGATATCTTAACTTCTCATTAATTTCAGGCAGCCTATCAATGTTCCTAATAGTTCATAGGTATCACCACAGAATTCTGAACAAAATCTTCAAAAAGCATTACATTCTCATAAAGGATCTCAGNTTCAGCTTTAATTAATTTATTAGAATTTCACTGAAAAAGAATTCTCCTATATGTAGATTAATAAGTATTAATTTATTCAAATTTATTACGTATTTAAACATGCAATATAATCACTTTATAAATCTTTAAAATTTGTAATAATCTACATTATTTAATTTTAATATGACCTCTAGAGTATAAATTGAATTATTAACAACTAAGATTATTGATATATAAGTAAAATAGATTATTATAAAAGTAAAAGAATCATATTTTATAAATTAAGTCTCCTTGATTTTCAGTTTATAAAAAATTTAATTTTGAATATAAATCCAATTATTTATTCTTTAAACCTTAATGCAATTATGAATACTATACTGAATTTAAATTTAGCAGTTACACTTAGTAATAGATATCATAAGTTTAAGTCATATTTGAGAACTTAAACAAAATTAAATAGTAATATTAAGAATTAAAAAAGTACTTTTTTTAAAGTAAAGATTTATTGAAATTATCAGTTTGATATTACTCAAGGCTCTGATATACCTCACTTTTATGAAATAAACTATAAAGTAATTAAATAATTCTAAATATTTCATATGCAAAACTTTAAGTCCTTCTTAAAATTTAATTATATTCTAATTCATAGGTATTTAATAAAAGGAAAATATATGATCTTTAGATTATTGTTTAAATTTGTAATAAATTAAATATTATAGAAATATTTTGAATTCAAATATTATCTATAATATATAACTATTTAATATTGATTCTGTATAAACAAAAATAAATATTATAAGTATATATTATGTAAATCTTTTGAAAATACTTTAATAAATAAATGAATTTTATTTACTTATTTAATTTTACTTAGAAAATGAAAATAAACATAAAATAGGTAATGAATTTATTTATATTTTATAATTAATTTATAGATGCACTTGAATATTCTAGGCTCTAGAAAACCTAGTTAGGTAAGTAGTCCAACCTCATTAAAAAAGCCTGTGATATCTTAACTTCTCATTAATTTCAGGCAGCCTATCAATGTTCCTAATAGTTCATAGGTATCACCACAGAATTCTGAACAAAATCTTCAAAAAGCATTACATTCTCATAAAGGATCTCAGATTGATGTTGCAAATTTAACAAAATTGATTAGACAAAGCAAATCACCAAATTTAGATATGAATGATGCATAAAACAATTAGAATCAAAGTTCATAATAATTATAGGCATTATTTGCAAAAGCAAGAGAAATTACTTAAAGTAAATCAAAACCACCAATAATTAAGTAATAAGTCCAATCTATTTAAACACAATCTATTAATTAATTAAAAGAACTATTTAATGATAATTTGTATTGTAGAAACACATTTCATTTTCATTTTGTGGTTGGTATAGGAGGATTTGGTAAAGTATGGAAAGTTGAGCATAAGAAAACTGGACAAGTATATGCAATGAAAGAAATGTCAAAAGCATTGTAAGAATATTAGTAATAGTAGAATTATAACAAAAAAGAGTGTTAATTCAGTAATGAATGAGAGAATACTTTTGAGTGAATTAAAGCATCCTTTCTTAGTTAATATGAATTATGCTTATTAAGATAGAGAAACACTGTACTTAATTATGGATTATATGTCTGGAGGTGACTTAAGATATCATATAGGAAGAATGAGAAGGTTTAATGAAGAGTAGACTAGTAAATTCAAAACTATTATATTTTGAGGGTTCTTTGTGGCTTGTATATTCTTGAGTCTCGAATATGTGCATGAAAATAAAATAATTCATAGAGATATTAAACCAGAAAATTTAGTATTAGACAATAAAGGATATGTTCATTTGACTGATTTTGGTATTGCAAGAATTATGAAACCCGAGAATTCAAGTGATACAAGTGGTACACCAGGATATATGGGTATATATTATAATAAATATTTAGCTCCGGAGGTGATGTATAGATAAAATCATACATATGCTGTTGATTTTTATGCTTTGGGAGTCATTGCTTATGAATTTATGTTAGGAAGAGTACTTATTCATATAAATTTTAGAGACCATATGTTGGAAGATCTAGATAGGAAATTAGAGATCAAATTATGGCTAAATAGGTTTAAATAAAGAAATCTGAATTACCAGAAAATTGGTCATTAGAAGGTGCTGATTTTATAAATAGAGTAAAAGATAATTTAATTTAAATAGCTACTTTAAAGAAAACCTCAATAAAGATTAGGTTTTAATGGTAGTTAAGAAATCAAATAACATCCATGGTTTTAAAACTTTCCTTGGTAAAAATTATAAAATTTCGAATTAATTCCTCCCTTCCAACCAAATGTATTCTTTTTTATAATATATATTAATTAGAGAACTGAAGATAATTTTGATTAAAAATAAATATTAATTGAAGATGAAGAGAATAATGAATTGATTTAATAGAATCTTTTAGTTTTAAAAGATCCTACTTCTTTAGGTATTAATAATTAAATCATTAAGAATTATTTTAGGGTTATGAATTTAATGCTAATCAGAGTATTAATAAAAATTCATCAACAACTGATTAATCATCAAGTTCATCATCTAAGCATAGTAGAAATTTCAGTTAAAATATTGAAAAATAATAATTCTTTGAACATGCTCATAAATGATTTAAATAATCCTATTCATCTAGTATATTATAATTATTTATAATTTTTATATAATATTTAATAATCATCATTCGTTAATCAGATTTAAACAGTTTTAGAATTTTCCTAGAAAAATTTATTTAATCTATTTTCCCTTAAGAAACAACATAAAAATAAATTTTCAATGAAATTTTCTAGAAAAATGGAAAGAAATTAAAGGGATAACTTAAAAAATCAAAAAATAGTGAGAGGCAACAATAATATTGGTAAATAAAAAAAGGAGTAATTAATAAAACTAGTAATGCTTCTAATAGATTTACATAAAGATCTAGATCATTTAGAAGAAGTCCATTCTTCATAATTAGATTAACGTTCAAAATAAAACCTAGAATAGAAGGAAAATCTCTCTAACTTTAAAACTAAATCTAAATCAAATTCGAAAAAAGAATTAAGATGATAGTAAACTTGAATTAGATTACTTATTTCCATCTTATAATTTAGTAGATTCATATAAAAATCCTCTTTTAAAAGGCAATTATAAATAATGAATATATTTAATTGCTTTTCAGTAAGATAGTTGTTAATAATTCTTTCCTTTTTTCATATTTGAATTTTTTTTAAGAAACTACTTACAAAAAAATAAGAAACAATCTAGTTTTTAATAAGTTAATGAATTCTTATGTTTGAGAAATAAACACTTCTTTTATATAATGACATTCAAATTTTTAAATTTTCATTTTCTAAAATTCTCATTATTTACTTAAGAGTTTAGGCTTTTCTAATTGTATATTTTTGAAGAATTGCAGTACAGAAAGTTTGTATTAGTCTTCATCAGATGATTTATTAATGAGAATCAATTTAATTATTAGGTTATCTTGTTTTATAACAGTTTTTTTAATCTAGATTAACCATATTTATTTTGAGTTGAATTAATAAAGTATAATAATATATGTTATAATTGGTAATTAAGTATTTAAAGCCTTATTCATCTTAAAATAGTAAAGAATTAATTATGACAGAAGAGGTTTATTTGATAAAGAAATTATATCAAGATAGATATTTTATAATAATCCTATTAATGAATAAAAATGTTAATTAAAGAAGATTTAAAATTACCTGATTCTTAATCATATATGATATCACCTAAAGAATAGTATTTATAAGCTATTAATGCACTAATTCTTAAGTTGAACGGAAAATTGAACAAAATTTAGATATCTAAATAACCCTAAACATAGAATGAATAAATAATTGAAATTCAATAATTTTTTAGGGAGTAACTTTAATTTTACTAACAAAAAAATAAGAATAATAAGAATAATTACAATAATATTCCAAAGAGTGATATTCTAGAAGAATCTATTACATTAAAATAACATAAAAAAATAAAAACATCATCACAAACAATTTATATATGTTCTTGTCATAATCAAGTCTATCTTTCATATTAAGCATTGGGAGGACATTCGAATAGAATGAAAAAGAAAATGATTTAATAAAAAAAAATAAAATGATTTCAAATTAAAATTTTTAATAATAAAATTATTATATAAAATGTAATAGAACTTGTTATGGCAGGCTGTTAGTTGAAATAGATATTAAAAATTTATAAAATTTTTGTTTAAATCACTCAATCCTATCTAGATTTTAAGGTATTTTATTTCTATATTTTGACAATTCAATATATGTCCAAATTATTCTTAAATCTTCAGGCTCTAAATATTTAAGTTCTTAATCTTCATATGCCATAATTCTTTTAAATTCATCACTTACAGCATCAAAATTAAATTAATGATACATTAATAGATTTTCTAATAAATCATCATGATCAATTGTCCAACCTTCTCTCTTTTATTTATATTCTCTTAATTATTATGCTTTAGTATCAACTTTTGGTATTTAAGGACCAGAATCTAAATTAATAATAAATTTAGATTATTTATTTGATTATAAACATTCTTCTTGTTCTTCTTATGGTTCATATTTTTAATTATTTAATTAATTTTCAACATTATTATTATCACATTTTTGATTTATTTATTACATTTCTTAATTGAAATATCTGTCCCTTATTTATTTGGCTTCCTTTTTTCATATTAATATTTTTACGTCCTCAGTTTTATTTAAAATGACTGTGTTTCCTTCATCATCCTTTGTGGTTAAAAAACATTGATGAGGAAGTATAGTGTCAACTTAATATTTATCTAATTCAAATTCTACATTTTTTAATTCATTTTCTTTTTATTCAATCAAATCATCAACTTCTTCCCCATCAAAATACTAAATCTATAATTACCTTATTTCTTTGCATAATATTTATTATTTGTTTAATAATTAATTTCTTATTTCACCTTTCTATTATCTTTCTAAAGTCTATAAATATATCTAATGATCTTATTCTCTCTTAATTTCAATTTAAGATACTCTTTCTTATTATTCAGCATCTTTTCCTCCAATAGACCAAGCCTCACTAATTTTACGTTCACCAGGTGTTACTGGTTTATCATCTAAAAATTATAATGCTTTTATTGCAACAATAATAGTTTTTCTATAATTTGGACATTCTCTCACTTAATTTTATTAAAATAAAAATATACCAAAAGTATTTGCTTTTAAATATAAACATCCAATATATGTCTATTGAAATATTGTAATTATAGATTCTTCATAATTAATATGATTATTTGAAAGATCTAAATTTTATATTGATGGACAATCTTAAATTTCTAATAATGATTAATAATTAGTCAATAAATTATGAGATAAATTAAGATTTTAGAGTTTGGTTAAAGAAGATATATTTTCTATTTTCTTTATTGAATTATGACTTAAATTTAAAGTAACTAAATCTTATAATGCAGAAATATTTTCTATTTTATCAATCAAATTATGATTTAAGAATAAGCTAATTAATTTCTTAAGTTAACATAATCCTTCAATCTTTTATAGGGCATTATTATTTAACCATAAAGCAACAAGATTAAAATATGGTTCAAGATTTTCAATCTTGTCAAATCCTAAATATTGTAAAGCATATATTTACCTTTAAAATGCAAATATAATGTATCATTGTTTTCTGGATTTTAATATAATCCTTCTCTTTCACATATGATTTTCAAATTCTTTAGATTCATAATTACAGTTCCATTTTAATTTCTCTCAAGAGTTTTATTCATATTTTAATATAATATAAATATATCATAATTTTTATAATTTCACAAGTTCTTTGACATAATCATTAGGTCTCAATAAGAATGTGCTTCCAATAATTAAATTTTTATTAATAACTTTGTTATTCATCAAACTTCTAACTTCATTATATCCAACACCTCCAACAATAAAAACAAGCTAATATTAAATAATTAAATATATACTAATTTATCTTATTCATCAAATCCTACATCATCTTACATCAATTTAATTTATCCCTTCTATCTAAGAGATTTACCTTGACCTTAAACATTTTATTATTCATTTAAGACTATTTTTTCAAAGTTTCCTGATGTCTAAAAATCCTTAAGTATTAAATCTTCTAATTATTATTCAATGATAGGAGTATTTCTACATAATTCTAATGTTTCATTAGCCATTTTATTTTTGGCATATTTTCTGACTTATTCATTAACTCTTTTATGAGACTATTAAATTATTATTATAAATATATACTTTGCTACCACTATGTTAAGTTTAAATTCCCAATAATTTTAGATTATGAACAGCATTTTACATTTCAATAGATAGAATATCTGTCAATTATCTTCTATCTTTTTCACTTAAATCAATTTAGATTATGGCTGATAATATAAGACGTGCTTAATCAAATTCATTTAATTTTTGATTTTTTAATACTTAAATAATCTATAAAATCATAATAAAATAATTTACTCTTTAAATAATCTTCTCTCCTGCTACTGAAGATCCTTTTTTATCACATCCTGTTGCTAAAGTTTATTCTAATTCTCCAACTTCTTATAAATCCTTTTATCTATATATTTCTAAACATTTTTCTACAATTTCCATATGCATAGTATATTTTGCTACTAATTCTTAATATTAAGGCATAGTTTTAACAATATCTGTCATTTATTTTAATGATAAATTTTATTCTTTATCTTTAGCAACCTTAGCTGCTGTATTTGTTTACATAAATGTTTAAAAATCACTACTAACTTCTTCTAATACATCAGCAATATGTTTGAATTTATATTTCTTGAATAAATCATCTTAATCATTTAAAATTTATTTCTTAGTTACTTTCTTATCTCCATATTACATATCATATTAATATATGTCATTTTCTATTTCCAATAAATCATAAAACATTGGTTAATAATAAAAATCATGTAATAATGGTGATAATACATCTATTGCTCTATCTATAATTACTATTCTTATTTTTCCACATGTTTTTTCTTTGTGATCATATTATGAACTATTTGTTCTTTTTAAAGCTTCTAATATTTCTCTTAATCTTCCTTATGTGAATTATGCTAATTATTAACATATCTTCCAATTATCTTATCTAAAAATTAACTCAAAAGTATAAAATTTCTCAAATGACACCAAAACTGTACTTATTTTTTCAGCCATCTCTTATAAAATAACATTTCCTTATTTTAATTTAATACATACTTCCTTTATATACTTCTAATCCAAATATCATATCAAATGTGAATAATTATTCATTAGTACAATTAAAGTCTAAATTAAAAACTTTACAAGTCGATAATTTCTTAACTAAATTCTATTCAGATTGTATCTTTTAAGCTATTCCTTATGGCATTTTATTATTGAAAATCACATGTGCACATTTATATTATGGAAATTGAGCATTTGCAAAATCCTCAATTAATAAAGCAATCGACTCTTAAGTTGGTGTGATAAAATAAATTGCTTCCAAATTAAAAGGTTTTCTTTTCAAATTTAGATTTTCTACTGCATTAATTCCTTATTCTAATAATCTTATATTAATTTTAATTTATACTCAGACATCTTCATGTAAGCAGAAACTATTTTTAAAGTTTTTTGATCTACAACAAGAATGGAAGATGATAAATTAGGATTATCAATTCTTAATTGTACAAACAAACTTTTCACTCTTTGTCTACAAACTTATTTTAAAGAAAATTGAGCTTATTCCATTATAACTTTTATTTTTATTATTATAAAATTTAATAATCTATATTACTATTATCATATTTCCATTCTTTTAAATTCTAAATTTCTGTGTTTTTCTTTTATTTTTTTATAATACTAATCAATTTAACAAACTATGATCTTTTTGGATAAAGAATTAAAAATTATCATATTTCAATCAATTAATTTTTTACTAAAAATATACTAACTTAAAAATATATTATGGTGTATGATGAAGATATACATGCCAATAATTTATAAATTTTACTAATTTTTTTATTATAATTAGTTTGTAGAAATAAATCTAAAAGAACTATTAAAAAAATATAAATCTTTGAATATTTATGAGAAATAAATGCTAAGATTATAATCTTATGTAATTCTAAATACTATTAAGTATTATATGATCTTTAGTATATTGTGGTTGAATATAAAAATTAAATTTAAATTAGATAAGNTCTAATATTTCTCTTAATCTTCCTTATGTGAATTATGCTAATTATTAACATATCTTCCAATTATCTTATCTAAAAATTAACTCAAAAGTATAAAATTTCTCAAATGACACCAAAACTGTACTTATTTTTTCAGCCATCTCTTATAAAATAACATTTCCTTATTTTAATTTAATACATACTTCCTTTATATACTTCTAATCCAAATATCATATCAAATGTGAATAATTATTCATTAGTACAATTAAAGTCTAAATTAAAAACTTTACAAGTCGATAATTTCTTAACTAAATTCTATTCAGATTGTATCTTTTAAGCTATTCCTTATGGCATTTTATTATTGAAAATCACATGTGCACATTTATATTATGGAAATTGAGCATTTGCAAAATCCTCAATTAATAAAGCAATCGACTCTTAAGTTGGTGTGATAAAATAAATTGCTTCCAAATTAAAAGGTTTTCTTTTCAAATTTAGATTTTCTACTGCATTAATTCCTTATTCTAATAATCTTATATTAATTTTAATTTATACTCAGACATCTTCATGTAAGCAGAAACTATTTTTAAAGTTTTTTGATCTACAACAAGAATGGAAGATGATAAATTAGGATTATCAATTCTTAATTGTACAAACAAACTTTTCACTCTTTGTCTACAAACTTATTTTAAAGAAAATTGAGCTTATTCCATTATAACTTTTATTTTTATTATTATAAAATTTAATAATCTATATTACTATTATCATATTTCCATTCTTTTAAATTCTAAATTTCTGTGTTTTTCTTTTATTTTTTTATAATACTAATCAATTTAACAAACTATGATCTTTTTGGATAAAGAATTAAAAATTATCATATTTCAATCAATTAATTTTTTACTAAAAATATACTAACTTAAAAATATATTATGGTGTATGATGAAGATATACATGCCAATAATTTATAAATTTTACTAATTTTTTTATTATAATTAGTTTGTAGAAATAAATCTAAAAGAACTATTAAAAAAATATAAATCTTTGAATATTTATGAGAAATAAATGCTAAGATTATAATCTTATGTAATTCTAAATACTATTAAGTATTATATGATCTTTAGTATATTGTGGTTGAATATAAAAATTAAATTTAAATTAGATAAGTACAACTCAATATCGAAAATTATATAATATAAATAATTGTAATTTTAAATTGAAGTTTATATAGAAATGGATAAATGAAAATATCAAAAATAAAAAAAGTATAAATTTATGAGATTAATTTTTGATGCTAATTATACTGATATATGTCATTCGAATTTAAAGTACTCTTTCTTTGTAAAGTATTTATTAATTAATTAAATGTTGATTTATGTAATATATCTAGGTGAATTAAATGTTAATTACTAAATTTTTCCAATATATTAATTTTGCTTTTAATAAAAGAATATGGAAACAAGAGCTAAATAAAAAAACTGCTTTGTTATCAAAACTCATCTTACTTAATAATTATTGACCAGCCGGTTACCAAAATTGCAAAGCTAAAGATATTTTACTAAAATAAACTTAAATAGAGATCATAGGTAAGATCACATAAAATTATTATCGCCAAATGATATGAAATCAAACTAAGAAATGTAAATAAATATCATATTAATTTAATAGACCTAAAAGAAGTCTTAGTTCTGAATCTACATTCGAAGGAAGCTTAAATAAGAGATGTTAATATATATTTTTAACTTTTACACATTAAAAAACAAAATATTAAAGACAATAGTTTTGCTTAAAAATGTGGAGAAAATTAATCCTTTGTGTTTAAGCCATTCTTTTTATATTCAAAGTTTCATTAATTGAATATAAGATCAGAAGTAGTTCTCCAACAAAGATGTCAATATGTCACTAATTGATACATCATCATCCATACCCTGAAAGTCCATCAAACAGAAAAAGAAAGAAGAGTTCTGGTTTAGAAACTAAAAATAGAAATTGTAGTTTTGGTGAAAGAATTCAAACTTTAATTCTTCTTTAAAAATTGAAATTTGATACTCAAAAAAATAATACTTATGTTAGACAATTGAAAAATTAAGATATAAGATTAACTCGCTTAATAAGTTAAAAAGCACTTAGTACTCATTCATTACATACAACAATTGATCATTCCAAATAATTACCTGCAATTAATAAGTTCGAATATATTGAAAGACCCTCTTTAATTTCATCTTATTCAAAAAAAATTTCTCTAAAATTAAAGAAAATATATTGAAAAAAATTACTAAAATATTTAATTGTACATTATTTTATTATAATATTTCAATAGCCTAACTTCTCTAATTCTGCATTGATGCTAGTAAGTTCTTTAGCTCCAATAGCCTTTCTTCTAAGATTTTCTCTTGCAATTTTTCTCTTATAATATGCTGTTCCTCTAATAAATTATATTTTTAATAATACCTTTATTTTCTCTTCTCTTCAAGTCTATTAACAACTGCTTATGAATTCCATCCAACTGAAGCGCATAAATCACCCAAAGTGCAGAAAGGTCTATGATTTTTAAGTCTGATCAATTTAAGGGCATCTGGAACAACTTATCTCTTTCTAGTGTCATAAGGAGGGGGGACACCTTCAAAGATCTTTAATCTTTCAAGGGCAGCTGCTCCTCTCTTTGACTTGTATTGAAGCATTCCTCTAACAACCTTCCAAAAGCATCTTGATGGTGTTCTATAGTGCTTGTATCCTCTTCTTGGATTGAAGGCCATTCTCTTATTTAAATATTCTTCAAAGATGACTCTGTTTCTAAAGAGAGATCCTTCAATTATTAAGATCGCTTACCTGATTGTTAAATCAACTCACTTCTGACTACAACAATTCTTTATCCTCTCTACAATTCTTTGGCAATATAAGAGGCTAATCTACCCAACAAATGGCCTTTTCCATCAATCACTATTTCCTTCTCAAACATTTAATTTTAAATAAATTTTCAAAATGATTTTTATATGATAAAATACTTAGCATTCACTAAACCTATTCTTTATTAGATATTCTAAACTCTAACTCTTATTTAATTAATATATTTAATAACATTAGCATCCTCATAAACCTATCTAAATTGCACTTTCTATTAATCATTCAAATAAATGACCTATTAAATTATTCTTCCATTTTTTATCAATCAAGGAAGAATATCACTCTATTTTTTTTTTAATCTAAAATTGTATCTAAAAGAATATTAGAAAAATATTTGTAAAATTAGCTAGAATCGCGATGTGTTAATTGAATAATTCTTATAAAATCTTTAAGATATGATTTTTTATAGTTTATAGGTTATTATTTATTTCTTTTTTTCAATTACTTGAATTTAAAATAATTTTTGAATGAATCACAAAGCATTTTGAAATCATCCCAATAATGATAGGAATTAAAGTATTCCAAAACCTGATATTTATATTTTCCATAAAATAAGATTGATGTTTGATAAGTATTTGAAATCATCAATATTATTAATTCTTAATAAATATGAATTTTATTAACAATTTTCTAACCTGAAGTATTTAGATTATTGCATAGATGTTAATCCTTTGAGATTTTCAAAATTTTTCTTTTTTTTTCAATTACTTTATAAACCATCATATTCTTCATTTCATTTATTAAAATATCTTTATTTTATTCTTGAATTACTTCTTTTTCTATTTATATCAAAATTGTAATAAGTATGATTGTAATAATAAATATGTTAATCAATTCCATGATTGGTATATGAAATAGATATTAATATTTGTGTTTCAGATGTAGTTTCTTTTAAGAGTTCATGAATATATCATATCATTCAATAACAATAGCATTTGTGTTAATATTGATCCATTTCCTTAAATTGAATAAATTATAATTTAATAAATAATGAAAGCACCTAAATATATCGAATAGGATATAATTAAAAAAGTATGTTAGGCTGAATAATTCTAATAACACAAATTTAAATTAGTAAATACTAGATCTGATCCATATTTATCAAGAAGAGTATGAAAATTTAATACATTTTTAGCATGTTTTATAAGACAATGATAAATACTAATAAATACGTGCAAATAAATTCTATACAAAATTATAAGTTGATTTACAAAAGGAATAACGGTTATTTAAGGAAAATACTAAAATTCTTAATCGAATAGTAGATATTGGAAATTAAAAAACTTATTCATCTCTTCCCAAAAGATCATTAACTAGATAAAGTTCTGCCAATTCATTAAAGTCTCTTAATTTATCTTACAGAAAGAAAGAGGCCATGAAAATAGTTGGAGAAAATGAAAAATTGATGCATCGTTTATAGAGAACTCCTTCCACATTTAGAAATAAAGAAACTTTTCTTAAGGATTATAAAAAGTAAAGAATTAATTATAATTTTATAAGGACTGTGGAACTCAAGAATAGAATATCAAAATATTCATAATAAAATCAGTAAAAGTTGGGTAAAATTGTACAAAGATTAACTAAAACTACAAATAATCCTAAATTTACTAATTCAAGCTAAAATAAAAGTAGTGCACCTTCCTATAAAAATTCTGCATTATCTTAATTACGAATAGAACCAGAAAGATAATAATAGAAGTTTTAATTCCCAAGAATTAAATGATTAATAAAATATATATAATTGTTTCTGTAATACCTTATCAACAGAATTATCTCTTGATAAGAGCTAAAATATATTCACCATCTTTTGGATCTGTACTATTAATTTTTAAATCCAAAGATCCATTTTAATTGTAACAACCATATAATAATACACAACTCTTACTTTCTGCATTGGCACCAGCACAAATAATTTCTTATTCTATCACATCAATAACCTAAAATGAATATTCAATATTACATTAATATTAATTGTTTATATCATCTTTTTAAAATCTTATTCTGATTTAATCTTACTTTGCAATGTGACTTCTTTAATATTTTGATTTCTTTCCCATAATTATTCATATTAATCAACATTTATATTTGCTGGTATATATGATTTAATTTATTGTTATGAAAATGTTTATAATGGAGGAGATTGTGACCACTATTATTATGGTTGTAATTATTAAGGCACAACTGTTTTTTGAGTTATGATTTAAGGTTATTGAACATATACTTAAGGAACACTTGAGACTGACTATTAAATTGGTAAAGGGTCATCAATTTCTAATAAATTATTAACTTATGCAGGTGGTTTTGATTAAGGTACTAAAGTTGGATTTGTATTCATAGGTTTTTATGTAGCCATTGCTGTAATACCTTTTTTTTAAGTTTGTCTATTCTATAAATACATATAATTACTGAGGTTATTGTTAAGTTTAAGATAAGGAAGGAAATAATTAATTTGCTAATTTCTACTTTTCTTTTAAGTTTGGATCTTCTTTTGGTGGTAGAGGTTTAACAGGTGGAATATAATTATTTTGAGTTTGATTAGTATTCACACCCATTTATCCACTACCCATAGATTACATAGTAGTTTTAGTTGTTGTTGTTTAATTACTTCCATTACTACTAATGCCAACTGTTGAACCTATAGCCATAGGAGCAGCAATTACAGGTTTAGCAACAGGTGGTTACTTTTAATTATATCCTGTATCATCCCAAGGTCCTGTTATAGTTGGAACAGATGAATTCTAATTTGTTGTTTTATTTTCTTCTACACCAAACGTACCAGTTTTGACACCTCCATATTTATTATCACTATAAGGTCCAAAATTAAGTGAAGGTGCTTCTGCTGCTGAACCTAAGGCAGCTGCTTTAACTTATAATGAAGGATTATAAGGTTAAGCTCCACGTAATCTTTCTTATTAAACATAAGCATCTAAGAATGACATTTTGGGATCTATAGTAATATATTGAGAACCTTTAAGGGCTGCATTAAATTTAGCAAGAGTAAAGAAATCAATTGCTCTTTATTAACAATCTAGATTTTTTGATTACATATATTTTTAAAAGATTGCTCTAGTTTAATCAAACATTTAAAATGCTCTTGCTGATTATAATTTAGCTAAACATGTTAATATCCATGATATGGTTGTTTCAGATTCTAATTGTGAATCTAATTTCATGATTACTAATTAAGTTAATTCATTTAATTTATTTGGATTTTAATCATATATTTATGAACCAATTTCACCAATAACCCAACAAACAATTTTCAATATATTATCTTACAAATCATTTTTTAATAGATCAGAATAGATATCAGTTATGAATTCACCAAATTCAGTTCCAATATCATTAAAATTATCTATTAATAATTTAAAGAAATTATTTCTAACATCATTATCTATAAATTCAGATCCAAATTCAAATAATGTATTAGCTGTCTTAATAAACCATTCTTAAGTAGGTGCATGTTTTTCATTTAATAAAGATATTTTAACAAATAAATCCTTTTTAAAATTAGAATCTGAACTTGTTTTAAGAAAATGAATCAATTTTTGAATAATGATTTCACAATTTTATTCATTTGTCATTTTAAATAGTAATTCTAAAGTTTCTTTTTTTAATGTATCATCATTAGATTCTAAACAATCAACAATTGTCATTTAATGTTCTAATACATATTTTTATGAAATTTAAACAATCTAAGTTAAAGCATTAATTCCTAAATATTTTAGATTATTGTTATCAGATTTTAAAAATCTAGATACAGAATTAGCTGCTTATTCAAGTAAACCTTATTAAGGATAAATTCCACTAATGCATTTAACACATTAATAAGTAACAGCATAACCTATATTAATTGTTGTATCATCAGCTCTTCTTAAAGTTGATCCCAAAACTTCATAAATTTATTCACTGACTTTTAAATCATTAGCTCCCAAAAGAGTAAGAATTTAAAGTAATTTAATTTATAACCAAGGACCAGGAAATCTATGATAATCATAATCCTATATTATTTTAATTTATTAAAATTTTACTTTATGTAGTTTATGTTCTATAATTTATTTTAACATTGAAACAAAAGTACCTGTTAATGGTTTATATTTATTAACAGCACCTTTCTTTAATTCTTCATGATACAAATTGAATGCTGCTCCCATAACACTTGGTTCTTTGTCTTATATACCTCTTCTGATTCTATCATCATAATCTTATTCTGTAATACAATCTTAATTCAACTATCTAATAATTTACATCACCATTAATGCCTACAATCATAATATTCAATTTACTTTCTTTCTCACAATATCAGTATTATGAGTCAATAATTTTAATACAGGTTCTGTTAATGCATTAACAAAAGTCTTGCTTATCAATTTTCCTACAGCAGTAAGAGCATTTACTACAATATGAACATTAGTTGATGCTAGATCTTTTTGGAGTGTGGCAACCAATAAAATAAGTAGTTCACTATTATTATCTAAAAATAAGGAACAACACAAATAGCCTAATCTTTTTTGTGCTAAATTCTTAGATTGTGTTAGATGTATTGCATTGATATGTACAAAAGATGCATCATGACTTTATACTTCACTTTTACATTTTACCCCAACATTTCAATGTAAATTGCTCTAATAAGCATTTCCTTCACTTTTTTTGATGGCATGTTCTTTTCATTAAGTTTAGTCTTTAATTATTGAACTTCTTTTATGATAATTTTGTCTTCCTCTTATTTACTACGAGTCTCTCCTATTGACTTTATTAGATCATGTAATTCTTTGCTTAAATGTGATCCCGATGACATCCCTAAAATTAATAATATAAATTTTTTAAAATCTCAATTATTTCAAAATATCTAAATCACTGTTGTTTTTTATTTTAGAGTTATTTAAAAGATTTATTGTAATTTAGAATATATGGATGAATATTAATAGGGAGAAAAGCAATATCAAATTAAAAAATATTTAAAAAATAATAATGAACATAAATTATTATATAATGATTGCTATATTATCTCATTTTAAGCCAGCCAAGTATTCACTATGTTCTTAGAATGGTGTTGATTCTAATTTGGTATGTCCCCAAAGATCTGGGGTAAGGAAATTATATGTCTCTTTTAAGGCATGGAAGGTTGCTTTCAAGAAGTTTGATCTTGTTCTTGTACTTCCTTTGGATTAAGTGTAGCAATCTTGGATACCAGCCATTTGTAACACTTTCTTAGAAGTGATGGCTGCAACTATACCAGTACCTCTGGGGGCTGGAACTAATCTAACTCTGACTGATCCTTCCTTTCCTGTAACTTTGCATGGGACAGTGTGTGGTTAGGCAATCTTATTTCCCCAATATCCTTTTCTAACTGGAATCAAATTAAGTTTGGCATTAATGACTGCTCCTTTAATAGCTCCTTAAACTTCTTTAGCTGATTTCCATCCCAAACCAATATGTTAGTGATTATCTCCAACTACAACATAGGCCTTAAATCTTGTTCTTTAACCTGCACATGTTTGCTTTTAGACTGGACCAAGAGCAAGTGGTTCTTCTTTCAAATTCTTAAGGAAATGATCCACAATTTGATATTCTAAATTATGTTAAAAATAAATTGATACCCTTAATTGGAATAGAGAATTAGAAAATAGTTTCAAGACTCTTAATTTTACCAGCCTTGACTAATCTTCCTAATTTAGTCAATGGAGTCCACTCTTATTCTCCACCAAATCTTCTGGGACCTCTATTTTATCTTGGAGCTCCTCCTTCTCTTCTTTCTCTTTATCCTCTTCCTCCTCTTCCGAATCCTTTCTTTTCAGCTGGGGCTGCTTATTCTTATTCTGGAGCGGGTGGTGCTTATTATTACTCCTAATCTGCCATTAAAATAAAAATCTTAATTTAAAAATTTGTTTTCAAAGTTGTACATATACATAAAAAAGTGTATAAAATAATTAATAAAATGATTAGTCTTCTCTTAATTATTCTTCCATAAACATTTGGAAATTATTTTGAATAGAAGTTATCAAGACATGTTTATGAATATAAGGATGTTCAAAAAGATGATATAGTTACTAGCATCAAACCTTAAAAATGTCCAAATGAATTTTTAGATTATTATCATAATGATACTTTTGTGACTTAAATATGTTTTACAAAGAATGTATTTTATAATGTTGAAGTGATTTTAGGAGATCATATTACAAATTAAAGCATATTTTCATTGGCTGTATAGAAATCATAATAATATATTAGCTTGATTTAACATCTCCTTGGACATGGTATAAATCAAATTCATGTTTAAGTTGTAAAGATATTAAATCATTAAAATATGACAATAACAAAAAATGTAAAAATTCAAAGAAGATTGGAAAATGTATTGATTCAAAATTTGAAAAATTATTTGATGCCACTAAATGGAATGATATTAAAGTTCATGGTTAAATTTACTCATCTGAATCTCTAATTTAAGGAACTTTTCAAACTGATACAATATAATTACTTGCATACAATTCTTCAAGAAAAATGACTATTTCATAATTCCTCTCTTATGAATGGGGAAATAGCACACCACCAGCATTAGTTAATATAACAGGATTATAGATGCTCTAAGTAGATTACATTAATACTGAATTACCAATTTTAGCAGATGGTGTTATTGGATTTGGATTTGGGTATACAGAAACAGAAGAAGAAAAGGCATAAAGTAATACAGATTTCGTTGAAAAATTAGTATAAGAATAAACTTAACTTCATTTAACAAGATAATAATTTGCTCTTTACACTTATGAAAGTTCCCTTAATTTTTCAGAGATGGTAGTATAAGTAGGAGGATTTGATTATAAATATGTCCATAAATAATAATAGAATGTCAAATGGATATAGAGACTTGAAAAATCTGGTTATTATTGGATGGTTTAAGTGGATAAAATTCAATTTATTGTAATTTATTTTTAATTTTATATAGAATGCTTAAGGAAATGATTTAATCAATGCAAATTTACCAATTAATAAAGCTTTACTCACTTTGAATTCATAATTTATTGAACTCCCCTATAACATTTTGATATCTTTAATTCAATCATTAGATAATTCACATGTAGGAACAGAATGCAATTTAGTAGATGATGAAGTATTTATAATATAATAATAAATCAGATGTATTTATTATATTGCAAGAACTATCATTTCTCAACAGCTATTGATTATAGATTAGCATTTATATTTGGAGAACATACTATTCCTATAGATAATTATCACTTGATATATAGAAAGTGTGAAAGTGTAAGTGAAAATCAAATGATTTAAAATTGTCTTTTCAATATAAAAGTTTCAGAATCTGATTATATTATTTTGGGAGAACCATTCATTAAAAATCATTATATAGTATTTGAGAATTAGCCAGGTAATAATGTAAGAAGAATTGGTATTATGCCAGCTGCTGTACATATGTTTTATCCTGATAATCCAGATTATTATGAATGGGCTATGTTAAAACTTGTAGGATTTATATTTATATTTGGATTACTCAGCATTTGTTCTGTAACTTTTCTTAGAAGTTTATGTAAAGATCTTTACAGGGCATTTAAATATCGTAGGGTAATTATATATAAATTAAATAAAAAGACTTTGAATCCTGAAGATAAGTTATCTCTTAAAGAGACAAAAGATATAGAATATGTAGATTATTAAACTGATGAAGATATTCAAATTTAATAATAAATTGATAATCAAAATTAATAATAAAATGATGATGAGAAGAAAGTAGAAGAATGGAAATAATAATAAGAATAATTTAAATTTGGAGAGAAATTTAGTAATTTATATGAATAAAATGCATTGTGATTAAAATGACATACATATATAAAATGTTTACATAGTATTTTATGGTTGTGATCAAATTTTGGAATTGAAAGTTTCACCTTCTTCAGGATATGAAATACCATCAACTTTACCATTCGGTATATGAGGATTACATGGTGTATCATCTATTGGTTAAGGAGGGGGATTTATAATTTTTGTTGAGTTTTTTAAATTGCTCTTTTCAGCAAATGTTTAGAGTGGAGATACTTATAAATGAATAACATCCCAACTAATTGAATTAAAGAATGGATGATTCTTTATTTCTTCATAACCTCCTTTAACTCCTAAACGTTCTTTTGGATCATTTTTAAGTAGTTTTTGAATTAAATCACATGCAGCTGAACTCATATTTTTAGAATAGGTAGGATCATTAAGTAAAATTTATTTGGTGATCATTTCAACTCTTCTATTTGGATCATTGAATGGTGGATTACCATTAATCATCTCAAATATAAGAATTCCTATTAATTCTATAAATACTTAAATACCAAGAGTCCATATATCAACTTCATAAGAATGACCTTATCTTGTAATTATTTCTGGGGCTAAATACTCAGGAGTGCCAGCTAAAAGATATGATTTTTCATCATCTTTTCTTAATGTTGCTAATCCAAAATCTGTCAATTTAATATGTCCTGTTTCAGTCAGTAATATATTTTCTGGTTTCAAATCTCTATAAATTACTTTTAATTTTGTATTTAAATATTCAAGTGCTAATACTACTTCTGCTGCAACAAATCTTACTACATTTTCTGGCAATCCATTTTTTTTACATTTCAGAACATTGTAAAATTATCCTCCATTTATACATTCCATTACAAAGAAAATGTATTTTGGATTTTGGAATGCAAATTTCAATTTTACAATGAAAGGATGTTTACTTTATTTTAATACATTTCTTTCTAAAACAGTGTTTGTTTCTAAATTGCATTCTCTTATTTTTTAAATCTTTATTTATTTCATAGCATATAGTTTATTAGTGTCCTTCTTTCTTACTTAAAAAACTATACCAAATGCACCCTAATTCAATTATTTATCATACTTATCCAAGTATTGCTGTTTTGATAAAATCATCTTCACTAATCTGTTATTTTAATGGAGGTGGTGGAATAACTACTAAAGCAGGTTACTTAGATGCACTATTAGTTGCAAATTTGGCTTTAATTAAAATACAATAATTACTTTTATCATCACTTATTGAACTAATAAACGATGTTTTTAGATCATGATTAGGACAACAATTTCCCATAAATTATTATATTAATAAATCATAAAAAATTCATATTTATTTTATTTATCCATATATCCCAATTCTCCAAAAAATAATAGATTACAATCATTTAAACTAATAATATTTCTATTTATCTATTCATTTATTTCAATATATGTATAGAATGCTTTATTATATATATATATATATATATATATATAATATTACAAATATATATGAACTAAACTTTTTTTTTTTGGATTTATTAGACTCCAAAGATTTCCAATTATTTTAATTAAATAATGTATTTACCCACATTTTACAAATTAGGATACGAAGCTTGGACTGCCAAGACCAAGAGATTCATGGGAATTATGCCAGCTGTTGGATGTTGGGGTATACTTTACAATATTAATAAATTATAGCTGTCTGGGCACTCTACCCAAATCTTTACAACACATTATATACTGATTTCATTCCCCCTCCCAAAGGTAATTGTATTTCATAAATGAAGGTGTCTAAAGAAGAGTATAAGATGTGTGAGACATTAATATATTATTATTTGAAAATTATGATTTATGCTTCTTAATATTCTGACTTATCAAATATANTTTTAATTTTGTATTTAAATATTCAAGTGCTAATACTACTTCTGCTGCAACAAATCTTACTACATTTTCTGGCAATCCATTTTTTTTACATTTCAGAACATTGTAAAATTATCCTCCATTTATACATTCCATTACAAAGAAAATGTATTTTGGATTTTGGAATGCAAATTTCAATTTTACAATGAAAGGATGTTTACTTTATTTTAATACATTTCTTTCTAAAACAGTGTTTGTTTCTAAATTGCATTCTCTTATTTTTTAAATCTTTATTTATTTCATAGCATATAGTTTATTAGTGTCCTTCTTTCTTACTTAAAAAACTATACCAAATGCACCCTAATTCAATTATTTATCATACTTATCCAAGTATTGCTGTTTTGATAAAATCATCTTCACTAATCTGTTATTTTAATGGAGGTGGTGGAATAACTACTAAAGCAGGTTACTTAGATGCACTATTAGTTGCAAATTTGGCTTTAATTAAAATACAATAATTACTTTTATCATCACTTATTGAACTAATAAACGATGTTTTTAGATCATGATTAGGACAACAATTTCCCATAAATTATTATATTAATAAATCATAAAAAATTCATATTTATTTTATTTATCCATATATCCCAATTCTCCAAAAAATAATAGATTACAATCATTTAAACTAATAATATTTCTATTTATCTATTCATTTATTTCAATATATGTATAGAATGCTTTATTATATATATATATATATATATATATATAATATTACAAATATATATGAACTAAACTTTTTTTTTTTGGATTTATTAGACTCCAAAGATTTCCAATTATTTTAATTAAATAATGTATTTACCCACATTTTACAAATTAGGATACGAAGCTTGGACTGCCAAGACCAAGAGATTCATGGGAATTATGCCAGCTGTTGGATGTTGGGGTATACTTTACAATATTAATAAATTATAGCTGTCTGGGCACTCTACCCAAATCTTTACAACACATTATATACTGATTTCATTCCCCCTCCCAAAGGTAATTGTATTTCATAAATGAAGGTGTCTAAAGAAGAGTATAAGATGTGTGAGACATTAATATATTATTATTTGAAAATTATGATTTATGCTTCTTAATATTCTGACTTATCAAATATATTTCCATAGTTTTTATTCAATATGTTATACATATATATATATATAAATTCTAACACACTATCAACATTTCACTTATTTCTCTAAAAGACTACATATTCGTTAACCTAAATAAATTACATAAATGTTACCATGTAAAGTGGATTTCAGAGCTTAATACTCTTATTAATTTTTAATTAAGAAATTTAAAATAGATTGCTACATTTATTAATCGATCAAGATCAAAAATTTCTTGATCACATAATTTGCAAATTAGTGATTTGCCAATTGTACAAAGTTTGAAGCTACATACGTGAACTATTGTTAGGCTTAGTTTCTAAATAGCAACCAATTTAAGACAGTTATCAATTCAGGTTTACTTAAAGTTTCCAAAGCCCTTTCAACAGTATTACTAAAATAAATTTATATTTGTTACCTTGCATACTTATTGATACTTAATTGATAAAATTATTATATTACAAGTTAAATTAATCGAGTTTTCTCTGGAGATACAATCCAAAACTATAATATATGTTGAAGAATATAGTTTCCAAATTCTGTTTAACTCAAAACAGAATAATTAGCAATAGATTGTTTAACTAGATTAGCTATGTAATTAGGAGCATATTATTATATGATCTTATGAATGATTTTGCAACCATATATTTATTGAGCCATATAATGAAACTAGATATAGATTTATGATATATACAGATTCTTCAACTATTGGAATAAGAAATTCCATTTTAGATTTATCATAGGATTCAAGCATCTTGAATATGACATAATTGCCATTGGAATCGTAAATCAAAGATCTCATATTCTAAACCAATTAAGAAAGTATAGAATTCTAGATATCCTCTTTGCCTTACGAATACTCAATTAATTTTTGCATAACTCTACAACCAAAGGGATTCTTTGATAAATCATAAAAATGTGTCTTTAATTTATTAAACATTCTAGTCTTGAGTTTTATATCTCCACAACTATCAAAGATCTTTTAAACTACATAATTTCCAAAGACATCCTTCTCAATTTATGGACTTATTCTTTCCAATTTTTGGACAATCAATAATTATTATTCTGGTGTTCCAGATTCTATTAGTTTCTACAATTTTCGAGAAATAATTTGATTTCCCCATAATGAATCCTATTTGAGAATTTAATTTAGTTATTACTATCAAACTTGAGATGTAGATGTCGGCCTCAATGTCAGGTTCGAAGTACATTTAAGGACTAGCTTCATTTGAGTGATAAACCCCCATCCCTATAACATTATCACTCTAAAGATCTTTGAAATATTGTTCTTCATTGATTGAAATCACTCTCTAAGATAGAACTTATTTATTCATTTCTTATATTGGTGATTCTTATAACCAAAGTTCTTTGATATATTTAAACTTTTGATCATTCAAAGACTGATTAGAATGAGGAGACGATTGACCTTCGTTAGTTTTGTTTTTATTGTTTCTACGGATCAGGTCTTTCTACAAACTTAACCTCTGATGTTTTTTAAACTTCTCATCCTAATCTATTTCATCTATGAAGTCAAGAATCCCACTATGTTAATTAGTTAGTGGATCTAATTTGGGAGAAGTATCTAATGTTAACTGCTCGAATTCAGATTGAAGAGAAATAGTAATTGGAGAGCTAATCTCCTCTTATCTTCTATAAGATAAATTCTTACTTTTATTTAGTAGGGCTGCAGGATTGAATTGCTTATTAATAATTCATATGAAAAATATATTTAAATATTATGTCGATTATATATATAAATTCATAATCATTATTTAGCTCCTTTTGGTTGACCCTAAATTATATGTAAAATACTACTTTTGTGCATATATAGATATAATGTACATTCGGAGCATCTTTGTCTTCATTTGTAATGGCAATCGACGTTGAAATAGTTGGCTTATGAACTTATTTAACTACTACATTCCTGCATTAAAAATATTAATTCACTTTACCAATCATATTCAGGTTTCTCTAGATACTGTAATCGATGCTCAGGTAAACCATACGAGATAATAAAGAAAACTCCTTTTGGCCCTAATACTCTATGAACTTCTTATATCACCTTTTAAGCATTAGAGGAAGAAGACTCTCCACACTTAAAATCATAACTAATTATACCAAAACTGCATCCAAAGTTCCTTTATCTATTGCTCCATCAAATGCTCCTTCTTCAAAATCCATTGCTCTTGCATCCATATGTAAATCTAATTGAAACTGTATTCTTACATTTGAAATTTGGTCCTTTGTCTTTATACTTCTCTTACATTGCCTTTGTAACTACATGTGAGATATCAATATTTGTAATATTCTAATAACCTTCATCAAACATTTCTTCACTTAATCCTCAAATATTCAATTTTATCATTACTTGAATTGCCTGCTCCTACATTCAGTAGCTTACTCTCAGGTGTGAAACATGCTTATACAAGATCTTTCACTCCTGTAAATCTCTAATACCAATCAAATGGTTCAGGATCCCTAACTGTACATTCATTGACTTTACCTAGTATATCGTTCTTCCCAGTATTCTGCTTTACCATATTGAGACATTTGAAATCAAAATGAATTCGAATTAATTATTAATGTTTCTTTGTTTCAAATTTTAAGAATAAAAATATACATTTATAAAACAATACATCCCTATTCAAATTTTATTTCTCATAATATATTAAAGACCTCTTTTATTTATTTATTTAATTATTTTTATTAAACCTAATATGTTTCCCAATCAAAAACCAGATTAATTTGATCTATCCTAATTTTCAGATGAATAAATAATGGAATTCATAAAAAGCAATCCTGAAGTTCATAATAAATATTATATCTATAGCTTAAATAAAAATACGATCAATTTCTTTTCTAATAAAAGAAAGCTAATATTCAAACTAATCAACTTAAAACCAAACCCTTGACAGATTCAGAATATCTGGTACTCAATTTATTAATAAATCCATTTTCAGAAGCTCAAAGATATCTAAGAATATTTAGATTAAGAAGGTGGTATGATGATTGAACCAACACCTCACTTTGTACTAAAAGCTTTTGATCAGAATGGAGAAAAAGTCTTCTTTAATGTAACTGCTCATTCTGTTGTTGATGCTCCTGAAGAAAAACAACTTATTGATTATAACAATGAAGTTGGCATTAGAGTACCTATGAGTGTTGGAAACATCAAAGAAGATCATGATGTAAGTAATAATGTAAATCTAAATCAACATAGAAGGTGATACTTGCAAAGTCATTGATTTAATCATTAATCCAACAGTTGCTACCAATCTAACCTAAGATGATAATTTAAAAACTTTCTTTTGTTAACTTGTCTAAACTTATGTAGATTAAAAATACAAATTAAAGTTATAAGATAGTATTAATCAATTAATATCATTAGAATTTATCTCTCTTAAAATGAAATATAAAGGAAAAAGCATATAATTTCAAAGAGTGAAAGGAAAAAAACCACCAAAGGTTTAAGTAATAGATGAAAAACCTAATTAATCCACTCCTCAGAAAAATAATAATGATGATGAAGATGAAACAGAATAAAGTAAAATTATTACAATCTATATAAGTAAGGAAAAGACAGAGAGAGGAATTCGAAAAATAATAAATATCTTCTCAACCACCCACTTTTGTTATTTAAGAACCTGAATGGGAATTATACTTAATTTATCCTAATATGGAATAAGAATATGATGGAGATCTGGATTTTAATGCAATTAAATAATATAGATTTTAAATTCTCACTCCTCTTTTAATAACAGGAAAAGCTATCAAATTAAAAGTAGATGAAGATTAATTCTAAATGATTGCTGGAAAATTTTATAAAATTTCATTGAGATTTCCTTCAAAAATTAATAAAGCTTCTGTAAAAGCTCTCTTTCTTACAGAGAAACGAACATTATGGATATCTGCAGATGTATATTTTGCATCTTAAATTTTAGGTTTATAAATAAAATGAGAATGCAGATTAACAAGGGAATCAATAAAAAGAGGAATAAGTAAATAATGTTTAAAGTACATCACAGTAATCTAATAGTAATTATGATTTATAAAATAATTTAATATTTGATATTGTTTGAATATTCATTTTTTTATCAATATTTTTATTCATTATGTAAAATTTGATCGATTGTAATTAAATACAAAATAAAGTATAAAAATAAATTATATTTATTTTGTTTATTCAATCAAATCCTAATAGCTACATTGCTAACTTTAATACCTTTAGATGTATTTTACTTGTATAAATTTGTATTAAATAAATTTAAGATTTTTTTAATATCTTCAATTTCATCTTCAGATAAAATTAGTCTAAAAATTAGATTACTGGAGTGAATTATTTTCTATTCATAACAATATATTTGATTAAATGTTACAATTATTTTTCTGAAAATAGAGAAATCAGATTAGAGTAGATAAAATGAATAAAATTAATACAAAATAATTTATTTTACTTGAAGAATAGAAAATAAAAGAAAATGTGATGATCTGCTGTTAAAATAGAAGTAAGTGATGAAGTTGAAGAAATTTGAATAAATGACTAGAAATAATATTTATTTATGAGTTAATTTATAAAGTGGAATAATTCGTTTTTTTATTATAATTAATTGTTATGTTGCTAATAGCAGCTTTAGTATTTTTAGGAACAGCTAAGCATTTTACAGTAGAGTTAAAAAGTCGTCATACATAAGAACATTTAATTGAAATAGTAAATATGTTGTAACATTCACATGCTCAATTATTGGAGGAAAATCATTATGAGAAGATTGGAAAGGGAATTGAAGGTGCACTTTAATTTGAGACAGTGATGTTAGAAAAGAACATTTAGAAAAAGAATTTAAAACATTAGAATCATCATAATAAGAAATAGGAACATCATCATAAGAAAAGAAAAAATACAAATATGGTTGTAAATGAATCATTAATGGATGTAATACCTTTAACATCTGAAGAAAAAGGTATATTTGAAGAATCTGGTGCATTATCTCCAATTGATATTCATATTGAGTAATAGATGGAACATCAAAGTTAAAAGTTATTAACAACAAATAGAAATTAAGATGGTTTATATATTGCAGATGTACCTTTGACTAATATAGCAAATACAATGTTCATAGGTGAATTATAAGTTGGAAGTGCTTAAGGAAAGAATGCTTTTGATGTTATATTTGATACAGGTTCTGCTTTGACATGTATAGCTTCAGAGTAATGTAAAGATATTGGATGTTAAAAGAGTAAAAGATATAATCGAGCAGAAAGTTAATCATTTAATGAAATTGGCAAATCAGTTGAAATTGTATTTGGTAGTGGAACATTGAAAGGATTAATAAATAGAGAGAGAATTAGAGTAGATGGTTTAGATTTAAAGGATGCTTTATTTATTGAAGTTACTTAATAGATAGGAGATGCATTTCATGAAGGTGAATTCGATGGTATAGTAGGATTAGGGTATCCTCATATGACAGGAGTTCCTACTTTATTTGATTATATGATCTAATAACATAAACTACATTCAAATGTTTTTACATTCCATTTAAATAGAGCTACTGGTAATTCAGGATCATAATTAATTTTTGGTGGAAGTGATGATTCTTAAATTAAAGGAGAATGGGTTTATCATTAAGTTCATGAATAATTCTATTGGTCAATAATGGCAGAATAAATTAAAGTTGGTAATAAGGATACTGGAATTTGTACACATTAACATAAATGTAAAATGGTTGTTGACACAGGAACCACTCTGTTAACAGGACCTACTAAAGATGTTAGAACATTATTATCTATGATCAGAGTTGAACCAAAATGTCAAAATTATCAAACAATGCCAGATATCACATTTGTTATTGATGGACATGATTACATTTTATCACCTAAGGATTATATTCTAACTATTACATGTATTAATATATTATTTATATTCAATAGAATCAGGAGTTGAGGCACCTTATCATCATTCATCAATGGATTAGATTGTTGGTTGTGCTGGAACTATCTTTCCTTTGGATCTACCACCAAAATAGTATGATTTTATATTAATTGTAGAGGACCCTTATGGATTTTAGGTGATGTCTTTATTACAAAGTACTCTGCTAAATTCGATAGAGATAAAAACAGAGTTGGTTTAGCATTAAATAAGAATCTTGAATGAAATCATTAAAAATATATCGAATAATAAATCACTCATTTGTACTAAAGTATTATTAAAATGTTTGCAATACTTCACTACTATATATTAATCTAACATCTTCTTTATTAAGTTATTCGAATGCTTAATCTTCATATCCTCTATCATCATGTAAACTAATAGTAGACTTCTTTGATGGCAATAGAGTTTCCATCTTATCTCTTTCAGCCTATTCTCCTTAATTATATGGAGAAATCTTATGAAATATTCTAAATATTGTATCTATAAAAATAAGACATTCCATCATAGAATGAAATTTAATAGATGCTTATTCACTTTAATCATCATATTTAGACATTTAACCACGAGTAGATATCATTTATTCTAAATATAATAGAAGTTAAGTGCATTAATCTATTCCTTAACTTAATAAAGTTGGAGGTCCAGTTCTTTTTTATTTCTCTTTACCTAATCTAAAAAATGTAATCATTATATCTATATTAAATTATTTGATTCTTGCCAGATATCTCTTTTTTACAGCCTTATTTTATACATAAGATTCACTTAAAGTAATTAAGTATTTAATTATGAATTTCATTGTACATACTTTCAATACACTTGGTGGTCTTTTTTGAAATTGATCAGATAATTCAAACCAAAATTAATTAGTATATAAATCATTCTTTTTCATTTATTAAAACATACTATGTTCTTCTGTTTAATTAAATTCAGATCTATTTATATTACTATCAATATAATATCTCCATCTATATTAACATAAAGAAGGTGTCATTTTATTATAAAAGAATATTTTATTCATCTAACTAGAAATTTGTTAAAAATCATTTTAGAAATGTTTTTACAATTTCAATAATAAATCATCTTCTTATGAATTCCATTTAACCTTATCCAATTATTGTAATTCAATGTCCATAACAAAACAAATATTTAGTATTTCATAGTAATATTTTAATTAATATATATGAAAATCATTATAATATTTATATCAATCACCTTAAAATTAAATGAAGTTTTTTGTTGTTATTTCATACTTCACTCCTTCAATTATAATATAGAGAGGTTATGTATTCCTAGAAGAATTGAACTCATCTAATATTTATTTTAATTAATTATTTTAATTCTACTCATGTCCTTTAAACTATAAAAAATATTATTAATCTTACTTATTATATATGTTCACTTAATTATCTAACCTATAATTCATTGACTCTCTATCTTAGTATATGATCTTTCTCAAACAATTCTTATGTTTTTGGTTAAGTCATTGTAGCCATTACTCCTACTAACATATTCATTAAAAAGAATCCTATAAAAATAGTCAAAAATAAAAAGTAAAACACATAAATAGCTTGATGTCTTATAATTATTCTGGCTACATCTCCCCAACTATCAAAAGTCACTACTTACAACATGAATAAATAAGATTAAGTTAAAGAATCAAATAATGGATAACCTACATCAACTTTAATAAATTAATGTCCAATCAAAGCCATAGTAAATAATAGGCCTCCTACAAAAATTATAATATGACTGACTCCAGGCAATACTTCAACGAATTTGAATAGTAACTTTTGCACATAGAGAATAGCAAGTACTATTAAAACTCTTAACATTGGCCCAAATCTTATATCTTAATAAATAGATAATGAAATTATGTCTACTATTGTTGCTATTGGACCTGCAATCAACAAGATTATTACTACATATAATCTTACTGAATATTCTTCATTTCTTATTTATGTTTCATCTTGAAATTTCTCTTCAAATTAACTCCTTTATTCATTGATAAATTATTTGAATTGAAGTATCTTCTAGTAACATAAAATACAAAAATATATCCCAAATATATTCTCTATCACTATTTATGCATAATTTATTTAACGTAAATCACTAAATAATTACACCATAGATAGTAGTATTTATAATGATATATAAAGGTAGATTGATACTTCTGATTCATTCAATCCCCAAGATTTACGATTTAATTAATAAGGAGTTTAATCCATATCTAATAATTTCAATGCATCTCTTATTTCTATTGAATGTCTATATTCTAAATTCAAATCTTAATTTAGAACATCATCATGTTGAAAATCATATTAAAAGTTTCTTCTTAAAGTAGGATTTGAATAATAACTCACAAATGCTCCCAATAATAAATTGATAAAATAAAAAAACATGAATAAAATGAAAAACAGGAAAAATATGCTCCAAGCTTATCCATAATATTTTGAAACTGATTAATTAACTTATAAATTCCAACTATCTAATGTTAAAACTTAAAACATTGACAACATTGACTTAAAAATATTTCTAAAAAACTTAGGACTAATTTCCTGGAAAATAGAATAAGCAATATAACTATAAACATAATATGTAAGAAGAAGTGCAAAGTTGATGTATCTAGATACATATAAAATGTAAAATACATCCTTTATCAATAATCTAAAATATTAATCAAAATAGTCTTACCTAATTTTTTCTAAACAGAATATACGTAATAGTAACATTATATCGGAAATAGTTATAGCAACTTCTACAGTTACGATTGCAAAATAAATATTAAGAACTAGACACAAAGGACCACTAATTATATCAATTATCATAAATCCCACACCTAATTAGTCATTTGTTTATACCATAATAATGTCTATTCAAATATAGTTTGTTTATGAATTTATATTTAATTAGAAAATCTATTGTTATTGCAAAGCTGAGGATAAAATTAATTATTCTAAATCTCATATCAACTTCATCTTGTTTTCCACAAAAAAAAATGAAATTCACAAAAATCATTATTCCAATACAAGATGAAATAATCTCACTTGTTTGCAAATAGAACCTTCTAACAGAGAAAACCCATCCATCCCCTTTTGTTAAGAAAGGAGGAAACAAATCTATATCTTTCTTAGAAAAAAGTCTAAATGGCATGTAATTATATTATTTTATTAATATAATATTATGATCATTTTTTGAATTATAACATTGATTGTTAATAGAAACTATGTAAAATTATTTATTATCTTATTGTATTATCATTTATATAATATAATTGAATTGAAATCATAATAAAATTTTAAGTAATCTAGGAGAACAACAAAAAGAAGTACACAATTATTTTATAATTAATTTTTATTCGTTGAATGCTCATAAATAAATTATCTGATCATCCAAACTCATAAAGTGGATCATTTGTCCATTTGTCTCCGTAAGCTTATGAGGCCTTATAAACTTTAGAGTAAATTAAAAAGAATAATATGCTTCAGCAGAATTCTTAAATCGTTAGAAGAGTTTCATCACAATATATTCAATAAACTCAAAATAATTATTAACATTCATCCAATTAAGTATTAGCTTCCCCAATTCAGCCAAGAAAAGAGTTTTAAACTAATTCATCATTATCATTCATTAAAGGAGCTTTATAATCAAATCGCACTAATAAATAAGAAACAGAGGGAAGTCATAAACCTAGTTCTTAAACAGAGAGATAGATTAGTTAATAATAAACTTTGGGTAAATCAGATGAACCTACTCCATTTTTTAGAGACACTTTATCAAGTGATCGTAATAAATGCAATTAGACTAGTTTAAGCTAATATTTGGCTAAACATCAATTTTAATAACAATATAAATATATCAATGAAGAATTATAAGCATTTAAATAATAGGTTGAAAATGATGTATTGATTGAAACTGTTATTACAAAATTTGAATCACCAAAAGATATTTCTAAAAATAGTCAGTTGTTTTTAGATCAATCATAAAAGGAGAATTAGTCTCCTACAACTAAATTAATGATGAAAAAGAAATTGATCTTAAATCAGATCCTCTCTCTCGATAATCAGATTAAGATCATGGAAGATGAAGAGGCTAAAATTGCTCTTGATCCTTAAAAATCAAAATTGAAATAAAATACTAATTAATCCTCTTAAAATAATTAAATTGTTGAAAGTCTTTATGAAAGAGCATAAAAAAAGAATTCAAATTTTAAAAAACTTTTTGAAGAAACATTAATTAATAAAAATTAAGAAGAAATGAGAGAATGTACATTTATTCCAAAAATAAATAAATAAAATATATCTGGTAATTTTATGGAACGATTGGATGATTGGGTCAAGAGGAAAAATCAAAAGATAACTTAATAACAAGAATAAAGTTAAGAAAGAATAATGAAAGAGTGTACGTTTAGTCCTTTAAATAAACATTTATCTAAGACTAATCTTAATCATACAGCAGTATATTACAGAAATCAAGAATGGTAAAATAGATTAAATTTAAAAAAATAAAAATTAAAAGCTTAAAATTCACTTATTTAAATTAGTGCTAAAAAGGAATAGAATACTCCAAAAAAAATAAAATAAAGATCTAGTTCTTCATAATATTAAATTGATCTTGCTAAAATATTATAATCAACAAATTCATAAAATACAACAAAAAGATTAAAGAATTAATCTCCATTCCATACTGAAATTCACATTCTTAATGCATAAAATAAAAAAATTGAAAATATAGATATGAAGTATTTACAATTATGTGATATAGCTAATAGAATTAAAGCCAAATCTAAATATTGAATTTTTAACTTTTATAATATATATATATATATCAATAATTTAATGGAATCATTCTATTTGGTTAGTGTCTGATTATTTCTTACATTTCAATATCTTCTGTTTGTTTTTTTATTTTTATATTGATCATTAACATAATAATTATACAAACAATTAAACATGTTGCTCCAAAAATTATCATATTTAAAGGATCATAATTATCTGGCAGGGTTATTTCTAATTAAAGAATTTATTTATACATTTATGATTAATTTAAACCAATGGATCTTTTACATGTCTTAAATAAATTGATATCTATTTGTTTCTTTCCTTTGTATATTAAGCCAATTATTAATTTTCATAACAACCACTTATTATTTCATTTTTATCAAAAACCATACAAATTGAACTTAACTATAAGAAACAATCTTCCAAACATTCTCCAATTATAAATTTATGATAAGGAATGCTAATACAATTGGATCCACAAAAATTTTATTTATTAGTAATTGAATTAATGAGATAAGGCCATTGAAGTTCTAAAAATTTGGAATTGAAAATTTAATGTTCTGGTTAAGGTAATTCAACTTAAAATGTTTGGATTTCATATGAAAATTAATTGAACTTCTCATTAGTTTTTATAAGTTATAACTAATGAATTGTATTCTTTGTTTTGACATACATTTGATTTTAATAGGTTCCAAGATTACTTGAACTTAATTCTGATAAAGACTTCATTATTTTCACTAATATTATAATGATTATAATACTATTTTGTTCATTTAAAGCATTAGATAAAATCATAAGAAAAGAGATTGTCATAAATAAAGTACCAAAAAATCCAAACGTATAAAAAAAGAAGGCCTTTTTTAATCCGCCATCTAAAATATTATAAAATTTATATACTTTTAACAACTCCAAAGAGATCTAATTTATTAATTTATTCCATTTAAGAATTGTCTTGATAAAAAATTAATTATATTAATAAAAATATGAAAGAGATTTTAGATAATAAAAGTATATTATATTTAATATTAATAATAATAATTCTTATATTACTCACTTAAATTCAAAAGTACACATTTCACAAAAGTGGTTTGAATTTGATTGTAAGTATGTACAAATTGGACATTAAATATGATCATCACTTTTTATTTCTGTTTCTGGTTTAAGATTTGGCATGAACACTTATACTTCTTCATCGATTCTCACTCTATAATATATCAAAAAACCTTTACTATTTTTTTGGTTATTATTATGGAATTGAGTTATTTTATTCATTAAAATTTATGTCCATTGTTTCAATAAAGAGTCCCCAATCCATAGAAGGAATTGTCTTCATAATTGTTGTCAAGTAAATAGTAGTATGGGGAGGAACAACCTTGCAAATTTTAGCAGGATGTCTATTAATTAATTAAATTATGATACCTAAAATTAACCATAAAATCAGGATCAAGAGTAATTTAATAAGTTATGTGTAGAGTTTGATTTGTAGTATTATTGAGCATGAATCTTTTCAACATTGGAGCTATTTAAAGTTCAATATCACAAGGTATAAATTATTAGGGTGTCTCTCCAAATTATCTAAAGTAATAATATATACTTTAATTTACCCAATAGGAATGGTATTATGGCCATCATTCTACTTATTTGCAACTACGATATGTTCTAATTCCATTGAGAATTATGATAATTAAGTCATAGATTCTTGTTCAGCTTTGATTTATTCAGCAGTTTTATTAACATCAGTTCCAAAATCAATTCCATCAATAACATCCATCTTTTTTGGAAGAGGAGGTGGTTTTGGAATAGTAAAAGATCCTTACTGTTAAACTAAGTTATGAATATTAGAATTGGGTTCTATTTTAGCAGTTTACAAATAAATGTTATCATACAATATTGTAGATGGGAAGACACTATTGCTTGTCTAAGTAGGTTTAGATTCAATAAAATAGACTGTTTATTCATAACATTCTAAGATGACTCCCTCAACTTAAACAACACTTGAAACTAATTCTACCTTTATGGTATTTCCTAAGATATAGATGGGTTAAATAGAATCATATAATCCAATTTCTGTTATTTAAGAATAATATGTTTTAAATTATTACCAAAATTAAAAGGTTTCTTCAACTTCTTTTTATTTATTGAAAAATATAGTTGTTGCTATAACAGGATATTTTTTACAATCATCTAAAAATTCATTAAGAAATCCTTCAAACCAATCTGTATATTTTGAATATAGATAACATGGAGGTGGTAGATTAACCAAATATGAAAATACTAATTTATTTGTATTAGCTGTAGCTAAAATCATCTTCATCATTTATATAGCTACATTTTAAAATCTTTTTTAATTTTCAAATAACAAATTTAGAATAGATAGGTTATCATTTTAAGAACCTATATGTGATTAATAGAGTATGCTTTAATAAGATAAATTGGTTGAACAACCTGTTGAATATTTGTCTTAATAATTAGGCTCTGGAAAACCAAGCAACCATTCAATACGTTCTTATTAATAAGCATCATAAATATTAAGAAGATTATAGGCTAAACCTAAAAATTAACTCACAGTTTCATAATTGGCTTTATTAATTTCTTCTAATAATACTTCAATAACAGATCTGGATAAAGGTTCATTATTGAATACCATTCTTTAAATGATCAATTTAACTGTTTCAAAATCTTAACATTCAGTCAAAGCTCGTTTATAAAAGATTTAAGCTTATAGACAAATATTATCATTTTTTGATAAAATGTAATTTTGGTCTTACAATAAATATTGTATACATTAGAAAAGTTAGGAATAGAATGGAACAACCATTTTACTAGCCATTGTTATTTTTTTATCAGTGATAAATTCATAAAATTATGTTTTTTATAATCCTTAAGGAGATTGTTTTTCCATAAAGAAATCAGCAAATATAGATATCAATTCTATTTGATTGGCAAATTTAACATTTATAATTGAAGATTTAACAAAATCTCTCCAAAATGTGAAATAATAAATGAATTTAGTAGGATTTTTGGCAACATCATTTTATAATTTCTGTATTAAATCTAATAAAAATCTCATCATAATTTAATCACAATTTACTATTGTGTTTTCTGGCTATAGAACTTATAATGATTCAGTGTTTAATGGAAGTGCATGAATGTAAATGATTACATTAACATAATGTAACAAAATTTATTATATTGCTTATCTTACAGAGTAATCAGGAGCACACAATAATACATTAAAAATTCTTTATTAACGATTGACTATTAAATGTTGGAAAACTGAAAAAGCACTTGTTGGTATAATATTAATCAGATTCATAATAATAAGTACATAATTTTTGATAGTAGAATGATCAGATGACCTAGCAATTAATTCTGTTGCTATATATGTCATATTGGATAACAATTATTGAATCTTTTAGATTTCCTTTATATCCTAATAATTATTATAAATGCCAAAATATTAAGGTATTTATTCTGGATTTGTGATTAAAGTATAATCCTTAGGGTATGGAAAAGCTTCTCCAATTTCTTTAACAAACCTAAAGAATTCTTCACTATAGATATGTCTCTCCATCATAAATCTATGATTATCATGCCAAATTTCTTAATATAAGGAATCTGGTATATGTTATTGAGTCATTTTCTTATAATCTAATTAATATGATAATACTTCATTATTCTCTTCTTAAATAACACTATCAAATTTTTACATAATCTCTTATTTTTATTATAGATCAGTAAAATTCAATTCTACTTATTCTTTTTGTATTCTCTCATAGACTAAAATGTATGCATTAGTACTACTACCAGACTCTTAAAAATCTTAAGCATCTTCAGTATCTTTGCCTCCATAACATTCATGTGGTAATCTTTTAATATCAAAATCTTCAATTACAGAATCATTAAATTTTAACCACTTTTCATCCTTAGTATTAATCAAACTATAATAATGTCCATATTAAGCTGTTCCTTTGTGAACTACTACTCCTTTTAACTTATATTAATAATATGATTATTATTTAATATCTTAATTTAACAATCCTTCTCTTGTATACTATTATAGATTAAGATTATGTGGAAATTCTAAACGAGTACTTAATTTTTCATTCATGAATATATCTAAATTAAAAACAATCCTTTGTATATGTACTATCAAAACATTAGGTAAAGTTTGTAAACATTGACGTTTAATAAGATCATTCTTCTATTTGCATTATTCACAATAATAATCTTTAATGACTTCTCCATTTATCATACTTTCAAATGATTCATGAATTGATTTAACACCTTTAACTTTTACTGAAAGAGTATAAAAAAGATCAAATTTCTCTCTCATATTTTTGCATCCATTACATATCATTTAACTACAAGTCTAACCACCATAAATAGATTCAATAAATTGTTACCATCCTTTATTCTTTAATTAATTATCTAAACGATCAAAAAATTAATTTAAAAATTCTTAAGCATCCTATTGTAAAGAGACATTAACTGGTTGATTATCATAATCTTTAAAAGAATAACAAAAATATTAAGGATTGACATCTGGTCTTTCACTTAATTCTAAATATGCAAGTAATCTCTAAAATTAATGAATAGAATTATCATCTATTTAATGTTCAAGACCTTAATTATCTTTGTAATGAATCATTTTTGTTTCAACACCATCTTCAGCTCTCAACATACTATATCTGAATTCAGGAGTCATAAAGAATTGCTACATCATTGCATTCATATAACAAATACATCCCAAATTACGAATACCAACAAAACCATGATATGTTTTTGGATTCAATTTTATATCAAATCCACTAAAAATAATGATCTAATATATAATTGAATTTAAATCTAAAATCTCAGGATTGTAATTCTATTTTAAATACAATATTATTATTCTATAAACTATTTTTCTGCTCTCTGGAGATTTACTCTTAACATAATCTGGTGTGTATTATTTTTAGGGTGTAAGTTAAAATGTATTTAAATGGAAACAAAACAAATGAACTTAGTATAAATACATAATCAATTATTATGTCAATATACTTTAATCCACAATACTTAAACTTTCTAAAATTGATAATAAACCTGTAAGAGTCTTATCTGATGTCAATCCAATTCTTGATTCTGTTGGTTCATAATCTTTTAATTATTCTATTATATTTTCAGCAAATTATTTATCACTATATTTAGATTCTTGAATTAATTTAGCTAATAAATCAAAATATGATTAAGAATCTTTATTTTCGTTTTTTGGAAACAATTCAATTAATATATTTATTAAAGTTTTACCCAATTGATTTTAAGATTTGAATATTAAATACAAAGAATTTCCTGCAAATTTTCTTATTAATAATTATTTAGGAGCATATAAAAATTATTCATAACGTTATTTTATTGTTTGGATAGCTGAAACAAAATAATCTAAGCAATTTCCTAAATTATATCCTACAATTGTAGTAATTAATATTAAAACAAATTCAATTATAAATCTATCTTCAGTTATATCCACTTACATTCTTATGATACATTTTAATAAATCAACATAATCTAATTGTATATCTAAACCATCCATAAACTTTACTAATTCTAAGAATTCCTCAGTCTCCTTCACTCTTAATAAAGGTTTATTGTCAGATGATGATGGATAAGTACCATCTATTAATTAAGCAATAATATCAAATGTTGCTTAGATTGGTTATTTGACATGTTATTGAATTTAGTATATGTTATTGAATTTAGGTTGAAATTAAGCAGCAATGTGTTTACTTAGAATATTCAAAATCAAACATTATGCCAATTTGACAATTTTAATATTTTCTTATTCTAAATTATTTAAAATGGATTATAATTATTTGAATCCTCCATATTTAACAAAATTTCTACAATATTCTTCAGTATATAAAAGATGTTCTATAATTTTAATTGAATATATTAATTGATAAGATCTATCTTTTGTAAAATCTTCAAAATTAAGTATACGTTATTTAGCTGCTTCAAAAACAGGTAAAGAACACAATAATTTCCAACATTCTTAAGCAATCTAATCACTTTAATTAATGAAATGAAACATCAATCTATAGAATCTTTCATTATGAGCCAATTAATAACGAGGTAATTTTTATTCATCTAATTCAACTTCATCATTTTCTAATAATGTTAAATCATTCTTATAACCAAATGAATGTAAGTTCTTCCATACAATAGATGTAATCTTTTATTGAATGCAACAATCTTCATAAAATGAAATAAAATTTTCTACTGAAAAATATCCTTTCTATTCACCATATTAATCCAACAATTCTTTGATTTTCTTTCCATCCTTAAAACTCTCATCATTTGCTGCCTTCATTCCAAAACTAGATAATTACTCTGCATTCATTTTACCATCTGTTGAATATAATTCAAACAACTTATGCAAAACTTTAATAAATTTAGGTGTTAATTTTTTATCCTCAACTAAAGGCACTTAAGGAATTGGTTTTGTCTTTCTTCTATAAACATTAATCACTTCACTTTTTCTAACATTCATCTGTTTTAATGTCTTACCATTATCTGTATCTTATACTATTACTCCATTTCTTACTAATTTCACTTATTCCCAATTTGTTTATAATTATTTAGCTATCAATTTTCTCAATTCAAACATAGTCATTCTAGAATAAACCTTTATTGTTATCCTATTACTAGGAGCTCCATCTCCCATATCATTTATAATATTGATACTAAATGCATCTCCTTTTACTAATCCATCTAATGAAAGTAAGGATCCAACACCTTTTGTTTCTGTTTCATTCAATAAAGTTCTTAGTACTTCTAAACATTTAAGAATTGTTTATTCATCTGTACAATCCATCTTATCTAAGATTTTCTCAATAAATTGTTCTTATTGTGATAAATTCAATTTTACTAATAATTAAACTGCTTTATCTAATTGAGAATTAAATACTATATGCCATAAATATTCAATTCCTATAATTTAATTTACATCAACTAATAGAGTCAATTCTAATTGTTAATCATTTTCATTAACATTTGTATTGGTCATACTAATAACATTTCCATATTGATCACAATTTTAATTTAAATTTAATTATTGTCTATGTAATCTATACTCTTTTTGATTTATATAATATAATATTGCTTAGAAACAATTAAATGCACTTTCAGTGAGATGTGAATCTGAATTTAACAATCTTCTGTAAAATGTATCTAATTAAGTTTAACTAAATTATTCATCTTTCTCTACTAAATCTCTTAACCAATTACTGGCCATATCACATTCTTATTTACAAATAGGTTTCAAAATTATTTCATTCCAAATTAAATCTAAAAATTATTGATCTATTATATCTGCTGCAGTTCCATTTATTTTAATTAAAGTTTTTATTAATAGAATTCTTTCTTATAATTTATTCATATATCTTGCTGATTCTTATAGATTCTCTGAATTAATACCTTTATTTAAAATTCGAAGATTTTCTATGTTTTATCTTAATATTTGATGTATATTAGATTATTGAATTAATTCTTTCACAAATTCATCTTATGTAATTTCTTGTACTTTATTTTCAGTATTAGTAGATTATTCAATTTCTTCTTTAATTTTTTATTGAAGCATAATATTAGGATTATTTTATACAAAAGGATAAGTTAATATTTAAGTTGATTATGATTCTACATTATTATCTTATTATTATTATTATTATTATTATTATTATTATTATTATTATTATTATTATTTTAATGGAAATGAACATATTAAATGAGATAATGTTTTAATTGATGAACTCTCTACTTTCATTTATTATATATTTGTCATTAATTTTTAAACCATTTATACTTTAATTTCTTTAATTTCTAAATTCTTAATCAAATCACAAAGATATTATCTTGATTTATCTTCTAAAGATTACTTTTATGATTAACCAGCATATTCAATTATTCTCCATAAATTATCAATTGTCATACATATCAATTCCTAATTTTTAATTTAATATCTATTCATTTCAAATAATAATTAAACATGTTCTATTAATATTTAATCTTATTTCAATTCTTTTATTTATTACATAAAATAAATCACATGATAATCTCTCATTGTAAAAGCTATTTCATTTATCAATTTAAATATGATAGGTCTCAATTCATTATCATTTTATTACATCAATTCCCATATCATAGACATATGTTTAGCTGTAAACGCATTATCAATATTTAAATAAATTCTAATCAAATCTTTAGTTCTCTCTAATAATTAAAGATGAGTATTATGATGAAACAATGTTTCCATTATATTCTCAGAATCAATCCATTATAAAATAGTCTCAGGACACTTATCATTACTAGCTTACTTCAACATATCAGTCAATAACTTTAAACCCATAATTTTCTTATCCAAGAAATTACAATTGAAACAAATCTATACAAATTCTAAACTCAACTTTTAGAGCCATTCTCTTCTTTAATCCTCATTCATAATTCTATCCAAAAGTACTTTGAATGCTTAAATAATAAGATTCATCTTTTCTCTTCCCATATTTCTTAAAGTTTACTCATCAGAATGTAATAAAATTTATCTCATACTCTATAATTTTGGAACATATTCTTAACAAAAAGATCTGAATAATTGAGCATGAATATTACCAATAGCAGACATATAATTAGCTAATATATCAACTGATTATATGTTGAGTATTTTCTCAAATCCTCCTAAATTACCAAAATGATTGATGAATTAAATTAAAAGAAAACTCTTTGATTATTTAGGTCTTAAGATAGCATAGAACTTCTCTTCTAGATAATCTTATTCATATAAGATATCATAACTATCATCAATATATTATTCATTTGAGTTAAATTTCCTTACAACATGATCCCCACAAAGTGCTAATCTAGGATGACATGCTGTAATTTGTTCATCATAATGATGGTTATAACCAATATATTTCTTTTATGATTCATCTTCTATTGAATTTCCATCTTCTGTATAAAAACGAAATCCCACATTATATTTCATGATATTTTCAATATCTTTTTCTTCAATACATTACTATATAGTGCTTAAAATCCATTTGTCTGATTGAGTTGCTAAAATTACCTAACCTACTTAAAGATTGAACATTTGATCTAATCTTTGAGATCGAGTTCTATATGGCATGATATTACCACTTCTTATATTGTAAAATCTTTTGACAGATTACTCATTTAGATATCTAATCGATATGCCTTCTTCAGAACGATCTTCAACGACTCCTCTTGACCAATTCAATCTGGCAGTACTACGACAAAGACGCAGACAATCTACATAAGTACCTATCTAAAGTTGGTCGATGAATTCCTTATATTAAGGATTGAGCGAGTAAGAATATTTAATGAACTAACTTTATTCAATTGATTACTTGATCATGCCATTCAGTACGATGTGCATTATGCTCATAAATCATACGAGATGGATCCATTATAACCCTAAACATTTAGCTTACCTTCTCATCTTAGAGATTATTGGAAATGTATTTCAATACAGACTTTATGAATGCTTCTATATTGAAAATCACTCTTTCTGGATAAGCCTTATGATTGATGATGAAATTCACACAGATGCTCATCAACTCTGGCAAATATTGTCGACCATCTGCTGTGGCAGTCTCTTCCATATACTATTCTACTCTTTATAAAGCTTGCAGAATCGGTTCAAATTACTATTCACTTTTGGCTGTCTTTAACTTATCTACTTAAGACACCAATTATTTCATTGCCTGTATTTCTTCACTCATTTATATTTATATTTCATCTTAAATTTTACAAATGTAGTTTATATAGTAAATAAAATAATCCAAAACAATTATTTCAGATCCTCTTACATCATGAATGTTAGTCCTAAATGCTCACTATCTTTCGTAATTCTATCCTATTATCATTAAATAATATCCTTAATAATCCTTTTTCCAAATTAATACTTTTTATTAAATATCTATATTTTACATTTGAAGAAATCTGATCATATCTGCTCTTTAACATAAATAAAACTTTAGTTTAACTAACATAATCTTAGTTCCCATAACAAATTTATTTCATATTAATAATAAAAACAACAAAAATAATAATCTACTAAATAATGTTTCACTTAAAAACAAATCCTAGCTGAGTTGCACTAATCTTTTTAAGTTTTTTCTCTATTATTTCTGTAATTATTAATCTTAAGAAATGATGCTTATCATTAGTATTACTTAAATATTTTAAGAATTCAATCTCTCATTGATATGTATTTTCTTTAAGTTCAAAGTTTTTTTATGTCATAGGAATTTCAATTGATCATTTGACTTTTTGTTAATAAGAAATCATTATTATTCAATTAATATCTATAAATTAAATACTTTTTTTTTGATAGAATAATCATTCTTTAAACTTGACAGAAAAAATTATAATATTTTGCAATAAGGTAAAATTTTCAATATATAAATTTTAATTGTCTAAAAATGCCATTTTTATAATTTTGAAAACAAATTTTAATAAAATCTTCTGAAATTTCAATTATATTATATAATAACTGTAAAAATAATTGATGCATAAATAAAAATGCTTAAAATTTTGAAAAAAAAATTAAAAAAGATAACTTAAAATTCTTATAACTTTAAAGTTTAATATAATACTCATTATAATACTCAAAAAAAATTATGTTAATTATACTATTATATAATTATTGATATTCAATAGAATTAATAAATTTATAATAATTTGATTTGTAATCTAAAAATGAATATACTTTCTTAAATTTATATACTATTAATCGCTTATCATAATTACTCATTTTCTAAGTTTTCTATCTTTTCGTTATCTTTCTTCCAAAACTTCCTTGTATTTCATAGATAAATCAAAATCATCCAATTACCACCCTATTAGATCTTCTCTATATTATGAATCAGAGGCCAATGGAAATCTTTCAGGCTTACATTTGAATGGAAAATCTTTCATCAAATTGAATATTGTTTTACCATTCATCTTAAGAACTTCTTCTTACTACCAACTAAAATATAATTTCAAATGATTTTATACTTTCCTTCAATTTCAGCTAAAACTTATGCCTATTGGTTAGACATTTTAATTTTCCCATCTTTTTTGTACTTTTATAGAATATTCTAGTTCACTTTGTATATTTTACCCTCAAAATAATCATATTGATTTTTTCCTTTTTTTTAAGGATTGAAATACAATTCGCTAATAATTTGATTTTTATGATCTACATATAATTATTGTCCTTCAGTGTAAAAATAACGATCTCCATAAGTAATACCAGTCACATAACCTTTACAATAACTATATTCAATTTTTGCATTACTACATTCTATTACAATTTTACCCTCATTACCTCCTGTTACTGTATTTGCCCCTATACTAGCTGTTGATTCCAAATTACCATATATTTTATAACCTCTACCATACATAATAAATGCAGCAATTGGAGGATGATGACTAATTTATTCTAAATAAACTGGGCATCCTTTAATCCATAATTAACAAGTTTCTCCTAAAATTGGGTTAAAAGGTTTTTCTAAATTCAAATAGATTATTGTAAATGAAAGTGAGAATGCTATCACTGCTCCCATTTATTAAACAGGATCATTTGGAACATTTTCTAAGAAATGTGGAGCATAAGCAAAAGATGCACCAAATCTTTATAAATTTGTCCTTTTTTCAAAAACATATACTGGAAGAGAAACACTTAAAATAGATTTACCTTTCAATAAATTAGATCCCATTTTACTTAAAATGTATTTTAATACTTTTTTCTAAGCTTCAAGTTTTTTAGCATTCACAAATTTTAGATACCCTTTTTTAGTATCAAATTACCATTCATCCCTATAAAAAAAATGAAATCCATTAATTTCATTAATTCTTTCATATTAAGTATCTTCTTTAATTGTAATAGTATATGGATGTAATTAAGAACTATACATTTAATTTCCTAATACAAAGTCTAATAAATCTTTATAAAAATCATCTTAATTTTAAATCAATTATGATTTTTCCCACTCAGGTCGTATATCTTCATGCATGAATGCTTCATCTACTTCAATCTCATCCTCAGATTCATCCTCAATTTTAATTTACTTTTTCTCTTCTATTTCCACTACTTATTTATTATCATCTATAGTTTCTGTATTCTATTCTTAAATCTTTTATTCATCAATAATTTGATGATTAATAGGAACATTAAAATTTAAAACTTAATTTTATTCCATAAATGTATCTTATTAAATTATAATTTCTTAATTTTATTTTTTAATTAATGTAAGATCTTAATCTCTAATCTAATAAGAATTTGTTTACTTGGAGTCAGAATAATTTTGAAACTTTTATTAATATTTTTATTTAATTTGTAAATATGATATTGAATCTTATCTTGTAAATTCATTTTCTTTTAACAAATCAATTTATGGTTATGATTTATGCATATAATTATTACCTGTATTATTCTAGACATATTCTGGAATAACCAATTATTAAATATTTTTAGATTTAACTGGACGACTTTCATAAATATTAATTAAATCTAAAATAAATTAAGGTGCTTATTTTTATAATTTTAATTCCATAACATATTAAATTAAGTGAATATATTCTTTTAAATATTAAATTGTTAATTATAAATCTTAGGTTTATGTCATATATCCACCATTAATAGTTTTTGTATCAACAACAAATAGTTTAGGTGTATGTTATTATAAAAAAACAGCACAAATATTCCAATGTATAATACTACTACTTTTATCATCAGATTTATCTATTACATATATTTCATTATAATTAGTATAAAATTATCTAACATAATTAAATGTTCTAGGTTAATAAAAATAACCAAATGGTTCTCTTGTTTCCTTTATTTTTACTGTTGTTAAACCTATATTTTCCAATTACTCAATATTTTTTATTTATTTATTCCATTTTGTTTGAGTTTTTATATCATATAATGCTAATATTAAACTGTTGGAAGTAGCATCAGTAATAGGAAGATATATTCTGAAATTATATAAATCATTTTTATTCTGCATAATTCTTATAGTATCTTCAAATAAATATAGATTGAAATCAGATTCATCTATTAAATAATCATAACTTAATTTATATTACAGATCTTTTAATATTTATGTTAATTCTGGTTATTCTATTTAATTATCTTTACGAATTGTTTAATTTTAATTTAATATTGCTGATTCACCAAGAGATTATTGTAAAAATATTATTCTTTCTTAATCAATCTATTTTTAACTACTTTATTCAGTTTAATAAAAAGTTTATTGATTATCTAATTAGTTAATTGAATAATGTTTTTATTGATTCAATTCTTAAGAATAAAACAAATTTTGGTTAATACTTGGTCTTTCTCTATCCATTTATTTCAACAGTTCTATATTGATATCTTTTACCAAAGGTTCAACAGTCATAGTCTCATATCGTCTTCCCCTTCTGCCTTAAAAAACACATTATTTTATATCATTAAACCATTAATTAACATAATTTTTATCATCATCAGCAAACCAAAAGTTTTATGAGAGAGATTTATGCAAAAGTAAAAATTTGTATCTCTTGTTATCTTAAATTGGATTTTAGATTTCAAAGAAACGTAAATTGAGAATGATTTCTTTTTCAGACAAAATTATCAATTCGCATAGATCTATATCTATAGTTAATTATCTTGTTTTCCAAAATGATTCATCCTTCATTTTGATATCAATTTAACCTGTCTTTTTTGGTTGAAACATATATATAAGAATTGTCTGTCTAAATATTTTTTCTTTAGTTTCTCTACTTACCTTTAATCTGCTCAAATCTTTGTCAAATGCAAGATCCTAATATAAAGATTCGACCTTTTCAATGACATTTTCTGATATTTCTTATGGGTGAACTTATTAATACTTTTAAAATCGTTTATAGAGACTAGCTATTGATTCTTCTTAATTCATTTATTAATAACTAATCAAAAATCATCAAACATATGTTATTTTTCATCATCTATTGGTTGAATATCATCCCTTTCTTCTGGATACTTATCAAACCATTGTGAATCTGTTTCATTTCTTAAAAAAGGAATCCATGGAGGTTGGATTTTCTTTTCATATACTTTTTACCATGGAACACCTCTAAAGAATTTATGATTCATCAAAGCTGCACCTTCCTAATTTAACAAAATCAAATTACATCTTCAACACCCAATCTTTTATTAACATCTGAATTTAACAATTTTCTTATAACATCCTTCGCTCTTACATGCAAAAACTTAGGAAATTCTATAACTCCATTTAAAATCTTCTTATATATATTTGTAGGCTCAATATCATAAAAAGGAGGATGTCTAAATAATTTATTATATTTAATTATATACCCTGCTAACATTTCAAATATTAATACTCCTAATGCCCACCAATCTATAGATTTTCCATATCCTGTTTTTGCACCTTAAATTAATTCAGGAGCCAAATATTCAGGTGTACCACACAATGTTTAAGTATGATTGTTTTTAATCTTCTTTGCAAATCCAAAATCTGCTATTTTTATATGTCCTTCTCTATCAATTAATAAATTTTCTGGTTTTAAATCTCTATAAACAATATCCTTTCTATGTAAATGCTGAATTGCCAACAATATCTCTGATACATAAAATAATGTAATATCTTAACTAAATCTGCCATCTTTTCTCAATCGAGAAAATAATTCACCTCCTGATACAAATTCAAATAACATATAAATGCATTTAGCATCTTAAAATGAACCTTTTAACTATACTAAAAATGGATGTTAGATTTCATTCAAAATATTCTTCTCTGATTTTATATGATCCACTTATTTTAATTTAATGATATCATGTTTCTTCATTATTTTTAATGCATAAACTTAACGACTTGGATCACGTTTTATACGAACTTGTTTAACACGTCCAAAAGTGCCTGTACCTAATGTAGTGTACACCTCAAAACTATCTATTGAGAGGTTTTAGAAAAGTTATTTATCATTAGGTTTTCCTTAAACAGACTAAAATGTTGGCTCTTCATCTGATGAATCTTCATTCATTCGTTCAAGTTACAATTTTTATAACTTACGTTGAAGTTCTTCAATTTGAAGTTGGTTCATGACAGTTAATAAAATTAATATATATATTTATTTATCTATCTAAATAATTTCAAGTTTACTCAAATTACTGTTATCTTATACATCTAAATTTTTAATAGAAAGAAGTTACTATAAATGTTTTAAATTTTAACAAAAATATTTGATAAGATTTAATTACTAAAAACAATCATAATAAGATTGCATCTTATATAAATTCTTCAATACACTATTCAAATACCATGTCTCCTATTTCCATCAAGAGCTCCAACTTATCATCTGATGCTAAATTCCATCTATACTCATTATCTTACATCTGTCTTATATGATTGATTAATTACATCTGCAATCAACATTTTATTCACCCTTTATTCCCTTATTTATATAATAGGATCAAAGTAATATTGAAGATCTGTATCATATAAGTCTGGATTCTATTGAATATTCATATGTTATATCATCATTTCCTAACTTTTCGCTTCTAAAATGATTTGTTTTTCTCTTGGAACATAATATTCTTCTTCAATTGGCAAGAAACCACATAAACAATTTGCAAGTTAAAGTATTTTAGATTCCATTTAATTCAAAATTTCACAGAAATCATCACATTTAATAGTTTAATGAGGAATTCTAGCTTCCCAAGGATAAGGTTCTCCATTATCTATTATTATAGAATTTATAAAAATACTATAATAATAAGGTCTAAATGTATTCAAAATTTCATTGCAAGCATCAAATATAGCTCTATTGTGAATATGTTCAAGTTCTTTTAAGGCTTTAGAAACATGATTCAAATTCTAAAAGTCATGTTCTTATAAACGATGAAATTCATATTCAAAGAAATATTAATCTAACATAACAAAATTTACATAATTTTAATCTATAGTTTATTGAGAGTAATTTCCATAGAAAAGTTCTAATCTTTTTTATGGTGAATAACCATATGGAATGTTAATTTTTTAAACAATCTCTTCTCCATAATGAGGTAAGATATAATCAAATAAATTGTGAAGATAATATCTAATTTCAATAATTGAAGTTGGAATTTATGTTATTGTAGGTGTAAGTTATTATATTAATAATGCAAATTAGGTTTATTTATTTAATAATTCTAAAATATTATTATTATTATTACCTTCTGATAGATTATCTAAAATGTCACTGATTAAATCATTTGCTATTAAATCCAATTTATCTTTTATGTTCATCTCTTCATTAGGTTAAATAATATCCTCTTTAAGAAATTATCTTTTTTCAATTTAATTTTCTTAATCAAAATCTTCAGATTAAGTCTCTTCAAGTTTTTCTAATTCATTTTCAGATTGTAAATAAATATTATTTAAAATTTTAACTTCAGATTGGCTTTGTTTTGATTTTTTAAGATTACTTAATCTTTCTTCTACTTTTTATTTAAGACTTATAAGTTTTGAATTATTTTCATCAAAACTTGATGCAATCATTAAATCTCTTTAAATCTTTTTCATTGCACTAGCTTCTTTTTTCTTACTTAATTCAATATATTATCTTGTAATTTAAAGATCTTCTAATTCTTTTTTTAACCATTTATTTAATTCAATTTTTTTATTTTCATCATTTTCAATTTTTTCAATTTCTGTTAAATATCTTAATTAAATTGCTTCTTCTCTCATACTTAATAATTCTGATTCTTTTTTCATTAACTGAGATTATAATACTAATATAGATGATTTACTTATCTCTGTTATTTAATCTTTAGATGATTAAATTAATCTAACTTCACTTTAATCTTAAAGTGCTTTAACTTTCTTTCTTGCTTCATTAAAATTCTTTTCTGTACTTGCTTCTTAAGATTACAACAATTTAATATCAAATGAATGATCAGATTAATTAGAATTAAGTTTGAATTTAGATAATTAACTCTATATAATAGAAATAATAGCATGTTTCATTTATTTTTTTAATTTCCCCATAGCTAAAGTCTTTTTTTAATCATTATCATAAGTATCTAAATGAAAATTCCATCCATTTAATTGATTTTAAATATCATCTACCATTTAAGCTTAATCTAAATTTGATGGATTTTAAATGCTTAATGAATAACTGAGTTGATTACTTTGACAAAGTTAAAAATCAGTTTGATTTTCTACAACTAAAGGTATTTTATTTATAACTTTTTATTCTTCAATAAATTAAGAATTAGGTTAATTTTTATTTTTAATAATATTTTAAATTTAATGTTCCTAATTAATCTATTAATTATTTGAAACAATTTAATTTGACATTTTTTCTTTTTATTTTAATACTTTATTGATTTGGGAAGAATGTGATTTATTTTATGTTTATTCATTAAATAAAGATTTATAATGTTTTTATATTAATCTCTTAATTTCTAATTAATTAATTTTATGATTTCTTTGTTTTTTTCTTAAACAATATTATTTCCAAGCTTTCTATATTTTAATTACTGCTTTTTACATACCTTAATATATTAATATTTTGAAATTAAAATCAGATAAAGTTGCACTTATACTTTATGAATCTTAAAATAATAAAATCAATTTCTTTATCATTTTTTATAAATAAATAGTAGGAGGATACTTCTTAAAAATTGTATTAATTTCATTATCTAAAGTCAATTCACTATTATTATTCAATTATTAATTATTTTTTATTTACTTTTTTTAATTTTATCTTGTTGATGATGATGATGATCTTTTTTTTGTTGAATCATTTTATAGATCTGCAGATTTCAAAGAACTTTATTGAAAAAATTCTTATTTACTTTTATTGGCTAGACTATTTATATCAGTTGGATTTCCTTTTTATTTTGATTTTTGCTTTTGTTTTATCATTTTCTTTTTTGTTTTTTTAGGTGATTTACTTTTTTAATCTATCATTTTATTTTTTAATTGAATCTTTTATTTCAACTGTTCTAATTTAAATTGGTTCTCTATTCTAATTCAAATCATATAATTACTTTTTTTTTTATTCTTCTAATATCTGAATTTCATAGTTTTTTACATATATCGAATTTTAGGTCTTTTTTAAAGTCAAATATAAATCATTTGACTTTTAATTAGTCTGATTTTTGAATTCTTTAGAATTCTCATCTTTAAGAGGGATTTATTAATTCTAATCCTTTTATAAATTTTATTGTTTTATTTATAATTTAATTTTATTGTCTTGTATATTCTCTATCTTAGAATTCTATTTTTTAAATAGTGTTTCACTTAAATTTATATCATTCTTCTTATGATTATGTTTACGGTTTGTTGTAGTTATTGATTGAACTGATTATTTAGGATTTTTATTTTAAGTTGGATAAAATGATTTTTTTGTTGTGTTTATTAAAGAAACAACTTTGCCTTATTTTTTTTTAGATGTCCTTTTCTTATTAGTATTCTAAAACTATAAGGATTAAGACTTAAGTTTATCATTTTATTCTAATTGTTATTCAGGAGATTTAATTCTTGAACTATTTCTTTGTTTCTTATTGCTAATTGAGCTATTTGGTTCTTGTAGGTTACTTTCATAGAATTAAGTATCAAATGAATTTTGAGTATTCATGTATGAAAATAAATTAATAAATATGTATAAATTGATAACCTTAAATATGAAAATTTATGTATTGATTAAGTTATTATAGGAGACATGTTAAATATAAAATAAGTAATCATATAATCAAATATATAATTGATGATCCTATGTTACTAAACTAATATCAATATATAACTTTAGATGTCAAATATAAATATCCATAGTTAAACTATAAAAATATTCATAAAATATTAAATAATAAATTAAGTATTTAATAGAATTTAGTGGTTATATCATCAATACTCATATAAATTATTAATTAAGTATGAAGTAGAAATTAATATTTTATAATAATTATTATATTAATGTAATTATTTAGAGTTGTATATAATTATCTTATTTAGTTTATAATGATAATTGATATTTACAATTCTATATTAATTAAATAGTTTTTATTCATATATATTTAGACTAATTTAATCTCTATTTTTCAAGATTTCGATACACATATTTAAAGGAAAGTATATCAGTATAAAGAATTTCTTAATAATTTATTATAATCTAAAAGTATCAGAATATTCTAATTGTTTATGAAAACCTTAACATAAAGAAAATAAAGTAACTACTTTTCTTACTAAATAAATTTGTTAGTAATACAAATCATTAGTTTTTGTTCAAATAAATGTTTATCTCATTTTAAATATATTTCTAATCAAAAATATTCAAATGAGTTTTCATTTCTATTATGAAATATTAATTATTATTTTGATTAAAACACAAAAAAATATGAGAATATTGTAAATTTCTATAAAAAAGAATTAATCTGCATATTGTTATAATAATATCAAAAATTTATTTTATGACTTTTAGTCAGTTTTAATAGAATAGATACCTACTAGATTACAAAAAGATAAGTGCCATTAGAATATAAAATGAATTAAATGTATAATATGTTCCATTATATCATTTATAGTTTTTTTCATATTAATGACATACCATTATACAAAATGTATTAAATTAAATTATTTTTAAATAAAATAATATATAATTCCATGAAGAAAAATGAAATTGAATTTCAAGATAGTTCTATATCCATAAAGAGACAACCTCTTTTAGATAGGAAGAAAAGTTAGGATAAAGATTAAGGACTTAGAAAATCATCGTTTTATGAAGGTGGTTTAAGTTAATTGAAAAAATCCATAGTTGAGATTAATTAGCATTAATAAATTGATAAACATGTATTTAATACTATATATTGTAGCCATCTCTTTAAGATTTATATGATTCTTTGACACTTATGAGTCTATAATAGAAATACAATTAGCTTTTAAAATCTGTTCAAGAATAAGAAGTTTAAGAAATTATGGCTATTTTAGATCATTTTATTACAATTACTCCTAAACCAAAACTGAGAGAAATTTATGATTAAAAATAATAGACTATTCTTCATATTTCTTGCTTTAAAAACTTACCAACTGCTGTTGAAAGAATTTTAATATATGAAAAAGATAATTCTACAATTGAGGAATTCAATATATGGATAAATTAAAAAAATAAAGATTCATTCACAGCAGTTCATTTTGCTGCATATGTTGGTTCATTAGAAACATTAGAAATTCTAAAAAAATATTAATGTGATTTAAAAATAAAAAATGAATAGGGATAAAATGCACTTTCTATTGCAGCTTAAGGAGATTAAGTTTCTGCTATGGTTTGGCTATATATGTAAGGGTTGTCTTATACAGAATAAGATGAGAAAGGTGGTACACCATTACATTGGGCTACTTATTATGGTAGTGAATTTGCTGTATAATTTTTATTAAGTTGGTTACAAAAAAGTAAAGAAGGGAGAAAAATTATAAATCAATAAGATACTGAAGGGATGACACCTTTACATTTAGCTGCAATGACAGGAAATTAAAGAATAGCTAAGAAATTACTTTATAAGGGAAGTTTAAAAAATATTAGAGATAAAAGAAATTAAACTCCAGCCTAAACAGCATTAGAGAATGAATACGAAATAATCTATAAAATTTTAGAAACAAATAATTGTCTATTAGAATTTTTAAATATTCGAACAAGGTAAATGCTAAGTTCACTCTTAATAGTTATAAACCAGCGTCAATTAGTTGGAATTAGATTTGTTCATTTTTTATAATATATTTCTATTGCATGATTGGTTCCATAATTTTTGTATATCCATTTTTTAATACTGATGCTTGGTTATAATATTTATCAATAGCTTCATTTTTGATAGGACTCATTTTTTATTTTTTAACTATGTTTATAAGTCCAGGATATGTTGAAAGAAATGATGATTCAAGAAAACTATTTTTACTTTTGACTTAATATGAACCTTGGGAATTATGTCCAGAATGTTAAATACATAAACCATTAAGATCTAGACATTGTGAATTTTGTTCAAGATGTGTAATAGTTTATGATCATCATTGTCCTTGGTTACATAATTGTGTAAATATTTATATATTTAATTAAGATAGGAGCTAAAAATTATCCATATTTTATTTGTTTTATTTTGACAATATTTGTAAATTTAATTCATCTAATTATATTGAATGCAATATTTTTGATAAATGATTATCCTAATCCTATACATAATACTCATTATCCATGGTTTAATAATGTAACTAATTTAGAGGCACTTGATATTTCTAAGAAATGTGTTCAATCATCTATTTTAATTTTATGTTTACTCTTTTTATTTCCTTTAGCATATTTGATATATGTTTAATTGGATAATTTATTTAGAAATATTACTACTTTTGAAAAATATCGATAAGAAGAATAAACTAATGTTAAAGGTTCAAAAGATAAGAAAAGTCAATAAACTATATAGTAAATATATTTATTATTCTAGATCTACCTCATCTATTAGATCATAAGAATCACACAATCTATCATTTTCAAATTGTATACAAATGTGTTGCAATAATTCAAAAAATACTTCATATCAAATATGACACATTTAAATATTTATAATAATTTTTATTTTATTCTATCAAATTTTATATGAAATTTAATAAATTATATCGTTAACTTTATTGGTTATTATTATTTAATCTTCCAAATCATTATCCTGTTAAATTTTGTTTTGGGAATATTATTACAATGATTCCAACTCAATATTAATTGAATGAGATTATTATGATTTATCATCTTCTATTTCTATAACTTCTTCCTGAAAATCAATAAATTTAGTAACAAATTAACATTAATTTGATACATGATTCTTGAAATTTTTCAAATCCCCTCTCCAATTTTCACATCTTAAACATTCTATTTAGACTTCTTAAATCATCGATTAAGCAAATAAATCTTTCTCTTATAAAAAATTTCTGTTGATTTAATATCTACATTCTGGACAAGTTCTCTTATACTATAACCAATTCAAAATACAAGATCCACAAAAAGTATGCCTATTTTAACAATTTCAAATGATATACCCACAAGATACTCTTAATGGTTTATAAAATACCTCTCTACATATAGTACAAAATAAATGTGGACTAATTGGTGATAATTATTCATTAGATATTCTAAATTAACGAGGCTTATTCATTATTTTAATTAGTATTCAATTTACAAAAATTCCAATATAAATATCAAATCATATTAACTATTTACACATTTATTTCTCTATCCATTTTAAAAAGCTACTACTTTCATTACATCATTTAATAATAAAGCATATTCTTTTCATTTTAATAACAATCTACTGTTTTGAATTTCATCTGTACATAAATATAATGTTATAAGAAATCATAAAATAAGTTTATTCCTATATAGTATATTAAATCAATTCTTTTTTTCAACAAGATATCATAGAATCTATTGACTAATTTCTAATATTAGTATTAATATTAATATTTGAATTACATCTATATGAGATATAATAAATTCAGTTTGATCTCAAGAATATAATTAAAATGATAGTACTTAATTGCATCATGCTCTTTCACAAAAACATCTATAATATAGATATTTGCCTAATACGAAAAAAACAACATTTTTACTCATTTACTTTTATCGTAAAAGTGTTCATAACAACAACAGGTCAATTTATTTAAATTAATTATTAATGGAATGGTTAATGATTTAGATTTTTAGATTATATTCATGTATTTTGTTTTTATAATTGAAATATTACAAAAGTCATCCAAAAAATACTTATGATCTATTTCTATATGTTTCAGAAGGTGGTTATAATGGAGGTAAATTATAATGCCCACTTCCTTCATTTAAAATGAATTTGCCTATAATTTTAGCTGAACTTTCTGTAACTCTTGGAGATGTCATAGGAAACAAGGCACGCTAACTTAAATATCTCTATTGATATTTCATTGGTATAGATGTCTATTTACTCAGTTCTAATGGAGTAAAGATTTTATTATCCTTAATTATATCATAAATGAAATACCTCTGGTTTCTTATATCTTTGATAAGAAACATTTGAAATTGTTGATAGATTATTGATTGTAGTAATTTTATCAGTATTTTTGAAGCAATCCTGTTTATCATACCATTAATATTGTTCAGTATGAGCTATTTGATTCTTATGATCTAAAAAGTATAATTATAAATATAATTACTTTAAAGAGTTCTAATATTAGTTTTCTTCTATCCATCATATAAAACTTATCTATAAAGTGGATTGGCTTCTGGATTGAGCATGAGATTTAATAAATTATATATTAAGTTATATAATTGTAATATCAAATTCATATTCCATTTTTAATTAAACTCTTTAGACTTAATTCAACCTTCATTTTGGGTCTATTTGAATCTAAATAATTTCAATATAAAATACCTTATTTCATAAGAACTCTCTAAGTTGGACATTTGCTTAGATCAACTATAACATGAGATTAATTTTAATTATGAGTCTCCTTAATCTTAACTTAAATTAATTTATTTTATGATTTATCAGTCCTTAAGTTTCTTTAATTAATGGTTGATATATTATTTTCTTTGGCTTATCTGAATGGGGAAGCAGAAGGTGTAGTTTTTTGATTTGTTCTTGGTGTTAATTTTTAAGCTCCTGTATTCTTAATAAAAGGAGATTTAGTTCTTTATTAAGTACTAACTTAATTTTATTATGGTCTTTATAGAAATTATCTATAAGGAGATGTGCTTCTTTGGGGAGATACATCTTTTTTTTTATTTTGTTAAGATTAATTTTGACTAGGTTGATTTGGTTTATGACTTTGATTTCTATTACATTAATTATTTAATGTTTCTTAGTTTTATTTTGATGTATTGCTATGTTAACTATTAGTGTTGGTAGATAATTTTTAGGATTAATCATCTTTTTATAAGTACTTGAAGATGGATTGAGAATGTGTCTCATTTTCTTAAACTATAGGTAATTCTTAGATTTCATGTGATTTTAATGTCATCTTAATTGAATTAGGCATATTTGATTATTATATGATTTTGGCATCTGAAACTTCACTAGATATATATGTGTCTGTTTAAATTGTTTAGAATAATTCTTCACATTAGATAATCGAATTAATTTCTTTAGTTGTAGATTTATATTTATTGAGTGATCCTTAGACTTAGTAGCAAACTGGTTTTTAAGTGGGTTTAATTGCATTATCAAAGGTTTTCATTTAGCAGTTAAACAAAATTTTTAAATAAATTATCTTCAGTATTGATAATAAGATTATGTTTACTAATTATAAAAGATTATTGTTTAGAAAATCATGTGTTATGATTTATAACAAAATAAGTGGTTCTTATTTAAAAAGTGATAATATTTAGAAAATTTAAATATATTATATATTCGAAAAATGTACAAGAGCAACTTTGTTGAATCTCAATCGTTTTTCAACAAATATATGTAGTAAGCTATGAAGAATAAGAAAAAGGCTAACAATGAAGATGCAGCTGCAGTAAGATGTTAAAGATGTTTAAAATATGGTCATTTGACTTATGAATGCAAAAATGAAAATGTGTATTTATATAGACCATCAAGAACAATGCAATTTAAGTAAGTATATCATTGACTATTATTTAAGAGAGAAATAATTATAATATGAATTAAATAATGAAAAGCCACCTGAGGTTCCTGATGCATTTGATGGAGATTGGAAGAGAAGTACAAAAAAGAAAGTGCCATTGGAAGTATCTTCAGATTCAAGTAGTGATGAATAAGTATAACTAAAAAAAGAGGGAACAACAATTAATGTAAAAAAATAAAAAAGTTCATCTTCTGAGAGTAGTAGTGAAGAATCAAGTAGTAGTGATAGTGATAGTGATTCATCAGGTTCATCTTAAAAAAGAAGAAAAAATAGATCTAGAGATAAAAAATAAAAAAAATGAATTATATGCATTAAAATAATTATCAATAAATGAGTAGTAAAAAAAAGAATACTTAAAAAAATGATGATGGTTATGATGATGATAGATGTTTCTGTGGATGGATTAAGAAAAAGAGTTCTAAAAATGTAAATATAGAATAGAGCAAAATATCTGTTAATAAATAACATAGAAACTCATTATATAAATCTGCTCTTGATGCCAGCAATCATAATGGTATATCTTAATTTAATTAATTAAATTCAACAAATTCAGAAACATAAAGAAAGAATAGTGAAATATCACCTTTTGTAAGTAGTTTTGTAGTCCCTATTTTTGAAAACAATTATCCTTTAAATTAGTTGTTCTAACTAAAAAATAATTAAAGTGGAGACACTATTTTTGCTAAAATCACATCAACCTAAATAGATGTGTCTAAATCTATGGGTTTTAATGAGGACATATGTAGTAATCAAAGAATAATAGATCAGATATCCAAATATATTGCCTCTAGAATTAAAGATTAAATTAATTCATTAGCTGAAATTGGATGTGGAGAGGGAGGAAACACAGTTTAAGTATGATATAAAATTGATATAAGTTTGCTAAATATTTAGATTTTGTTATTGCAATTGATAAATGTACTGAGGCATGTTAGAAAACTAGAAAAAATTGTGATCAATATACTTAAAATTAAGATTTTCCAAATCCTAAAGTAGAAATCATTAATTGTGATATTTTTAAATTTAAAAAACGTTTACCTTTTGATAGTATTTTCATTAATCCTACAATTAATACAGAAAATACTTAAATTTGTAAAGATTTATTAAAAGATTGTTAACCTAATTTATAACAACTATTAATGATGATTTCTGATTAAATTGAAAACTTAATTATACAATTACCTGCTTAAATTGATTATTCATAATTACCTCTATTACTTAATATAAATCAACAATATTAAAATAATACTCAACATAAATATTAATCATTAGTAACATAACATAAATAATAATAATCATTTATTGCTCATTGTTCACTAGAAATTGAAAAAATCTATGTTAATGGAATACATATTCAAAATATTATTTATTATGGTAAAATTGCAAATATTTCCAGAGAGGAATTAAGATCAATTTTGATTATGTAATTATAAAATTAAGAAGTTAAACCAGAAGCAATATAAAATCTTATAACAAAATTAAAAGATAAAATAGGTATGTTATTTGATATTCATATGAGTTTAGGGAGTTTGGAAGTTGTATATGAATTACTTAAAGCTTAGAGTTTTAAATATAATATAGATAAATTTTTAGAAGTAGTTTGTGATAAATATAAATTAGACTATGGTGAATATGCATTCATTCTTTATCAAAAATTATCCAAGTAATTATATGTAATATATATTTAGAGAATTTTCATAGAATACATTTAATTAACACTATAAATTAAGAGATTCAAATACTGAATAATAAGAATCTGAATGTGCCTATAGTCCTAAGTTCTCTTATAACTTGAATGGATTATAAATAGATGACACAAATTCTATAGATGAAAATGAAGATATAGAAGTATTAGGATTAAGTTAAGATGATAGAAAATGTAAATTTAAATGATATCATTTAATATATTTCTTAATCAAAACTTTTAGTTACTCTATTCTAACTGGTTTTATAATATAATCTTTCATTCCACTTTCTAATGCTTTACTTAAATTATCTTCTGTATCATATGCTGAACACATAATGATATTTAATTTATCATCAATTTATAATAATTAAGTTGATGTTTGATATCCATTTAAACCTGGCATTTCAATATCCATAAATATTATCTTATATTATGCCTATTATTAAAGTATTCTTTTTTTAATTTAATTTATGGCTTGATAACCATCATAAACAATGTCACTTTCAAATCCAAGATTCTTAATTAATAAATTCAAGGAAATAAGATTAAAAGCTACATCATCACAAATTAATATCTAAGGAAATATATCACTTTATATTAATTTATGTGAAAAAAATGTTTAAGTCCATAGAGGAATCTAATGTTACTCTTCTAAAGGATTTTCAATATCTATTTGATTTTAAGATATGATTTGATCCAATTTAATTGATGAATCTTTTGGTCTTATACCAAATAAATTTATTTAATTACTAATTCTGAAACTCACTTTTGTAAATAAACCCTCTTTGCTTCTAATTTTGAAATATGATTTTTTAGAATATGCTAATTCATTACTCATTCTACTACCTATTGTGAATCCTAATCCAACATATTTTGTAGTAAAATTCCTTAACTAATGATATATATCATTATCAATAGATGTATGAATTATATTATTTATAGCATCTAATTCTGTCTTTGCTATTCCTCTACCTGTATCATGAACTATAAATTTAATAAATTTATCTTTAATAATTCCAGATGATTTCTATTTACTTTTAGTAGTAACACAAATAACATCATTTTCCCTTGTAAATTTGAGTGAATTATTAATTAAATTAACTAATAGTTACAATATTCTTTCAGGATCATTATAAATCATATAATTTTCAAGAGAGTCAAAAATAGAAAAGATCAATTTTATTCCTTTTGTAGCACAAATTTCTAAATAATACTCTTCTAATTATTTAAATATGTCCTTAATAAGAAAATCTCTGATATTTAATTGAAATGTTCCTAAACCAAAAGAAGCATAATCTAAAATATCATTAATTTGATGCATTAATAATTTATTTGAAACAATAGCTGGATTTAAATAGTTTTATATAAGTTAAGTAGAAATTGATTAAGTTTTTAATGCTTAAAGTAAGGTTAATGAACAATTAAGAGGTGTTCTTAATTCATGAGAGAAAGAATTAAAATGTAATGTTTGAAACTTTTACTTTTGGATATATTATTATAATCTTTCGTTTTCTGTAATATCATAGATGAATAGTAAATAGCCTCCTTAATTCAAGAGATTAGCAATTTTACAAAATTACAATTCAATAGTTTTTTCTCCATTATTAGTTGTAAGATTGACTTTCAATTTATTAGCTTTAACGAAAGTTCTTTGATCTAAACTATAATAATATATAATGAATACAGATTATTCATTTAACAATCAGCAAATAGGGATAAGAGTAATTATCTAAATTCAGGAATTGTGAATTGATTCTTCTATTATTTTTTGGTTAGAAATTAAGAGTCCAGTAACTTTTCACTCATTGATTAAAATCTCTTAAGATTTTATTCAGCAGATGCTATTAAACTCTCTATCATTTTGCAATCAGCTTTTTATAATAAATGTTTTTATGAAGCTCTAAATTTGATTTCTTTATGTTAACTATTGAGATTTTAATCTTATTCAATAGCTCTATAATTATAAAAATAATTTACTGTATAATAATTTTTTATAATTGAATCATGGCTATATCGTATGATTTAGTTGAAAATAACTTCTAAGTTTTCTCATTTATATATTATATTTCAAGATTTTATCCAAAATAAATGATTCCTTATTTACTATGATTTAAAATATAGATTAATTCATCTCTTGTGATTAAATCTATTTTTCTATTGGAAGATGCTATTTCTGCAGGGACAGTAGAATATGAATGAAATACATCATTAGAAGATGAATGTTTATGAGATAATTATTAAGAATTCTGTGATGCCTTAATAAGAATAATAATAACAAAAATTAATGTTGTGATTATGTATTCATGAATTTATGTATTTAAAATTTGTATTTCAATCATACATTAAAGAGTAGTAGCAAATTAAAGATACTTCAGTTGTTTATTTGAATGTTCATAATACAATAATAAAATGTATTTGTAAAGATTGAATGAATTTAAAGATGTAAAAGTTAATCTGATTTCAGAAGCAAGTTGTATCTAAAATAGGATTTGTAGTAACATAGTGAATTATTAAAACTTCATCTTTTTGTAGATTGCAAATTAAAAGAGTATGCTTAATATAGCTAAAGTACATCTTATTCCTGACAATATGTAATTTATATTTGAGATTGGATTCAAAAGATTTAAAGTTGCATCTATTCCAATAACCAGATTTATTGATAAGGCAATCCAAATATTCATGAATTTTTTATACGTAAATTATATCACATTAATTAATTAACAATGGAAACAAAAACATGGATTTTGATATTGAGATGGGTCAATATTGTAGCTGCGTATATTATTAAAATACTAAATTAGTGTAGTAATTGGAGCTATGGGAATATACCAATTAGTTACATTTTAAATGTTTTCTCATTTTCATTTCTATGAAATATGGAGTATATTCACACCAATTTATTCATTGTAAATCATATTACTAATTAATTCAGGATATTTTGTGGTCTCTTATTGGCAATTGAATTTAAGAGAGATTTCATTGCAGATTAATTTCAATTCATGATGACTTGTTTTGGAAGAGGAATATTTTACATATTGTATATTATTAAATATCATATTTAATAGCTTAGGATCAGTTGTATCATATTAACCATCAGGAGAATCATCATCATAATAAGTGTAAAATTATTAAATAGAATATAGAGCTGGATGGATTTGGGGGTTGACTTTATGGTTAGTGGGAATATTTTATGTGGTTATTCATTTTGTTGGACCAAAGAGTGCAACTGCAGGATTAAAAGATGTAATAATCTTCCTATAAATTTAGGCTGTCAGTGCAGAATATGGAACATCTTGAACAATAAGAAAATTATATATATATATATAAATAAATAAATAACAAAAATTTATATTTATGTAAACACTCTTGAAAAGTTATTCATAATTGTGGGTAAATCAAATATAATATGGATTTAAGCAGTATTATACTTATTTTATATTATAGTGTATCAATACGTAACAAAACAAATAGCAGACATCGATATTATGCTACTAAACCATTACAATTTTAGAAATTTTATTAGATGAAAAAAAAATTTGATTTCAAGAATGATGATTTGACATTCCCCATTAATATACCACTTAAATAAAGGTATTCAAAAACAAGATTATATTAAGATATGTATATCGACCATAAAGACAATTCAATAAAGCCACTCCATAAAATGATTATCTTAATACAGAAGTTATGAGTGGCAATGAAATCCTTTTATATTTTGAATAATTAGATAACCTTAGAATTAATGAAATTTTAAATGGTCTAGAAAGATTGCATAAATTCAATAAAGGATGTATTACTATACTCAATATTAGAATTTAATCTTGCTGAACATCCTTGGGTTAAAGCTGCTTTAGACAAAGCATTTGTAGAACATTATCATTTAACAAAAGCTTAATTTATACAATTACTCAATATTTATAGTAATTATGGTATTGAAACACCAGAAGTTTGGGGAAAGTTTGAAGAAAGAATGATTAAGTAAGATAAAAATCATATTTCTAAGACTTTTACCTAATATTCCAGCCAGATTGTTTGGTGAATGTGTTAGACTATTTATGGAAAAGTAAGAAAGATCATCTGATGAATTTAAAAAAGAATTGAGTCTCGTAATACCAGTTCATTTAACTAAAATGTCTCCATAAGCTATTGCCAAAGCATTTGAAATGGTTTACAAATATAATTTAATGACTGATTACTTGTTTTATGATCATTTACATTTTATTTTGAGAAAAAGATTTAAGTGGTTTGTAATGGGAAGAGCTTGTCCATTAATGTTGAGACTTCTTAGAGAAGCTAATTTTGAAGTAATAATTACTAAATAACTATTAGACATGTGAATTTTTATGGCCAGAAATTTATAAACAACTTGAAACTGAATTAGATAGAATTCCAAATGATTAATGTGCACCTATTAGAAATGAATTAGTCAAAATTGGTGAAGCATTTCCAAGTCATTCACAATATAATAATATAATTATTGCCAAAAAGATAGGTGCTAGAGCTACTTGGGAAGCTACACTTGGAGGATAAGCTAGAAAATTAAGTTTAGTAGAAATTGTGAAAAATGATATCCTTTATTATAAAGAGAAGTAGAAATTATAAAGAAGTTAGAGTTAACAGAGTCCTTGATATATAATTATAAAATTGTATAATATTAATTTATTATAAGACTAAAATATTATATAGTTTTAATTTTATATCATATTATTATTCAATATATTAATTTTATATTATATTTGATTAATTGTAATATTATATACTACAATTATGATTATGTTGAAATTTTTTGATATAACTTTTTATATGATATATATTCATTATAAAGATAAAGTTTGATATTTGATGTATATTTTTATTAACAGTATTTATCAAAATTATTGATATTATGTGATTTATAAAACACTTATATCAATTAGATTTTAATAATAAAATTTTATAATGCAAGATATTTCCACATTAGAAAATTTATTATTAAAACCATAAGAAGAAGCTTTTAAACATTTAGTCAAAGGATCTGATGAATATTATTATTTTTATTTCCTAAAACTCTTTCATGAAAAAGGAGCTAATTTATCAAATGAAGAAAAAGAATAATTAAAGGAATTTATTTCCAGAGATACAGAACTTTCAGAAAAAATTAAAAAAAGAAAACTTTTTGCATAATTAGACTATTATTCCAATGATGTCATTAAGAGAAATAAAGTTTTAGGATTATTAAGAGAATATGTATTTAAGATTGAATATAATAATGATGTAGATCCTCAAATTTATTATTTAAGTGATGTATCAAGGTTATTATTTATATAAAATTTAGAGAGGAAGAATATGAAATAGAATAAGAGTAAGAATAAGTTTAAGAAACAATAGATTAGAATGAACAAATTGAAGAAAATATAGAAATTGTAAATTAAAATTAAGAGAGCCAATAATTAGAGGATATAGATGCTTAAAATGATCTAGAAAATATAAAACCATCATATATTGAATAAGAGGTTGTATAATAAGAATAAGAGGTTGTATAATAAGAATAAGAGGTTTTATAATAAGAATAAGATATTCAATAAGAATAAGAATTAAAAATTGAAGAACCTTAATAAAATATAGATAATAATGATTAGGATCAAGAATCAAATTAAATTGTTGAATAATAAGAAGAAGAATTAGGATATGAAAAATACTATCCATCATAATTTGAACAATGTTTAATTAGTTTGAATACTTATTTAGAAAGAGTTTATACATATTCATCCATTTATTTAAGTTGGTTACAACCTCATTACTACCATCTTTTAGATATAGAAAGAATTTTAAAATAAAATAGTGTTTAACTTATAGAGACCTACTTAGAAAAAGCTGAGAATATAGATTAGTAATTATTTAGTATAATTTTAGAAATATGGATGTTATAAAATTATTTTAATTTTTGTTAAACTAAAAGTAATAATCAAAGAAATTAAATCAATTTCTACCAAAGTTATCTGAGGCATAATTAATTTAATTATCAGAATTTCAACCTAAATTATTGGATGATAAAGATTTTGTGATGATTTTATATTAAATTAAATTTGAAAGAAAAGCAATTTAATTTAATGAAGATAAATAAGCATTGTATAGATTAAAAGAAGCTTCAACAGAGTTTTTCTTTAAATTATCACCAAAATTTTAAGATAATAAGATCTAACAATTAAATTCTTTAATTGAATTTGGAACTTCTAATAATATACTTATTAAATAAGAATTAATAATTGAATGGCTTAAAAATTATTAATCTATATTTAATCCTTTGATTGATGATTTATAGGTTAATGAAAATAAAAAAATTGTATATTTAGTTGGTAATAATACTTAATTTAAAATTCTAAAGAGATATTTATAAACTTATTTAAGAAATAATGAAAGTTTAAACTTTCTATCTTAATATATATCAAACAATATTCTAGAGTAGATGGAAGCTGAAATAAAATTATATTAAGGAAAATAATTGGAACATATCTCAAAGATTCTACCATAAGATAAACTTGAGAAAATGAATAATGAAAAAATCTTAGAGATTTTAGATACTAATAAAAAGTCATTTAAACATGGGTATATATTATTTAATTATTTCAAGAGAAAAAGTGAGTTTGTAATGTAAATTAAAAAACATATAATAATTAACAATTAAAATATTTTAAATTAATTGTGAAAATTATTGTCTTTTAAATGAGAAAAATGCGAATATAGATATATCATTAGATGGAATAATTCCAAATGAAGAAATAGAATTTACATATCAATAACCACCTATTGAAATATTTTATAAAGAATTTACATTTGATACTATAACCAATTCTAGATATGGTGCATTTGTAATAGAGTTTTTAGGAAGTGGTTTATATGCAAAAGCATTTATAGTTAAAGGAAGATTGAATTTAGAAAATACAATTACATCTGCAGGTCATTCTTTAAAAATATATAATGAAAATAAAGAACTTTGTAAAGGTGAAGGTACAGGAGTATGGCTTGAAAAGAAATTCTATTAAGTAAATTAGAGAAATGAGATTATGATACCATTTACAATTAATCGCAAAGTTATTAATTGCATTATTGTATATGAAAATTATGCAGAAGTATCTGAAATAACAATTGAAACTGAAAAATATGAATTAAATTGCTTATTTTTTTTGGATTAAGAATAATTCATATCAGAAACTGAAACATCAATTAATATTTTTCCAGAACTCACAGTTGCTAATAAAACAATTGATATTGGATTATTAAAAAATACAAAAATTAGAGTATAATCAACAAGTATATCTAATGTAATCAGTTATAATTAAACAGAAGAAGCATAATTTAAAAATGGATAACCTTATTCATTTTAAATGAGAAATCTTTCAAATTTAGATAAAACAACTATTAATGTATTTGGATAGATTATGTCAATGACAGAGAATAAATTATTAGATTTGTAATTTGACTTTAATATTAATTATTAATATGAATCAAAACTTAGCAAATAATACATAAAACATTCTTAAGAATATGGATATGAATTAATAGTCATAGGAAGAAATGGTGAGATATATGAAAATTTATTATTTGAAATTACATTTTGGTCTATGTACAGTACACAATCAACAACAGCAAAATTAAAAACTAATGATTAAGGTAAAATATTATTAGGGCAATTAGAAGGTATTATAAAATTAAGTTCTAAATGTTTATCTTCTAATTAATAATAAGTTCCACCTGAATTGAATTACACAATACTTAAAACAGATTATTTAAAAAATACTATTTAAATTTAACATCTAAAAACAATAGAGAATTAGTTTTTATAGACTATTTCATTTTAGATATAATAAACAGAAGAAAAATATTAAGTTATGGTAATTGCTTCTTAATTTATACATCCTAATAGTTAGAATATTGAATATGCTTAATATTTATAAAAAAATTAATTTAAGAAAAATGAAAATCTTTATTTAAATGATTTAATTAACAATTAATTCAAATCAAATTAATATGTTTAATTTGAAATTGCATATGTATAAAATAGAAGAACCAAACCTGCTTATATAGGAAACACTCTTGAAAAGCCAAGTGTTTTATTGAATAGAGAATTTGTATAAGAAACTACAAATGCAGAAGAATGTTAATCAGATGATTAAAATGAGGAACCTTAAGAATATGGTGAAGAAGATGATGAAGATCGATGTAGTGATAGAATGGAATGTGAAGCTCCATATGAGAAAAAAAAAATGAAGAAAAAAACATCAAAAAGAAAATAAATGGTAGGAGACAAAGGAATCTAAATATAAAAATATATTGATGTTACAAATCATATGAATTTTTTGAAAAGATCTGCTTAAATTATAATAGTTAAACAACAAGAATCTAATTAATATGAGTTGACTTTTCCAGATTATATACAATAAGTTCAAATAATTGTAATAAATGAAAAAAACATTTAAAATAAAACTATAGGCTTAAAATCTAAAGATCCTTATTAAAAGGATATTACACATAAATCAAAATTAGAAATAGGAAAATTCTATTCTCCTTATAGAGAATCAATTATTATTTCAAAAGGTTAAGAATATTTATTAACTGATTGTGCAAATACTCAATTTAAAATTATTGATTCATATGAAGAAGCATGTTCAATATTGAAAAATATTTCTTAAAATTGTGATCATTCAATATTAAATATATATTCAACTTGGAATAATAAGAATTTAGAAGAAAAACTTAAGCTATATAATAATTATCAATCAGATGAATTTAATTTATTTTTATATTTTAAAGATCCTGCTTTCTTTGAAATATACATTTTAGGTTATATAAGAAACAAAATAGAAAAATCATTTATTGATTAATTTTTACTAAAAAATGTATAATACCTTTCATAACAAGTATCTAGCGGAAGATTTACTTAATTGAATGCTTTAGAATAGACTCTATTATTTATATTTTTTAATGAAATTTAAGAAAATAAATTATATTCCAATAGAATAAAAAATTGTTTATATTCAACAATTAAAAATTATGAAATAAAATAATTGGAAAGAAAATAAACATTTGATACAATTATAGGTGGAGAAGGTGAAGAAAAAGGTTTAGAATCAGATTGTGAGAATGAAGATGAGATTTATTAAGGAGCAGGAGGTGGTGGAGGAAATGCTATTGAATGTTGTGAAGATGACTGCTATTATGATTGTGAATAAAATTATTGTGAAGAGGAATGTTAATATTAAAGTAAAGAAGTAAAACGTGGTAGAAGAACTTTATAAAGACACAGTTACAATGATTATGATGATTGTAATCAATATGATGTATACAGGGAAATGAGCATTTAACCATTTAGAAATATTAAATAAACATGTGAATATTGTGAATTACATTATAGAGATCGTTAAACATTATAGAATCCTGATTTAACTACTTATAATGATTTTTATCATGATTTAGTTGAACATTCCATATCTCAAGGTGTAATTGATAATCCTTTTGTTTCTTCGAAATTCATTTATAATAATCTTGGAAATAGTCATGATCTAATAATTACAGCAGCTTTATTAGGATTACCATATACAAATTTAGTTTAAGTAGAATAGTAGTATATAGAAAAAGATTTACATATTAAAGCATAAACACCTTGTATTTTGTTAAAGAAATAATTAAAAGAATTACCAAAATAAATTAATAAATAGATATTAGTTATTTAAAAGTTTTATGATGAAAATAATAGATATATAAAAAAAGATGGAGAAAATATTGAATTATAACCTTTAGAATTTGAAATTAAAAAAATATATCATTGTGAAATTGTTATTACTAATTGTTCATCTAAAAAATTAAATGTATTTTTATTATTAGAGATACCCAATGGATCACTTCCATTTGATCAAAATAATTATTCTAGTATAAATACAGTTAGTCTTAAACCTTATTAATCACGTACTTACCATTATTCATTTTATTTTCCAAATATTGGAAGCTTTTCAGTTTATCCTGCAGTTGTTTCTACTGAAAAAGCAGTCATAGCAGTTGCTGAGGAATACTAATTTATTGTAGTAGCTAGTTCTTAAATATTAAATAAAGAGAATCTTATGGATATTATATAAAAAGGTAGTAAAGATGATATTCTTGAGTATTTAAGAAACAATAGTGGAGTAGATTTATCTTAAATTAAGAAATATTTTAAAGATAGAACATTTTATTTTAAATGTTGTGAAATACTTAGAGAGAAATTAGAATTGAAAGAGGAAATCTTATAATATTGTTTTATTCATAATGATCTTGAAGGACTTAAGGATTATCTTGCTTTAGAAGATATTTAAGAAATCCTTAAAGAATAATTTGTATATTTAAAGACTTCTTTAATTTAACTTAATTCTGTAAGATTTTATGAATATTATCCATTATTAGTAAAAAGAGTACATACATTAGCTAGTATTGATTAAGGAATATTAAATGTTTAATTGAAATAACAATATAAAGAATTTCTAAATTATCTTGTAATAAAATAAGATTTATCAATAACAGACAAAATTATATTTTGTTATTATTTATTATTATAATCAAGAATAAATGATGCCATTAAAATATATTAGAGTATTAATTAAAAATTCAATGATGATGATCCAATTTTATAATATGATTATTTAAGTGCATATCTAGATTTATATATTGGATATCCTAATTTTGATGGAGCAAGATCAATTTGTGAAAAATATCTAAGTTATCCAGTTATTGAATGGAGAAATCTCTTTTATGAAGTAATGAATTTATTAGCTGAATTTGATGGAGATGAAGATAAAATAATAGAAAAATAAACAGATGAACATTAATAAAAAAATTAAGATTAAGCTAATAAAGAAGAATAATTGTAATTTGTTGTTGAAAATGATCAAATCAAAATTACTTATTCTAATCTTCATTCAATCTCAATTGAACATTATTTAATTGATTTAGAAGTTATCTTCTCCAAGAATCCTTTCTTAAGTGATCAAAATTATAATAATTACACTTATACTAAACCTATTCATACATCAAAACATACATTATAATTCAATTAAACTTAATAATAAATGATAATATAATTTCCTGATAATTTGAAACATAAAAATTAAATCATTTAAATTAAAGGAGATACTAAAATTGTTAGTCATCATTATATTGAAACTAAATTATAAATAAATATAACTGAAAATAGTGGTTAATTAAGAATCTCTAATTAAGAAGGCAAATACTTAGAAAAAATATATATCAAAACATTTGTAAAGAAAAGTGATGGTTAAAATATATTCTATAAAGATGGATACACTGATCTAAGAGGTAGATATGATTATGCTACTCTTGATTCATAATCTTTAGAAGAAGTGTCTAAATTTGCAGTTCTAATTGTAAGTAATGATTTAGGTAATTAATTATGATCTATTTAAGGTTCTATGATTAAAGAAATCAATCCTCCATCATAAGTAGGAAATTATGGAAGAGAAGTCAAACTCTAATCTAAATTATGGACAGGTAAAGCAAAAATGGAATAAGAAAAATAAGAAATTATATATAAATCTAAAAAATTAGACAAAAAAAAATGCTGATTTATCTATTTAAGTTTAAACCAATATAAAATTTCGACAATTATCATAAATTCTTTATTTCTATCTATATTTTTTAAATCAAAAAACTATTTTTATTTAATACTTATTTTATTCTATTCCATACTAAAAATAAATAGAAATTATATATACAAAATACTTAGTAAACTATAAATTATTTATTAATGATCTTTAAATATTAAACATACTATACATCATATATTAAAAAAAATAAAAATTATCTTTTTATTTTCTAATTAGGATATCAAAACAATTAAATACTTTTATCATAATTAACTTACTTATTACTTAGATTTTATATCTATAATTATTTAATATTTATCTTGATAATATTCTAAGACAGTCCTAATAGTGATTTTTATATTAAATTTATAAATTATTGAATACACAATGTAATAGCAGCATACTAAATTAAGAGCATCATCTGTTCAAGAACAGGGAGAGTAAAGATCAAAATTCCCTAATATTCTGACACCTACATTTGCAGATTGGAAAATACCTAGTGATGCTAGAGCTCATCCAAAAATAAGCAGAAGAAATCCTCTATTCAAATTTGGACTTATTCCACCTAAAAAAGCAACAACACCCTCTTCATAAACTCATTAAAATCCTCATGATTTTAGAGGACTCAAGTCTGAAGAACAAAGTTAGAGAATTAAAGAGATCATTGTTGAAGATAGAGTTAGTACAACAGAAACAAATAATCTTCATTAGTTTGAATCTGAAAAAAAATACTTTTAACTAAGAAATAGATCCATAAGTGGACCTAAACACTCTAATTAATTGGTATTCTACTTTAATTATTTATCATTAGTTAATCGAATGTAAATAATTATTTGATAATCAAAAGAAAGCTTTTGAGGAAATATTAAAATAAAACAGTCTCTACAACAAGTATTACAAAGTTATTGACAAAGAATAAAATATTACAAATTAGAAAATAATGCAAATTTTTAACTTATATAAATGATTATATATAACTTATTTATTAAGGAACAATTCAAACATTTATCAAATAGTCTCATTAATTAAACAATTCATGCATTTTTGAACTATCAATAAATTTTAATTTTGTCTTTAACTCATTTAAATTCTTATCTTCCAATTCTCTCTAATATACTACTTTCATTATAAATCTTCCATTAACATAGTATCCATATATGGGATATATCGAAAATTCCAAATATCTAGATAGTTTAGAAATATTATTAAAATGTAATTGATGCTACCTTATTGATATTAATCTAAGATTTTTTTTAATTTCTTCTAAGCTATAATAATTGAAGATATAATTAATTCTGGATTTTCTTAAATAAGGAAAGTGTATTTGAAAATGGTTAATATACTTATACTTTTCAATATTAAATTTTTTATTTTCTTTGATACTAAAACTTGAATAAAAGAGATTCAATTGATACTCAAATAAAATTTGATGCATCTACTATCTATAAATAACAATAATTAAAGAATCTAATTTGTAAATACCTATAGGAATTTAAAATAGATTCAAGAATATTTCTTTTTTGAAGGAGTGAATTAAATTTTATAAAAAAAGGACTATTTTTATGATATCAATGATAACTTATCATGATAATTTATCAATGTTAGAATTTATGTCTTAATTCTTAGAGAAAGATTGAAAAAATTAAATTTTTTATAAGTAATTTTATAATTAGATACAGTAAAAGATTGTATATGAATGGATTTTGATTGGATATTTTAAGTTATAAATCTATATAAATAATTAATCAGTATAGGCTTTGGGGGAATATGCCTGGCTTTTGATATTCTAAGTCGATTGCCTTTCTGGATTTATTGTATTTACCATAATATTCCATGCAAGTAAATGTAAATCTTTTTATTAAGATAAGGAGAGTACCTGATGCAATTTCCAAATTTAGCAGTTCGTAAATACTCTTTAGAGATTCCAGTTTTGGCAAGGTCATCAGCATATACAAAAATATCTGAACCATCTGAGTCCATAACAATGAATCCATAATTTTTATTCTCATCAAAGAACTTTAAGAAGCCTGCACTTCTATTCTTCTTTGGTTGATCAAGAGCCAGTTCTTAAAGGAGTTGAGTAACACTGACTTAAGAGTCTTAAATGAAGCGATTACATTCCTATATAATTTGATCCCCATCAATATTACTTTCTTCTATCAATTATTGTTTTTACTAAATATTAATGATTAATTTGATACATAATTTCTAGGATAAGAAGAACTCTTCTTAATTTAGGGAGGTTTGTTGAGCATTTGATCAAGTTTGAAAGTGTCATAGTCAAGATCATTTTCACTAATGTTTGTTGAGAAATCTTTGTATTCAGATCTTGATGGTGACAAGTATAAATCAATCAACTTCACAGGGAACATTAATAGACAAATAATTAAATATTTATGAATAATTTTTATTTTCCAAATCCTTGAATCGTTGTCTAAAAAAATAAGTGTATTTTTTATAATACTAAAATTACCTATATGTAATCAATATGAATAATATAAGATAATCAATATTTATAAGACTTTTATTACTTTAAGAATTCTGAAGAATTTATAAAGAAATATTAAAAGTTGCTTAAACTAAATAAGAATCTAAGATACTCTAAATAAAATTATTTAAAAAATGATATTATGTATCTAATAATTAGTATAAAAAAGTTAAACATAATAAATTATGATGAAAGATCATAAATATACATTCTAATTTTATAAATATATATATATATATAAGAATAGATCTTATTATATATTAAGTCTTTATCAATTTTTAATAATAATATTTAATATGTTTTCTAAGCGATCAACTAAAGTAGTCTTGTTGTCATTTAGTATACGGCAAGCTTATAAATTCTCTTAATTGATTGAAACACTATCAAAGATGACCTGCCAACCTATGGATTATAAAATGAAATTCAAGTGATAATCAGTGGTCATCTTATTGCACTAAATATATTTGGGTGGTTTTCTTTTTTTCTTATAACTCTTATATGATATACTTATTATCCAAATATTGTTTCCTTCTTTTACTTATCCCATACTCCAGTTGTAATTGTAAAAAACATTCCATTTTCACTCAAATTAATTTCATCAAAAACTTAAAGTTTTACTCCTATAGGCTTATCATTTATTCCCAAATATGATATAGTTATTGGAATTCTATATTCAGAATCTTAAATTTAGATTGAATTTTACTTATAAAAAATCTATAACAGCTTTCACTATTCACTTCCTTTTTGATTATGCAATTTTCTTTATATCTATCATAATCATCTATATCCAATTCCTTTGTGAAAGTGCTTAAGTCAAACATTAGAGTAAGTAAATAACATAATAATTGTATATCAGCATAATCCATTAGAGATATATGTAAACCAAATGTCTTATTGACATCATAATAATCAAATTAATCTTATCCTAAAGCTTTGACCTTTGCACCTCTAGGAGCTATAAATTATTATAATAATAAATATACCATATGTATCATAACAATTTTGTAAAAGAATCTCAAAACAATTATCTTAATTATTATCAGCAACTATTATGATTCTTTGATTAGTAGCCTATTCAGTAATTTTTATACAGCACATCTTAAGATTAGCTAAAGTACTATTAGGCATTTAAATTTATTATCCATTTAAGAAATTAAAAAATCCAACTAAATCATCTATTTAAAATATATTTGCTAATTCATTTTCAAGATTTTACTTGAGTGATTCTAAAAATTAAGTAAATCTTATTTTATTTTTAATAACATAACTATGAACTTAATTTGTAACTTTTTTTGAAGTATGTTATAATTATTATTATTAAATTTAATTAATAACTCTTATGATTTATTAGATAGATTCTTTTTCATATTCTTCATAAAAGTATGAATCAAAAAATAAATCTAAAGAAACTTAATCAAATTGTAAATCTATCCAACCTTATTATTATTAACCAGTTATTATTAATCTAAGAATAAATTATTCAATAGTAACAACAGTAATTTGACATTCCTCTTCAAAAATCCAAAATTTATTTTATTCATTAAAAATACCAATAGGTGTATGTGATAATTTAATTTAATTATCATAAAATGAAACAAAAGGTAGAATTAAATGTTGAACAAATTTATTAAATGAATTTATACATTTTAATGGACAAGTATAAGGTAAGACAGCTCTTAATTCAGCTACTTAAAAAAACTATATATTAATTAAAATAAAAAAATACATTATTAAGTGCATTAATATCAAATGTTTCAATTTTATCTACATCTAATTAAATTTTAAGATGATTTCCATGAATTGAACATTAAATTTCATACAAAATATCTTCAAACATAACTTTTTTAATAACAATTATATCATTTTAAAGTAAAATAGTATATTCTCTTCCTTAATCCAGCTCTATATAAATAAATGATGAATTACAATCAATAATTATTATTTCCATATCATCATTAAATGAACTACTAAGATTTATATCTGGAATTTTTAAAACTTTAACTGTATCTTCAACTTGACCTTAGGATAAGGTTTGTATCAAACTTCTAATTTCAGTAGTACTTTATCTATTAATTTATTTAGGAGGAGGTAAAAATTATAAATTTTATTAATGATGTTCAAATTATTAAGGTATAACATTACCAAATGATAAACGATCATGCATAATATTTTATTATTCTTCATATTTTAATTTAATTTTATTTGATTCATTTCCCAATTCTTCAATTTTTTATTTTAATTCATTAATTTCTTATTCTCTTTCTAATCTTTATTATTACATTTTAAGATTTTCTTTTTAAAGTTCAGAAATTCTTTTCTCTAAAGAATTTATTTTAGGTTCACTTTTTTTATTACTAAAAGTTTAAACAAAATGATCAAATTTTGTTTAAATGATATTTTAAATATCAATAGGTTATTATCTTGGAGAATGTACTCTAAATTATTTTATCATTCTTTCTGAACTTTTAGTACCAGATTCTCCCATATCTATTCTAGCTGATTCTGATTAAGCTTTTATTTATTATTATTATTATTATTCTTAGATATTATTTTGAGTCTACAACTTAATTTATCTCATTAGAATATTGCATGAAGCACTAATTCTTTTTGCATCTGCTACCTTAATTGATTTTCCTTTTTATCTAATCATAATACTCTTTCTAGAAATAGAAACACTTCTTTATTAAGTAAAGTAAGTAACTAAATAATGATTAGAATTAAGGAATTTTCTACATATCTTTTAACCATTATGGAAAAACTTATCATAATCTATGTCAAGCATTTCTTATTATCTTTATAGTTATTATACACATTTTCCATAAAATAAATAACCATTCAATAGTAAAATGATGTCGGATGGATTCTTTTACAACTTAGAAGTATTGGTTTTCATCTCTTTAAATATCTTACTGATAAAATATTGAGTTTTACATAAGGTTCATATTTGATCAATGCTCTTTCAACTAGTCTAAAACATTTGTTGTAATTGAATTAACAATAATGAATTCTGGCTAGGTTGAGGTGAGATATCAGAAACAATTAGGGTTATTCATTCAAGTAATGTTTGAGATTGAATTTGGCAAGTTTCTTACTTAGATCAATTAAATTGGAATTGAATAATAAAACAGTCAGAGTATTGAGTGCTTGTGTAATGAGAATGACATTGGGAGAGTGTTTAGCCATATATATGGACATATATATTAAATCCTAAATGTCTCCTACCAGAGTAATAAAAAAGGAATTACCTTCTTCACTGAGGAATGAAATCATTTGTGTGAGAATAATACCGAATTCCTCTAAATTAATTTGTTGGATGTTACGAAAATTGATGTACTATTTCATTATTGAGATGTCTATCTAAGATTTATTGTTGACAAAGTCATTCATAAATTCAATAAGGTTCATGATTGAAATATTGTTTGACTAAATTGATAAAATATTTATATATATATATTTTTTAATATATACTCTATATGCAAAACCAACTTTAATAGTTCCTCACTATTCTGGCCACAAGAGAAGAAGTTATTTTTATGATTCGCATCTTAACACATTAAACTTTAGAAGATGGAAGAAATCTTAGAGAATATCAATATGAAATCATGAAAGGAGAAAGAAAGAGAGAAGAACTAGAAAATTAAGTGTAATTTAATTATTTTTATGATAGTTATTAAACTATAACTGAATCTATACATAGAAAAGTATTTCTACCAAAAGTTGTATAGAAATTTAACAAAATACAAACTTATTATTCCAATAAAACTAAAGTAATCAATATTGAATTTATCAGATCTACTTTCCTAAATAAGGATAATAAATTGGATAAGAAAACATTGTTTAACCAAATCTTAGGAATATTATAATCAGTATGCAACATGAGAGTTTGATTTCCATCCTTAAATACTTGAGTAACGTGTAGAAAATGAGAATGAAATTAGAACTCAATCGGGCATAGTATATGGAAAAGTAATATATAAAAGGCTATGCTTTATTCTAGAGAAGAGAGATGTAATCGTAATGAGAAGTTCTTTTCCGAACCTTTACTTATTGGAAATTTTGGTATGAATTATATCAACAAATTGCATCAGAAATATTATTACTTAGCATCATAAAGAAATTGGAAGAATGTTTATGATGTTCTTATTTTAGATGATAATACAAAATAATTATATCTATAAGGAGCAGGTTAATTAGGATATCTATTTAGGTTTTAAGAGTGTGATTGCCAGTATTAATAAATAAAAGAAATCCAATGATGTTCCTTAAGTTTATATACCAATAGAAACAACCTAAGAAATCATTACTACTCGTTATGAAAAATTATTCAAAGATCTTATGGATATGAATTACCATGTTTCCAAATCTATTATGAAATATAATTAATTGCATCAACGCAGAAAAAAGAATAAGGAATCATAAAATAGAATCAAAATAACTACAACTAGACATTCTTAATAAGAGAAAATACTTAATTTAAGTGACTTTGGTAAATTTTCAGCACCATCATCCAGATATAGTAGATCAAGATAACTTAAAACATAATTATCATGTCTATAGTCTCCATCTGAACCACATATTAAATAATATGAATTTCTTTTAAGTTTGCGTCAACCTGTTAATTCAGGTCGTTTGATTAATAAATGCATTAATTAAAATTCATGAAATACTTTAAGGAAGCTTCTTTTTCATTGAAATAAAAATTTGGTTACACTCCAGAAGAATAAGCTATCAAACTTTTTGATCAAGCATATCATTACGAAAGTTCAATTCTTCCTATAAATCTTCTTGATCAAATTGCTGAATTAAGCTTTCAAATGTATTATTCATCATTAAAATATTTCTAGGGAACATTATCCAAAAATAATCAATTAAATTGTTCTGCAATTATCAACTATTGGAATCACTACTAATGTAATACTTAAAGTATTAAATTTTTGAATTATTTTTAGACACTTATTATTACAGATTATCTATTAAAATATGGATGTTCTGGTATAATTGATGATTTGAAAGTTAGAATATATATGTTTAGAAATTATCAAGAATTTAAAATTGATTTCTAAGATCCTATTTATATTACAAGTATCTAATTCAAAAATATAAAGTTCGATAAAAAGCTGGAAACATTGCTAATTAATTAACTAATAGAAAACTTTTATACAAGGAAAAAGAAATAGCAAAACATATTAAGCTTAAAATATAAATAAATAAATAAAAAACATAATCATTAAGTAATTAAGATTATAAGTAAACTACTACCACTTTAGATGATATTTTAGAAAATTATATTTTTAAATATATGGATAAATTTAATGATAAAATAGAAAGTTGGGGAGATAAAATAAATGATAAATTAGATTAAATAATTGATAATATTACTATTAATGCAGCTTATGAAAGAGATGAAAATGGTTATTACTTTCCAGAATCTTGTATGGATGAAATCACAATTACAAATACAAATAAACATAATGAAAATTAAGAATAGTTATTATAATAAGATCAAAAAATAATAAAACACTAGAATAAAGATTTATGTAAATATAATAATAATAAGTTAGTGGAATTTGAAAATTAAGATAATTAATAATAGCCAAAACAAGAGATTAATTTACTAGATTGATTATACTATTAAATAATATAGTGAGTTCCATTTTATAATTTCTAATTGATTCAAGATAATAAATTTATTTAGTAATTAAATTAAAATATATAAGTGTAAGAATTCTGCAATTCTTATTTTATACCATACTCAAATTATTTTCTTTAAAAAGGATTTTCAATAAAAATATGACATAAATGAAAAGCAACTTCTTTAGAATATGTATTATATTTACACTGATAATATCTATTGGAGAAGATTAAATTTATATGAATGTATCATTTTAATTAAATATATATTAATAAACTTTGATGATATAATAAAAATATTACTAAAATACATGATAATTTAGTAATATTTTTAACTTGAACATCTTTAATATTTAAAACTTTAAAATTAAGTATTCCTTATTTCTTATTTGATTAGATAATTATGGCAATTAGTAATAAATAAAATAATTTAATGGTTATTTAAATCGTTTAGTAATCATGTCTTTGTAACCATTTGATATTATTAGTTTAAATTTTCTAATTCTAATTATGTCATTTAGATTATTTAAGATATAAAGTATGAAATATATATATGTTAATTCAAATAAAACTTTATACTTGTGTCTTATCTGTATTTTAGATATTCTTCCAATTATGGTATTCTAGAGAAAGTTCAAGAATTTAAGTATAGAATTGTTTGAATTTATTAGCAATTTCTTCATTTAATAACTCTTCTCTTATTAATTCTTCAATCCCAAAGGCTATCTTTTCCATACGATTAACAATAATTCCTATTGTTATTTCAGAAATAGCAACATTATTTTTTTGTTTATTCAAAATGTTTTGTATCTGTTTCTTTAATTCTAAGATATTATGAGTTCGATCACAATGTACTAATTTATTCAATTTCTTTTCGACCATCACCCATAATTATAGTATCTTTTAATAAAGATCAGGCAAAGTAGTAGGTTTTGAATTTTAATTCTCATTTTCAACTTTGATAAGACGAATGAGAGATTTAGGTTTTTTTGTAATTGGTTTTGTTATACAAAGACCCATTTTAATTAGATATTTAAAAAATATTACATAATCATTCTTTAATGAGTGACTTTTAATACGCGTAATATATCTTTTATGTATTTTTTAATTATTGGATGAAAATATTCAGCATATAAAATTAATTTGATCAATGAGGCTATTAAATGTCAACTTTTGATGGTGAATTAGACTAAAGGGTAAATCCAAATTTATCAATCAGACCTTTATAATCAAATAGTTTATTTCCATTAAATTCTTTGAAAATAAATTATCCCAAAAATTCCTTTTATTTATCATCTAATACAATATTACTACTTTATAAAGCACTTTTAAAATCATTTTCATCACAAAATTCACAAAACTAAGAGTTTGTTTTTTTTTGTAAATTCATTTTAATTTATTCAACAATTAACTATCTAAATTTCCATACCTATTAAGCAATTGATAACATTATATTTTATTATTATTCTTCACTCATTATTATATATTTTCCTATTACATTCTTTAATACACTTTTTATGATACATACATCATTCAATTATTAAGGTCTATAATCAACAAATTATTATGAATTATCCTCAATTAAATAACGAGCTAATAATAATGCTTATTTATTATCTTAAATATTAAATGGATATGCTGATAATATATCCACTAATTCTATAATTGTAATTTCCTATTTTTAATTAAAAAATGAATGAATATCTTCAATAGGAATCTTTTCTTATAATAATTAATATTTTAAGAATTTTCCAATATTTTCAACATCACAAAAATTAACTCTTGGAAGTTTTTATTTTATCTATTCAGTTTCTTAAATAGAATTTATAATTTATTAAGGTTTTTATTCTTCTTTAGCAGATTCTATACTTATACGATTTGGTATAATTTAAGATTTCTCTTTTATATCATCATCAAATACAATTTTAGAATCTGATCCTACTTTAACAGATGAAATCATTTCATCATCATCTGTTATTATTATATTATTTTTATTTACTTTTTCATCTAATATTTCTTAAAATATTGAAGGAGCTTCTCTTTTATTTGTAAGCCATGATTTTTTTGTTTAATATTAATCTTCTAATTCTTTAAATTAACGTTATTTCTAAGAAACAAGCATTTTCTACTTATTTAAATCATTTTCTAATGATTATATTTTTCCTTATTTATCACTTAATTATTAATTAAGATTCTCTATAGTTTCTTTATATTTATTTTTCTTTTATATTTCTTATTCATGATCTTTCTTAAATTTTTCAAAATCTGTTTATGCTTATTCATATTACTTTTTATATTTGTCTTTCATTGCTTAACATGTCAATAACTCTTATCTTAAATTTAATATCTTTTTCTTTTGTTTTTAGTGTGAATTTTAAAATTATCTCAATTATTCTTCTAATTCAATTGTTTGAACTGTTAACTTTTAAAATTTATTCACATCACTTTCAGTCTTTAAAATTTCGTTGAATTACTTGTTTAAAAACTCAAACTTTAATTTAGTTGTACATAATTCGTTCTTTGAATATCAATAAGCACAATACTTCCATTTCTTAAAGTCGCATATAACGTGTACTTTTTTTGAGATTATCAATTTCAATCTATTTCTCTTGTATTAACAAACGAGCTTATTTTAATTTCTCTGCAAGTCTTTAGTTTTGATTCGAAGTTATTTAATCATCAGATAACTCTTAAGTGGTTCGTTTCTCAAATTACTCTTTCTATTATAAATAAATAATTGATTACCTCATCAAGTTTTATCTAAAAGCATAATTATTAGTTTAAATGTTTGAGTTTTTGATTCTCCTTTTTTAATGACATAATTTCTTCTTTCAATTATTCTACATCTTTTTAAAATGGTAATTAAACTCTTCCTGTTAAAATTTCATTGCTTGGAGAGTCTTAATATTTTTGTGATATTCTTCTCCTATAAAATTAAGATGTGCAAAAATTTGTATTATCTTAATTAAGCACTGGTAATCCATTTGTCATAGATTAATTAAGAGAATATGGAACTCTTTAATTTAATCGAATAGTTCGATTCATTTTAAATTTATTAATAGTAACATTTAGACCACATATAACCAAATTAAAAAGATAGATATAATCAACTAGGACAAACTTATACAAATCTTTATTCAATTTCATATAATTTTAATGAATTTATTTCAATCTTTTTCTTTTTTTTTAAAAAATAAAATGAAACGAAAGTTAAGTGAATAAATTATTATTCAAAATCAATCAAAATTCTTTTCAAGTTGATAAAACACTTCTGAAATCATTTCAATTCTAATTGGTTTTGAAAGAAATGCATCGAATCCCGATTTTTCACATTTCTCCTATTAAGATTCATCATCAAATCCTGATAAAGCTATCAATTTTATATTATCAATTTCTTTATTATCAATCTATATAGAATTAAATAATTTAATACCATTTTACGAATTTTTTCGGCTGCTTGCCATCCATTTAAAATTGGCATTTGCAAATCCATAAAAACATATTTTATATTTAAACTCTTTTATTATTCTTATAACTAAAATTATTATTCAATAATTACTTTAATTATTGCTTATTATCCATTATAAGCTTCAATTACATCTACTTAAGGTATTAAATTTTATAATAATATTTTAAAAGCAAGCAAATTAAATGCTTGATCATCAACTATTAAAATACCAAATTTTTAACTCTGAAGTAATTATTGTATTATAAACTTAGGATCTTATACTTCTAAGGGATCTTTTTATTGTAAACATTTTTATAATTAAGTTTTCTAACTTAATGATTAAAATTATAAAATATTTTTTGATTTAGTTTGATCAGCATCTTCTAATGAAGGTTCATACATCTCTGTTTCTGCCTTATCTATAGGTTTTGTGTATAATCTAAGATAAGATGATCTAACAAATAAGGATTATTGATATAATTTATCTTTTGCATTAGGAGATTCATCATTTTGAAAATTACTTAAATGTTAAGAACTGTTTTCTTATTTAAAACAACTAACATAATTTGATGATCTATAAGTATTATCTTATAATTTAGCATATATCTAAAATGTCATTTTTGTTCCTACATTTAATTCACTTTACAAATCAATTGTATCTAATGGTCCTAATAAACTTACAAGTTTTTTACAGACCATTAAACCTATTCCAGTACCATTCTTATTTTCTATTTTTTATGATGAGAAAGTAGCAAACAAATTAAATAATTGTGGTTTTACTGAATCAGCAATTCCACAACCTGTATCTTCAATTGAGATTGTATATACAAGTTTATTAAAAGACATAGTTGGATGTTTGCCTTATAGAGACTTTCGAATCTAAGAAATTGATTGATTAGCATTTAAAAAACTAATGTTTTTGGAGGAATTACTTCTCTTTATATTTTAAGATTTATCTGTATTTAAAGATTAGACAGTTATTGTTATACTGCCTTTTTCTGTGAATTTAAGAGAATTCGATAATATATTCATTATAATTTATTTGATTCTATTTGGATCAGAATGAACTTGATAAAAAGGAATGTCATAATATGTTTTAATTTCAACTCCTTTTTATTCTGCTGAAATAGATATGGTTTCAATAACTTCATCTATCAATTCATTAATATAAAAATCACTAATACAAAGTCTTAATTAATTCTTTTCTATTCTTGCATAATCCTATATATCATAAATCATATATAACATAAGATAAACATTCTTTCTAATAATATTAAGATAGTATTTCTCTTATGGATTTAAATCCTATTTACTTTCTAAGGTTTCTAAAATGGCAACTATTCCATTTATAGGTGTTTTAAAATCATGAAAAACAGTTGCAAGAATCATATCTTTATTTTCACATATTTATTTTTATTCTATTAATTGTTATTAAAATTAAGTTAATGATTTTTCAATTTCTTTATTTTAAAATATCAAAAGAAAAGCTTCATTCTTATTCCAAAAACAATGATTAAAAAATAATTTCAATCTTTTCTTTTTCAATTCATTTACACAAATATTTCTTTAACTTTAACTCTATATTAAGAATTCTTCCATAATTTTTGATTTTTGATTTTTAGGAGTTTCCTCACTTAATTATATAGGAATTCTATTAAACTATTGATATTTAGGAGTATCTATCATAAAATCATGAACTTAATCAAATTGCTATTTTTTTTGTTCTTCCATCTACTCATCATTGTCATTATTAGGTTCATGTAAATCTTTGAACTTTTGAAACAAAGGACTTTATGCTAAATATTAACAATTATCCATTATTTCTGTAAATATGGATCTAAATCTAGTTTATGGATTGTATAAAAAGTCTTTTGAATTATCAAATAACATTTAGAGTTTGATTTTATTGTCTGAAAAAAAGTGATTCAAACATTCAATAAATTCTTCTGAGTGTGATGTATTATATTTATATTCATTTTCCAAAGCCTTAGTATGATACATTGGCTTCCGAGATGATTTATCTATCACTAACAAAGGCAATGGTAAGATATCCTTCAATAACATCAAAAGATCATTTTCATCACTTTATTCTTGTAACTACAATTATAATAATCACATTACCATAAGAATTGGTGTAAATATCAATCCTAAATAAGATATTGGATACTAATACTCATTGAATCTTATGATTGAATATATGAGTACTATAAAGTATATTAATTTCTATAGCAATTATACTCTGAGAACCTTAGTCAAGGCTAAAAGTTTCAATATTATAAATATGAAAATTCCCTTTATTTAAAAGACTATACATACCTTCTATTAAGTGATTATCGTCATTTCAATTTGAACTATTTGCATAACTAATTGAGTTAAAGCTAAATAATAATCTCCTTTTAAACAAATAAACTTTTATTTGTAGTCTAACAATAAAAAAGTTAAAGAAAATATGAGATCCACAATAATAAATAGTCCAGAATCTAATGTATTGATAAGTTAAGTAAGTCCCAAAATCAAAAATAGAATGGATGCAATTAGATTGCATATTATGAATCTTTGTTGTATTCCAATTTTCATAATCTAAGAATAGAAAATATTTAATAAAATAATTTTCATATGTTCTTTAACTTATACACAATAAGTAAATGAAACCTATACGAATTTACAGGCGATAATTTATATAACTTAATCAAAATACTTTGTAATAAATATTAAATGATGTGAATTTTTATTAATATTCATTCAAATGGTCTTTGAAAACTTTTTCATTAGTAAATTATTGTCTATACTTTTCAGAATGAATACTAATTAAGTAAGCCTTTGTCATATAATATTAAAAATTAAATTAAAAATATCTAAGGCAACCATTTTAATAATTAATATTCAATATTATTAAATAGACGACAATTTTTTCTAAGTTGAAAACCTTTAATATTTCTTATTTAAACATAATACTTTTGCAATCTTATTAATTCTATATTAGTTAAGAAGAATCACTTATTTATGATATGATGGAATATAAATTTGATGGTGTAATTTATATGTAAAAAGGAGACCAAAATTATTGGAAAGATTAATATTTAATTATAATAAAAATCTTTGTTATCAATTCTATATTAAAACATACTCTATATATCTAAATAATGAGCTAATTTCCTATATAGTATGATTCTTTAGGAAATTATCTTTTAATAAATTTCTTTAATCTAAGTTTACCTACATAAATATTAACGATATTTTAGCAAATGCCATATAAAGTAATTAGGAAATGAAACATCAAATAATAATAAGTAAGAAAATTATATAGTAATTTATAAATAATCTATATCAATCTTTTTTTTATTATCTTAATATTGCTCAAGATTTAATTTCGCTTCTATTAAAATATCTATATATTTAAATGGAATTTTATTTTATATTTCAACTAGAAATCTATTTTATAATTACTTATGTCATTAAAGTTAATATATTTACTTTAACACATCCAATTACTATTGCTTTAATCATTAATATTATTCATAATTTGTAACCTATCTCTTATTACAAGAGTTAAATAATTCATTAAGATAATCAGATATTATAGATCTTATGAATTCTCCATAAAATACAGATCTTGTAGATGAAACCTTTTCTAGATTTTCTTAACCAAACTGTCAACTAAACAGAATTTACTCTTATCTTTAAAATTTAATTCATAAAGTGCTTCGAATTATAATAATTATTGATTCATAAATCAATAATGATATTAAATATTATAAAATTGATGTTAATAGATATTTACTTTTATGAAATATCTAATTTTACTGTATAAATATTTCTAATTAAAAGTTCAATTATTTTGGACTAAAGTATTACAATTTATTAAAAGTTAGAATGTAGAGACTACTAATCTATTTGGCACCTTTTAAAAAAAGTAATTTTATGATAAGTCTTAAGAAAAATAATTTAGTTAAATTAGAGTGAAAAATGAACAAAATTGACAGGATTCTAAAGTAAGTTACAAGAGATAAAATTTCAATAATTATTGTTTGAGAGACATGTAAGTAGATTAAGAAGAAAGCATATAATATAATAAATTTATGTAAAACTTCAGCAAAGAGGAGAAATTAGGAGAAGGAACATATGGTATAGTGACTCGTGCATTTGATAAAAAAAGAGGAAAAGTTGTAGCTATAAAGAAATTGAAATTGGATAGTTGTGATGATGAAGGAGTTCCAAGCACAACCATAAGAGAAATAGCAATTTTATAAAAATTGAAGCATGGAAATATAATAAAGTATTAATTTAATTTTGATTTATTAGTTTATTGGAAGTAAAATACTTTATGTAAGAGAAGAAGATATTATTGATTTTTGAATCAATGTAATGTGATTTAAGGAAATATTTAGATAAAAATTAAACTTTATCACTAAATACTATTAAATTAATAGTCTACTAAATATTATTAGGACTTTCCTTTTGTCATAGTCGTAGAGTATTACATAGAGATTTAAAACCATAAAATATACTATTGAATGAGACAATGACCTTGAAATTGGCAGATTTTGGACTTTCAAGAGTGTTTCCATTTCCAATGCCTAAATTTACAAAAGAAATAGCAACTCTTTGGTATAGAGCACCAGAATTGATGTTAGGAGATGATAATTATGGAACAGGAGTAGATATTTGGGCTGTTGGATGTATAATGGCAGAATGTTTAATAGGTAGACCATTATTGGCTGGAGATAGTTAAGTTGATATGCTGTTTAAAATGATGGAAGTATATATTTAGATATAATAAATATTAGTTACTTGGAACACCAACAGATAATTCTTATGTTGGTTTATCAAAGTTGCCTCATTTTAAAGTGACATTTCCAAAATTCATAGGGAAAGATTTAATTGAAGTGATACCTGTATTAGAACATGATCGTAAGGCTTTGGAAATATTGTAATCAATGTTACAATTTAATCCAGGAAAGAGACCTTAAGCAAAAGAATTATTAAAGCATAATTGGTTTGATGATATAAGAAATAATTATTGATTATTGTTTATTATCATCATGATTGCTGTTCTTCTTAGACTAATTTTAATAACATTTCTTAATAAGCTTCTGTCCAATTTTAAACATACCAATCATATTAGGAACTATCTGGATTGAAATAATCAAAACATTCTTCTTTTGACATATCATATTTGGAAGATGTTTATAAGAAACAAGAATGATTATTATTATGTTCGAATTTTCTATTTTTAGTTGATTATTGTTATCCTGTCAATTATAAGAAACTAGAATGAGTTCTAGATTTAAGTTATTCTTCTAAATTAATAGAACCATGATAGATTTCAAAAGCAAATGAATATCTAATTTTCAATTCATCATAGGCATAATCAACACAACTTCCTGGTGCTAAATAACCAATAGCTTATGATGCAACTCCAACATCACATGATGGACAATATTTACCAGATATATCATTAAGAATATCCATCATTTTTTCTTCATTTTGTTCAGCTACATTATTCAATAAAATATATATACCAGCATCTGTTGAATAAGCATGAGGTGTAAACATTCCTAAAGTACCAGAATGAACAGTTAAGAATATATCTGGATTAAATGCTTTTAATGAATCACGTACTGCTCTTGTTTCAGGTTCAGAAAATGGATTTGGTCCTGATGTAACTTATCTGACATCATCTTAAACCTTTTCCCAATGTGCATCATAATTTCTATTAATATCAACTCCATTTTCATTTTCTCTTAAACAATATTCTCCTCCTTCTACTTTCTATCTTGATAAAGGATTTGCATTCAAAATCATTCTTAATTCGAAATCATCTAAAATTTATTTGTTTTTTGGGTCAGTTTTTTCAAAACATAAATCATTCAAGAAATGAATTCCTGATTCTGGACTAATCAATTCTCTTGGATGTTCACCAAACAAAATATAAGCTTTATATTATAGTTCAATATAATACCTCTATACTTTTTATTTTGATTTCTATTAATGTTCACTTCTTTAATTAATGGACTATCGGAAGCATTAGACAATGATAAGAATGAGCAACTTCGACTCAAAGATTCTAATTCCTCATTTATTTCTGCTGTTGTGTGGTATTTACTACTAAACTTAGTTGCAAATACTAATGATAGGCTCAATATGACAATTATTGCAATTTTCATAATATATAATAAAAACGGAACTTAGTTTAATTTCAGAATTGTAATATTTTATTTGCTTGATTGAAAGGACTTCCATTTGTATATTTTATCATTACTGGAGTTGCATAAATTGTTGGTGTTGAAGTTTTAGGTTATTCATATGAATGATTTGATTGATTAATGTTCAAATTATTAGTTTGAGGTTGAATTCTCATACTTAATTGTTAATGATGTTATTGAGCTTAAAAATATTGACTAAAATAGTGATTACGAGGTTCAACATGAGGTGATTTATTAAGTTGTTTATAATGTTGACTATTATTATTTCTTATGACTGTTTATTATTTCACTCCTGGTTCACTAACTTAAGTCAAGCATCTATTTTTAGAATCACTCTTCATTTATTTAATAATCAATTGCTCAAGCATTTATTTAGTCATAGACTTTTATTATTATATCAATTCTGCATTTAATTATTTTAGTCGTTTAATTTCATCAAGTAATACTTAAACATCATCGTTGTGTTTAATAGTTTTGTTCTCTTGATTCTTTGTAATAAGCTTCTTCTTATCAAAATCAAATTCAATTTCTATCTCTTCAGATCCCTACTTCAGTAATTTATCTTATTGTTATAACAATATCTGATTTAATTTCTTCTCTAATATCCAATAATTCCTTTTCCAATCATCTAATTCTAATTCCATCTTCTAAATCATCTCTACTAATTTGGTAACTTTATATACTATGAATGTCTCCTAATCACATTATAAATCTATTGTATCATCCATTTCAATTTGATCTAGAATCTTCAATAAATTATTGGTTTCTATCTTGCAAGGTGTGACTTCTGATTATCCTAAACTCTTTTGATAAAATTCAGTCTCTTCTTATATAACTTAAAGATCATTTTCATCACAACGCTAATCCTCAAATATAGAATTATCTAAATTGCACTTTAATTACACTATCTCTCTATTATGGATTCGTTCCTATTCTTCATACTTCTCTTCCCACATCTATTTTCAATAATCATAATACTTTTATTTGTCCCTTCAATCCTGAAATCTCTTCTTCCAATTAAAATATCGTTGTTTTCATTTGCTACAATTATTATATCATTTTACTTCTTAATCTTAAGTCTTTTAAATAGATGTTGTTGCTGATTCACTACAAGTTGATTAATTCACTAGCATTGTTATATAATTAAATTATGATTAATTAATACATTGAAATCATTCAATAACTCAGACTTATTAAGATTGAACAGCTATTACTATAAAAGTTAATATATAAATTAGCGAATCAATTAAGACATTTTCAAGAATTTAGAATGCTCAAAAAGTTTAATAAACAAACAACTAGAATTATTCAATCATGTACATAATAAATTAAAGAAAATTCTTTATAAGGACCAGAAGTAATTGAATAAATTGAGAAGACTTAATCATTTTTATTAACACTCTCTTATATTATAACAGGAAATATAAAAAGAAAATTACTCATCCAATTTTAACTCTTAACTTTTGGTGCTATAAGTAGAATATAGGCATGCTTTGATCATATAAAAAATATAATTAATCAAATGGAATAAGGCAAAACAAGCACAAATCCATAAATAATTTCTTGAGATTATATATATCCATTCATTTATTTTATATTGTTAGAACATTAACTTAGTTTTTCTTTAATATAAATTTTGGCTATGTTATTTTCTTATTGTTTGATTCTTTCAGAATTTTAGTTAAGAATTGAGATTAAATAGAAGGTTTTATTTAACGTTATGTTTGAACTTAAGGCATTAATTTATAAGTTCCTTTATCTTAACATGTGCTCTCATTGTTTGATGATGAATCTTCTTTACTTTATACTCTATCTGATTGAACAGCTTCTAAAGTAATTGACCTTTTACGCAAATCAATATTGCAATATTTTTATATTTCAACCTTCTTTTTAATTTTAGATAGTGAAGCACCCTTTGGTTAATAAGGAACTGAAAACTATTTTACTATCATTTCTAATCTTCTAGGATCTGACAAAGAAAATTAACGATAATCACTTCTAAAAGTTACATTCCTAAAACTTGTCATACAATGATGATTCTATCTTGTTATTGACATTTATATAAATATTTATATATATATATATATATCACTTTTCAATACATTAAATGAAATATCTTAATTGTTCTTGTAACTAATCCAATGTAGTTACTTCTTCTGCTTCATCCTATTAATTACGTTCATCATTTTAAATTAATACTAATGCAAGCCATTACATCACTTAGATAAATTCATAATAAAATAACCCTTCAAATCCATTAAATTTTTCATCATGAAATAATTCTTTATATGCTGTCTTTATGATTCCTTCTAAATTGTCTCCCTTATATCCAGAATCTTGTATTAGTTATTTAATTTCTTCTTATCTGATATGGAACTTTATGTCGGAATTGTCATCATTTCCTTGGCTAAATCTTTTAATGAATATATTCTGCATTTAATCTTAAATTTCCTAATTTTTAAAACTTGCAACTTACCCGAATAAAATTGACTAAAATTTCATTGTATTTCATATGCTACTAGAAATTATTAAACTCTTTCTCATCAGAATTAATTTCTATTATTTTATCTACAATCTTCATTACTAATTGATCTTAGGCTAAAATGATATAATTATATATAATATACATTCTACTTCACTTAAATTGTTTGTTTTTTTAAATTATGCTAATTCTACTATAATTACAAAGAACTCTTAAAATTTAACAGACAATTCCAAACTTTTTCTAACATCTTTTGATTTAGTTCCTTATTTATCATATGTTTCAACAAATGAAAATAATTCTTGACTATCTTGAACTAATCCATACTAAATATTAATTTAAATTAAATACAAATTTTAAGAAATGCATAACATCTTAAAATGAAATACTAATTTCATCTTTTTTTGCATGATCTGTATTATAAAGAATGGCATATTAACGAAATACTTCATAAAGTAATGGCAATTTATCATCCATATATGCTGCAATCTTATTGTAAAAGTTTTCTTCCTTTTTATTAATATTATATATTATACTAAATCTTTAAGTTCAAGATTTCCTTCAGCATTTTTTTAAATAATTGTCCATAATTTCTCAAATTTATATGGACATTCTTCAGCAGCAGATTATTTATTTTTTTAGCTATCTTCTCTTTTTTAGATTTGTTATAATTAGAGATCTTTTTCTTTTTATAAAGCATATTCCATGATCTTTTTTTATATTTCTTATTATGATATAGGAACAGGGTTGAGTCTTGCAGTATGATCAAAGTTTTTCATATCCAATGGAAAGATAGATTATTATGGTTCTTAACCTTCTTTTTCTGTTATTGTCTAACCATAGAATTAGAATGTAAATTAACCAAGTGGCAAAGTTATTTCTGCAAAATACTTCTTAAAATTATCTCCAGCTCTATATATAATAAGAATATAATGAACTTAATTTCTTTCATAATGATTTTATCTTTGCTAGGATAATTTTTAGTATCAAATTCATGCATAACTTCAGGAAACATTTTATATTCATATTAAATTAGATAAGTTGGTTCTTAACGATTGATAATTTTCTAATTTAATGGAGCTAATTAAAAAGTAGCTGTGAATTAATTTCTCATTCTTCCAAATGCTTCATCATACCATTCTAAAATTATATGTATTTATAATACTTTCTTATTAAGCAGTCATAATCCATCCTTAACCTTTTCTTATTTCAACTTATACTAAAGTTTCCTTGCCTTCTTCATCTTCTTTTAAATAATCAAAGATTTTAGCACGTGGTGGAGGAGTTAAAAACATGTCAGTTCCAGGGACTCTAAATTGTAAATAACATGGAAGATAATTAGAATCTGGATTCTTTTTATTTGAATATAATTTAGCAGCTGCAAGAGCAAACCATGCAAAATCATTTAATCCTTATCCAACATTAATGTAGAAGACGAATTCTTCGACTTAAACTTTAAATTTCATTATTATTAATTATTTTTATGGGAATTTGTACTAATAAGCAATATACTTAAACTAATGATCCTCCACAAAATCATAGACAGAATCGATTATATTAAAACTATTAACAATTAGCAAGTATTAATCATCCACTGAATGTGAATCACAAATACAACAATTACTTCCAAATCATTCCAGACACTACTGTAGGGAAGGGAATTAAAATGACAAATCAATATACTAGTCGTTTAAGTAGAGAGGAGTGGCTAGAGAAGAGAAAAGAATTTTGGGGTAGAATTTTATAAGTTATTTAAAGAATCAAGAGTTGAGGGAGAGAAAGTTTATTGGCAATCAATCCAAAAAGCTATTGAAGAACAAGATGAAGGTATTATTATTTAATATGTAGCAAATGCATTAGCTATACTCAATGCATGTGATCTCAAATTGGTTAATAATTCCATTTAACTACTTTATGACAACTCAATGCATAAATATGATGTCCCTATATTTATGATTAATGAACCTTAATCATTCCCTTCCACAAAGTATTGTGATGCTGGTTTGATTCAAAATTTTCAAGAAACGGAATTAAAAGTATATATTTGTTAAGGATAATCTATTTCAAGATCAAAGTGAGATCTAACAAACTCCCATAAGATTTCGAGGTTCTTACTCACACAAACCAAAGCATAACTGAATTGAAGACAAAAGTTTAAGAATCTGCTCCTGGATCTGAATAATGTAGGTTGTTTTTCAAAGGCAGAGAAATGAGGAATCATCATCTAATTGGAAATTATTAACTTAAAGATGGAGAAGTATATACCTATACTATTCATTTTTCTAGATGGTCCAGGCCTTTATGTGATATTACTTATTAACAAACAATATTATATTTATTATGGCATTAATTCATAATCAAAATGACATACAAAACATGTTTAGTAAGGCTGGCAAAATTACTTCAGAAAAATATATTGTCTTCTAAAGGAAAGAGGAAATTATCAACAACAGACCAAGATATTTTAAAACTAAATCTTAATCAGTTGCATCTCCAGAAGAAGTCAATCTATAACCTGAAAAGAAAATCCCAGAGATTGCTAACAAGAAATAAGTACAAATTACTGAAGCTGAACTCATTTAACAGAAAAATCAACTTAAACTCTCATAACCATTCTCTAAGCAACTCTCTCGATAAGTTGGACATTATACTAAATTAAGTAATGATAATAAACCATCATGTGGTCAATATCATGTCAAATTTAGTGAATTAGATAAGTACTTCTCTATTATTATTATCAATAGAGCTGTTCATTCCATTCATGATTATGAAAAATCCCTTAAAAAAACTACACCCAGAGATGTAGAAGGAAAATTTGGATAACCAGAAAGCATTGAGTAAACAACTATTGCATTTATTCAAGCAAACCTATTGTTGATCGACCAAGATTTTCTCGTACTTGTTTTACAGATCTAACTAGATAAACTCAAAGGTATATAAATATATTTTACTAAATAGACCTGATATTTTCTTTGGAAGACCTACTCCACATCCAGATAGATTCACATTTTTAAGTGTTACTGATTCTTGGAGTAAAATTCCAAGAACACCAAATGTTTAATTAGATAAATAATTATCAAGAGAATAAATGATTATTTATAAAAAGAAACAATTTGCCCCTGATTACCATCCCAATTTCGAATACGGCAGAAAGTATTTTATATATTTTTTAACTCAAATAGATAATTAGGTAGTTGTGGAGCTGCTTTTGATAAACTCGAAAAAAGAAAAGATATTATGACTAAAATACCTCCATACAATAATGAGGCTTATTTCGAATTTGATGTCTATTCTAAAGATCCATAAAGTAAATTGTTTAGAAATCCTACTGCTCCCAATTTTGATAAAATGTTAGAAAGGGAATGTGATGGAAAATCCTTATTACCAAGTTTTATGTAGGTAAGAATAATATATTAAATTAGAAATATACCAATACTCGTATGGGTATTGCTCATTTAAATCAAAAAATGTTAGAAGTCAATAATTTTAGAGATGGAAGATTCCAAACTGTTACTTCAAGCTTTCTGCCATCTAAATTTAAAAGAAAATAGAAGCTTGATGAGTCTAGCGAAGAAATTGAATAGTTTGAGGACTAATAATGAATTTATTTATTTAAATTTATTAATCATTAATATTTTAATGGATTATTAAAATACAATTGAATGTTTCACAGAACATTTATAATTTAAAATAAGAACAAATTCTTTATTATAATTAATATATAATTTTGAGATTAAAATTATTTATATGAATATGATTTTAAATGTTTAATTTATACTATCATGATCTTGTTTTTGAACTAAATATTTTATTTATTTTTGCAAAATTAATAATTTAAGAATATTTTGTATCTTATTTAAGAGATTATTACTTAATTTTAGTATTTTTTTCTTACACAACTTTAAATTTCAAGTAATATTAATTTATCTGTTTAAAAATTATAGTCTGATCTGTTAAAATATATAAAATTCAAATATTTTGGATCAAGTTTAGAAAAAAAACAAAAATATCATTAATACATTTTATAGATCAAATCTTAAATGTAAAAACAACTTGAAAAATTAAATTGCTCAGTTTAATGAAAAATTGAGCAATTGAAAGTTGGATAATTTAACATTGAATAAAATCTTTGTATTAAAGGATGGTATGGATGTTTAGAAAAAATAAAGATTAAGTTATGTTTCTTCTCATTTTTTGAAAGAAGTATTCTAACCCAAAATACTACTTTACTTCCAATAGAAGATGGTGCTTTTGTATGAAATTAAAGGTAATAAATTCTATATTTGAGAGTAATTTGCTTATCAAAAAAGAATGACTTTAATCACTTGTTATTAATGATATTTCTATATAAGCAAAAGTAGATTTTAGAGAGACATAACCCTTATTTTGCAAAATCAGATTGAATAATTAATTTAATCCAATAAAAATAATGACTTTATTTTTCTATCAATATATCAATATATTTCCAAATATTTTACATTAAATTTGGTATTATTACTTGTTCTTAATGAAGTAATCGGGAAATTTATTGATTTATTTCAATAAATATATTTATCACAATAACGTATTATTTGATATTATTCTTATATAATTAAATATAACAGATTAATTTTACTTTTTTATTAAATTATATGATAATTAAATGTCATTATTTATTTTCTGTAAATACAATATATCTCTATCCAAATTTAGATGCATTTTAAAAATATTTTAGAAAATAAAAAGGAATTAAACTCCTTTTAAAATATTAATGTATATTAGCGATTTTCTAAATCTATACCCATTTTTTATATTTAAACATTTTCCAATAACACCAGATTAAAAGAATAATTCAAACTTATCATGTGGCTGCTTGATGTTTGAGAAATAGAAAAAGTCTAAGAATTCATTATTTAAAACATCAGGAGACCAGATTTTTTGTGTAATTTTACATTATTATTCTTAAGAATAAAAACACTGTAATAAATGAATCTTCCCATACAAAAAAAATCTTTTAATATTACTATAGTTAGAAAGTGGCTTCATTATTAACTACCTAATGATTCTATTTGTTAATTTTGGATTTCCAAATGAAAATCTACATTTTAAAAATTGTTTTCCCACTTATTTAATAATTTCTAAATTTTTTAAATATATTATCTAGTATATATATTTTTACTTGGAGACTAATATATTTTATTTGGAATCGTTTTAATTATTGATTAAATAATATATTTGATAATTTATTAATATATATTTCGTTTTATATCAATCTAAACTCCTTAATTAATGACCTGACTTAACATCTTTCTAAATGATGTTGTAATTAATATCCAAAATTAACTTACTTAACTTATATATTTTTAATAAATAATTCAACTCTTTTGAAATAAATGCTAGAATATACTGGACAGACTAAAGCAAACTCAGAAGGAGTTCATACAGTTGTAGACTCAGATTTAGAAAGTTGGTAAAAGTAATAATTAGAAATTCTAATTTTAGAAGACCTAAATCTGCTTCATAATAGGATAATAGAAAGCTATTCGAATTAACGAAACATTGTTTTAATGAAAAAATACCATAAGCAACTTGTGATGAAATTCCTGAATTTGATTCATATGATGATACTTTTTTACTAAGACCATCTCTGTGTACAAATAAATCAAGCAAATAAAGCTATGAAATTATAAAGGAGGAAAAACATTAAGAAAAAGAATTAATAACACCTTTAAACGAAGAAGACAAACATTTATTAATGAGGAGTGATTTGGAGTTATGTAAATTGTAAGGAATTAAAATGAAAAGTGGAGGATTCTACAAAGGATATTGGTACAAAAGAAAACCAAATGGTATGGGGGAATATCTATTTGCTGATTCAAGTAGATATATAGGAGATGTAAAAAAGATAATATATATATAGTGGAATAATGGTTATGCAAGTGGAAGGGGAGAGTATTATGATACTGATGGTGGACACTATCAAGGAGAATTTTATTAAAATTGCATGCACGGAACAGGAGTTTATAAATATGCAGATGGAACAATCTATAATGGTATGATCAATACTTATCATTAAGGTTAATGGATGAACGATAAATATCATGGATTTGGTATTGAAATAAAAAATGACAGCCAGTATAAGGGTAAAAATAAATTATAAATTAGGCAAGTTCCAGAATGGTTTAAAACATGGTTAAGGAACTTTAGTATTTTCCAATTAGGAACAATATGAAGGTTAATTTATAAATGATTTATTTGAAGGGAAAGGGATTTTTGTAAAAATTCTATTTTTATCTTTAGCTTTGGCCAGATGGAAGAAGATATGAAGGAGATTGGAAAAAAGGAATGATGCATGGATAAGGAATGTTACAATGGCCAGATGGTAATGTACCGTTTCTAAATAGGTCGTATCTATGTAGGATAATATGTTAATGACAAGAGATAAGGATTTGGAACATTTCAATTTGCAGATGGTCGTAAATATGCAGGTTAGTGGATGAATGGATTATAACATGGATCAGGAGAATTTACTGAACATCATGGTTAAATTACGAAAGGAGTTTGGAGAGATGGCAAATTGTTTTCACTTTTTTGATTATATGATACTAATATATATATATCTCATAATTTTGGTTAGGAATACTTAGCAAGATTATCTGGAGTTGGTGCTGGGAATAAACTAGGTGTGAATAGAGTACTAAATTTATATTATTAATTAAATACGCTTTCTTCATATTTCCTTTAATCTTCATCTATCCCTTTAAGAATGCTTCATTTGCTTATAATTTTCCTAAGCAAACTTTTTCAAAATCATCGTCAATCATTGTAAAAGTGGCATCTGCTTATTCTTTTCCCTCCTTTATACTACCTTAACCATTCTTTAAATCAATAACCCAAGATTTTATTACTGGACCACCTTTTTATGTAATTATCTCAAAATTAAATACTCCTTAAACTTTAGGAATAAATTCTTTTCCTTCTCCTCTATCTAAAAATGCTTTCATTAAACCAAAAATCTTTTCTGCTTTTAGATTAATAGTTGGAGCTTATGTAGTTTATTATGTTTAAGTTGTTGATGTTTTTCCTTCTTTTTATTATTTAATGAATTCTTCTTTATTGAAAAAGATTTCAAATATTTCTGAAGATGTTTAAGGATAATAAACAGTATCTCCAAAACCAGCTACTTATTCCCATTTATCTCTAACATCTTCAGGTGTAAATGGAGTATCAAAGAAATATCCTTAATTTCTTTACCATCTTAATTTAGAAATATATCCTGCTCCCAATTCATAAATTGCACCTGTTTCTTTAGAATCATCATGACTTAAAACAGCTACAAGAGGTACAACAAATTCAGGTTTTAAATTTGCAAGTAATTCTTTACTCATAACAGTTTCAGTCAATCTACTTGCAGCAACAGGACAGATTGAATTAACTAAAATATTTCTCTTTAATCCTTCTCTTGCTAAGGCTAATGTCAATCCATGAATTCCCATTTTAGCAGCACAATAATTTGTTTAACCAAAGACACCATAAACACCAGAAGCTGAAGATGTGTTAATTATTCTTCCATATTTTTATTCTCTCATATATGGCCATGCAGCTTTTGTACAAGAGTATGTACCTTTTAAATGAACCTAAATATTATTTTATTATATATTACTCTATAAATTAGATCCCAATCTTCATCTTTCATCTTTTCAAATGAAACATCTCTTAAAATACCAGCATTGTTTATTAAAATATCAATCTTTCCAAATGATTTAATTGCTGTGTCAATCACTTTTTCTCCAAATTCAACACTGTCGTAATTAGCAACAGCAACTCCACCAGCAGCTTTAATCTCTTCAACTACTTTATCAGCTGCAGAAGATGAAGCTCCTGTGCCTTTCATTGAACCTCCTAAATCATTAACAACAACTTTTGCTCCTCTTTTTCCAAAAAATAGGGCATACTCTTTTCCTAAGCCATTACCAGCTCCAGTGATAACCACTACTTTGCCATCAAATCTTAATTAACTCATATTTTTAATAAAACTAATATAAATCCTATTGATATTAGGTATATAATGAACACTTTTAAGAATTCGTGCGTCATATTTCTAAGAGTGATTCAATTATTATTTAATATATGTTACCTTAGCACAAATTATAAAAATAATATTCCCTATCAATTTGTACTAAATTTATATATTTTAACATTATAAATTTAAACAATTGGCAAATGAATTTAATATATCTAAAACTTCATAATATATATAATAAGGAATTATTATTATTTATAATTTGAATATCTATATAAATTTTAACTAATATGAAATTCTCATTTTGTTGTTCTAATGTTATAAATATATAAATGAATAAAAATATTTTTTATATCCATAAATTTTTTATACTCTACTTTAGATTTATTTGAATTGAAAACAAAAATATTATCAAATATTGAAGATATTAAATAAACAAAATAATATGATTAAGAATATACATAAATACTAATGATAATAAAATATTTTAGAGTTTAGATTAGGATTAATTTTAATAATTGTATTTAAAAAATGTCTTACGATACAGCACTTACAGTTTTTTCTCCAGATGGATAGCTATTTTAAGTAGAATATGCAATGGAAGCAGTGAAAAGAGGATTATGTTGTGTTGGAGTGAGAGGAAAAGATACTATAGTACTTGGTGTAGAAAAAAAGGCAGCATCAAAGCTCTAAAATGTTAAAACAATTAAGAAAGTTTATTAATTGGGTAGCAAGTTATTTAATGATAGATAATAACTTATGTATGACATTTTCTGGTTTAAATGCAGATGCGAGAATATTGGCTAATCAAACAAGATTATAATGCTAATAGTACAAAATTTATTATGAGGATGATCCTTCAGTTGATTACATTGCTAAATTTACTAGCTAATAATAATAAAAATTCACATAAAGAGGTGGAGCAAGACCTTATGGTATTTCAACTTTAATTGCCGGATTTGATAATCAAAATAAACCAAAGTTATTTTAAACAGATCCTTCTGGAGCTTGTTCAGAATGGAAAGCTACTTCTCTTGGGAAGAGTGCAAAATAAGTGAAAGATTTCTTAGAAAAGCATTGGAGAGAAGGATTACATGAGAAAGATGCTCTTTTATTAACAACAAAAGTATTAGATTATAGTATATGTTAAGGCTTTAATGGATGTAGTAGAAAGTGGAAATAAAAACATAGAGTTATGTGTGATTAGAAAGAACACTTGCTGGTTTTTGAGTGAAGCAGAAGTGGAGGAGTTAACAAAAATAACAGCATAGATCTAATGATTATTATAAACATTAAGTAATTGTACAAATATGGTTTTGGTTTATTTTATTGATAACAAGATGATAGTGATTAGAATGAAGAGAGATTAATTCATTATTAATTAATAAAATGATATTAATTTTATACTAATAATTAATAATATATATCATAATTTCTTATATTCTGAAATCTAAATTTTAATAATTAATGAAATAGGAATCATGGGATGATTTGCATTTGTCAAATGAAAAATCTATTACTAAAATTTTAGAGCAAGGAGAATAAGTTTTATTTTCTAGTTTACTCTATAAATTCAATGAAGTCAATAAAAGACAAGAGAGAACATTACTAATTACAACTCATAATCTCTATAATCTATCCAAATTGACTGTAAAAAGAAAAATCCCAATCAAAAGGGTTTATGGAATTACTATTGGTTTAATTGGTACAGAATTTGTTGTACACGTGCCTGAAGAATATGATTATAGATATTCAAGTTCTGAAAGAAGAGATTAAGCAGTATTAAGCATCATTAGAGCTTATTGTTTATAACATAAAGGTACTGCATTACCAGTCTTCTAAAAAGATGAACTTACACTTACAGCATATACAACAACAAAAGTTGATAAAAAAAAGGGTATCAATAGGTTACCTACGACTGGTTCAGAATTAATGAATGAAGAGTAATTCAGAAAAAGAATAGATTCTTAAATAGAAGAAAGATTGTAAACTAGAGCTAAGACTTCTACATTATATGCAAAGCAGAAAGGTGAAGCAGTAACAATAGATGACTTTGACTTAATAAAAGTTTTAGGAAGAGGAGCTTATGGTAAAGTAATGCTAGTAGAAAAGAAAAGTGATAAATAATATTATGCTATGAAATCAATTAGAAAAGAGGATATTGCTGATCCAGAATAATTAGAACATACAAAAACAGAAAGATTAGTATTAGAACATGTTAATCATCCTTTCCTTGTAAATTTGAATTGGGCATTTTAAACACCTGAAAAATTGTTCTTTGTTACTTAATTTATGAAGGGTGGAGAATTATTTTAACATCTTAAACATGTTAAACGATTTGATGAAAATAGAACAAGATTTTATGTTTCAGAAATTGTAAATTCGTACCCTTATTTCATTATAGGTATTAGCATTAGAACATTTGCATTCGAAAAATATTATATACAGAGATCTAAAACCAGAAAATGTATTATTGGATGAAATAGGCCATATTTGTTTAACAGATTTTGGAATGGCTAAAATGTTGAAAAAAAATGAATTAGCTAAATCTTTTTGTGGAACACCTGAATATCTAGCTCCTGAAATATTACTTGAAATTGGTCATTCTTAATCTGCTGATTGGTGGGCATTAGGTATTCTTACATATGAAATGCTTTATGCATTACCTCCATTTTATAATAAAAATTAAGATTTAATGTTTAAATAAATTTAAACTAAAGAAATTACATTCCCAACTACACCACCACTTTCAAATGAAGCTAAAGATTTTATATATAAAGTAAAATATCTATTTAATTTTAGTTAACAGTTAAAGATCCAAAATTAAGATTAGGTACATCTAAAATTGATGAAGTAAAAAATCATCCATGGTTTAAAGGAATTAATTGGGAAAAACTATTAAAGAAAGAAATTGATACACCTTTCAAACCTTAAATCTAAGGAGATGCATGGATTGATAATTTCGATAAACAATTTACAATAGAAGAAGCAATAAATTCATATGCTCCTGAAAATAATCTAGTCAACCAAGATGAATTTAGAGAATTTGACTATTATTAAAAATGAATTGAAATACAGATTTCAGTATAATAGAATCATTTATTTATTATGAATTTGTGCTAAAGTAGTTCTTAAGCAGTAGGTCTTAATTTGTGATCCCTTTATAAACATAATCTAATAAACTAACTAAGAATTTCATCTAAATCTTCAGGTATCCTTGGTAGAGCATTATCAGAAATTATTAAAAGTAAAGCACTTAAAGGATTATCGAAATTATGTTCATGCCAAGGTTTTTTTGCTGTTGCCATCTCAAGAACAGTACAACCAAAAGACCAAATATCACTTGCTCTACAATTTTCATCTTAAGTAGCTACCTTTAGAATTAAGATATTTTCATACTTCAGGTGCCATATATGGAATGCTTCCTTTTAATGAATATAATATTTCTCTCCCTTGCTTAGATCTTGATATAGTCTTCTCTTTTATTTTACTACATCCAAAATCTCCTAATTTCACTTCACCATTCACTCCTAATAATACATTGCCTCCTTTTATGTCTCTATGAATTATATTATTATCATGTAGATAAGCAATTGCCAATAACAATTATTCAGAATATGTACGAACTATGTTTATATTGAGAGGACCAAACTTTTCAGTCAATTAGGTTAAAGTTCCTAATATTATTATGAATATTAACCTTAAGACATATACTCTAAATAGAGTAACCAATATTCTTCATTTTATTAACTCCAAGCATATCTAATTATATTCTTGTGTTTTATTCTTTTTAATAAATCGATTTCACTTTTTAATCCTTATAAATCCTCCTATTCAAAATCTCCCTTTAGGTTAATTTTCTTAACAGCATAGATTTTGCCTGTTTTATTTTCTTATGCTATGTACACTTATCCAAAAGATCCTGCACCTATCATCTCTCCTTCAGTAAAGCTTGGATTTTAAGTAGAAAAATTGAATTATGAATATGTAGATGAATCATTAACAAATTTATTTGAACTACTAGATTCTATAGCTTATTTTTAAGAACTAGAGAAGGATTAATTCTTCATTGCAATAAATCTATTTTCCATAAATGATTCGATTTGTGATGCAGCCTCTTCCTTTATAATGGTATCATCCTGAAAGTCTTTGATAATATTATTTAATACCATTAATTGGAAATTCAATCATCCTAATAGCTGGACTTTAAAATTTATTCATTTCTTAAGATTCTGTATTTGATTTAACAAATTTGACTTGATGATTATAGAGTTTCCTAATTATCATTCCTTAAACTTTTGATTTTTTTACTGATGAATAGCTTTTCTATTTTTATGAATTATCTGTAACTGGTCTATTATCTTCTTTCTTCTCAATGGATAACTTTTTCAATGTAGAAGGTGATCGAAAGGTTAATGGAATTTTTGTAGTCATGGAGGGATCAATTTGTATTCTTGGAGAAAGAAGTGGAGGTAATCCAGTGTTATTAGAGATCTTTGGTTTGCTTTTATCTAGAACTCATATTTCTTAAATACTTTATATATCCCCTCTTTTAAGAATCGAATTCATTTTGTAATTATTATATATTTTATTATTACCAATTGATTACTTCAATAATTTAATATACATTCTTTGATATAATAATTAATTCCACTATCTTTTATTTACTAATGTTTTGATACTGTTCCTTAATCCAATGTATTTTTACAAAAAATTTACTATTTCATAAACTTGTGTATTTGAATTAATGAATTAATAAAATATTTAATACTGATTCTAGTTACTTAAATTATAATTAATTCTAACTCATTTTTTAACTATTCTAAATAATTATCTTAATCATACTATTTAAATCCTTATTGATACAAAGATAAATTTTATTTTATTGATTTAACTTTTTAAAAAGTAATAAATTAGGAATTTATACTTTATATTAAAATATTCTCCATCATCTTAAATATATATTAGATTTGTCTTATAAAAAAGATGATTTAACTTATTTATATTTCAAATTTAATAAAATTATAATGTATCAGAAAAGAAATGTATAACTTATATATATTTAATTTATAACAAAAATTTATTATTCATAAATAATTAATATCTCCAATAGAAGTTTGCTATTCAACTAACTTAAAATAACAAATACCTTTTTTTAAATAAAATAAGATTTTTCTTTATTATAAATTTAATTAATTGACATTGTTAAAAACAAAATGGGAACATGTGCTTCATGCAATTCAAAGATAGAAATTGTAGAGAGCGATACCTTGATATCTAAATAAAGTGTATTTTAGAAATTAAAAGAATTAAATCAAAATACGAAATCAACAATTTTTATGACAATGAGAAGTAATAAAAAGATTGATAATGAAAATTTGGCTGATCAATCTTCTTAAGTTAGTGAAATAAATGATGAAAAATCAGATATAAAGGATATACATGGTAGTGTAAAATTAAGAAAGAGAGCATATAGTTTTCAAGAATAAAGAATATAGTAGGTTCATTTTTTAATCAATGATTAAAATGATTCTGCAAAGGTTAGATGTTTTAGATTTACAGATCCTAATATTCCAAGAAATTTATCAAATTCTTCAAGTTCCAATAGTCAATTTAGAGAATTCAATGCTCATTTTAAAATAAATGATAAATAAATTATAGAATCTGATGAAAGTAAATCAATAAAAAGTATTCTGAAAAAAGAGCCTAGATAAAAGAGTGAAACAAAATCTGTCCATTTTGCAAAAAATATGGCCATTAGTCAAATAAAAATAAAATCTAAATCATGTCATCACAAATAACATAAAAAGAAAAAGAAAATTTTAAATTAAATTCAAAGATATGAAAATTATTAATTTTGAATTAGTATTACTTTTTTTTGATTTGCTACTCCTTTTTTATCCTCAATTTTAGGACCAATTCCAAGAAATGTATCTCAAAATTTATAATATTCATATTCAATATTTGAAATATCATCAAAAACTTTATTCTTAAAAAAATTTAATAGAATATATAAAATTTCAAGTTATTTCATTTCCTTGTAACTTGAACTAAAATATCTTTTTTATTACATCATTTTCCTTATTATTTTTGAATTTTAAATCTTTTCTAAATGATATTATCTTTATTAATTTTTATTTACCTATACTACTTCATAGATCTAAATTTATATATTAGTCAGTTTATTCTTACCTTAAATTGTCAATTCTAATGCATTCATATAAAACAGATTTACATTATTAAAATATTTCATATTAACATTTTGGATAATTAATGTAGATACTTACAATTATTCATAGATCCTCTTCTATTAATTTCAATTAATTTTGTATTCTTATTTTATATTAGTAAAAATAAAAAATTATATAGCATATTTAGATTATTCTAATATTTACATAAGAGAGTGATATTATATAATATTTAGAAGAATTTATTGTAATAGTTTATTGTTTAATAATTTATTACTAAATTAATTTAATTTATCGTTAAATGTTTGTTTGTTGTGGTAAGAAGAAGAAGGATCGTAAACATTTATCCTTAGGAAATCTAAATTAGTTAAATTTAATATGTTAAGATGGTCTTTATTTTGATAAGAATCTTAAGATAATAACAGAATATAATAAAACTAATGTATATTAATTGGTTATATATAGGTAAGTGAAATAGGGAATAAAGAATGCAAGTATTACTGTCCAATCTGCTTCAAATATTATGATTGTATGGATAATAAATTAAATTAGGTATGTTACGATCAACTTGTTGTTCGAATTATGTTTGTCATATTTGTGCTGTTTAATCTTTAACAAATAAAATGTATAATTGTCATTATTGTCGGAATGAACATTGTAAATATGTGGATGTAGATCCAAATCAATAGTTAAAAATATATACAGATTCACACTATAAATTATGAAACACTTATAATAATTAATATAAATGAATCAGAACTAAAAATATTAATATGTTATGATATGTATCTAATGCATTAATCATTCATCAATGGATTTTGAGGCATAATTGATTTCACAATTATAGATTGTTTGTAAATCCTTATTATTAAGGGTATCAATAGAATTTAATTGTTGATAGAATCTTAAAATATAATAAATAGCTTTTACTAATCTTATTATTTTTAGTCCTTTATAGCAATCTTTCCTAATTATTTGAACTTATTTTAAAGGATTCCACTTAAATCACATTGTGTATTTCTAGCATGACCAGATGGGAACATAACAAATTGACTATCTAAATTCTTGCCATCCTTCAATAAGATTTAAACTCTTGTTGGAATACCTTCAGGATATTTATCATCATATTCTTTTCCTCCATGTTCAAATTCTGTTAAGGCCATAAGTTTCTAATAATATAAATTAATATTATATACTCTTGTATCCTTATTTCTAACAGCTGCATGACTATAATCATATGGTGAAAGGAAAAGAGCTTTCCAAATTGCATTCAAATCATTAGTACTAGATAAAAGTTAATGGAATGATTTCTCAGTGAATGCCTTTCTCAACATTGTACCTAAAATGTAAACCATAGAATGATCAGCTGATTATCTTGTATGTGGATCTCTTTTAGCTGGATCACCAATAATACCAAATGCTGGTTCATAAGCAGTAACTTTAATTTTATCAACAGAGTCAATTGAATAATTTTAAACAAATTTAGTATCCAAAATTAATTTTTATAATCCTTCCAAAGCACCAGCAGATTAATGTTCATACAATCCTAATTTGAAATGCATTCCCATAACTGCAAAATCATCTCCACTTAATGAGAGTGTAATATCAAATGGACTATCTCCTTTAGTCTTTTAGAATAATCTGAAAATAGCTTCTGGATTACGGAAGATATCAGCTGGACCAATAAATCCATTCATTGATCTCTACAAACATTTAATAGCAGCTTCAGTAGAAATAGCAGCAGATGCACCCTTTGAATCAGATAATTGATGTCCTGCTCTAATAGCTCTGAATGGAATGTAATGGGCTACAAACATACCAATTGCTGATTCAATTTAAGCTGGAGTAGCTCCCAATAATGCTCCATATGTGCAGATTGATGCAATTGCTCCATGAACAACATGATCTATATAATATTAATATTATCTATACCAATTTTGTATGTTTTTAATGAAAATACTTCAGCTAATCTTCCTCTGATTTCATCACTCAATACCATAGCCTTAAGTGCTGTCTTTCCATCAATAGTTGCATTTTATTAAGCAGCTGCAATAACAACTGGATAATAATCATTATGACCAAATTCACCTGCTCTTCTTAATGGACTACTAGCATCATATCCAAACACTGTGCCATTTGAATCCCATTCTCTTACAGCAGCAGAGTTGGCTACTATTGCATTTGTGGCTGGCACCCATAAATTGCTTCCAAAGACTTTTGCAAATCCAGGCTTTGGTTTTGATGCTGCCCCTGTTTTGGCTGCCAATGATTTGGCTTCTTAACTAATAGTTATATCAAGTATTCATACGCTAAAATAGTTGGAGCATTTGTTTTCAAAGCTAATGCACTAACACCACAGAATACTGAGTCTGTGTGGAAGAGTTTACATCTCTCAAGGACTTTTACACTTGGATTACCATTTTTCATGAATTCTATGGCATACTCTCCCAACTCTCTTGCTTGATTCTTGTTAGCTTTTAAGACAACTTGACTAAAGGCACGACTGATTGTTTGGGTTAACATAAATATCTTTTTTATTTTACTACATATTAAACTAACTCTCAATTAAAATAGCGCATCAATATGATGAAATTAAATATGACAATTATGCATTTTGACTAATATATTTACGTAATACACCATAATTAATTTTTATATTGAGCACTATCTAAAAAACTACTGTTCCTCATATCTCGATGTAAATAACAAATAATCGTATTTTCTCCATGAAAGTAGGACACATGAAATACTCTTTTATATTATAAGTCAAATTAAAAAAAGTGTATATTTTTTAATAATTAGACAATGCCAACTACATAAAATTCAAATGTTCTAACTCTAATAATTATGTTCATAGTTCTAGAATTCTTAATTCTCTGAATTAATAGAAGGTTTACAAAAGGAAATATAAGATTAAAGTATTTGTTAATTAAAATAAACACTTGATAATATCAATATAGCTCTTTTAATAAAGCCTAGATAATGTTCATCTTATATTGATCAAAAAAATAAGAACAATATCTATTATTATAATATAAATTTATTGTTATAAAAAAAGGAATTATTGTTAATGTAATTATTAACTTTATTAGAATTACCTTAAATATTAAAAGCCTTAACTTTTCTGATTTCTAAGTCTTGAGTATTGGTTTTAATTATTTTCAAAAATAGAATAATTAAATAGTTTTTATTTTTGATTGAAAAATACTTATTTATTTGTTTTATATAATTATATATATATATATATATAAATAGTCACTCTTTATGATAATCTATATGATTATGATCAAGACTTTAATAATAATTTGAATTCATAAAATAGTTTTATAATAATCAATAAAAATTATAGAAATGACATGCTTCTCCAAATAATTTAAAAAACTCTGTTGAAAATTTGATATATAAGTGAAGATGAGTATATTTGAATTTTTAGATGTGTTTAATAATCATTTGTATAAAATTAAAATTTTAATATTTTCCACTAAAATCTCATAAATATGTTGATTATGTGTATTCTGATTGAATTATATTCAAAAGGGTTAGCAAAAGAATTTTCAATTTATTAGAATGATGAATAAGTGTTAGATAGCTTTTCTTAATTTGGAATAATTTTGGGATCAAATATAACCTATGAAAGTCAAACAGATTAACCCTGCTACATAATAAATTAAAAATTAAAGAATAAACAGTCAGAAGAAATCATTCTAGTACCTTAATATAAGGAAGATGTCTTTAGTAATTTTTACAATGATGGATAATTGAATGGAGATATAAATTTTATAGTATAAATAGTACAAATTTAAACAGGTGCAATTGTATTAAGTAATGAAGGAGAGTTGATATATTTAAAATTAGTAGAGAATAAGTTTAAATTAACTGATTAAAAGAAGTTATCTATTAATACAGAATAATTTCTCAAACCTGTATATTTGTAATACATCTAAAAGACTAATGAATTATTGATATTATTGAATGGTGAGACAATAAAAATAAAAATTGAATTAGAAAGTGAATCAATTTTTGGTGAAATTATGAAGATATATGATGTATTTTTAACGGAATAAATTAAAAGTGTAGCATTTATAGAAGATTTATTATTTGTGGCATCTGGTGAATAAGGATTACATGTTTATTTAGTGAGTAAGAGAGTATTTGAATAGATATAATGTACAATAGAATTTAGTAACATCACAGATTTAAGAGTATTTTAGGAGAATTCAATTTATTTTATATTTGCACTTGATTATGAAAAAGGAATAAAAGTAATAACATTTAATGGTAAAACATCATTATTTTATGAAAATTAAAAATTAACCAATATTCCATTTAGAGGAGAGATAATAGATTTATATTAGAATGTATTAATGGTTGTTGAAGAGAAGGAAAATGAATCAATAATACATGAATTATAAATTTCATATGAAAATAATACATGGAAATTAATACATTAACATACAGCATAGAAATATATTCAAGATATTGAAATGACTGAAAATTATGCTATTATAATAGGTAGAAATGGACATGAAATAATCTATCATTCTTTACCTTCTTATGATATTAAAATTTAGGATAAGATAATTATACCTGGATTACAGAAACTCTTCTTTCTTAATAAAACAGAGTCTAATAATATTCAGATGTTTGGAATTACAAAACATAAATTCTTTACTACAAGATTATAATTATTTCCTCAATTTATTAGTTGTTTTTATAGCAAAGAAGAAAATGAGGTTAAATTTACTTATCATCAAAACTCAACTAAATGTCCTGGTTCATCTTAAAATAAGATATGCCATTTTAAATAAAATTATACAATATAATTTGTTCATCCTGTTCTTACTTCTGAATAATCAATCTATGTTTATATTGTAGGTCTAGTAATTGTAGCATTATTTGTAGTAATTTTAGGTTTATTGATTAAAGAATTTAAAAGGTATTAATTTTTTGTTAAACTTCATAATTCAAAAGATTTATACCATTAATAAAGTGGGAGTTAAGCACAACCTACTCATGATATTTATGCTTTAAACTCATTTGATAGTCCATTGAAAATTAATAAGCATACTTATATACCTTCCATTCCTGTATAAAATGACTAAAAGATTGAATGAAAATATAAAATTAAATAATTTTAATTGTATGCTCATAATTCTTTAACTTTTGGTTTATATAGTCTAATCTGAACTCATTTAGATTCTAACCAAACAAGAAGCAATCTTAGATGTCATTAGTACATCTGGAGTAATCTTAGAATAATAATTGACTGATTCTTAATTATGTCATATCGTTCCATAATAATTAGTGGCACATGATATAGATGATAATTCAATAACCTTAATTGATAGTTATAAAGATGAAATATTTAGTTAGAATTTTTAAATAGGATCTTTTATAGGGAAAATAGGAAAAATTATAAAATTTGTATAAATCACTAATGGTGTACTGGTCTTACAAGATGATGGTTACATAAAATATTTAAATTATCAAAATAACTCATTTCAATTGAAATCTACCTTTAAATTAGAAATAGAGAAATTTGCATTAGAAGGTAAAGTATTTTTGGAATATTTCTATTATCAATCATAAGTGTTATTAATAGCTAATACTTAAACTATAGCATTAGATTTAATTTATGATGAAGATGATCTGTACATAAAGTAATATAAAATTTATGAGTAATGGTAAATCTCACATATCAATAGCATTGCTACAGTTGGTAATATAATGATTGTGGCAATGGATACTGGTATAAAAATGTTTGAATTTAAAGATCATATGTTAAATGAAATATTGATAGAAATCAAATAAATTAATCGTATATCTGATATTAAGATATTTAATAAAAAGAATAATGAACTATATTACATTTATTTATTAGATAAAATTTAAGGACTTAATCAATATATATTTAATACAGTGACATAAGAACTTTAACATAACACTAAATTAGGTATTATTCCATATCCAGGAGAAATCCTAGATATATATAATGATATCTTAATGATAGTGAAGGATGAATATTTATATGAGATACATATAGATTATAATAAAAATTAATTTACACTTATTAAATAGCATTATTTAGAAACAGAAATAATTGATATAGAATTGACTGAATAATTTGTAATTGTAATTGGTAGAAATGGTCATTAAATAGTATTTCATTCAATTCCATCAACATATTCTTAATTTGAATGGATGAATCAATTAGTAATACCTAATTTAAAATAATTATCCATATTGTCATTACATTTAGATTCATAAAACTCAAAACAAAAATTAAAAACAACTTCCTCTCATAATATTATTATTGGAATTACATAACATAAATTCTTTTATTCAAAAATAGAATTGGTATATATTTTTAATATTTCAATTAGGAATAATCTTTTATATAATGCTACTCAGATGAAATCACTTCTGAAATTGAATTGAATTATTCACATAAGGCTACAAAATGTAAAACTAATTTGAAAAAGAAAGAATGTGATCTATTAAAAACTTATACAATCTAATTTGTAGATCCTAAAGAGTTTGGAGGTAATAAACAAACATATTTTTTAATTATATTGTTAAACTTAGCAATATTGTTACTATTTATTTTATTTATTGGATCTTTAATATATCTCTATAATAAATACCAAATTGAACCCTAAGGAAAATACGTTTAATAAATGCCTGAAGTAACATCATAAAATTGTAAAACTGATGATCATAGCAATTTTTAAGTTGCATAATCAAGCAAATTAGTTCCTAATTCTAGAGATGATCAAACACCAATCTCTGAATAGAGAGATTAAGTGAATTAATAACTTCGTAGTAATAGACCAGTAACACAAGAAAATGTTGATTAATCTCCTGGACCATTTGAAATCAGTTGAATTACAAAAATTATATTTTTCTATTTTTAGTATAATATTATATAATTCTAATTATATATATATATATATATTAATATTATATGTCAACCACGTTAAAAGCGTTAGGCGTAGAGGTCTTAAGTTTCACAAAATCTCGATAAGAAGAAGCAGTCCATACTCAATCTTCTTTAAGAATTACTCCGTTTCTTAAGATTGATTCCGAAACGTTTGATTGGAGTACTATCATTGCTAAGCCTGAACTTATTTCAATTAAAGTCAAAAAGCATGAATAATATATAAATGCAGAAACTATGGAGGAAGACTTATTATAAGGTGAAGTACAATGGCCAGTATAGTATTTCAAAATTATTCAAATTAGTATGCAGAAAACTCACTTTACCTGTTTTCTTCTACAAGTCCATTTAGATTAAGTTTGTTGTAGACATTGAGTTCTTAGAAATTAGTCATTTTTATGAGATTGATTACAATAATAAATGTAGCAGCAGTTTGTGCTTATGATTATTAATCCAGAATAGAATTAGAAGATTATGAAAGGAATAGGATTTGTACTACAATAGAGATAGTTTGCAATATATTATTTGGTTTAGAATGCTTGGGATAAATAATTGTTTAAGGATTTTTGTTAGGAAAGAATACTTATTTAAAGTCTGGGTGGAATATTGTTAATTTTGCAACATTTATTTCTACATGGGCTATTTTAGGTAATATTAATAGTAGTAATTAACTAATACATATCTTAAGAGTTATAAGAATATTTAGAGCTCTGAGATTAATTTAAGATTCAAAAATATTAAAAAAATAATTAGATGCTTTTATAGGTAGTTTTTAAAGACTAGGACCAATTTTAGTACCATTATTATTTGTTGTTTTATATTACAGCATAATTGGATTACATTTATTTATGGGAATTACAGAATATAGATGTAGAGAAACACCAGAACCTGAAGATGGTAAATGGATAGCTGTGGAAGATATTAAACATTTATGTGGAATATGGGATTGTCCAGAAGATACTTATTGTGGTTCTTTGGCTGATCATGGATTACCTAGAGATTTTTAAGAAAATAGATATGAATAATTTGGATTTGGATTTATAAGATTTGATGATTTCTTTTATTCATTATTTGTTGTATTCACTTTTCTTACTATTATTGGATGGTCAGGAACAACATTTATGTTTTGGAGAGCCATGACAACATATGTTACTGCATTTTATTTTGTTTCATTAATATTCATTTTGTATTATTATTTCATTATATTTAAGGGCTTATTTATTATCCAATTTATTATTAGCATCATTTTATGAATCATTTATGGTTTTAAGTTCAATTAAATAGAATAAGAATTCAGATAATGAACAAGAGGCTTTGGAGAATGAAATAATGAAGAAAAAATAACAATAAATGATGACTAGACTTTAATAATTGAATGATTAGAAAAATTAGAGAAGGATAAAAAAGAAAAAATATGAAATATCACTATATTATGAAGAAGAAGAATAAGAAAATGATATTTTGGGTGAAAAATTTAAGAAATTTTAACATTTCTCAAATATTATTGTAAAATCAAACCTTTTTAATTATTTAAGTTGTTCAATGATATTAATTTCTACAATTGTAATTATATCTGATCATCATTAAATATCAGATGAAATGTAAATAATATTATTATTTAATATTTAGTTATCAAAATTTATTGATTGTAGATTTCATTTGTATTATATATTTCATTGTAGAATTAATAATAACTATATGGGGAATAGGTATGGAATAATTTAAAGAAATAATTGATATTTTTGACTCTCTAGTCATATTATCATAATTTATTTTGATTATAGTACTATTTTTTATGGATGAAAATATTATTATTAATTACAATAATTATATCAACTTTGTAAAAGCTTTGAAAATGCTAAGATTGGTATATTCATTATTTTTATATTAATAGATGAAATTTCTATATATTGCAAGAATCTTTTATTCAATTTGTGTTTTGGCTCGTTGTTTAGTGTAAACATTATTAAAAATTAAAGATTTAATATTCCTTTTTATATTTTTAATCATAATTACTTCACTATTTGGATAAGAGTTATTAGCTTATAAAGTAAGATTTGAAGAATTACCTAATGGAGAATTAGAGATATCTCATTCATAAGAAGGCATATCTGCTCCTATTAATTATGAGGGATTTGGAAATGCTTTGATGGCTGCTACAAATGTTTTTTATAATGAGGAATGGCATATAACAATGTTCATACATGCTTAAAAAATATGGGTATCTATATTATATCATATCATTACTATATTAATGGGTTAAGTATTGTTTGTAAGACTCTTTTTAGCAGTTTTTTTAAATGAATTTTGTTAACAATTAAAAAAGATTGAATAAGAAATAAAACCAATAAATTTTATATTACAAGGTAAAAAAGCATTAAATTTTATTATTTAATTAATTAAAAAAAGAAGAAGATCTAAAATACATTCTTAAGCTCAATTACAATAATAGAATAATCCATAATCTAGATAATCAGCTAAAAGTCCATCTAGAATTTCAATGTTTCATAATTTAAATGGAATAAAATTATAAAGATTACCAGAAAGTACTAATAATGAATTATTAGATCAAAAAGTTTAGACTCCTTCAAATATATTTTGTATTATATCATATTTTCATTTTTAGCAAATAAAGAAAGTATGATAGATCCATTAAAAAAAGAAGTATAAAAAAATATAAATAATAAAAATATTTATGAAGATGATCATATATAAGATCATAATATAGATGAACATTAAAATGAAGAAGATATGGATCATGATTCAAGTTAAGATGAGAATTTGAAATCACCAGATGATCCATCTCATCCAGTTTAATCTAAAAATTTAAATAAAAGTATTCGAAAATCTATGAGAAAGAGTAATTCTGAAAAAACACTATTTATTTTTGCTCCTGAATCAGATTTTAGATAATTAGTAACTACTTTAGTAACTAATATTTATTTTAGAATATTTAATTTTACATTAATTCTTTTAACTTGTATTAGAATTGCATTATTGAATCCTTTAGAAGATCCAAAATCTGATCTTTCTTATGTTTTGTAAATTGGCTATATCTTTTTAACAGTATTTTACATATTGGTAATCTTGTTGAATTGTATAGCTTTTGGATTATACAAAACTGAATAATCCTTCTTTAGATAATCAGTCTATAATATATTTTCATTTGCTATCACTATAGTTGATTTAATAACTTTGATCTTTGATATTACACACCCATTAAGTAAATTCATTACTTCTCTTAGAATTCTATAATTTATTTAGATAGGAGCTGTATTTTCTAAGAATATAGCATATGCATAAGCATCATTATTAAATGCATTCACTTAAATGATTTAATTAGCAATATTTTGCATAATAATATTGTCAATCTATGGAGTATTTGCACTTAAAATATTGAAAGGAACAATGTATTATTGTGATATAGATGATAATAAGTTTAAGGAATTTATTTAAACATCAACTGATTGTTTTGATTATGGTGGATCATGGATAAATTAGATATTGACATTTGATACTATATTTTCAAGTATATTAACTTTATTTTGTGTTGCAACATCTGAGAATTGGATACCACTTTAAATTTAAGCTTGGAATTCAGTAGGAATTAATAGATAACCAATATCAAGCAATAATAGATTATTTTCAGTTTATTTTTAGATATTCTTTTTTTTAGGTTTTTTATGTTTATTAAATATGTTTATTGGATTAATTGTTAATGCTTATTAAGAGGCTAAGATGAAAGCATAAAATTTACATTTATTAGATGAAACATAGAGAGAATGGTTTTAGATAAAAATGTAAATTTATACAATGAAACCATTGGTGAAATCAAAGAAACCAGAGAATTCATTAAGAAAACTTTTATTTTTTATGGTTAAATAAAAATATTTTAAGATATTTTGGTTAATAATTATATTTAGTAATACAATAATTTTGGCAATTCATTTTTAAAGAGCTGATGAAAATTATAAATATGGTTTAGATATTGTTAATGATATATTTGTATCAATATTTGCTTTTGAAATCTTGTGTAGATTTTTTGCAAAAGAAAAACATTTATATTTTAAAGATATATCTAATATTGTTGATATAATAGCAATATGGTGGGCAATTGCAAATCTATTTATTAAAAATAAGGATGATTATAATTTCTATTTTAAAAGAATATCAAATGCTATATCTGTGGCATATTAATTATAAAGAAATTATAGAATAGTAAAAAGATTTAATAATTTGGAAAAACTATTTTCATCTATATTTTCAGTAATTCCAAATGCTTTATCGATGTTGTTTATAATGTTTATATTTCTATTCATATACACAACTTTGGGAATTGATATGTTTGCATTTATTCGTACATAAACAAGTTTAAATGGATGGGATTAACATTTTCGTAAATTCTCAACTGCAATGTTTGCATTGATTAAAGTAGCTAGTTCAGAAAGTTGGTGGACAATTATGATTGATACTCTACATGAATAATCACCAAATTATGCTTGCAATTATATGTCAACATATGAAGAATACTTAATATATGGATTTAATGGTTGTGGTACTCCATATGCTTATTTATATTTTATATCATTCCACATAATTTTCTCATTAATGATTTTAAATCTTCTTATAGCATCTGTATTAGTAGCTTATGAAGAACATGTTAAAAGTGAAGAATCAGCTGTAAGTAAATATTAATTAAATGATGTGCTTTCATTATGGAGAAATTATGATCCTGAAGGCAAAGGATTTATAAATTATAAAGATTTTTGGAAATTATCATCAGAAATAGCAATAATATTTGGAGTAGCTTAAGATGATTTATTAGATGTTAATAATAAGAAGAACTTTTTAAAAGTTTTAAATATTCCAATTTATGAATCTAAAGAATCTAATATGTTATGTTACAAATTTCATGATGTAATATTATCATTAACTAAGATTTCAGTCACTCTTAAATATGGAGTAACAAAGTAATTATTTTTATGTATTATTATAATAGTCTTGAACCAACTGATAAGATAATATAATAAAAGTTATTAGTTTAATTAGGTGATTTATAACGTAAAGATTTTATGAATTAATTTACTCCTACAAGTTTTAATAGTGGTGATATGGTTGCCATTATTTATATTCAAAAGAAATTTAGATTATGGAAGAAGAGAGTATAGGTATTAAGAGAAGGAGGAGATGTTAAAGCTATTTATAATGAAATGTCAGATCTTAAGAATATGATTAAGAAATAGCTTGAACTTGAAGAATAATAGGAAAAATAAAATTGAATTTATTAATTTTTTATTGTTTTTTATAACAAATTTTAATTGAATGGCTGAAGACATCGATTAGAAATTACTTTAAAGATTTGAAATAATACAAAAAATTAGAAAGGTTTCTGGAGGTGTCATTTGGAAAGCTATAGATAGAAAAACTAATAGTGTATTTGAATTCATTAAAATATTGTTAGTTGCTATTAAAAAGATTGATTATTCAGCTAATCCTTTACATCTTTTAAAATCAATGAGAGAAACAGTCATACTTTAAGAAATTTCAAAACATCCAAATATTATGAAAGTGTTATAAGTCATAAATAAAGGAAATGATCAATATACTATTTATGACTTTGTAGATATGGATTTGATTTCATTAATTAAAGTCAAGATACTCTAACCAGTATATTATTATTATATTCTTATAGAAACACATTCAAATAATATTATGCAATATTGTAACTGCTCTTTATTTTATACATTCTGGAGGATTAGTTCATCTAAGTTTAACACCATCTAAAATATTAGTTGATTCTGAATGTCAGATTAAATTAATAGGTTTTGGATTCTCTTAATTATTACCAGTTAAAGATCCAAAATATACATGTCTACATTATCTTCCACCAGAGATCTTATTATAAGGGAAAGTTAACACATCTGCTGATATATGGTCATTAGGTTGTATATTTGGAGAGATGTTGTGTCATCATCCATTATTTGTAGGCAATTCAACATTTAATCAAATTGAAAAAATAGTTGAACTTATTGGAAAACCTAATGATACTAATTTAAGTGAATTAGCACCTTATGTCTTATAAGGCATTTAACCAGATAGAAAAAAAGCATTTACAAGTATTAGTGATGATTCTACTGCAATTGATTTATTAAAGAGAATGCTTGTTTTTGTACCTCATGAAAGAATCACTTTAATTGATATTTTAAAACATCCTTATCTAAGTGAATTTGCAAATAAATGTGAATTAAAGAAAGCAATTGCTCCATTTTAGATTGAAGAGAATTCTTTTAAAGAATTTTAGAATATCTTAAGAGAAAGAGGAAAGAAAATTGAATAACCTTCTATTAATAATTCTTATAATTAATAATTAGATACTAGTAGAAAGAAATCATTTAGAGAATCCACTCCAATATCTGCTTTGAAATAAAAGACAGCAACTAAAATCAAAGTTAATTCTCCTATCCAAAGTCCTAAAATTTAGAAATTATATTAAATTGATGAGAAATAGAGATGAAAACTAGTTATATACATTTACATTTATTAAATGCAATTTATATATTGTACTTATATTATATAATATCAATCTGTATGTTAAGATCCCTTTGTGGCACCAACACCTGGCTTTCCGTGTCTTGTTGGTTTATATGTCAATGAAAATTCACCCAAATATCTAATTTTATGTTTTTGCATTTCTATATTACCTGCCAATCATGTCAAACTTAATTTCTACATTGCTGAATTATCTACCATTATATACACCTACGATTGATCCAACCATTTCTGGAACAACTATTGTATTTCTTTAATGAGTCTTAACTGGTTTTGGTTTCTCTCCTGGTAATGTCTCCTTCTTGGATTTACGAATCTAAATAAATTAATTTTTATTCTCTACTTTCTTCATTAAGTTTTAGAAAGCATGCACCTTCTCTCCTTAATTAGAAATTCTTCTTCTTTGTCTTGCTCTGAATTATTCAACCAATTTATCCATGGGTAATTTAACAAGCTCTTCAAGTTATAAGCCTCTGTAGGTGAACTTTTTAACACCTTTGAATTATTTATCTTATGTTTATTCAGCCATTATTTGAAAAATGAAAATTAAAGATTTTAATATAATCTAAAATAAATAATTATAAATAAAATCCATAATCATAAATAATAATAACAATTCATCATATATTAATTTAAATCAATATCTTTTTAGTATTTTATATTATGAATTTACTCAATTCTATAAATTGTTATTTCAATTATATATATAAAAATAATTGGAAATTTTATTTATTGAGTTTATACTTTATAAAATTTCATTATAATAGACTTTTCAGAAAAAAATAAAATAATATAATTCAAATTGTAGAATGAATTTTAATCAAATATATTTATATAAAGATCAATAACAATAATTAATTTTTATCTTTACATTATTCCAAATATACAAATCATAAAGGTTAATTTTTAATCAAAAATTAAAAATAATTAAGGGATTGTATATAATAATATTATATTAGGAGACTGAATTACAATAGATTTATTATGAATTTACAAATATGTGATATATGACAGAACGGGTTCTTCGATAAAATATTCAAGATGAAAGAAAATCAAATGAAATATTATAATAACAATAAATATGGGAAGTAAGTGTTGTAAAAGTGATTCTTATCGTGCAGAAATGCTTAGTGAAATTAAAAATTTTAATTTTAATGATCCTAAATAAGAATTTCCACTTGAATAAAGAGTTATAAGAGAACTAATGCTAGACACAAAAACAGTATACTAATTGTAAATATGTTTGAAAAAATTTTTACTTGAGAATGCATTTTTAATAAAGGAAGAGAAAATTTAAGTACAAGATAAGGGAATAACTTCAAGAATATCAGCACCACCATTATTAGATTAAGTTTGGCAATCATCAATTTTATATTCATAAAATTATATTGCAATTTGTAAAATGCTTGTAGGATGTATTATTGATAGAGATTACAATTAACAAAATATACATTAGAATATTCTTAAAAAGATGTTACCTGAATATGATGATAAAATGTATTAAATAGAATCTGAATTTATAATTTGGATAAATTCACATGAATTAGAATAAGTAATGATGGATATCCACAATTTTATAGTAAATGAAGAAACTTTATCATTTGAATTGATATTGAATTTAATGATGTAGATGAAATTGTCATTATGTAAAAAAGAAACAAATAAGTTTTAAATAAAGTAAATATAAGATAAGAATATTGAAATTGTATTCAAGAAGATACAGCAATTAATACCTAATGAATTAGAATTGATAATAATGCATAAATATTGTTTAAGTCAACAATTAGCTAAACAATATATTTATGAATATTGCCATTTTATGACAATCTTAAAATACTCTCAAGCTATTTTGGTTCCTAGTGAAGAAGTAGATTAAGTTTGGCACACTCATTAATGTATGACAAAATAATATCGCTAGTTTTGCTATGCAATCTATGAAAGATTTATTTATCATAATCCTACTAAATTAGGAAATTAAATTGTAGTTTAAGATTTCTATTCACAAACACTTATATTTTACAAAAGAATTTTTTAATATGAACCTGATTCTTAAATTTGGCCTTGTAAAGAAGATAGATGGAATCCTTAAAATTGTTTAGGATCATGGGTTAATCTTTACAGATTATCAATGAGTATTATCCAATTAATTTAAGATAAGTTGTAACCAAATTCTAAGAATATTCTCTAAAAATATTAAACTTGGAAGGGAACAAATGTTTTTAGAGATTAAACTTAAATTCATGTTGAAAAATCAATAGAAATGACACAAAGTGCTTTGTAAAATTTAAATTATGAAGTTGGTTGTTATAGTTTATCTGAATTAGAAGATGATAGATTTTCATCAAATCAAAAGAGAAATGATTTGTTTTTTAACGATGATGTCATCATGAACTCTATTTAGTGATATATGATCTATTGTTTATAATTAATTTATATTTCTAATGGAAAAAGCTTTTCTAACAATAGGCCTTGTTTTGCTACTAAGCACTCTTTACAATTTGAATAATTCTCCTTCTGTAGATTTGAAACAGAAGTATAATGAATATAAATTGATCTTCAATAAATAATATACTGCTGCAGAAGATTAATATAGATTTTAAGTTTATATGTAGACCTTAGAATAAATTGCTCTTTAGAATGCTAAATTGGGTAGATAAGTATATGGTGAAACATAATTTGCTGATATAACTGATGAAGAATTCAGAGAACAATATTTGACATTAAAATATTCCCCAGAAGATTATGCAAATGAACCAAGAGAATCATTCTCACATATAACAGCTGATCCTAAAGAAATTGATTGGAGATAATCTGGAGCAGTTACACCAGTCAAGAATTAACTTAAATGTGGATCATGTTGGACATTTAGTACAACAGGTGTTTTAGAAGGATTTTTCAAAGTTACTACAGGTGAATTACCATCANGATGCCTCGTGATTTAGAATTGATAATAATGCATAAATATTGTTTAAGTCAATAATTAGCTAAACAATATATTTATGAATATTGCCATTTTATGACAATGTTGAAATACTCTCAAACTGTATTAGTTCCTAGTGAAGAGGTTGATTAAGTTTGGCACACTCATTAATGTATGACAAAATAATATCGCTAGTTTTGCTATGCAATCTATGAAAGATTTATTTATCATAATCCTGCTAATTTAGGAAATTAAACTGTAGTTTAAGATTTCTATTCACAAACACTTATATTTTATAAAAGAATTTTTAAATATGAACCAGATTCTTAAATATGGCCTTGTAAAGAGGAAAGATGGAATCCTTAAAACTGTTTAGGATCATGGGTTAATCTTTATAGATTATCAATGAGTATTATCCAATTAATATAAGAAAAGCTTCAACCTACTTCTAAAAATATTCTCTAAAAATATTAAACTTGGAAAGGTACAAATGTTTTTAGAGATCAAACTTAAATTTAGGTTGAAAAATCAACAGAAATGACTTAGAGTGCTTTATAATATTAAAATTATGAAGTTGGTTGCTATAGTTTATCTGAATTAGAAGAAGATAGATTTTCATAAAATCAGAAGAGAAATGAGTTATTTTTTGACGATGATGTCATCATCAACTCTATTTAGTGATATATGATCTATTGTTGATAATTAATTTATATTTCTTATGGAAAAAGCTTTTCTGACATTAGGTATTGCTTTCCTGATAGGCACTCTTTACAATTTGAATTATTCTCCTTCTGTTGATTTAAAGTAGAAGTATAATGATTATAAAATGACTTACAATAAATAATACACTGCTGCAGAAGATTAATATAGATTTTAAGTTTATCTGTAAACTTTAGAATAAATTGCTCTTTAAAATGCTAAATTGGGTAGATAAGTATATGGTGAAACCTAATTTGCTGATATAACTGATGAAGAATTTAGAGAACAATATTTGACATTAAAATATTCCCCATAAGATTATGCAAATGAACCAAGAGAATCATTTTCACATATAACAGCTGATCCTAAAGAAATTGATTGGAGATAATCTGGAGCAGTTACACCAGTCAAAAATTAACTTAAATGTGGATCATGTTGGACATTTAGTACAACAGGTGTTTTAGAAGGATTTTTCAAAGTTACTACAGGTGAATTACCATCTTTATCTGAATAATAATTGATAGATTGTTCAACTACAGTTGATTTAAACTTTGGTTGTAATGGTGGTATGCCATAAAGAGCATTAAATTTTGTAAAGAGAAATGGTTTGACAACAGAAGAAGGATATCCATATGTAATTTATAATTTATATCATTATAGTAAGGAGTATAAGGTGCTGAATGTTTAGTAAAAGGTGGAGCATATAAAGTTAAAGGATCAAAAGTATTAGAAATATCAGAATGGGCATTGTATCAAGCATTATAAGTTTAACCAGTTTCTATTGGTGTTGATGCAGGAACATGGAAAAATTATAAGCCTGCTGATAGAGAAGTTTTTAATTATGATGAATGTGGAGATAATTTAAATCATGCAGTTTTAGCTGTTGGTTTTACTCCAACTGCAACAATTGTAAAGAATTCATGGGCTAATACATGGGGTTCTTCAGGTTACATTTATCTTGAAAGAGGTAAAAATACTTGTGGACTTTGGAATACCATGGTTGTTCCTATTTGATTAATATTATATAATAATCATTAAAGTCCAATAGGTTATTATCTATGAAATGTTTATATAAACCTATTTATATTAATAATTATATAAAATGAATCAGATTAATCCAGATTAAATCTTAACATCAGAAGAGATCAAAGCAGCCAAGGATGCCTTTGAAGCATACGATAAAATGGGTTATGGTACATTGGAAGTTGAAGAATTATAAAAAATACTTGNAAATGCTAAATTGGGTAGATAAGTATATGGTGAAACCTAATTTGCTGATATAACTGATGAAGAATTTAGAGAACAATATTTGACATTAAAATATTCCCCATAAGATTATGCAAATGAACCAAGAGAATCATTTTCACATATAACAGCTGATCCTAAAGAAATTGATTGGAGATAATCTGGAGCAGTTACACCAGTCAAAAATTAACTTAAATGTGGATCATGTTGGACATTTAGTACAACAGGTGTTTTAGAAGGATTTTTCAAAGTTACTACAGGTGAATTACCATCTTTATCTGAATAATAATTGATAGATTGTTCAACTACAGTTGATTTAAACTTTGGTTGTAATGGTGGTATGCCATAAAGAGCATTAAATTTTGTAAAGAGAAATGGTTTGACAACAGAAGAAGGATATCCATATGTAATTTATAATTTATATCATTATAGTAAGGAGTATAAGGTGCTGAATGTTTAGTAAAAGGTGGAGCATATAAAGTTAAAGGATCAAAAGTATTAGAAATATCAGAATGGGCATTGTATCAAGCATTATAAGTTTAACCAGTTTCTATTGGTGTTGATGCAGGAACATGGAAAAATTATAAGCCTGCTGATAGAGAAGTTTTTAATTATGATGAATGTGGAGATAATTTAAATCATGCAGTTTTAGCTGTTGGTTTTACTCCAACTGCAACAATTGTAAAGAATTCATGGGCTAATACATGGGGTTCTTCAGGTTACATTTATCTTGAAAGAGGTAAAAATACTTGTGGACTTTGGAATACCATGGTTGTTCCTATTTGATTAATATTATATAATAATCATTAAAGTCCAATAGGTTATTATCTATGAAATGTTTATATAAACCTATTTATATTAATAATTATATAAAATGAATCAGATTAATCCAGATTAAATCTTAACATCAGAAGAGATCAAAGCAGCCAAGGATGCCTTTGAAGCATACGATAAAATGGGTTATGGTACATTGGAAGTTGAAGAATTATAAAAAATACTTGAAGAATTTGGACATAAGCCAAGTAAAGAGGAGTTATAATAAATGATTATTTAAGTTGATGTGAAGAATAAAGGATTTATAGGTAAAAATTAAAAAGTATGATTGAGACTTTGAGGATTTCAAGAGAGCAATAGCTATCTATAAGATTATTGAAGAAGATAATGAAGAAGATGATACATGTAAGTTAAGAATTATATTATATTAGTGGATGCTTTTGTTGCTATGGGAGGTAATGCAGATAAAAGTGGAACTGTGGATGCAACAAAATTAATATAAGTAAGGATAATAATAATAATAATTTAGATAATAAAATCTGATTTTAAGATGACAATTGATATTGAAGTAAAGATGCATAAATATCTACTTAGAGATTGATAAATGAAATGGATCGTGACAAGTCAGGTTAGATATCATATTAAGAATTTAAAAATCTACTCTCTGATTGAAAGATGAAGAATAATATTATATATATTGACAATTTATATGAGATTTGACTTATATATTTTCTAGATAATTGTATTTAAGATATAATTATTTGTTTGTTAATTTAACGATGTCAAAGTGGTTAGATATGGGTTTAACTTGTACACAAATTAGTTTCAAGACACAACAATCTGCTTCATGTATTTTAACATTTATCAATATAAGATTGTCCAATGAATTGTGTCTTTGAACTTGATGGACATAAATTGTATTTAGGAAATATCAATGCTGCAAATGACCCTTCATATCTTAGAAAACATGATGTTGGTGCTGTATTATCTGTCATTGACACTAGTGATATCAAATTAGAAAAGTCAGTTATTCATCTAGTAATTATATTCATTATTATTTTAGTGGATCGCAGCAGAGGATTGCGAAAAAGTTTAATTAATAAGATATTTTGATTAGGCCTCTAATTTTATATAAGACAATCTTAAACACACTAATATATTAGTTCATTGTTATGCTGGCATCTCAAGATCAAGTTCATTGATTATTGCCTACCTACTAAAATATTAAGGTTATTCATTAAAGGAAGCATTAAATAAATTGAAATGTTAGAGACCTTAAGTTGATCCAAATGATGGATTTTTGGAACAATTAAAATAATATGAAGAGAAAATTAAATAAAGCAAGACACGTCCAAATTCTAGTCTAAATAAAAGTGAAAGCAAATTTTTAAGTTTGAATTCAAGTGTTGAAAAATAGAATTAGATTCCAAAAGGTCGATAGAGCATTTCAAACTTCAATATTTATAGTAATCTTAATTCTTAGGTTACCAAAACTAATATTAGAAATCTTTAATTAACTACTATTACAGTTCCCAAAACTAAATCAAGCTTTTTAGAAAAAAGTTGTAGTCCTACTAATATCAACACATAAAATAACTAAGGAAAGACATTCTTTTCGAATTCGAAACTTGAAGATCCTTGGAAATAATACTAAAAAATAAAAAATTAAGAAACCGTATGGAATAAATCAATTTTAGGAATGAAAAATATTTATAACAATCACAGTAGATAACATTCTTTGAACCAATGAAAATTGATTATTTTCGTAAATAAGAGTTTACTAAATATAAATTAATAATATAATTATTTTTTATCCTTATTCTAACTGTATTATATTTATAATTGAGAGCTATTATTTCCACATTTCTAAAGCAACTTTAGCAAATAGAATTAAGAAATAACTTTCTAATTTACTTATTGATATTAGATTTTAGATAAGTAATTATTTGAAAATCTATTTTAATATTTGTAGAAACTTGTAATTATTGAAGAAAAGAAAAGGATGTCTAATCTCGAAATAAGTATGTCAAAAGGATTTTTTAATTTTTTAATTTCTGATCATGAATTATAAAAAGAAACTCTTTAGATTATAGATAATGATTTTAAGTCTAAATTCATCCAATATTATACATATAGATTAATAAATTATTGTCAAATATGAATCATTCGGTAATTTAAGTTAGCAATTAATATTATTGATTGGCTGTTATAGCAAAACATAACTAATAAAATATATCAATTTATTTTTATATCCTTAATTATTTTAAAAATTTTTTTTATTTTAGATTAAAAAAATAGGTGCTAAAATGTTAATTTGTAGGTATTTGATATATTTATTGAAAAATTATTTCTATTCATTTATTTAGATTATTCTATTTTTAGATATTTCTAAATATTTTAGTCAAAGGAATGAATTTGTCTTTAATTTTAATAAAAATAATAGATCTATATTTTCTGTCAATTCTCTTATAAGACTAATTTAATGTTTACTCCTTTCTCATTTCGTTATTCATTTATTTCTTTATTTTAAAATAATTTATTTAATTGGTGAAAGAACTTGATATTTAAATTCTCATTTTTTCTTAATTTACAGTCATTACTTTATATAAAAATCTAAAATTTTGATAGATATAAACAATTTAAGAGTATCTATAATGCTTCTATTTATTGAATTATATATATTTTTGGAAGTTTATTTAATTGTAATAGCTTCTATTTCAGAGTGGATTTGCTTTTTCAGCATTTCAAACTCACAATTCAATTAATTTAATCGCCTTGTTTTATTTATAATCATCACATTTCTAATTAAATTTTAGCCACTCAAAATTATATTGATAAAAATGAGTTTGTTACTTCTTTCATTAGATTAGAGAATAAGAATTATATAAAATAATTGAACACTCTATTTATCGGTAATGATTATTCAAATTATATATTTTGAGAATTTTAAATGATCTAAAAAATGTGATATAGTATATAATTGAGTTGATAAAAATACTATTCTCAATAATAATTAATATGGTTGTCTCATTCTGATTTATTATCTTCAGTCATGATGTTGAAATTTATGATCAAGAAAATATTTCCATTGTAGTAATTCATCTGTTATTTCTTAAACACTACTCTTTCTTAACTTTCTTTTATTTTTAGACTTGTTTAAGTCAGCTGTTTGCCTAGACTCTGTGATTTTTGTTATTTTAATTGGACTAATCTCTTCTTCAGCTGGACTATTGTCACCACTCAAAATAAATTTGTTTATGGCTTTAGATGGAAATACTTGCATTTTAAAATAATATTCCAATAGTAATTATAGCAATTAATATGAATAACTTAAATCTAGTTATTCATTTGAATAAAATAATGAGAAATAAATCAAAATTATAAAAATGATTTTAGAAATTAAAAACCCAAACAAATTATTTTAATATAATATATTGTAATAATTCATTTTAATTCTCTTTAGAAAAATAATTAAATTAATTTTAATTATGTTTGCCTTATATTCCTGGTCAGCTTTTAAATTCAGCTTGGAATAAGATCCAATATTAGAAGATTGATAAATTCATTAAATATTTGTTACCTACATTAACAAAGCCAGATTGTCGAGCAGCATATTATAATATAAATCAGCATAACAATTTGTTTTTTTATATGATTATTGTATTTTACAGAATATAAATGCTGCTTTTATAACATAATTTTTGAACTATTTGGTTATATTTGTTAGAGAATGAAATGATTATCAAAATGAGATTCTCAAAAATCTGAGTTTTAAGCGACATAACTTAATCAATAAACACTGCCAAAAAATCAATACTTGATCTATGTAATTTCATTAATAAATAACTTTAGAAACTCAATCTTGAGTATTAATCATAACTATGATTAGATCTCATTATATTCATATTCTTAATTATTTCAATCTAAGTAAATCAAAATAAATTAAAAATTCACTCAATAATTAAAGCTTCTGTTGAATCATGACATAAAAATAAATATTTCAATAATGAATATAATAATTTTACTAAATTTTTAAATTAAACTTTAATATTATTATTAATCTTTTATTTAATCAGACAGGTGGCTTTATACCTGAAACAGACTATCTAACAGTTGAACCCGAAGTTTTCACAACTGATTTGGTGACTGTTGTGGATGAAGTCACGATCTAAATAAAAATAATAATGAAATACCTTCTGTTTCTTTAATGCTTCTAATTCTATTTCTGCATTCATTAATTTCTCTTGAGTTTCACTATAATCATGATTAATTTCTTAAAATTTTCTCTTCCATACCTCTGCTTCATTATTGACTTCAGTAATTCTTTAAGTCACTGTTTCACTTTGAGTCTGATGTATTAATAATCTCAATCTTTCATTTTCCTATTCTAATTCATAAACCTATACAATGTAAAAATTTTTAATACTCTAGTATTATCCATTTCCTTCACAACTTCAACAGTCTTTTTCTTTTCCAATTCAGCAATCAATGATTATAAATATAACACTTCATCTCTCCATGGAGCTTCAATCTCTTCTCTTGATACTACTCCCAATCTTACAACAGCCTATTATTAAGGTGGACAGCAATTTTAAGCATTTGATCCACACTATATATTAGAGGCACAACCTCCTAATTGTATTGATTATCCAGGATTGAATGAAGTTTACATTTGATAATGTGTAGATAGCACTTTACTTTAGTATGAATTTTGTTTGCCTTTTTTATGCCAAAATTAATAAGCCTCTGGTCTTTCTGATTTCAAATAGGTTGTGGTCTAGATTGAATTAACGAAATTTACATATTGAGTTTAAGGAAGAGTAACCTACTTTCTTTCTTAAACAGTGGATTCTTAACGAATTGTTGTGAAATTACTCATATCTTAAATATATAATTCTATAATTAATTATGGATAAAGTAGAATCAGATTGTGTACTCTGTATAGAAAAAGTAGACATAATTGCATTAGGTCATTGTAATCATAAGACATTTTGTTATTAATGCATGATTAAAATGAGAGTAATAAGCAAAATAAAAATGTGTCCTATTTGCAAATAATAATTAGATAAGATAATTCTCACCGACAATCTTAATGCTTAATATAAAGATTATCAAATAAATAAACTTATTCCAATTGCATATTCAGTATAATATTATTATATATGACTTCTTTAGATGGAAGCAAAGGATGTCTTTTATACTGATTCTGAAGATATTAAATCTAAAGTAGAAAGTCTCAATTAATTCAAATGTCCATTTTAAGAATGCTAAATTGAATAGTAGATTAATAATTACAATCAATTAAGAAATCATCTAAAAGATTAACATCAACGATATTTTTGGTATCTGTAAATTTCATAATTATTAGTGAAGTTTGTATAGAATAAAAGACTTGCTTTCTTGTAGAATAGTAAGTTTATACAGAATAGTAATATCGTCATCATTTATAATATGGAGATTATGATGAGGATAGTAATCTCATCTTTAAACATCCTTATTGTAAATATTGCAAGAAAAACTTTTATGATGAAGATAAATTCAAATAACATTTGAACATAGTCCATATTAATTGTAATATGTGTGAGAATAGTAAGTTTATATTTTACAAGGATCATGGAAGTTATGAAAAGCATTTGAGACTATCTCATTTTTGTTGCGAAGAGATAGAATGTAAATAAATGTTAGTTGTATTTAAAACTTCAGGAGAATTAGATTTACATAGAAATTAAGTTCATTGTCATGATCAAAGAATTAAAAAATTTAATCATCATAATCTTCAATAATTTGCTGGATTTTATGATAATAAAAAATAAATGAAATAATATAATGATAATGAAGGATTGGATTTTAGTGATTAATTTCCATCACTTAGATAAACTAATTTAAGAGCTGTTGTACATATTGATTAACATAATGATGAAAAAATTGATTTTAGAGACTTTTTATATGTTGATTATAATGATGAAATTGATAAATAATCTGATCATAGTGAAAAACTTCATTATTAATAAAATATTTAATTAGAAGATATAAGAATAGTAAAACCATCATCAATCCCTAGTATTAATTTTGATTATTTTTTGAGAAAATGTTCATTCTTTTTTAAAAATCAAAAAGGAAAAGAGGATTAAATTAGAAAAATGATAAGCATGTTTGAATAAGATAGATTTAATGCTGAAAAATTTGTTAGTGATTTTATTAAAATGTTTGAATTAAAAACAGGATTAAGATTGATAACTTTTTATATGGCTATGAGAGATGTTAAAGAAAATAAAAATAAATGGAAAATTCTTGATGATGCATATTTTAAAGAATTATAAAAATTACCAAGAAGATATAATTCTATTATTATGAATTGTAACACTTATTCAGAATTGTTTTTAAAATTATTAGATGAATTGAACAAAAATTTAGTTTAAAGAATTGAAACAGGAGAACTTAAAAATTATGCTGATACAATAATGCCAAAAGAAAGAATCTTTTAATTTATTGAAGTACTCAGACATGTAAGAACCTAAGAGATGGGTAAGTTTAAATTTGCATTAAATTTTGGTTTATTATAATAAGTATTAGAACACATTAAATAACACATATTATTAGATGATCTATCAAACATTTAATGTAATTTATAAATATATAATTAGAACATATATCAAAAATTACCAATCGTGATTTAGTTCCTTTTTATTTGTATGTAAATTTAAGTTCAAAGATATTAAAAGGGGAATAAATACACAAAGAATAGAAGGATGTTAATGAATGCGTTTATATGGAATTTTTCTAAAAAAACGATTAATTATTTAAACTAATTTCAAAACCTGATAAAGTTGAATAAACTAAATAATTATGCTGTTAGAAATAACCAAAATAATAAAATGGTTTAGAATTGGATACATATGATTTTCCAACTTTACGTAATTTTTTAGTAAAAATTGAATAGCAAAAACACAGAAAAAAGAATAGACTTTAGTTGATCAATTTTAAGTAAAAATTGTTGATCCTTAAAAATAATAATAGTAAGAAAAGAAAAAAAAATAAAATAATTAAACTAAAAAAGGAAAATGGGAAGAAAGTGAATCTGCAATATTTTAAAATTAAACTATTGAAGATGAATAATTTCCAACTATTTCATCCCAACCAAGTATTTATTTAAAGTATAATTAGGTTAAATATAACCGAAACAAGTAAATAAAGTGTTAGGAACATTTGTTGAGGATGATAGTTTTATTCCACTTACTACTTACTAACCTATTAGAATTATTGAAGGAACAGAATGGGATACAAATCCAATAGTACCAGTATTTAAATTTTATTAATTAATTATAGAAAAAAAACTAATAAATGAAAGAAGTTGCAAAGATAAAGAAGAAGAATAAGACAATCGTATAAATATCTGGTGGGTTTTGTTGATCTATAAAAACTTTTAATTTGCTGATAATTTAATATCATTATGATAACTCATTTTGTTAGATTGACTTTTAATATTTCTGCTACTTTTTAAATGAATTCTAAGGTATTCAAATATTAATCTCTTGGAACACTAAAAGATAAATATATTATTATACTTCATTGTATTATGAACACAAATGGCTAAATCCTTAGTCATAAATCCTTTTTCTACTGCTTCTATGATACTTGCTTCAAGAGTATTGCAAAATCTTTCTAATTCTTTATTATTATCTAATTTGGCTCTATGTAATAATCCTCTTGTCCAAGCATAAATACTAGCAATTGAATTAGTTGATGTTTCTTTGCCTTATTAATGTAATCTATAATGTCTTGTAACAGTTCCATGTGCAGCTTCAGCTTCAACACATCCATCTGGACTAACTAATACACTAGTCATCAAACCAAGTGATCCAAAACCTTATGCCAAAGTATCAGATTAAACATCTCCATCATAATTTTTACAAGCCCAAACAAATCCACCTTCACTCTTTATCATATATGCTACCATATCATCAATTAATCTATGTTCATACCAAATCTTCTTAGCATCAAAATCAGGTTTATATTTAGTATCATATAAATGTTAAAAGATATCTTTGAATCTACCATCATAAACTTTAAGAATGGTATTTTTGGTTGATAAATACAAGGGATATCCTAATTCAATTGCATGTTAGAAACAAGCATGAGCAAATGCTGTTATTGATTCATCTGTATTATACATAGCCATAGCAACACCTCCTGTACCTTAGAAATCAAACACTTCAACTCTTTAAGGTTCACTTCCATCTTTTGGTGTAAATAACACTTCAAACTTTCCTTCCTTCTAAAAACGAAGATCTGTAGCTTTATATTAATCACCAAATGCATGACGACCAATAACTATTGGCTTAGTCCATCCTGGAACAAGTCTAGGAATATTCTTAATCAAAATAGGTTCTCTAAACACTGTTCCATTTAAGATGTTTCTAATAGTACCATTTGGAGATTTCCACATATATTTCAAATTGAATTCCTTCACTCTTGCCTCATCTGGAGTACTAAGATAATTGATATATTTTAATACATTGTAGCACATTTGATTCCAACTTTACATTCTTGAATTGCCTTAGCACATTCAATAGTCACCTTGTCATCGGTCTTGTCTCTATTTTCCATTCCCAAATCATAATATTTTATTGGAACATCCAAAAAGGGTGTGATTAGATNTATTATGAACACAAATGGCTAAATCCTTAGTCATAAATCCTTTTTCTACTGCTTCTATGATACTTGCTTCAAGAGTATTGCAAAATCTTTCTAATTCTTTATTATTATCTAATTTGGCTCTATGTAATAATCCTCTTGTCCAAGCATAAATACTAGCAATTGAATTAGTTGATGTTTCTTTGCCTTATTAATGTAATCTATAATGTCTTGTAACAGTTCCATGTGCAGCTTCAGCTTCAACACATCCATCTGGACTAACTAATACACTAGTCATCAAACCAAGTGATCCAAAACCTTATGCCAAAGTATCAGATTAAACATCTCCATCATAATTTTTACAAGCCCAAACAAATCCACCTTCACTCTTTATCATATATGCTACCATATCATCAATTAATCTATGTTCATACCAAATCTTCTTAGCATCAAAATCAGGTTTATATTTAGTATCATATAAATGTTAAAAGATATCTTTGAATCTACCATCATAAACTTTAAGAATGGTATTTTTGGTTGATAAATACAAGGGATATCCTAATTCAATTGCATGTTAGAAACAAGCATGAGCAAATGCTGTTATTGATTCATCTGTATTATACATAGCCATAGCAACACCTCCTGTTCCTTAAAAATCAAACACTTCAACTCTTTAAGGTTCACTTCCATCTTTTGGTGTAAATAACACTTCAAACTTTCCTTCCTTCTAAAAACGAAGATCTGTAGCTTTATATTAATCACCAAATGCATGACGACCAATAACTATTGGCTTAGTCCATCCTGGAACAAGTCTAGGAATATTCTTAATCAAAATAGGTTCTCTAAACACTGTTCCATTTAAGATGTTTCTAATAGTACCATTTGGAGATTTCCACATATATTTCAAATTGAATTCCTTCACTCTTGCCTCATCTGGAGTACTAAGATAATTGATATATTTTAATACATTGTAGCACATTTGATTCCAACTTTACATTCTTGAATTGCCTTAGCACATTCAATAGTCACCTTGTCATCGGTCTTGTCTCTATTTTCCATTCCCAAATCATAATATTTTATTGGAACATCCAAAAAGGGTGTGATTAGATATTCTTTAATCCAAGCCCAAATAACCTTTTATATTAATTTATATTTACTCTAGTCATTTCATCTCCATCCATCTCTACAACTGGATTATCAACCTTAATTTTTGCGTCCATTACTTATAATTTTAATATTATGATGCAAAATATGATGAGACTTTATGAATGACGATTATAAAATTGTTTAATAAGATATTTTTGATTAAATTATATATATATATATATATATGAATTTTATATTTAAATACAATTACATTCTAATGAAATTGATTATCTCAAATAATAAAACTATACATTCCAAATCCAAATGATTATATTTCATATTTAATAAAATTCTTATAAGTTTATCATTTATTAAAATAAAATATATGCAGCTGATGAATTAATTATACATCTTTCACTAATAAATTAATTGATTCACTATTTTCCATTTAAATATAGAATATATATCATTATTCAATATTAAATTAATCCATTTAATAGGATAATAATAAATATGTTTTATTTTCTGTTTTAATAGAATAAATAAAAAAGTATTAAAGGAATCTTGAAGAATCAATTAAAAATCTAATATTAGAATTTTATTTTTATATTGCTTAGTATTATTATTAAGAATTTATTTCATAATTTTAACGAATTATAAAATTAAGTTAATGTTAAATTCAAAATTTACTATGAAAAGAGAACCATTAAAAGAAAGGTTTCTTTAAATAACAAACAAACTAAATAATCTTGATATCAAATAAGGGACAAGTAAGGCTCATCGAATTGATAAGCTAAATGAGAGAAGCTATAAAATTGATGAAAGAATTAGAACAATCAAAGAGAATTACAATAAATAAGTTTTATAGTTAAAAGAATAAGTCTAAGAGCTCACTGATTAAATTGATTAGGAAAGACAAGAATTCAAATTATAGCATAATTAATATTCTCAAAAATTATCAAATTTGGAAAAGTTATCATATAAACAATTATAAATTGAATAAAGTGAACGGGCAGATGGAATCAATTAATTGTAATCCTACATAAATGAAAAGGTATTTTAATTAAAAATATATTTAGATAACTTTCATTAAATCAGATTTAACAATTGAATCAAAATTAAGAGAAGAATAAATTGATGAAATCTAAAGAGGGTTAGAGAATCATTTACCTAAAATTAATTAATAAATCAAAAGTGAAACAGAAGATAGAGAATTATTTGATAAATAAATTTTGAAAAAAAGTGGTGTTGAAATGAGTAAATTATCCAATTAGTTAAATGATATTACAAGATAAACATTAGAATAAGAAAATGAAATAATTGGAATGTTATAAGATTTAATTATAAGAACTAAAGGTGATTTAAAATAATTGTCTGAAGAAAGATAGGAAAAAGAAGAAGAAATAGTTAATTTAATTGAAAAAACTTGTGATAGAATGGTTTAAGCATCATTAATTTGATTATTAAATTTAAATTAAGAATTTCAATAATTATCATCAATTCATTTTTTATGAGATTAAATTTATGAGATTTTTCTATAATCATATTTTTGTTTTCATTAAATAATCCTTATTACAAATATATTTGTAAATAAACAACTTATTTATTTTAACTAAATAAATAAATCATCTTATAATTTTTAACAATTTATTTAGTTAAAGTAAAATAGACATATCATGTAAAATATTATTAAGTAGAGATTTAATTACAAAAATATATGTGTATTATAATATAATATATTAGTGGATTATGGGTATTAAAATACTTTAATTAATTAAGTTTTTAAAAAGAAAGAGAGAGAATCTTAGATAATAAAGATTGAATTTGCTCAAGTCACAGAAATAATAGGATTAAATTAATTTGTTCAAAATGGAAATTAATTTTCTTCAAGTAAATGAAATAAATTATCATCTTCATTATATCCAATTTTAACTATTAAATCATGGAATATCTTCTTCAATACTTAAATTTAATATTAATCAACAACAATTTCTTAATTATGACCGTGTTTGACCAAATGAAGAATAATATACAAGGCATACAATCCACTATAATCATAATTTAAACTGTAACCAAAACTATTAGTATCATTCACAACTCCAAATTGATAACTAAATCTCCCTAATTCTTCTCTAGGCTTTTTTAATTTAATTTCAAACTCATATTATAAAAATGAGATGATATTTTTCATATACGGATTCTTTTCTGGATTTATATATTATGGATCCTTGATTCTTAATGATAGTGAGGATAGTAAATAACAATAACATGTCTTTCTTTTAAGATTGATAAATACTACTGAATATTCAGTAGGATATTCAACTATAGGCACAACTAACCAATCGAAAATATCAAATATTGTTTCATCTTACCCTGTATATTCAAAAGTGAATTAATTAGCCTCAAAATAATTAATTCTAAATGTTGAATGGATTAAATTAAAGCATAATGTTTAATAAAATTACGTAGGAAATAATTTAATACTAGTATTATAGTGATGAAAAACATTATTATTTTTACGTTGATGCATTGATTTTTCCTCAAAAAATTTAAGCAAAAAATTAAAGATTAAATTGTTTACTTTACCATCTTTATAAAATTGTTACATCATAGGAACTTCAATTTTCATTCCATATCTTTTTGCAGCTATATTACTTTTTTGAAAAAATTCTGAAGTGTGTCTTCTTATGGTTGGAAGAGTAGTTGATTAATTTTTTAAAGTGCTTTCATCTTTTGATTTTGGAAATTCATAATCTACATTTGGAGTACTTATATCCATTTATTCCATTTATTTTAATAAATAATCCTATCTTTTTAAAAGAGTATTTTAAAGAGATTCTTCATTTTCTTCTCCTTAAATCATTTCATTAATCATTCTTAGAATTGATTGATCATCATGTAATATAGTACTATAATTTTATAAGTTAGAATTATAAATAGCACTTTAATTAATTGTGCTCTTATTCTATACAGTATCTAACACTTCATCTATTGTCATTTTTTTTCTTTATTCTAAAAATTATTTTATTTTTCCATTAATTCTAAAAACTTCTTGTAACTTTTAAATTTCAACTTCTTTATCAACTTCATCATTAATTAATTCATGATAATATTCAGTCAATTCTTCTTAAATTTTGGCTAATCTATCTTAATTGTCCATAGATGGTTATGGATTATCTATTGATTTTTTCTTTTTATTAAAAAGATCTGAAAATTCTTCTTCATCATATTCTTCACTTCTCTATGTTTCAATAATTGGTTCTTATTTATGAAGAGCAGAACTATTTTTAGTTGTACCTACTTTAGTTCCAGATTACAAAACAGTCTTTTTCCCAGTAAATGTTCTAGATGCTGGTTTTGCCAATTAAATTGAAGTCTCACTTGTTTAGGATTTAGGTGATTGATCAGATTATGGTTTGCTTTTGCTAAATAAAGATGATTTTTTTGAAATTGGTTCTTATTATTCAGACTTTTAATCTGAAGCAACTGATTTAGACGGAGAATTCATAGGTGATTATTAAGTTGCAGTTTATTATCTATTTCTAAATGAACTTACAAATGTTTTTTTTTATTATGGAGTTTATTCTTCAATATTTTTATTTGATTTCTATTGAGGTGTATCATTATTAGTATTTGTGTTATTTCTAAATCTACCAAATCTGTTACCTCCTGCTTAAGATGGAGTATTTTAAACTTCACTTTATTAAGTTTATGCTTGAGGAGTTTATGCTATTTGTGGAATAGTTATTTTCTTTTTTGAGGCTATTTATATTGATTTTTAACTTGAAACAGCAGTTTACTACATTCTAATTAAAGCCCAAATCAATTTTGGTCTCAATTATCGTTTCTCTGAAAAACCAAATTTAATTTTATCAGGTTAAATCCCTTAGGTATATTACCAAAGCCAATTTAAAATATATTCAGTGCCATCTGTGCTATCTGTATAACTTTAGAATATATAATTTGGTGCTGGATTATTGTATGTTACTAAAGATGATATCAATTTATCAAAGGAATTTTTCAATTCATCTTTAGTGACATTTTTATTTTATAAATCTACAATATCTAAAGTCTTTTAAATCATATGATAAATTGCAAATACCCATCTAGTATTTTTAATATATTATAAAATGATTAATCTTTAATTTTCTGTACCTTATCTTCTCCTTGGTTTAAAGATTACTTCAAATTCTTCACATATTTCATCTCCATTTGCTACTACAAAAAAAGGAATAAGAGGTGTTTTACTCTGTAAATCAAAATAATACAAATATGATAACCAAAAGGCTATCATGTGAGGTTTTGATTTTCCAGATTTTTATAATAATTCAAAATCAGCCGATTATACTTCAATTCCTGTCCAATATCCAGTTAGAAATGGCTCTAGATTAGCCATCTAATATTATTTAATCTCATTTTCATTCCATTATGTTAAAGCTGGTAATGCAGGATAATCAACATGTTATGACTTTTCACCTCTGAAAAATAACCATAATAATTGACTTTTCAATTTTACTTTATCATTTGGCTATAGTTTTACAAATGATTACCCTTTTACTATTGTTTAATACAGATAATTTATAATGTACATTCCTCCATCAGTTGTTTTATCTTCTTAAAATATAAAATTGATTGTCTTAAATGAGACTTTAGCCAATCCTGTTTTTTTTAATAACTGTTCATATGCTTTTTTTAAATCATCCTTTGTCTTATTTTTCTATAGATCCACAATATCTAAAATAGTTGTTTTTAAATTATAAATTCCAGTCACCCATCTGTCATTCCAATAGAATATTAGAATGTAACTAATAGGATCTCCCTTTTGCTGATTTTTTCTTAATAAAGGATTCAATTATTCTACAAGATCTAACATTTATCTTTAATAGGCTAAGTAATATTAATGAACTGTTTTAGAACGCTTTTAAAGGTAATTGATAAAGTAGATCATACTTTTAAAATTCATTTTTCCATCATTGTTCAATTTCAACACATCATCATAAGTAATGTGAACACCCAACACTAAATCATCAATGAACATAATTTCATCTGGTGCTGTCGTCAATTATTGGGCTGATTCTGAAAAATTTTCATATAAATCATTGAATTCCTCATCTTCAAATTCACTTAAAGAAATATTCATTTAAAATTATAAAAATCATAATGCAATAGTCTCTGTTATCCAAAATTCGCATAATACAATTTAAAGATTTCTAAAAATGAAACCAATAAAAACTTTAGAAGTATTACAGATATGTAATGGTTATCAAGTTCATATTGAATTTTCAATTAAAATTACATCAAAAATATATATAGATCAGTTTTAAATACTTTATTCATTCTAATTCATAATGAGCTGAGTAAATATTCATCATTGTGATAAATTATAGAAATTTTCATTTTTACTATTACAATAATAATTTAAATAATTATGGGTTTTGAGAACAATCTTTATAAATTCTTGGCTTGTATAAAATTATATCATCTCTATTTATTGTCTTAAAAATTAAAGTTATTTTAATAGGTTGTATTTTGATGATATTTTTTATTTAGATAATTTGTAACACTAAAATTTATTGATGGTTCATAAGCACATTAAAAGAAAAATCATTATGAATTTGTATGTAATATAATAAATTATATTTAGAGTAATGAAAAAAATATGATTGTAAGAATAATTACATATTTTTATCACTGAAATTAATTAAGATTATTAATATTTATGGGCTTTCTTAATAATTACATGTATAAATGTGAGTATTTTTAGATTTTGTTTATTTAATAAAAATATTGTAATGATATCTGAATTTGATTTTAACTATTATCCACTCCAATTATACGATTTACAGATTCCATTAACTTCATAAATATAATGTGAAAATTTCAATGAGAATGAAGCTTCAGCAAGAAAGTTAAGGGTTAGCTCCTAATGTTTAATTTAAAAAAAGTATGAGATATTGTTCTAAACTTCTAGAAAAATAAGGCGTAAGCAAAAAAGACCTTCATTATTAAAAATTGATGAAACCGCGAGAGATGTAAAAATTTACAGTTTGGGTCCTAGCTAAACTAATTTAGAGTGTACAAATGATGACTAAAAATAAATTAACGACTGAGAACCATTACTAAAATTGAAATATCATTGATCTTGATTAATTTATATATTATATTATACTTTATAGATTGGGATCACTTATATAAGATTTGATAATAAAATATTACAAAATGAACTTAATATATAAATATTATTACACAAAAATGAATTAATAAAACATTATCGAATTCTTTCCAAACTTATTGGAACAGTTTTAATCCATCCTTCTCAATTTATACAGAAATGAAACCTTACAAAAATATCATAGCATCATTCAATAAATTAAAACAAAATTTCCATTGCCAGAATAAATGCCATAATTTATCTATCCAAATGTTGAATAACTATCAGAATTCTTTCTTCAAAGCTATTAACCAATCATTTTAGATTTAGCTACTCTCTATTAAAAGCCTAATGTGAAAATCAAGTTATACAAAAATGCTGTTTATTTTGGAGAAATATATCAAGAAATGAGACAAGGATAAGGAGTTCTTATAAAAGAGAACAATTAAATTTATGAAGGGTATTTTGCAAATGATAAAAAAGATGGAATTGGCTTTGAAATATTAAAAGGAGATACATTTTATCATGGTCATTACGTTTAAGGATTTCCTCATGGAGAAGGTGTTTATAAATCTATTTCTCATTCATATATTGGTTAATGGCAACATGGAAAGAAAGTAATTAATTTTATTATATAATAAGAGTGGAATTGGATGGTGTGTAGGAAATAAAAATGATTATTTTTTAGGGAGTTGGGAGAATGGAAAGTTTTATGGATTTGGATTACACATTCATGATACAATGTATGATTTTTATATTTTAAAATATATAGTTATTTTGGTGAAGTAATTAATGATTTAAAATATGGTTACGGTGAAGAATACTTTCCTGAAGGTGATATCTATAAAGGATAATATAAGAATGGACTACCAAATGGTAAGGGTAAATATATATGGAAGAATGGAAATTCATATTAAGGTGATTTTCAAAATGGTTTGAGATGGGGAGAAGGATTTTGGGAGTAAAAGACTGATAAAGGTAGTCAATTCTATAAAGGCTAATATGTTAATGATAAAAAAAATGGTCATGGCCATTTTCATTATTCTAATGGAACCGAGTATATAGGTGAATTTAATGATGATCAAAGACATGGATTTGGAGAAATTATTTGGCCAGAAAAAGCTACTTATAAAGGGTATTGGAAATAAGGCTTAATGGAAGGAGAAGGAATATATTCTTATGAAAATAATAAATTTTAAGGTATTTGGAAATAAAATTAATTGATATCTTAAGAGAAAGTTCGAGTCTCTCTCAATCAATTTCCTTTGCTAAATTAATTAAAAGATATTGTAGAAGATGAAGAAATTTAATCTCAGATTGCTGAAGAACCTGATCATGAAAAAATAGGTGATATTTTTAAAAAGATCACTCTCTAAAGCAAGACGAGTTTATGCATTTCAGATACTTCAAAATTACCTTAGCTTACATCAATTTAAAAATAATCAGAAATATTTATTTATGGATAAGCCAGTTCATATCCAACATAAAGAACTAATTAAACTTCTTCGATTGGTATCTAAACTGAAATTAATTCAAATAAAAAAAAATTAATTACTGAATTACCATATATTTAGACAAAGAGAAAACATGTTTTATCAAGTTATAGAATGGATAGTAAAACTAAGATCACTAAAAAGAATTTGAGTGAATCTGTTACAAATACTAACTCTCCTAATACTAGAGAAAGTGAATTTAAAAATAATATTATTCATTAATCTTAAGAAAAAAAATCACGTAAAGTAAAATAACGATTATCCTTACTTACAAAAGTTGAAGAAAAAGTTTTAAAAATAAGACTTGAGAAATAAAAATTAAGCCCTTATAAATTTGAAAAATTATGGAGTAAAAAAGTACATCAAGATTCCTTATTATATTAGGTTGTTAATTAAGCTAGATCTTTGATATATCCACCTGTATGGGTTCCTCCTTCTTTACATCCATAAATATGTAGAAAGTTTTGAGAACAATAATTGATTGTTTTTTGTAAATAATTTTCCTAATATAATTTAAAACAATAATAATAATTAATTCATTAATTTGGATCATTAATGTTGAGTTGACGATGATCTGAATTATTAATCTAATAATAATAAATTTATATTATTTACTGTTACTATGCAAAAGTTGATTGTTATATTATTGCATTTAGATATTATCACCATTACCATTATAAATTGGAATGGATGCATGATCTTTAAGTAACAAACTTTCATTATGATGATTCTTTGGCCACAATATACCATCACCAACTGGTCGACCTCCTTCCATTTAAATTGGTAGGAACCATGACAATTTACTCATTCCAAATACTTGTACCCAATTGTAATATGGCTTCAAATCATATTAATTAAAATCATCAGTTTATTATCCTGTCTCTTCATTTCTTTTCTTTTCTAAGTTTTCTATTGTTGTTCTATTACTTAATACCAATTATAAATGAAATTTAAAAAACATTGTTATTAAACATGATGCTAAGCAACTGATTCCAAATGCGCATAATAATAAAAGTCCATCAATAAAATGCAGATCTCCTTCTGAATTAAGGTAAAGCATAATATTTTCAAATTCCACATATATACCATACCCTAATCCAATTACAGCACAATAAGAATCAAGAATAACATAAAATAACATTTGCATAAAAAACTTTCTATTTTAGAATCCAACACAATTATTTATCCAAGGACAATGATGATCCATATTTAACACACATCGATTACATGCTGAACAATGCTAATTATTTTTTATCAAAGTATTATACATGACATCTTTCAGGTTTGAAAATGTGGCAAATTAAACAAAATTTTCTTTTTTTTTATTCAGGATCATTCAAGAAAAATCCCCAATTTTATGGAACTCTTCCAGGGTCTGTAAACATGGTTTTAAATAAGCTCCAACCTAATAAAGTTGTTAATATTGTAAATATCAACAAATAAGGAATTCTATAATTTGAACCTATTTTGAAAAATGAAATTGTTATTTACTTCCAATCAAATCAATCCAAACTACTTTAACATTAACTATGTAGACAAACACTATAGAAAAACAAATGAAGTAAATGAAAAATTTATTAAGGTACTTCTTTATCATTCTTTGATATAAATAATAATATCAATTCAAATTATATAAATTTCATACAAGCATTATATATTTTTTCACTCTTTAATTTGCTTTGGATAACAAATATCCAATAATCTTTTAATTTGTTTCGTCTAATTATTTTTATATATTTTTTCGTATATTTATGTTATTTAATAGATATAATATTAAAATTTCATTAATGAATTATAAAGTTGAATCAGCTGATGAATACTTAAGAAGAAATAGAATAATGGAATTATTCGAAGATCTTTGTACTAAAGCCAGCTACATTTAACCTGAGAATTTGGAAGAGTTTTTTGTTGAAGACTTAAGGATCAAATAAAAATAAGGGTATCAATATTAGTATAACGATTGGTTAGATTCATGACTCCAATCTTTACAAAGGCAGAAGTTTAAAATATTTTTGAATTATTTGATTTAAAACGTGATGGATATATTACATAAGAGAATTGCAGAAAGGCGCTATTAACAATTGCATCATCCCAAAAATAATAAGAAATTATTGAAGCCACTTAAGTATATAATAAAGTTTATTTTCTATAGGTAATTGATGAAAAAGTAGATATTAATAGATTTTAGAGATTGGTTGAATAATTTTTAGGATGAATACTCTAACACATTATTAAATTATGATAATATAAATCTATAAATTAGGAAATTATATTAATAATAATATAAATATATATTACTCATCTCTTAGTAATGAATAATACATAAAATGTATTTTATTGTTGAAAAATGACTTTCAAATATAATAAAAAACTATAGTATTTAAAAAAACTATATAATTTATAAGTTTTAATTTAATAGGTGTATATATAGTTTTTCTTTGAAAGCATTCAAGAATTTTTAAATAATGGAAAAATATAGATAATTCTTAAAAGAATTAGAATTGTCTGCTTAAAATGAATATTAGCATTCAGATGTAAATTTATATTAGTTATGTGAAATTAATCAAAAATCAGTTTAAAAATTTTAATTAGAAGATAATGGTACAATAAAATAAAAAATTTAAGGTAAATTTGTTAATCTTTTGATTAATCCATAAATGGGTCAAATTAAATTTTGAATGATAATTCTAGATAGGTATAAAATACTAAAAATGATATTTAAAGCTCTTTTATAACTATTTTATACTTAGTAATAAACTAAGAAACTCATCTTAGTATTAGAGTAATAGATCAAAATAAAGAGACAAATAACTCAATCCGAATTAAGTTTGTCTCATAATAAATCTAATTCAATTTTTTAATAAATCAACCTTATAATGGTTAAATAAGATTTGATGTGAATGTTAAAATTGTATGGATTCCATAAATATTACTAATAATATTTTATAAATATAAATTGACCTATTTTAATCTTGATAAATTTAAGCAACATATTTTAATAGATTTCTATTTTTTAACTAAATTTTGTGCTCATTTTGAATTTTGATTATAAATTAAAACTTATAATTAATTTATATTGTAAATGTAATTTCTTAATCCCAAAAAGTAAAAATTTTAGTAAATACAGAAATAAGAGTTCAATTTTCAGCTACTTGATGAAAATAGAGTGTTTATGACAGGAACATTTACTGCTTTCACTGATAATGTGAAATAGTACATAAAAGTAATCCACTTCATTATCAGCATAGTAAAACGATGGAAGTTTTTAAAATTTAGATGGAGAGAAAGGTTGGATAATTCCAATAGGTAATTATTAGAATTTGATAACTAATGTAAAAACAATGAATAATATTAGCTAAAATCAGAATAGTCAGAAGTCGTAATAAAATAATTGCCGCAATTATTGTAAAAACTATAAAATCTGAATATGAAAGAAATAAAGTATTTTGAGAATGGTTAATTGGTTACCTTAAAGTATGATAATTAGATACGTTATGAATAACTTGATAAAACTCTAGATGAAACATTATATTAATATCAAAGAGATTGCGTTAAATAAGGATTAAAATTTAATGGTAGAATTTTGATAGCAGATGATATGGGTGTTGGTAAGACAGTGTAATCTTTGGCTCTTGCAAGTATGTATAAATAAAATTGGCCTCTATTAATCATGTGTCCATCACCATTGAGATTAAATTGGTAGGATGAAATCATACATTGGTTAAAACTCCATAAAACAGACATCCAATTAATTAATTGTGGTCGAGAAGGTATAAGAATGAATGCAAAAATAGTAGTTGTTTCATATGATATTTGTGCTAAAATAAAAGATGTAAATATTCAAATAACACTTAGAATTTAATGAGTAGAAAGTTTTAAATTTGTATAGCTGATGAATGCCATTATTTAAAGAGTCCTTCAGCAATAAGAAGTCAAGTATGTGTACCAATTTTGAGATAATGTATGTAGACAATTCTATTAACTGGTACACCTGCATTATCTAAACCAAAAGACTTATTTAATCTATTGAATATAATTAGACCTGATATTTTTGGTAATTTCAAGGAATTTGGATATAGATATTGCGATCCAAAATTGAGTAGGTTCACAAAAGGAATAGATTTTGATGGAGCATCAAATTTAAAAGAATTGCACTTTTTATTAAGAAATTATATCATGATTAGAAGATTAAAGAAAGATGTTTTGAGTTAATTACCTGAAAAAAGAAGGGTTAAAGTTAGAATTCCAGGAGAAACAAGTTAAGTTAAATAAATTGGTGCTCTATTAAATTAATTGGGGAATATTGATATTCAATAACTTATTAATAAAGATGCAATCTTTTAGGAATCAAAAGATTAAAGTGAATAATTGCTCACAATTAATTCAATTTTATAGAAATGCTATATGCTAACAGGTTAAGCAAAAATAAAGGCTATAAAGGATTATATAAGTACATTGTTTGAGAATGAAATTAAATTTTTATTCTTTGCACATCATTAAGATGTATTGGATGCTGTTTAAGAGTATTGTATTCAAAATGAAATCTAATATATGAGAATTGATGGTAATGTAGGAGTTGAATAGAGACATTTGAATGTACAAATGTTTTAAAATAATGATGAAATTAGAATAGCTATTTTGAGTGTTACATCTGCAAATTATGGAATTACTTTGACAGCAGCCTCAACAATAGTATTTGGTGAAATGCATTGGACTCCTGCTATCATGATGTAAGCAGAAGATAGAGCACATAGAATTGGTTAAGTTTAATGTGTTGATTGTCATTATCTGATAGGTGATGGAACACTTGATGATCATATTTTCAATAAAATTGAAAATAAAATGAACACTGTCTCAAATTTTATTGATGGATAAAATTAAAATTTAGGAGCATTAGAATTTTCAGCTGACGAAGTTTTGGTCAAAGGAACATCAAAACCCACCTTGATTTCAGATAAAGGTTAATCAGTTTTACAAGAGGGATATGTACAACCCTCAATCTAGTCTTTAACAGAAGATGATATAGAAGAAATCTATTAACTATTAGAATCTAGATCAAAAGAAAAATAAGAATAGTAAGAGGCTGAATCTTAATTAAAATTAAATTAAAAAAAAAAATAGGTTGAACTTTCCAGCTAAGTCAAAAATTAATGTTCTACATTAAAATAATAATTATTGGATAAATTTTTGACTAGCAATAAAATTAAAAAAGAAGTCATTGAAGATAACAAAGAATTTAATAAAATTCAAAAGGTTATAGAAGAAAACAAATAATTGACTTATGGAAAACTACCTCAGAAATTGAGTTATGAGTACTTATAAAGTAGATTAAATGGAGATAGCAAATCAACTGAATCAGGATAAAAGAAACTTCTACTTAAACTCACGAAGTAATAGCCAAGTCTTAACAGCCAAGAAGATGTTATTGATTAATAAGTTAACTGATTTATTATTATTTATTATTTTTTGTTTTATAAATTAATTTGGTTACATAATCAACAGTAAAATTTATCATCCTTTTATCAACAATATAAGAGAATTTATTGCTGCAAAAGATCCAACAATTATTCCAATTATCATCAAACAACAATAAGTTGTCCTTTATCTTACTGGTTAACTATCGTAGAAGTTCTTTTTGTAAATTACCAATGGGAAATAGAATTATAGAGCACTTCCAGAAAATCCACCTACTAGAGATAAAAATACAGCAAATTAAGGAATAAACATAGCGATTAAGCTTAAGAGAACCACTTAAACCATTCTTATTATTATTCTTTTTCTATTTGCTGAATCTTAGCTTTTATATATCTAAAAATATTGATCCAATTATTACATAAGAATTAACTTTTTCATTTCCTTCCAAAATTTGAAATGCGGGCAACAATTAAACTGGGAATGAGAGTAATAATCCAATTGCATAGCTTATTTATACAACAGCCATAAAAGGATTATCTTACAAATTAAACAATACAATTTGATTGATATCTATTCCATACCCAAATCCACACACCAAAGAAAATATAATAAATAACAAAACAACAGCAATTGTAGTTAATTACAACAATCTTTAAAATTTCTCCTTCTTTTACATTGAAGATTGAATGTTTAGTAACACTCCAACAGCTTCAAATGAATATATAGAGACTCCTATCATTGTAGATAATCCTGAAAAGTCAATCAAATGGTATTTTTTAGGATAACTCTCATTAATGATGGCTTGTATAGCTGAAACAATTATCATTACCAACGGAAATACTATTAGTCCATTTGCTATTGCACTTACTTTTGTAAACACTGCCATATTTTATATTAGTGTCATAGGGAGTAAAATTAAAAGGGCTATTAATAAGTAATATAATTAATGCTGAAATGTTGAGGTATCATTACCATAGAAAGCGATTTCGAAAAACTCCATAAAAAAAATAACATAACTTATACAACATCCCCATTACATACTTCCAACAATTAATTTACTAAAAGATCTATATCTTGCACCCAAAGTTATTTCTATAAATTTTGAATAATCCATTAACTGATTAGGTTGTCTATATTTATCAGCCATCATGATGAAGTTCACTTACTAATAATTTATGAGCAAACTTAGAAGCACAAAAACTATTGTAGATAGAACATAACCTCCTTTGGCAAAGCTGTAAGGCAATGCAAGTATTCCTGAACCCACAAATGTTTTAAAAAGAGTTAAAGTTGCTCCTTTGTAAGATGATTGCTTTTTTGGTGCCACTTTTTATTATTGAATCTAATCAAGAGTTATTGGTTTATATTCCAAATTGATTTCAATTTATGGAGCAGGCCCTAATTATTTCTCATCAAGGATATTATTAGATCCGAATTCATTGGATCCTATATTTTAAGATTAAATCCCTGCATTATATTATTTCTCGTCAAGCATAGTATTTATTTTAATAATTATATATTAAAGAGTTTGTTAACTTATTTTATCTTAATTCCAGATAATAAGTCATTAAAGATTTATTAATATTCTATTAATTTCAACCATAAATTAATTTTTATAACAATCAGTTCTAACTGTTAAGATAGTGCAGATATTATTCATATCTTAATGGTGATTCTCTCTCATTTTTTCTATCTTATCATCTTTAATATAAATAATTCTGTGAGCGTAGCATTCAAAATCAGGATTATGAGTAACAATAACCATAGTGCAAGGAATGTGATTAGATTCATCATAGCCAAAATTATTTAGTTTCAATAATGTATCCATGTCCTCCACAGTTGATTTTGAATCTTAATCTCCTTTAGGTTTATCAAATAATAAAATTTAAGGTGAATTTGCTAAAGATCTAGCTATAGCTACTCTGTACTATTCATCACCAGATAATTATGTTATAACGGTAAATGATCCATTCTGTCCTGTAAACTAACACTTTTTAGCAGTTGTCTAACTCTTTTTTTTTTATTTCTCTGACTTTATTTTATTAAGAATGGATTACTGATTTGGCTAGAACTCATAGGTAACTCAACATTTTCATACTCTGTCATTGTGGCTATTAAATTAAATTTTTAGAATACAAATCCAATAGTTGTTAACCTAAGTTCACTCAAATATGAATCTTTTGGAAACTTCTTAACTTCCTTTCCTAATAATCCTATTTTATTGTTTATAAGTAACTTATTGTGCCACTAATAGGTGTATATATTGTTCCTACTTAATTTAAAATGTTTTTTTTCCACCACCAGAGGAAACTCTAATAATTACAAATTCTCCCCTTTTAATAGGATAAAATTCATAAAGTTATTTTAATTTGATTTCCTTAAGAGCATAAATCTTCCCATCTCTCCCAACAAGGTTAAATTCTTTAAAATAAAAGATAGGATACCTTTCGATACATCTTAACATTCAATTACATTCTCATCTTGTGGCCCAAGTTCTTTTGGAGGCAAATTATATATGTTTCTAACTTAATCCATCATTGCTTCTCTGGAGATCCAGTAAATATCATTGATAATGTAAAAAATAATTTTTAATATTTCTTTTGTCTTCAATTCTTTAGAATTAAGAATTTCTACTTTTAATAGAATCTAATAATCAAATTTCAAAGAGAATGAAAGAAATATTGATTGAATAATAATGTAAATAAAAAAATTGAAAAACAATGTAATTGGATAAAATCAATTCCTATCTTCAAAAGTAACTTTATAATTAGCTGAAATCTAATATCTAAGGTTTAATTTAACCTAGTTAATACAATTATTAATATATTTTCATTATTATTTGTATTTTAATTTCTTTTGAGGCATTCACTATATTTTTTAGAATAACTAAACATTGCTAAACCAAAGAAATAATGTTATTTTTCAAATTTACATCCAATTAAATTTTATTACTTGTATTTACTGTTCTGGGATAGTATTTCCCCTAATTTATTAACTATTACATTATCTAATCTAATCTTAGTCAAAATTATAAATCTAAAGTATTTTGATGATTTGACTAATCAATATCATTGATCATATAATGAGTAGCACTTATTAGTTGTTCTTCTTCATCTAAGAGATTATTTTTTTTGATAACTTATTGATTATCATCGAATGTAAATGTGACTCGACTTATTATTTTTTTGATATTTCTTCCTATAATTTTCCTTTCTTCTATTTTGATATTTAATAATTTTCAAAATTCTTTATCTTAGAGCTATTTTCCAATTATAGCTCTTAAACCTTTTTATATGAGTTTTAACTGAATGAATTTAAAAATTTATACCTTCATTTTCATTTAGTATTTTTAAAACCAACTTAGAAGTTCCCACAAATTATAACAAAATTAACATAATTTACCATTAAAATAATTTACTATTAGAAATATTTTTTTTGAAGTTAAGGCTGAATGTTTTCGGGTTTTTTAAATATAATAAATTACTTCCCTTTTTATATCTTATGGAATTAGCTAATTTAATTCTCAAAATTTAGCAGTCATTTGATAGAAATATAATAAAATTGTTGAGTGCCATATTTTCATTTTGAAATTAACATTTAGTATACCTTACTAATTCTTCTTTATTCCTATTAATGTGATCATCTTTTTGTAATTATTTTTTATTTATTTGTTAAATTTAATCAAAATGCAAAGAAACATGACTAATTTTACATCAAGATCATTAAGGAAATGCAACTTAAATCATATAGATTTTATTATCTATCCAAAATGATATAGTTTGGGTTGTTTAGTTTGATTTAATTTATTTTATAAAGTATTTAATAAAATGGGGCTTTGGGCTTGGACATTAAACTAAATGTTAACTCCTAAATTTTGGACTTTAGTTTGAAGAGAAGGTAGTTTAAAGCCATTAAATTTAAGGATATTGGTAAACTTATATTAGAATGCTCAGAGCTTAATCAAGATCGAGTCATTATGCTGGAGATTAAAATGGGCCTATTTAATGTGTTGAATAAGATTAATATGGCAATAAATATTATGAAGACTTTGTTGTGACAGATATTCTTTGTGGACTAGAGATTTTTAGATAGAAATTAAAGAAGATAGGTCAGTAAAATGATTATTTTAATCCATGGCATACTCTTGATGATATAGTTCCTCTATTATGTCATGGCAAATGTCTATGATGAAGCTCCTTCCAGAACTTGCAATTCTTACTTTGTTTAGCCATTTTATGAAAAACCTGCAACAGATAATCAATCAAAAACACTAAATCATTATTTCCCTCAGGTAACAATGATAAATTTGAATAGATTAGAATTTATGTAAAGTCGATTATGACAATATTTCAGCCAATACTATAGAGATAGAAGAGCTACTCCTTCTGAACCAGGGCAATCCTAAAGGTTTGGAGGAAAAAAACACTATTTGTTGAAAGAAAAATTTATTTAGAGGATGTAATGTCAAATAAAAAATGATTTAATAACAAATATCTTATAATAGACAAGCAGATTTTTTTTTTGAACTCATAAATAACTAATTATGGGTACATGATTTAAAGGACGCTGTGGAGTATCAAAGTTCAGAGGAGATAACTATTTATCTAACTTATGAATTTCGGAGAGGTAGATTTTATTCTAAATACAGGGATCTACGCTTTTGGTTTTAATGAACCGTCAGCAACAAAGAGATATTTTACAAATAATAACAAGAAGAGATGTTATTGTATAAAGCTAAAGGGGTACAGGAGCATTTAGTTTACCAGATTATTCCATTTTGAATTATATAAGTAGAAGATTTCTATTATTCTAATTAGGGAATCCTAAGTGTTAATCTTATGGAATACAAGAGAGTTTGCAGAATAACTTTCAAAGGTAGCTTAGGCTTTTGGGGACTTTCTAAATGTTTCCAGTAATAATATAAGGTGAAATCTTACATGTATTTTGGCCATTCAATTTATGATGATATTAGCAAATTGTAGCATGAAATTTAAATAGTATCAGACACTTCTTGTAGAGTGTTTGATATGAATTAGAAAAAGGAATACGTGTTGGTCATTTAAAAACGCTAATTCTTGATGAAGATGATGAACGATTAAATAAAGAATTCAAATCATAATTTACTACCGAAAACTTAAAATATAGTAGTATCAACAAATTTGTCTTAAGAAATACTTGATAGGATTGATAAATTCATAAATAATCCACTTAAGATAATAGTGAAAAGTGATAAACTAACATTAGAAGAAATTACATAAGTTGATACAGAAGAATGGAAGTTTTAAACTTTATGTGATTTATATGACATTCTTAAGGAGTTATCTTCTGTTCCACTAAGAATAAGTAATAAGATGAGTAAAAATTAATGGAAATATGACTGGAAATGAGAGAGATGAAATTATGGCTGAGTTTAGATAAGGAAATAATCAAGTTTTTATTGCTACTGATTTTTGGGAAAGAGGTATTATTATTAAAAATAACAATAAGGTCTTGATGTTTAATAAGTCTACTTACTTATCAATTGCGATTTACCAAATTCAAGAAAATGTTATTTCCATAGAATAAATAGATCAGGAAGGTTTGGAGGAAGAGCTTTGCCAATAATTTTGTTAAATAATTAGATTTTAGACTTTTAAGAGATATTAAATAACATTATTCTATCTAAATTGATGAGATGCCTATGAATGTTACAGATGTGTGAATCAAAAGTTAATTATATATTATTATCAATTCACTAATAGTGCTTATTTAGATATCAATTAATTTAATTACTCCTTTTGATATATAGATATTCCTAGTATTAAGTTTTTTTAATCTTTTTTAAACTTAATATAATTTTATTCATTGTAATATGGTTATTCATGATAATATAATTTTTGTGAATTGCTAGATATCAAAAACTATTTTTTAGTTTTGTTTTCATTTATCTTTTAAATCTTATTCCAAATAAAGAGTAATAAGGGATATTTAATAATCAAAGAATTGGTAGTTTCTTTCACAGATTTTCTATTAAAAATCTATAGTCTGACTTATATTTATGTTTGACTTATTAACAGAGAAAAGAATTCATTCAATAAACAATGATAAAACTATTTGGTTATATATCTTGATTAGATTTTGAATGCTCTATTATGATTACATTAGTAAATACAACTAAAGGAAGTTAAGATTTAGAAATATCCATTCTGATAGTTTGATATATGATGGGTTATTTAGCGAAATGCATGGTCTTAAAGTGGATTGCAAACACATTGTTAACTAAATAAAAAAAGGCAAAACTGGATGGTCTTTACCATTTTTTGAATAGATTTACCATAATTTTAAGGAATTGCAGAAAGCTGGTCAATATTATTATTTTTTGAAGAATACAACCATTAGATTAGATGAAAATACAACATAAGTATAAGTATAGAGATGAATATTCTCCAGAAGTTGAACAACTTAAAAATATTGCACCTGTCTGTTATTAGGCTTTTATTGCCATGAATATAGATGTCTGCCTAAAGATAAAAGCCTTTATAATCTAAAAATTAAATTTATATTGAGTTTATAATACAGAAAACTTATATATATTGAGAAAAAAATTGATTCTTTTTCATATGTAACTTATTTCATATAAATTAATTATAATGAATCCATATAATAGGCATATTATATTGACTCATTATAAATTTAATCATCATATTATAAATGCTTTTATATCTTTATGCAGACAGATATAATAGAGTAATCAATGCTCCAAAAAGAGGAATAAAGAAGGTATTTGTTGAAATAAAAGATAAATAATAAATGGCTCTTAAGAAAATGAGAGAAAGGGAAAGGGAGATTTTTCAATAATACAATAGGAGTTAAATAATCCAAGAATGAATGAAGTATAAAAGGGCACTGATTTGGATTTAAAAAAAAACTCAGAAAAACAAAATGTTAGTGAATAAATGAAAATGATTGATTCAAATTTTGAATCAAAAGTTATTGAAAACTAACCAATCAAAATGAATCTATTATATTATGATATCTTACTTAACAATGGTTTAGTCTTGAAATAAACATTTGTATAACCACCAGAACCTGACATCTATCTAATGCTTAATTATTACAAATGAGGCAGATTGCAATATAAATTTCTAATTCTGAATTTAAGTATTATTGTTCAACTATGATATCATAATCTAGCCTTAAATTCAGAGAGCTATTTAATTCTTCATATATCTTAATTACATTTGAGAGGATTTAAGTTTTCAAATATGAAATATTCAAACGTTTTTGAAGAATTTATAGACTTTATTTAAAGCTTATGGGTATTTGATATTAAAAATAGGATGTCTAACACAACTAATTGGATTACAAAGATATTGTAAAAAAAATTCTTTATAAATGTTAAAATGTTCATTCTAATATGATTTATTCACCTTAAATAGGTTAGATGGTGGTTTTTTTTAGGGAGTTCTAATTAATCTAGTTTTATCATACTTATTAAAATTCTCTTTCTAGTTCTCTCAACAATTTCACTTAGAGCTCATTGTAATATTTTTCTTATCTTGAAAACTTATGTAAACGTAATCCCTAAAATATTAATATTCCCTTACTTTTTCGTATTCATCGCCCAGCCAAAGATTTTCATTTATTAGTGGATTTAATTATGAATATAAATCGTTATGAGCAATACTCTTCATTAAGACTTCACTCGTTTAATAATCTAAGGACTAATTTATAAAAATCCAATCGGAAAAAAAAATCAAGTAAATGAGTAGAAAGGACAAAATAATGAATACATAGAAAAATGGGCGGGTTGTTAGTGATGTTTTAAGTACATTTTGGATTACTTGATGAGATGATGTCTAACAAATTAAAAGAATTAATATAGGTAATTTTAATTATTCTTTTTCAAATCTGATATTTTCTTTAACTCCATAATTAATAAGTTAGTACTTTTAAAGCCAAAAGATAATTAACAAAGCTATTAGAGTCATAGGATAACATATGGGATATATATAACCATAATAGGAGCATAAAAAACATAAATGAACTAACTCAATATATTGTTCATTAAAGTTCAATTTTTTTTAGGTTAATTAGTTTGCTTCAAATTATGTTAAAGTTGAATTCTGTTTTAAATATTTGTAATAAGTGTTTTTTAATAAATTCAAAGCATAATATTTATCTATTACACTAAATATCATAATTGAGAAAGAATTAATCAATATGATATAAATAATATCTTCGTTGAACCCCCCATCTCTCCAAAATTTCAATTTACTTTCATATTAGTCTTTTTATTCAAAAACTGCTATAGGAAATACTATAACATTCATTAAACCTACCATTATTATCAAAAGTTCATAAAAATACCAAGGCATTCTCTTATATTAACCATATTAACTTATTATCTAGCACATTCTTAATTGTAATTCCATACTAATCTTGAAAATAATAGCCACACATAAGCTCAAAAGTGTATTTCTATTTAATTAATATCCAGAATTTGATTAAGTATACTCATCTTTTGCAATTTCAAATTAGTACAAAAGATAAAATAAAGCCAATCCTATTATGAATAGGATAATTTCTAGTAGTAAATTCTATTTTTCAATTTTATTAATCCATTTTTCATCCAAAGGCCTTGGACAATAAATCACACTTTATTTATCTAATACCTCTTTAAATTTGATAGCCTCTTTCTTAAAATGACAATATTATAATTACTTAACTAGAGAAAGTTATAAATCCTGTATTAGTAGATTTCAAAAACAATTCTCTATTTTTCAGAATAAAAATCTAATCAACAATCTTCCGTATAACATCTTTCAAAGAGCTAATAATTATAACTAGTAGATATACGTATCATTATTTTGAGAAAGAATTTCCTTTATTTTAAGCTTTAATTAATTTTCTAAATGTTCTTGATCATAAATTAAACTACAATCAATAATGTTTAATGGTGCACTGTCTCTTTTATATTTATTAGCTACAAAGAGATTCATACCTTCTTTTTTGTTGCAATTACTAGGCAAATTTTTGATCTTTAAGGAACATTTTTTTATCGTAAACTCACTATCAATCTAGCGATCTATACTATAACAATCATTTTTAGAGTATGAGATGTATCGAAGGAAAGCTAATTGGATAAAAATTGATATAGATTATAAAATGTCTAAAATGTAATCCTCGAAACTATCATAAAAGTATAATATACTAGTAAGAATCCATTCTATTTAAAATTGATAAATAATTGTTCAGATTCTATTTACAGGTTTCATTCTTAATACATGAATTTCCTTTAAAGTTCTAGATTAAATTATATATTCCAACAATAATACTATAAATAATTATTAAAAAGTTACAAATTTATACTAAGAAGGATAAATACATTTTTTATGAACAAAAAGTATTTGTATACAGTACCATGTACAATAAATGCATTTATATCTGTAAAGAGGGAATACTTTAAGGTTGAAATGTATAAATTGCAACAAGGACATTTTTATGAATTACTTATGACTTCTTAATGAATGATTTAAGCTTTCTATATGTAAAAAATATTTTATTACGCTGTGATTCTCTGCTTCTAAGAAGTTTGGTGGTGATTTTAAGAAATCTTCTTCCTCAATGACTTCTGATCCGTTGGTATCCATTTTTAAATTAAATTATTTATTCATTATAAATTTTTAATTTTTATTATTTATCAGGAGTTCCAAAAAGATATAATTTGATCAAACTTGCTTAATCTTTATAATAAAGGTTATGGGCATTTTCCCAATCGAGGAAAATTTAACAGAATGGGCAGATACACATTCCTTTGCTCCAGTTTTGGTTGTACTCTTATGTTTGATTATTCAAGGAAAACATGTATTTGCAGAATTATATGCTAAATAGGTCTACTTCTAATAATTAGTCTATAGGGTATATCCATATCTAATTTTCAGTAGAACAAGTGGACATGACAATTTCCCAACAGTTATTCTTGAGTGACCTATAGATATTGATACCACTGTCGGCCAGGAAGGTGTTTTCAATTTTGTCGATACTTGGATCTTGACTTTATTCCTCATATGCTTTGATAATCTTTTCCTCTGTTAATACATCTTAATATTTTGCGCATTTTAAATTATCAATCATAATTCGACCATCTAGTCAAGTTCTTTTACTTTTACATGAGTTTCTTTCTTATTGAGGAAAATAGTTACATACATAGTTCTTTAGTTTTATTCTTTTTATATATATTAAGTAAAATCTCTCTTTAATAATTAAGGTGCATGTTTAGTCTCTGGAATTAGGTGGGAGTCTAATGGAATCTCTCTAATAGATTGATGCTATTTATATAATTGAATTTTTTTTGGAAGTCCCTTCCTTTCAAACATCAAACTCTTGATCATATGTTATGGATTGGATGCGTCCGATCCATAATCAAATAAAATCTTCAATTTTACCAATTTAAGGTTCTTTAACTTGAAGTTTATACTCTTCTAATGATTTATCATCGTCTTGAGTAGCTCGAGCCAGTTAGAGGTCATCAGTCTAAAGTTAATTTTTGGTTTATATTTTAGTTCTCTTAATTGGTTGTTATGGTTGACTGTTGTCTTAAATGATGATGTACTCCGCTTAAAACTAAGGCTTAGAGTCGGTTGTCCACTTTCTAAATGAATTCTTCTTAGCTACTATTGCTGAGGGAGTCCTCCTTTTGAATTTTCCCTCCTTTCACATTCTGATATATTCACACCAGTTTGAGGTTATTAATTTTACTTTTTTAATTTCATCCTTGTTGAATTTGTTTAATAGCTGCATATATGTCTTGCTGATCCATGAATGGTGAAATCTTCTACCTCCTTATATATCACTACTGGTTTTCTAATTGAGAAGACATATTAGGCGCATCTGAACATCTCGAGGATGTGTTCATTAAGATAAAGGTATATTATGATGGAATTTGATTGCGCATTCTCAATTTTTGGGGTTTGGTTTTTAAGTAATAATACCTAAAATTTCTTAACTTAGTAATGATTGAATTTTGGTCGCCCTTTACAAAATACTCAAATTTTACACATTTATAGAATTTATAATATTCCTAACAATCATTAAAATATAAAATAAGTAAAAAATTCAAAGAAAAAGCGAAAATCATAATTCTATAAAACTTTTAAAAATAAAAAAAATTGAATATTTAAATAAAATAAAATTCATAAAACATAAAAACCTAAAATAAGAAAAGTGATTTACATAATTTCATAAATAGTGTTGAAAAACAAATTATTTAAATATCGTCTTAAAAATCATACAATTTGAAACAAATTATCAATTTTGCACAAAATAAAACAATAAAAATGAAATTCGAAAATTTGAAATCCAAAAAAAATTTCTTAAAACATTAACTTTTATTTCTGATGAGGTCATAACTAGGGTCATCTGAGAGGCCGTTCCTTCCGACCTCAAAGTAAATTGATAGCGTCCTACAGCACTTTGGGGCGTAATAATTATATTAAAAACTTTTAATGCTTTCAGCATTTTGGTTTATTTTCTGATATCAATTTATTTTTGTTCCCTATTATTTTTAATTATTTCATTGTTTTTTATGCTAAAAAAAGGAAAATTTATATAAATTTCTTAAGTAATCTTAGTGACAATTCTTTATTAAGGCCCATAGTTTAAGAAATTGTTTTTCCGAAACTTATCAACATGTTAAAATATTCTAGCAATTGTAAATTTCGTAAGTATTTTGCGGAACTCTCAGTTGATTTCCTTACTATTCTGCTCCAATATGCATTAATAATTAATTATTAATAATCATTAAAAAATCAATTAAAAAATAGCCTGCCACATTCATAGTTAAATACTTATTCAAATTTAATTACATATTAAAAAATTTTCAAGTTTATACGAAAATTTATTTCTCTCAAAAATAATAAAAATATGAATTAAAATTCAAAACAATGAATTATAAAAAAAAAAATCATCTAAATCTCCATGCCAGGCCAGAAGGCAATCTAGCAATTAGTTTTAAATTTGGATAACAGAATACTTTTAAAGGATATTTATTTGAGAAAAAGACTAAGTTAAGTAAACAAACAGATTATTTACTCAAAATGATGACCAATAAGATATTTATAATGCAAAATCAAATTTGAAGATAGGGCAAATTTATTAATCCATAATAGCGTTTTGGAGATGTTAAAACATATTAATATTGTCAACCTTTGGGAAATATTATATCCTGTGAGCTAATTATAATATTAGAAGACTTAAGTAATTATATTGATTCTAGAGAGTCAAAAACATTATAAAATTGTGAAGAATGATATATTTAATTGTTTAAATTTTTTTTTAATAAATATTCCCAGTCTATGATTATTATATTTAGATTTCAAGAAAAATTTATATCTTAAAATTGTTTTGTGTATATATAAAGTTAGTTCTATTGTTGAAAATTTAATTTTAACCCAAACCTCAATAAAATTAATTAAATTTATAAGGTGTGAGAATGCAACAATAAAATGTATTTTATGATAACTAATAATTAAATTATCCTTTATTTAAAATATTTTCATATATCATTTTTTTATTTTAAAAGTAGTTCTATATTTCCATATTAAATATTGTTTCTTTATTCTAAATTTTACATTAACATAATGTTAATCCTTCAATGATTACTATTTAACTAATAGTTATTTGAATGATGATAATAATTTTTTTTTATTATATATTTTACTATTTTACTAAAATAAATTTAGTTCCATTGTTTATCAACATTTTTATATAAATTTACAGATATTTACATTCAGTATAACTAAAGTTTGTATTGAAATTTTACATTTATATATTTTATTAGGAATTTATTAATATATATATATGTACAATTTTGTTCTATTCCTCAAATTCATACTTTAATACTAATATTTCATTTTTTGTTCTCTTTATTTTTATTATATCAATTTTGAATACTTTATTGTGTTTTTATAGCAGTTTACTATTATATTTATATATGATATATTTTAATCTTTTCTATAAAAAAAATGTANATAAAAAAAAAAATCATCTAAATCTCCATGCCAGGCCAGAAGGCAATCTAGCAATTAGTTTTAAATTTGGATAACAGAATACTTTTAAAGGATATTTATTTGAGAAAAAGACTAAGTTAAGTAAACAAACAGATTATTTACTCAAAATGATGACCAATAAGATATTTATAATGCAAAATCAAATTTGAAGATAGGGCAAATTTATTAATCCATAATAGCGTTTTGGAGATGTTAAAACATATTAATATTGTCAACCTTTGGGAAATATTATATCCTGTGAGCTAATTATAATATTAGAAGACTTAAGTAATTATATTGATTCTAGAGAGTCAAAAACATTATAAAATTGTGAAGAATGATATATTTAATTGTTTAAATTTTTTTTTAATAAATATTCCCAGTCTATGATTATTATATTTAGATTTCAAGAAAAATTTATATCTTAAAATTGTTTTGTGTATATATAAAGTTAGTTCTATTGTTGAAAATTTAATTTTAACCCAAACCTCAATAAAATTAATTAAATTTATAAGGTGTGAGAATGCAACAATAAAATGTATTTTATGATAACTAATAATTAAATTATCCTTTATTTAAAATATTTTCATATATCATTTTTTTATTTTAAAAGTAGTTCTATATTTCCATATTAAATATTGTTTCTTTATTCTAAATTTTACATTAACATAATGTTAATCCTTCAATGATTACTATTTAACTAATAGTTATTTGAATGATGATAATAATTTTTTTTTATTATATATTTTACTATTTTACTAAAATAAATTTAGTTCCATTGTTTATCAACATTTTTATATAAATTTACAGATATTTACATTCAGTATAACTAAAGTTTGTATTGAAATTTTACATTTATATATTTTATTAGGAATTTATTAATATATATATATGTACAATTTTGTTCTATTCCTCAAATTCATACTTTAATACTAATATTTCATTTTTTGTTCTCTTTATTTTTATTATATCAATTTTGAATACTTTATTGTGTTTTTATAGCAGTTTACTATTATATTTATATATGATATATTTTAATCTTTTCTATAAAAAAAATGTATTATAGATCCTTTAATATTAATTAATATATATTTATAATAAGAAGAAAATTAATACAATAATAATTATTTATTCGCAGTAGTAGGAAAATATGAGAAAAATTACAGAAGAGCAACTTACAAACACATTTTAGATATCATTTGTCTATTGGTAAAGTTTAAAAACTTATAAAAGGGAAGCATCAAAAACAGAAAAATAATAAATAAATCATAAATTTTATAAGTTTGAAGAAATTTAATTGCCATCTTTTGCAAATAATTTTGGAGTAATTTCATATATCTAAATTTATTTAAACAACAATATTTATTTTATTCGTATGATTATAATTTTAATTAAATTATGTTTTCTTTTTTAGGTAACATGTCAGTTATTCAAATTTTACTTTTCTATTACCTTTTTACAAAAAGTCACATATTTATAATCGTCTTTTATATTTAATCCTTAATTTTTTATAGTTCTTATATTTATTTTGTTTTTATTTTCGAAATTAGTGTAAATTTAAACTTCTTTTTAAGAATTTACTTATACTTATTTCAAATCTTTTTTTAAACTATTTATTTCAATACTTCTCCTTTTTTATTAATTGAAATCGATCTTACAGTTGGAGTATTTTTTTAATATATTCCCAAAAAGATTCAAATTTTTTCGATATTAATTAATAAAAATTTTAATCTTGTAAATATTGCTTAGCTTCAATAAAATTGTTTTAACAAACTAATTTATATCCTAATTTCCTTGAAAAAAAATAAATTTTCTTTGTTTCTCACTCTACTAATGTTATTCTTGTTTCTGCCATTTCTAAATCGATTACAAAATTTCATATCGTTGAGCTTCATGCAGTATGTATAGTTCTAGCATATCCTAAACTTATAGGAATTTGAT